TTTTAAAAAAAAAGCATTAAAATTATAATTTATACTTTATTATTATTAAAATTATTTTAATTAAATTTTATTAAAAATTATTAAATAAAATTTATAACTTTTAACTTAATTATTTTAAAATTATTTTATTATTTATTATAAAAAAAAGCTTTAATATTTTATTAAAATAACTTAAATTTATTTTTAAATTTAATTAAATTAAATTTTAATTTTATAAATTTTTTAATAAATTTATTTATATTTTATAAATTTTAATTATATTTTTTAATAATATTAATATAATTAAATTTAAATAAAAATTATTAAGCTTATAAGTTTTTATTTTAAAGATAATTTAAAAAATTAAAATTATTTTAACTTTTTTAAAGAAAATTTAACTTTTTTAAATTAAATAAATTTTAATTAAAATTATTTTATATAAATAAATATTTATTTTATTTAAAATATTTAAATTTTTAATTAATAATTTTTAATAAAATATATTTAAAGTTTAATTAAAAAATATTTTTTATTAATTTATAAGTAATTCTTTTTTTTATTAATTATTTTTTTAAATATAATAAAAGTATTTTATAAAAAGATTAAATTATAATAAAAGAAATATTATTTATATTATTAAGTTTTTAATTATATTTTATAATCTTTTCTTTTTATATTTTTAAGTTATTATAAGGGTTATTATAAATAATATTTTTAATAATTATAATTAAATTTATATAATAAGTTTAATTATTAAATTTATAAAAAATAAAACGCTTTTTTTTTTAATTTTTTTAAATAAATTATTTAATAATAATATTTTTAATTACTTTCATTAAATTTAAAATAATATAGCATTACTTAAGTAATTTTAAGATTTAATAATTTAAATAAGAAAATTAATAAATAATAATTTTAAAATTATTTAAAATCTTAATAATATTAATTTTATTAAATTTTAAAGTATTTAAATTATAAATTATAAATAAAATTACTTATAATAAAATTATTATATTAATAAAAAATAAAACTTTTAAAATATTAATTTAAGTTTTTAATTTATTATTAATAATAAATTATAAAATTTAATTAAAATAAAGTTAATGCTTTAATTAATAATAAATAAAATTAAATTTCTCTTTTTTTTTAATAAGTTTCTTAAAATTCCTTTCTTAATTTTAAATAAAAAAAAAAATAAATAATTTTTAAGATTTAAAAGTATTTTTAAAATAAAAGTAAATTTAAAAAGGCTTTAAGCTTAAAAATATAATATATATATTATAATAATTTTTATTAAAATAATAATAAAATAAAGAAACTTAAAAATAATAATATTTTTAATTAAAATAATTATTTTTAAGAAATTTATTTTTAATATTATTATAAAATATTTAAATTAAAACTTAAAAAATAAAGGTATTAATAAATATAATAAATAAAATAAACTTAATAAAAAAATATTTTATTAAAAAATAAATATTATAAAATTATAATAAAAAAAGCTTTTTAAATTTATATTTAATGCCTTATTTATTAATATTATATTAAATTTTTAATAATTTAAATTTAAATTTAATTAAAGCTTAAATAAAGTTATATTTTAAGTTTAAGCCTTTTATATAATTTAATTAATATAAAAATATATAATATAATATTATTTATTAAACTTATAAATAAATAAAATAAGTACCTTAATTTTATATTATAGCTTTTTTTATTTTAAACTTAAGGTTATAATAATAATAATAAATATTAATTAAAAATTTAAAGTATTTTTAATTAATATTAAATAATATTTATAAAGTTTAAATTTATTATTTTAATTTTAAGTTTATATTATTATTATATTTAAGTATAATTTTTAATAAGAAATTTAAAATAAGTTTAAAGCTTAATAATATATAAATATAAAATTAAAATAATATTTTATTTAAATCTTAAAAGCATAAAAGGTATTTTAAAATTAAAAAATAATTTTAAAATATTTATAATATTATTATAAATTTAATTATATTTAATTCTTTTTTATAATAAAATAAAAATAAATATAAGCTTTAATTAAAGCTTTAAGGTAAGATATAAAATAATTTAATAATATTTAATATAAAAATAAGAAAAAAAATAAAATTAATAAATAATTAATTTATAATTAACTTTTTATTTTTTTTATTATTAATTAAAGATATATAAGATTAAAATTAAGCTTAAGTTAAATTATTAATAAAAATAAGCTACTTAAATAAATAAGGGATAGGTTTTGTTAAATTCTTTTAAGGATAACTTAAGGAAAAGCTTTAATATAATAAAAAGGGAAGATAAGAATAAAAAAAAGCTAAAGAAAGGAAAAAGATAAATATTTTAAAAATTCTTAAAAATAAGAAAAGCTTAATTAAAATACTAAATATATAAGAAAAGAAAAGAGTTAATTCCTTAAAAGAATATTTAAAATAAGCGTAAAAGCTAGCTTTTTATAGCTAGCCGGAATTTAGCGCAGTATTATTTATTACATATTTCCTTGCACCCGCCAACATTATTATTATATATTTAATTCCTTAAAAATAATAAGGGGCGTTAATAACTTATTAATAATAAAAATACTTTTTATAAAGGAGGTTTACGCCCTTAAATTATAATCCTTTTAATAAATAAGGCTATTATTTATATAGCTAAGAGTAAGGGTATTTTTAAATTATGCTTTTATTAACCCTTTCTTATTAACATTTTAATAATTATTTAGCTTAATTGCCTTAATAATAAGCAACTTAAAAAGATTAAACTAAGGCTTAATAATAGCTTTTAATAATGCCCTTAATCTTTTTATTTTAATATATTAATTTTAGCAGCTTTTAAGTTAAGGGTAATGGGTAAGAAAGGAGGTAAATTATTATCTTTTAAGGGGAGGGCCGTTAAGGGAAAAGGAGGCTATTTAACTTGCAAGGGCTATTATTTTAAAGCAAATTAATGCTAACCTTAAAGTGCTTTAATTAAATATAAATAAAGCTAATTAATCTTCCTTAACGTTAAAAAAAAGCCTTTAAGGATTAGCAGCATTATAATGATTTTAAATATTAAAAAAATAATATTAAAATATATATTTAAGTATATATTATTCCCTTTTAATTGCTTAAATTAGCATATTAGCGGAGATTATATTAAGGGCTTCTTATATCTTAACTTTTATATAGGGCTTTATAATGATTAAATTAATAATAGTGCAAAGTTTAATAATTAAAGAAAAATTCCTTATAAAGATATTAAAGAGTATATATAAGGTGGGTAGGGACGCGTTTATGCGCATAACGCGGGTATGGGGTGCGGCAGATGGGGTGTGCGGCAGAAGGGGTGAGGGGATGTTAAGCAAGGCGATCCAATTTGAATCAAGCTATTGAGCGGTTAAGTTTCTCATCGTTTCAAAACTTCCCGTCTAACTCGGCAGGCACCAGCCACTAATACTATCCCGTCACAATTGGACCCTAGAGTAACTCATCCAACAAGCGATCGCACTCTGGAGCTGTTAACATGGCGGACGCCGGCATCAAATCCGACAAATCGTCCATTAATATTCTCGACCGCGAGTGTCACGAATTGGTAGCTCGAGCATTACGCAACATCTTGTCCACCGAGATCGCACAGAGCACTTTTCCAACACAGATTTTACTTCGATCACGAGCAATACCCTGATGGCGCTTCTGATATGGTCGGGTATTGGGCAGAGTCGCGGTTCCTCGGCGGTGTTATCCTATTCGATCACAAGATGGAATCAGCATCAGATGCTGTATTCATTCATCCTGACAGGGATGAGGTTACTTATAGGATATGTGAGCTGACAGGAGAGCAAAAGACAAGCCTGGTAAGGTTCTTACTTGCTCCGCTCTCAGAGAGGAATAGTCTACGGTGCCCTTTGCCTATCACACCAGGCGCTGAGAACACCCACCGTATCGATCCTGAAGAGCCTATATCCTGGACCGGTGTTTATCGGGATGATTGGGAGAGAAACTTGAATACGGAAGAGCTGGGGGACGCTAGGACCAGAGATATCTGGAGTAAGGCCAGCGAGCTTGACTGGCTCACTTTCGAGTCTTATATGGAAGCAAGTGGTCGGTACTACTCGAGGTTCGAAAGATACCCTGAATAGCTCTCCATCTGAATACCATGGTAAAGGTTATGAAACTGTAAACATCATTCATCAAACCTCCCCTGTGAGACTGTCTCCTTGATGACAAGTACGTAGGACGTTGAATGCAATATTAGTGGGACTTATGCCGATTGCGAGACGATACTTGCAGGGCCTTGGTTAAGCCGGGTTGCTACTAAACGGCAGTCTTTGTGTGGGCGACGAGCAGTTTGACACCGGTGATTATCACAGCTGGCCTGGATAAGCTATTGGCTGCGAGCACCTCCGCTTCTCTAAAGGCTTAAATGGCGGCGTCTATTATCAGGTCCTACTGAGACAGGTAATTCTGCATCTGCGAATTCTTCTTCCGGCTCGGCGTCCACTCCATCAACGACAGTGAGTAGTGCTGAGACCGGGGCATTCCGGAACATCGCATTCGCTGCATTTTGTGGCGTGGTCGCATTGGCGCTGAGACTGTAGATGCAGGGTGGGGACTGATTTGCACAATTCCTCGTTTGAAGACACCCGTTTACGGAAAGCGACTTCTTGCAGAGTGTGTATGATTCCTGGGGCGCAGCAAAGCTAAAATTATGTCGTAACATTATGAATCTTGTCAGGCTCAGGAAAAACCTCCGGATTCATGCGTAATTCATGCGTAAATGGCATGTCGACATACCCACTGATGTCTGTTGTGGAGTTACTAGTACTAAAGAACGTAGTGTGACGGTTAAATCTCACGCTTTTTGGAACTGCCCACTCTTGGATTGAAGTCAGAGCCTTCAAGTAAAGCCGGGTTCTCGCCACAGGCAAAATGCCCTGCAAGGTCTCCAGCAGCGCATGTGAAGCGTGGTCGAGACGCGCAAAAGTACCTGTTCGGGCGTAATAAAGCAGTTTCTCATCGAAGAAGCTAGCCTCGTAGTGAACAGTCGATTACGGACCGGTCACACTCTGCTTTGACAAGAAGTTCTGCATGGGTTTTCTCCTTTTTGGTGTAGCTCAAGCGGAACTGTTGTCGCGATTGCATCTAAATGGCATGTTGGCCACGTACATTTGAAATGGTCAAGGTCGCAACCGCTCACCAGACATTCCGAGACCTGCACTACTTTTGCTATAATAGTCATTTCTCTTTTCCCGTCGAGAACATGTAGCTCATTGTAGTACTCTGCGTTTCGGGTAGAAAGCTCCGGGGAGCTCCCCTTGACAATACTAAGTTGGCCGTTCACGTAGTGTGCCATGCCTTGGGAACGGTCAACAGGAAAGAGTTATACTCAATGCGGACAAAATATTCCAAAGACATAACAGTGTAGGGCCAGAGCGAGAGACGACGCCACGAGCAACGGGTGTAATCAATCCTTCGGATGAAGCGGTGAATGATGTCCGGAAACTGCTAACCGATTGCGGTCAAAGTAAAATCTTACAGACGCCCAGTGACCGCCAATGCGGATAGTCGGCTACCAGAATAACGGGGATCAATTCGAGGATCTGCATTGTGTGCGTAAGTGTAATAGGTCACTTGTGACTTGAGGCAACCACTGTGACGAGGGTTCATGCACCGCCAGTTGGCATGGAAGACATAGTATGAGACTTCGTAAAAAAGCGGCACACACTTGCCAAGACTGACTTTCCTCGCTTGAGCACAGCATTTGTCGGTCAGGCTGATGTGAGATATTTTAGATCGTTGATTATATGCCCAAGGCCCACGCGTATTCATCTAGAATGTATCATTATTTGTACTGACATGTGAGCCGAGGCACCTACCTTATCTTATGTTGGTGGTGGGCCGATATCGTATCTCAGGATTCATCCTTCCATAGGAAGGATTTCAGAATGAGTGCCCTGGAAGATTTGTATTCACTTGTCTAAAAAGAGCTAATATGACGCCAACCTTGGATGTAGGAATGGGCTAAGGCTTGCCGTGCATAGCCAAGATACTGGTAGCCAGGGTTGAAATAGGCACCAGCTTATTGAGATGTTCACTGTCAAGGTGTCGCCCTTAACTCCTGGCTAGCACGCTCACTTCGAGTACAAATATCACGCATCTTGCCATTCCCAGTTGATACTGCCACAAAACCCCGCCACAATGGTATCTGATTTCAAGGCTCTCGTTTTTGATGTCGGTGGTGTCCTGTTGGACTGGGACCGCCACAACCTTGTTGCCATCTCTCCTGAGCAGTTTCTGACCATCTCAAATTCCACAACCTGGCATAGCCTGGACCGAGGCAATGTCACGCTCAAGGAAGCTTGTCAGGTAACCACGTTTTCGCTCGGATGCATTGAAATCATAAACTAAGTAAACATGACACAGGAATTCGGCAACATACTTGGCGAACATCCGTCTACTATCGAGACCGCATTGAAACAGGCTCAGCTTTCGTTGAAGCCAGTACCTGCACTTGTCCGAACAGTCAGGGATTTGAAGGCGTCGAGGCCCGATCTCAAATTCTACGTCATGTCCAATATTTCACGGGCAAGTCTTGCAATCCTAATATTCTCGATCAGCTCAAAAGAAGATTCACTGACCAATTTGTAGGAGCATTTCGAGATAGTCCAAAGCACTGACCTCCCTTGGTCGATATTCGACAAGGTCTTCGCGTCATGCGTTGAGGGCATGCGGAAGCCAGACCTGTGCTTTTTTGAACATGTCATCAAGGAGATTGGAGTTAATCCCAGCGAGATGATTATGATTGATGACACACCCGAGAATATATGTGCGGCAAGGTCTCTGGGAATGCATGCGATTTTCGTGCACAAGTCATTGCCCAGCGCCAGCAAGATCCTTCTCAATCTGCTTCAAGATCCGATTGAAAGGGCAGAGGTGTTCTTGAAAGATAATGCCACAGAGCACCATTCCGTTGTCGAGGGCCATGAGGAGCTCACGCTCAAGGACAACTTTTCCCAGCTTATGATCTGGGAACTTACTGACGACGAAGACATTGTCTACCTCAAATGGCCATATAAAAGGACCCACGGATCGAATGGCCCTAGAATTAACAGTGCGATATCAAATGGCTACTCTACCGGCCACACCAATGGCCATGCCAATAGCAACGTCAACAGCCATACCAACGGCAACATCGTCTACAACCCCAATGGCAACGATTTCCCGGCATCAAAGGTCGAGAACGGACTCTGGAACTATTTCTTTGAGGCCCCTGTTCTCACAACCCATGACTTTCCTGCGGATGCCGACACAACAGCGACAGCCTATCTATCACTCCCTGAGCAACACCTCGCCACCATGCCGGACGTCCGACTTGTTTTGGCCAAGATGAGTGACAACCTGGATCTAGACGGGATAATGCAGGTATACTTTGATCCTAAAAGGCCTCGAACTGTCCCAGAGGTCTGCTGCAATATCCTGAGGTTGTTCCACAAGTTCGGCTTTGGATCCGATCCCCGGGCCAAGAAGTCCGAGAACTACGTTGTGGACTGTCTGAACAACAACGCATGCCTCGACGGGACTCGGCATTACTCAACCCCGGAAAGCTTTCTATACTTTGTTGCGCGCCTATATGCCGAAACCCCCTCCGATGTGCTTCGGAAAAGGTTGAATGCAATCAAGGCCCAACTCATAGACCGACTCAGCGTGCCTACAAACCCATTAGCCCTGGCACTCCGTTTGTTTGCCTGCCAGTTGGTTGACTTGGGTCCAGAGCTGTATAGAAAGGATCTGGAAACACTCGCGTCGCTTCAGGAGGAGGATGGCGGTTGGCCTGCCGGCCATTTCTGCCGCCTGGGGAGGACGGGGACTTGTATCGGCAACCGGGGTTTGACAACTGCACTTGCGGTGAGGATACTGCGGCAGGAAAAGCGAGCGGTTAAGACGTCAAGAGTCTGAAGCATGCAGTAAACGGAGATTATGGTTTCACTTCATAGGGTCTTTTTTATAGACGTTGTCCCCCAAGTCTGATTGTCAACTCCCTTCTGATCAGTCTTTTTATATTTTATAATGGCTTAGAAATAAATGGCCATCTCCTTCATTATGCGCCTATAAAATGAAGCTACCCCTTTGTGCCAAGTGCAAATTAGAATTCTCTTCTACCTCAACATACTTCTGTCACGTTCTCCAACTCCTTCCGCATGGCCATCGTTCTCATAGTGTCCGGATGTTTCGCCCCGAGACTCGTCATCTGTCCTTCCAAACACAGCGTGAACAAAGGCTCGGCATCCATAATACGACCGCGAAGACGGAAGTTCTGCGCAAGGTTGCAGGCTGTTCTCATCGTGGCTGGATGTTCGTCTCCCATCAAACGGGTCTGCGTAGCGAGGACGATGCCATGTCTCAAATACGAGGGGCTCTGGAAATGTTCGTCAGCCGACGAGCCATCCTCGCTGAGCTTCACAATCTGCCTGTATGAAAACTCGCCGCCCTGCCGCTTCGAGTAACGGCGGATTTAGCGTAAGTAGTACTACATAGATAGTGGCCTTCTTGGACTTCAGATCATATGGTACTGTTTCTGAATGAGTTCATGAGGCAGATAATGAAGCGGGCTACAGTAATAATCCCAGCGCTATCACCTTTCTGCCACACCCGGAACGCTACTCAGCCGTCGGCATTGAGCCAAGTGCTCGGAACACGAATACAGTACTAGCCCTATTGGCAGGACTTTAGGGACGGCATAATCAGTGAGGAAGGAAAGCCTGTGAGAAAGATCATAGATTCAACAACAGCGCTAAACCTTTGGTAACAGTATATCTTCGAAGCCATTTTATTTCTCGCCTGTTTTCCCGGAACTTCGGGACTCGCGTCCACGTCCTGGCTGTTATTCGAGCGATCAGGCCACTTGATGACTTCACCTGAATATCCAGCCCATCCATGCACAAAAAGGCGTCCGTATTCGACATTCGGGTAGGGGTCAAATTAGATAGGTGTATCGGAAGCGCTGTATGCCTGACCCTTTGTACGCCAGTTTGCTAATCAAGCCTCCGTGGACTCAAACGTGTGTGCAAACGTGGCTTGGACCATATGTTATAAGCCTTCTGGTTTTCCATCCAGTCACGACTTTCGTCACCTAGTACCATATCAAAGTTGAAAAGCATTCGAGCCAGCACTAAGCGCATCTCAATATAGGCCAAGCTGTTTGCAATCATGAGCCTCTCGCTACTTATCGTGAAACGGGATACGATGACTTACGATCTGCCAATACAATTCCGCTTCCCCACATGGAACGGCTGGAGTACTTCTCGCTCGTCGCCTGCAAATCTTGGGTCGCCCAAGAAGCGCTCTGGACAGAAGCTCTCGGGGTCCGTGAAGTTGGCCGGATTGCGGTATAGAGCCCGATGCCATATGGCGACGTGGGTCTGCATTTTCAGCCTGGAAGTTATTAGAGGAGGAGAAAGGTGACACATACATTCCCGGGCACATAAGACCCGCTGATAATACGGCCGCCCTTTGGAATGATCCTTGGCATGCCGATTGGAACTGGAGGGTACAAACGCATCGTTTCTTCTAAACAAGCCAGCATATAATCCAGCTGGCTGGCTTTGGCCATGGTTATGTCGTCTTCGTTCTCGAATGCGTTTATCACTTCGTCCGTGAGTCTAGCTAGCTTCTCTGGATTGCTCAGAAGTAGGAAAGTGACGCCCGAGAGCACGGTGGCGGTAGTTTCAGAGCCGGCCACATGAAGACTGAGGCGTTCATGACGAGCTTGTCCATTTGTTTCTCCTGTAGTAGACATTATTACGTTAGTACAGTCTGAACCAAGCGCGAATTACAAAGCAACAAAGACCCGAGGCTGACGTTATTCGTATCAATATCCAACATAGCTTGGACAAGATCAGTTCGGTTGACCTTCATGCGTTTCGAAAGCTTTGCCCTCGCGTATGCCTGATGGTTGAGTATCTTTCTTGAAATTATCGGTCTAAATAGACGCAGAAGGGTCGACTTGAACCATGGGTAGTGACCCATCGAGGACATGGTTGCACTGATGTGCGTAACCTGGTAGATGGGTCGCACCCAGGGGTGATAATCGGCATTCTCCAGGCAAAGGTAGCTTTCACCCATCACCAAACTGCCAATCAGGTCAAACGCCATGAAATTGTACCACTTTGACATGTCTATCTTGCCGTCGACCTCGGGTGGCTTGCACGGGCTGGCTCAGCAAAGTGGGTGTTTTCGTTCAGCTGGAGCTGGCCCTCATGGGCGTCATTGATTGGAATGAGATGGCCCAGGTGCCCCCAGAGCTGATACTGCTCCCCGCCTCTGCACCAATTAGCATCTATGCTTTCAGTTACTGGTCCCGCGCCACAGCCGTTCCTATCATGATTCTAAGACATCACCGGCCCATATACCGCATTGTGGCCGAGGACTTTCTCGACGAACTCTACGTCGACCCTAGCGACAAGCACCTGCACTTTACACCTCCCTTGAGCGCTCTGTGGCGGGACGGCGAAAGAGGAAGATTCTGCGGCAGCCTCGCTGATAAGGCATTGGGGATCCTAGAGCCAGTGATAAGACGAGTGCCTGTGGCGAGGCCATACGCGCTTTCCTGCTGCGTGCGGTATATTCTAGACCACTTGGACGCAGGCGGCTACGGCGCTTTCTGGAACTCCAACTTCGCCGCCGTCATGGCTCTCCGCGCCGAAGGGTTCTCGACAGAGCACCCAGCTATTCAGCATCTTCCGACGGCAGTTGAGACATGCCTGTGGGAAGATAATTATGGGACAAGGATGCAAGTCACCATTGGTCCTGTCTGGGACACGGCCCTCATGGCCATGGGCTTGCTCGAGACAGGCCGCGCAGATAGCAGGATGGACTTGACGGTACGATGGTTCAAGTCGTGCCAGATGTTGGAGACACAGGGCGACTACCGCGTCCGCAACCACAAGCTTTTACCGGGAGGATGGCCATTTCAATATTGCGTGAGCGCCGCTGTCCACGAGTCATTCTAGGCCAAAGTACTAACTCGACGCAGAACAGCCACTATCCAGACACCGATGACACACACTTGTGGCGCTTCTCACTATCATCATGCACAATCCATCAGACATTTTTTTCGCAATCCTGCACTCGCGCCATTGACTGGTTGCTCGGCATGCAATGCTACGACGGCAGCTGGGCCTGTTTCGACTTGGACAACGACCACCGATATCTCAATCTGTTTCCATTCGGCCAGGGTAATCAATTTTATGACTCCAGCGTACACGATATCACAGGTCGTATTTTGGAGTGCTTGGGTATGGTTCTGTCTATCCTGTCCTCCCCGGCCAAAAAGAGCAGCTCTCCACTCCCAGATCCATTTGTCTGCCAACGTATCCAACAAGCATGCTGCAGAAGCATTCTGTTCCTGGAATCGGCACAGGAGCCAGTGGCGGGCATATGGGGCAGCCGGTGGCACATCAACTATCTGAACGGGACGAGCAGTGTGCTGTGCGGCTTGATGAGTGTCAAAAGCATCTTCGAGGACGACAAAGAGATCAAGGAGGTGATATATGGGATGATCGCACGTCCGCTATCGTGGCTCAAGTCAACACAACACGCAGACGGTGCGTGGGGCGAGGACGCCGCCTCGTATAGCGATGCACAAAAGGCCGGACGCGGCGTGAGCACGCCCACGTAGACGGCGTGAGGGGGGGGGTCATGGGGCTTCTGGCACACCTCCCGCCGACGGATAGCGCTGTGAAAAGAGGTGTCAAGTATCTTGTTCGGACACAGACAGGAAGTCCGGTGAGCGAGGCGGTCGGCGTGAGCAGTGGTGCTGGACCCGGGGCCACCTGGACGCAAAAGGAGTATGTAAGTGTGGGCTTCCCCGACATACTATGGTTGGACTATTCTAGTTCTCGGCATGGGCATGCTATGATTGCTCTAGGACGGTGGCTACATGAGTATCAGAAAATAACCTCACGTGGGTCACCTCGGTACAGTACTAGAGGAAATTGCCACCAAGGAAGCCGAATGGGTAGAAGGTGTTAAACAAGAAGATGAAAAATGCCGAGGCGATCGAAGCTGACTCATTGGTCGACGGAAAGCTTGCGGTCACTGCCAAGCAAGCCATACACAACGACATGCCCGTTCCACTAATCATGAAGACTGTGCGGCGTCCGAGTCGGTCAATGGCGAAGAAAGCCAAGAAACAGCATAGGAACTTCCACGTGAGCGCGCATGATGCCAGGATCTTCGAGAGGTTCGTGCCGAGTTTTAGGTTTTGTTGGAAGATTGTCGATGCGTCTGGTGAGAAGAAACGTGTTAGCCCTCTTAAGAATACACGAATAACTTACACTTCTAGAAGCCTCAGGCCCAGCTAGACCTCTCCCCAAAGGGCGCTGTAAAACGATGATTGGTCTCTGGAATTGCTTGCAGACGGAGATCAGATTTCCACCGCACATCTGCTGGAAGAACTGGAGCGCGAAACAAAGACAGAAACGATAGAACAGTCTCTCGTCGTCGTGTTTGGAGAACATCTCCATAAGCGAGTTATTGCGGGCCGTGGCGAACTCGAGCGATGACTTAATTTGAGCAATCTCCGTCCGAATAGCTTCGTCGTCTTCGGGGAAGTCTTTTAGTGCAGCTAGGTTCCGAGTAGCCTGTTTGACCTTGTTCACGCGAACAAGCCAGCGCGGAGATTCCGGCAGGCAGAAGATCACGGAGGCGACCGTGAGGGAAAGGATGAGGGACAGAGCCAGGGGCAATCGCCATTCGAGGGTTGAGTTGCGAATGAAGGTGAAGCCAAAGTCGATCCAGCCGCACAGGGCATAGCCGAGGCACATGAAGATACCCGCAGTGATGACATCGTGTCCTCGGTGCGCCGCCGATGAGCATTCTGCCTGCCATACAGGGATGGCAACACTGATCTGTCCGACACCGATTCCCAGAATGACGCGGCCAACAACGAACTGGATCACGTTGTATGCCGATACCTGCAGAACCTCCCCGATGATGGTCAAAATTGCGGCCAGGGAAATGGTTTTCCGTCTCCCAAGCCGATCTTCCAGGAAGAGGCAGGAGAGGGCGCCAATTAGAGCCCCAATGTGGAATGAGGCGATGACAGCGCCGCCCTTTCGTGTAGAGTTGACGGCCTCCTGGGCGCCCTCTGTGTTGATGGTATCAATCGTAGGAAAGGTAGAGACCCAAGTCTGAAGCGTGGCCAGCGGACCGACGCCGGCTTGGTTGTAACCAAACAATGTAAAGCCAAGGCCTACTACAAAGATAATTTGAGCTGCCCGAAGCGCATGGCCGCGGAGGCCGAGAAATGGAGACTTTGAAGACAAAACTGAGTTGCCTGCGTTGGAGTGAAACCTGAAAGACCTAAGCACTGAAAACTCAGCTTTTGAAGCCGAAAGTCATTAAGTACAGAAATCGCAACCCCCTTCATTGCTCCACAACAGGCCCAGTTCCCCCGGAAATTGTGGATTGCGGGGGGGAAATGGGGTTGGGTCCATATAAGAGGAAGGCTTGATCATGCCCTGCATGGAATTATGATCATGCTTGTCGCTGGACAATGTCAAGTCCGTCCGTGGACAATGCCAAGTCCGGCGCTGGACGTTTTCAAGTCCGGCGCCCTCGTAGCTTACGCTTCTTTGCCTGAGAGATCGGCACCATTCTGATCTGCCGTACGCGCACTGAAGAATAATTACTGGGGAGCTCTGGAATAGAATGACGAAGCCTGAGTTGCCGGAGAGAGTCAGGGGCGATGCAAAGCTTGGTGAGCGGGCCTTAGCATCGGCTGGTAAATCGCAGTGTGGGTGGACCACTCATCCAATCCCGGGCTTGTGGTGTCGCTCATGGTGATTGCTCCGGGAATGTGCTGCCAGGTATTGTAGGTGATGTCGCTTTCCTCATAACAAGGCACACGAGATGTTTGTCCGGGGATTCTATATAACCAGCCGGCATGCTCCATGGCGCCCAAGTCACCCTACCCGTCTCGACATCCATCCAAACGAAGGCGGACTGGCTCTCATTCTCATGCGACATAGGAATTAGGGCTCATGAGGGGTGGAGGCAAATCCGGTCTGCCTCGCTTCACCCGCATTGGAAGCGGCATTCATTTCATCCGTACCGTGTATGACGTACTTTCTCGCAGCGCCGCTGGGAATCACAGGATCAACAGTAGTCCGACCAGGGAAGAGATGGTCCCAGGCGAAGATGACCAACTTGTGGAGCCAGGTCCTGAATTGGTTGCTACTCGGTCTCGCGCCCCATTCTGGCGGCCTGAGGAGATCATCCGTGGCACAGCATCTGGGTCAGCATCTGCCGACAGCCTGACTAGATGGACCAAGAGCTACTTCGAGATAGAAAGAATGGTATTACAAGCATTGGGACAGCCTCTGGATATCGTCGAAAGTGACGCAAATGTGTGTTTATCTTCGTTTGCGTCCCGTGGGGGACATGACGGCACGGGTCTCGCCTAAGGATATAACAACTGATAGGCAGCCCCTGGTCTTCCTACCTCCGTACATGCTGACCGGCAAAGTTGATCCATTACTTTCCTCACGTTGCATGCCAAACATGTGCGGCTACGCGGTCTTGTCCTAGAACTCCGGCACAAGTCCATTGCCTGCCGTCACGACACCATGGAACGCGCCATGTCGGTCAAGTTGGAGCTTTCCAAATGGGTGAATGATTTCCATGAGCGAAAACAAGACTGGATAGACTTTGAAGCCCCAAATGCGCAACGGGTTGTACCGTATCTCCAATTCCAGTCCATCACAGTGAACATTGCTGTTGCTTAGTAATGCACCACAAATCTATCATTACACTGAACAGGCTTCTTCTCGCATCAGAAACGAAGACCGCGGCATCGCAAGCTGCTCTCCAAGCTTTTATAAGCGCTTGCAGGGCTACATTAGATACTTTCGTTAGGGCTGATGCTCGTCATGACGGTCCTTCGTTTCACAAGATCATGGTGTGGCCGCTTCTTACATGGTCTGTCTGGATGAGTTGCTTCGTTTTAACTTACACAGCAATTCAGGGAGAAACAACTAATCTCTTCAGCACAAAGGTAAGTGTCTCTCAAACTAGCCTTCCAAAATCATGGACTCATCGCTCGAGACAAGCAGCTCTCATGCTCTGCATTGCTCCGTTTGAGTCGTTCCACTTGTCGCAACGGAGGGGGTGTCCGAAGCCACCCGGACTTGACTTTGTCCGCCCCAACCGCAGTTTCCTCTACTGACACCGGTCATGATTATTTTCCGGGTCATCAAATAAGAAGGATCGTTACACAACTGTAGGAAATTGTGCACCTGGCTTGTATCAAGCCAGGTGTCACTATCATGCGTACAGACATCCATTCTGTACAGACACACTCTCAAACTGAAAAACATGACGGTGCTCACCGCTGCCATCGACGAGGCTTGTTCCTTCATCTTACCAAAAGTTCGCGCATTCAAGGATGAGATCCATAAGGAGGGTGGCAAACCGAAGCCCTTTGTCCTTGGTCTCTCGGGGATGCAAGGTTCCGGAAAGTCGACATGGGCGAAGAGCCTCGCTGGAAGGTTGCGCTCTGCCTATCAACTCAAAACACTAATCCTGTCCCTTGACTATTTGTACCATACCCACGAGAACCTGGTCAAAATCCGCGAACGAAATTCATCGAACAAATTATTTCGCAACCGTGGTCAGCCTGGAACACACGATGAGGCCCTTGCCAAACGGTTCTTCTCGTCCTTGCCGGCTGGCGAAGCCGTCGATGTGCCTTCGTTCGACAAGAGCAGATTTGATGGAGAGGGAGACCGCGTCCCGCAATTCGAATGGGAGCACGTGTCTCCTAGCCCACCCGTTGATGTTATTATATTTGAGGGTTGGTGCTTAGGTTTCCAGGCGATTTCAGACGATCAATTGGAGGAACGCTGGGTCGCCTCAAAGCAAGTCGACACCGCCATCGTGGACAAAGACACGTTGTCCACCATTCTGATGCGTACGCTCGGCTTGGAACACCTGAAAGTCGTGAATGACAACCTCAAGAGGTACAATGAATCGTTTATGGGCCCAGAGAAGTTTGACTACCTTGTTCACCTTGACACCGAGCATCTCCACACTGCTTACCGCTGGAGGATACAACAAGAGGAAGCCTTACGGGCAGTGAATGGGACCGGCCAGACAGATGAACAGGTCATTGCGTTTGTGCAGGCGTACATGCCGGCGTACGAGATCTATCTAGATCGACTACGCCAAGAAGCTTTCCCAGCAGGCAGGCATGGGATACTAGAAGCCGGGTGCGGTTCCCCAAAATCAATACTATACGGCCCTCCGCATACTATAGGGACAATACTAATTTTACCCAGCTTTTAGAAAACCAGCCAAGGGAATTATAATTATATTACCAACCAAGGGGGCCTAAAGGAATTGCATTAAAGATAAGCATAGCTAGGAGTAGACTTAAGGCAATTATAAGGAACGGCTTATAACTATTATAAAGCCTTAAAAGCTATTTTAATTCCTAAAAGGGACCCCTTAAACCCCCCTTTATTATACTTAGCTATAAGCATTAAAAAGCAAAGGGCTATAAATAGGTAAATAAAGCATAAAGAGCTAAAGACCTATAAATAAATAAATAAAAGGCTAAAGGGCTAAAGGGTAGCGAATTAAATAAATAGGAGGTTAGAGGGCAAAAGGGTAAATAGGCAAATTGGGCAAATAAGAGGCTAAAGGGCTAAAGGGCTGCAAATAAATAAATGAAAGGCTAAAGAGCTAAAAAATAGCAAATTAAGTAAATAGAAAGTTAGAAGGCAAGAGGGCAAATAGGCGAATTAAGCGAATAGAAGGCTAAAGGGCCAAAAGGCTACAAATAAGCGAATAGGGCGCAAAGAGCCAGAAGGCCAAAGGGCCAGAAGGCCAGAGGGCTAAAAGGCCAAAGGGCCAAAGGGCAAATAGGCAAATGGGCAAATAAGCAAATAAGCAAATAAGTGAATGGGCGAATAGTGCGCCAAAGGGCCAAAGGGCGCACGACCCCCTTGCCTCACAAATATAAAGCAATATATTAATTAACCAATCCCCGCACAAGAAACATTTTGCAGATTTACCATAATAAACTTAACCGCAGCCAAAAGCACCCCTTACAAGCTCAAATCACTCCTAGCTACGCTTAACAAGACAGACGGCAACTTCGTGTTTATCTTGACAAGAACAGAGGCGTTGTATCTATGAATGAAATATAAGAATCAGCTCACCTGACTAGACTGACTACCATAAGGATTTTCTACCACGTATTTTGGCTACGGGACTGGAAGTTTTACCCGTTGGCAAACCGACCTGTCCATGGTCAGAACAGAAATCTCCCCTATTCAGTCCCAACCTCAGAGCCCTCACAAGAATGTACACTTGCCACGGATATCACACCAGTTGACGGTATTTATGGAAGATGTGAGCCAAGACCCATCCAGGTATCATGAATCGATGGAGCATACAGGTGTACTGGTCTGTTTACTTCTTAGACCGTCTCCAAGTTAGTGTCACCACTAGCACCTTGACGGGAGGCTGAAGTGCATACTAGCCAATAGAAACATTTATGGCCAACCTCTACGGACTGCTAAAGCTTGAACAGTGGTGTGAGAATAGAGTGATTAGAAAAACATGTCTGGCTCCTATGGAATATAAAAGAAAAGTCCTTCGCCCAACTCGACTCAGATTTGACCTCCAGAACCCAGCACAAACTACAACCAAACAGAAAGCCTCAACACGACGACTCACAAACTCGTCAAGGAATGCGAACCATTTGAAAACTAACACAAGAATTCACGAATACTCAGATCACAAGATCAAAATGCATTTGTCTACAAGCGCTGTCATCCTCGGCCTCCTCGGCCTTGCAGGGTAAGTCTCTCTGCTGATCGCGTCACCACTTCTGAACTCATACTCACACTGGATTAGGGTCTCCTCGGCATCACCAATCACCATTAGTTCCACACCAGCTCTGCTTGCGGTCATCAATGGCACAGAGCCAGTCTTCGCAAACGACACGCAACTATTTGCGAATGACACTCAACACATCACGAACGACACACATCTCACGTCTTGGATGATGGCCCCAAGACTAAAGCGCCGCTCGCTTCGAAAGCGGGGTCTGCCACCACGCGACAGGAAACTAGCCGATCACATGGAGCACTACGGCGAGGGCCTGCCAGAGTGCTACAAGAAGTGCATGCGCTCAGAGGATGGCAAGTCTTCTATACATATGGGACAGGTAAGTAAAAGGACACCAGGAAACATCGCTAAATGGACTACGAAGAGCTAAAAGAATGGCACAGGACACGCTTGGGCAGATCTGTGGGGTCAAATGGCCTCTTTTCATGTGGTGGACTGAGCACCATCTCGTCTACTGTGAACGGGAAGAATGGCTGCAAGGGTGACAAGCCACACCAGGACGCTTTCAACTGGTTGAAGTCGACTTGTGGGGACAAGCCAAACTGAGTGCGATGCAGCAAATGAAACGACCAGCGCTGCCAGAATGAAGCGGCGGTGAATAACTTTCTCTTTTTCACCTGAGATCATTGCCAACATCTCGAACACTACGAACTCATTTCAGCGAGGATATCAAAAATCGAACAACCATAGATAAGAAGTGCCTAGGTACCTAGCACCCAGGCACTGTGGAAACCAATTCAAATCGCCCACCAAAATCTTGCACTAAGATCGTGTCCCAACTACTTGCGCATTTGTGCTTCCATTCACCAACCTTCGTAGCGCGCTGTAGGTGATTGCTGCTCACGCCTGCCAAGAGTGCAGGTGGGTAGGTGGCAATCATGTGGTCCTTCCCTCAACACCTTGCCGCTGCCATCTAGAGGAAAGACACAGAATCGGCAGCCGTCATACTTACCACATCAAGTTGCCATCTGAGCAGGTTGAATGTCGGTCCCTACCTAATAATTCTGCCCCATTCTCGCAGCGGAAGCGCAGTTCGCCGCTGAAAATGCGCCGCACCCAGCGCCTTGAGCAACTGGCTTGAGCACACGAATTGGGAAGGCACGCAGGAGCACAAGCAGACATGCATCATGGCCACTGCAGGTACTGAGCTGGAGGTGGTCTCGGCCGTGAAAATGCCGAGGGAGCAATGACGAAGGTTTCGTCATACCTGTTCACGAACCGTTTGGAGGACAGTAGATACAGTCGCATGGGCACTCCCTGAGACATGGGTAGAGGTAACCTCCAGTGGGATAATCTCCTACAGTGTGGTTTCTCATGGGATAGTCTCTCATTGGACAGTCTTCCATAGATTAGTCTCCCACTGGATAGTCTTCCATACGATAGCCTACCTAGGTACAATGGGATGGGTTGACTCCGCTGTGGGTGTCTTCCCTTCCGGCGTGGGCACCGCCTGACGCCGTGTCCAGAGAGATCCTGTGGCCTCCCTGGAGCTCTTTCCCTAGGGACCCTTCCAGTCTCGACCATGACATCAACCTCCAGTGCCAGCTGACCCAAAGGGGTGCAGCCAGGAAGGAACTGTGCCCCGAGTAAACAAGCACACGACAAACCTGGAAGGCACGGGAAATGCAGGCAGCCCGCCCTGGATCCCCCATCCCCTTGATCTTCTCGTCCCCGCCCTCTCCTCTCTTGTCTTCTTCTTTTCTTTTCTTCAAGAAGCGTTTGCGCTTGAACGCAGACTTCGCGACAGTTCTTCTTTTGATTAGGCATCATTCGAGCTGACGGGTGCTCTACCTTCTCTCTTGATTTTCTTCCGAACGTTTTTCTCATCGCATAGAGAGGGATTCTCTTTTCTCACGGTCACGGCCTTCGAGCGTACGGGATTCTTTGAGTCACGATGTTCACCATGCGGGTCTGCGCAGCCCTCTGGGTCTGGGTCTCGAATGAGCCCGCCGGGGGGTGGTTGTTCATCCTCGGTCTCCTGGTTTACCTCGCCGTTTCCTCTTGGTCGTTGGGGTACGAGTTTGCTTGTAAGTCTGCTCCTTCACGTCCTCCTCGTCGTGGCTCTGGGCGTGATCGTGGTGGTGATCTTGCTGCCTCTCTTCTACTCCCTCTCCTTCTCCTGCGACCTGGCCCTGACTCTCCAGCTCTTCGAGTCTGCCACTCGTGAACAACACATTCACCGTCCTTTTTCTCCTCAGCCTGCTTCACGCCCTGCCGTCTCGTCCAAGTCTTTTCGCCCTACATCTCCCCCTCCTCTCCTTCCTCGTTTCCCTTTCGTCCCGTCTTCTTTCGTCCCGACTTCTTTCGTCCCGTCTTCTTCTCATCGGCTGCCTTCTTCGCGTCTACCGAACTCCAGCTGACTCTGCTTGAATAGACATGCAACTCTGGGGGCTCGCTAATGGTGGAAAGACTTGGTCGCGACCGGCTGGGCATACGACCGACGAGAAGGTCAGCGCCGTGGTGATCTGGGTCGGGCTCGGGCTAGTCCGCACCTGGTTTCTCCTATGCTGGGCCTTCGCGGTCGCACGGTCATACGCGCCAAGGTCGAATTCACGGCTGTGTGGGCGCACAACCGTCCACCAATCCGACTTCCTCATCTGGGGTGGGTATCGTCCTGCTCGCTATTCGAACGATGGAATGCGATTTCGGTTTTGCAGAGTCGGCTGTCGGGCTCGAGACGAGCCACTCGCAGATCGGGTCTACCATTGTTCGTATTTCGGGACGTTACACGCGAAAGGAAAGAGAAGGCATGCCAGCGTACACTTGGCTCTGTACGACCACTTCTGTGGGTGGCTTCGCGTATGTGTTTGGCTGGAAACGGCCAAATCATACCTGCTCACCATCCTCTTCCTCCTTCTGGACGCGATAATCGTGGTCATAATTTCTTTCATCGCCATTTCGAGGACGGGTCGCTCGTCCACCGCGGTTCATGCTCCGGCGGTGACTAGGGCCGTCGCCGTCGTCATCTTCCTGGCGGGCAGCAACCTCTGGCTCAAGTTCCGAGATTTGGCTTTGCGGAATGTCACGATTCCGGAGAAGTCCCAACTGCGTCGGGTCAGGGAAGTGCGAGGAGGTTTCTGGTTCGCGCTTTTGCCCGACCGCCCCGAGCACGACCCCGACTTTGCGTTCTACACCGGTAACCCCTGGGATCTAGGCTGGCGTCGGGATCTCTCCCAAGCTTTTGGTGAGAGACTCTGGGATTGCTTGCTGCCGTGGACTCAGCCGCGTAGAGTCCTTCTGTCAGAATATATAAACTCTTTAAGCTGCACACTGGTAGCGCTTTTTATTTCTTACACCTTCGCTACGCCGACCATTGTCATTTTACCGACTTCGAAATGTCAGACGCCTTTTGGGAATGGGTTCGAGACAGGAGGGAGACCCGGTCCCGTACTGCTGGATCGGGATCTGCTGTTCCTGGAGAGCAGCGGGAGGCGGATGCAGCGGGCACATCGACACACGCTGGGACATCGATTGTTGCCCTCTCGCCTGCGTCGCCTTTGCGGTCTCTCTCTCCACCACGTCCGCCCACTTCAAATTCTCCACCACCCCGTACCCCACACGAAATCCCTCTCCCCTCATCTCCTAGTGAGCTCTGAGGGTGCTTCTTCACCTGTCAGAGTTCAGACGCCATAAAAACTCCTCTTCACTTCGGTGGAGGGGGACGGAGGACAAAGACGGATTCTGCACCTCCAAGCGGTGTCCTCCGGGACCTTCTGCTGTGCCATTGGGCAGTGCACACGCAGATGCCAAGCAGAAACGCATCACCATCATTGATCGACTTGCATCACCAATCGCCTGTCATCATCCACATTTCACCAAGTCGGACTCAAACTCCGCCGACTTCACATCACTTCACCAGCAACAACTCATCTTCGGCCACCAGGATACCCTCATCTGGGATATTCTCCTCTGGGATACCCTCCCTTTAGAACGTGTGTCATCTTTGAAATCAACACTGTTTTATTTCGGCCTCACCGAACATCGCTTGAGATACCTTTCACTTCTTGAGCATCGCGCTTCACACTTCTTTGTGCGCATCGAATCCAGCATCATCGAGAGACCCACTCAACCTCTCGAATCAACCAAAACTATCATAACTTTGCAGTCCAGTCCAGCTTGCGGCTCAACGCTCTTCACTAGAGCCTCTTCGCGCCTCGTTATACAATTTGGCGCCACCAATCTAACATTGCTTGAGAGAAACTTCGGTTCCTTGAGCTGTCAACTCAACCACATTCCATAAGTCCACCATTGCTTGAGATCTATCCACCACATCGACACCTCGAGCTTCGCGCATCATCTTCTCAGCGCACAATGTCCACCGTCTCAACCTGAGACTTTCGAGCCTGCGGTTCCTCATCACGCCGCTACCAGTCCATCATGTCTCCAGACCATTGACAACCGGTATGGAGACACCACCATGTTCCAATCATGGTGACATGACCAGACACCTTCTGGTCATGATGGTGCTAGACGTCATAACCTCGATGTCTGGCATTCAACCATTCCAACCGATTCCAGCCAAGTCAGTCACCGCAAACTCAGTGTCTGGCCTTTGCTCTCTCAAAGAATCAATTCGAGCCATACCAGTCACCACAACCTCGGTGTTCTAGCCTTCATCCAAACAAACCATTTCAAGCCACTTCAGTCACCATGACCTCGGTGTTCTGTTCTTCATCTTCCAAACAAACTAATACGAGCCACGCCAGTCACCAAAACCTCGGTGTCCTGGCCATCTATCTTTCAAACCAAATCATTTCGAGCCATTTCAGATGCCTCAACCTCGGTATCTGGCCGTCAGTCCTTCCAAACCACTTCACTCTTGCCGGTCAATGTACTATCGGTGTCTAGCTTTCCAGCCCATAGCTCTATTCTCAGTCGAGCTATTTCAGTCAGTCACTACACCCTCAGTGCTGACTTTCCAGCCCATTGGTTCTGATCCGTCTGAACCTCGTCAGATATTGCAATCTCGGTATCTGGCCTACCGGCTATCAGCCTTTCTCTCCAACTCAAGCCACGGTCACCCTAATCTCGGTGTTTGGCTACCAGCCCACAACTCTGCTATCACTTGAGCTACTTCAGTCAGCCGGTCTCCACAACCTTCGGTGCCGGCTTTTCAGCCCACGGCTCTCATCACTTCGAACCCAGTCGGATACTACGACCTCAGTATCTGACCCTTCAGCCCAACGCTCACATCATCTTGAGCAACCTGTTCAGACACCATGCACTTGGTCTTCAGCCCGCAACTCTCATGACTAAGCTTCAGCGAATCGCCACAACTTCGCGATTCAGCATCTCAATCACGATCTGCATAGCCCTTCTTCGTCGACCTACTTCAGTCCACAGCTCTAGTCTCCTTGGAGCCTCTTCAGTCACCCACAACCTAGTGTCTGATCTTTCAGCCCACGGCTCTCATCCATTTGAGTCCTGCATTCAGTCCACGACTCTGATCTCTCGAGCCAACCTCAGCCACCAAACCTCGGTGTCTTTTCAATCAGCTTACAACTCTGCCAAGTTGACTTTCTCCATTCAGCCCACGGCTTTCATCCAACGAGCCACTTTTGTTCACCAAGACTTCAGTGTCGTCTGACATCTCTCAATTCGAGATCATTCATCCAGCCCACGGCTCAGTTTACGTACGAGCCCCCAATCACTAAACTCCTGGTGTTTTCAAAACTCTCATCGCGAGTTTCTCCATTTAGCCCACGGCTCTCATCCAACGAGCCAATCTCTGTCACCGAATCTTGGTCTCTCTGGAGGCTCTCACAATTTGAGTCCTTCACCTCTGCCAACCTGGCGTTGCCGTCAGTGAATCCAAACCAGTCACTTTGGTCCACAGCTTCTGGCCTGGCACGATCGCCTGACTTACTCTTTGAGGCATGGCAAGCGCGAAAGGATCGAACTTCCCGAGAGACTCGATCGACTGCAATTCGTGAGTGTCCAGATCCTCCTCATGGTCCAGGGACTGCTAGAGTCCATTGCTCTGTGTTTTAAGGATCTCAGTTGACTTTATATAGATACTGTCTGACGGAAGCAAGACCTTCTCAGTGCTGTACTGTTGGGGATCAAATACTCTTCGACCGATGGACGGTGAAGCCATCCGGTCAGAGGTTTGACGAGTTCACAAACTCGAACTAAGTGCTCTTCATCAGCACCAGTCCCTATTCGATGCTGAACTTGCAGCGGACTTCCTGACAAAAGTCCAATCCCAAGTTGATGCGAGTTCCGGATCCTACCCCAACTCCAAGCCGGCGAGACACACACTGATGCTGCCTCGAAGACTTGCGCAAAATGGTGCAGAACATTTTGTGCTGATGCTGGAGTTGGGTGGCCATTCTCAAGTTGGAAAAGGTACATGTACACCTCATTCCCCTTTGCAAATCGGCTACGGCTCACCCGTCGTAGTGCCGTGCACATGAGAACAGTGCTTCAATGCCACACCACAGCATTTGAGTGGCAGGTAATCCTTGATTATGGCATTCAAACCGCCATATTTGTGTGAGCAATTTGTGCTGACTCGCAATGCAGGATCAGTGGTCTGCTGTGAGAAGCCAGTCAGCAATGCTGTTCTTGCTGTTCCATGATGGTTGATTTGGTAAGCTTTGTCGGTCGATCCTCGATCGTTTGTTTCAATTTCTCTTGAAATTGTGCACACTGATCATGCCATAGTCTTGGATGTCAAGAGACACCAAGCTCTCTGTTCGACGGCTGGTTCGACAAGCGAAGATCAAAAGGTTGTTGGATGACCACAATGTTTCATCAAGAACTGCAATCGGTGCAATGGCAAGTCCTCACCGTCCTCAATTTTCTGCACTTTGTACGTGAATAGTTCGGTCGGTAACGCAACCACAGCCTTGCTGCTGGGTCTGGCTTCATGAGATGGAAACTCGTTGGACCAAGTGCGAAGCGAAGGCAACCGGCAGCCTCGATGGCAAGAGCATTGACGGAATGGTTGAATCGGAGCAAACCGGTAAGTTCAGCATTTCTTTTCTGACAGCATGGACTTCACTGAATGTTTGAATAGATATTGAAGCCTGGTGCAAGTGGATGATATGAGAAGTTGTTTCCGGACGAGGCACTTCCAGGGCTGGAGACAAGCGACGAGAAGGATCGGGCGGCGAGAGACATGAGGTTCATCGCGTAAGAGAATGATTGTTCAATACGGCCCATGACAGATCTGCGAGATCAGGCTGCTGGATTGCAAGCCATGGAACTGCTCCCACGAACAGGCAGTGAATGCCTAGGGGGGATTGGATTCGCTCTAGAAGCGGCGAAAGGCACCGCCTACCAGGGGGAGGGGGGTCTTTATATGGGTCACGCAATGTAATCATGTTTTAACATCTAAACAAAATTTTAAAAATATAATATAATACTAGCGAAATGCTATCAAAATACTATTAAAACCAAAATATATTAAGCCTTAATTATTATATTAATATTAACTTTATATTAATATTAATAGCATATTAATATTAACTTTATATTAACTAACTTTCTATATTAAAAGCTTTAATTTAAACTTTATTAACTTTAAACTTAATTTTATTTTTAAATATTTCTATAATTCCATAAATCCTTTTATAATAAATAATTAAGCCAATAAAGAATAAATAAGTAGTTAAGTTAAGGACGAGGAAAAAAAAGTTTTTTTTTTTACCCCTATATTAAGAGTTAATATAATATCAAGGTTAACATAATATTAAGGTTAACATAATGTCACAATATATTAAGAATGTTTACATATCAGTAACGTATAAATAATGCAATATACATACAAAAAAAGCATATCAAAACCTTAATTGCATATCACTATTATATCGCTATTCCATTAACATCATGGTGTGATGTTAACAAAAACCCCCCCTCCCCCTGGTAGGCGTGCATGGCAGGAAAGATAAGCCTACCATTTCCGGAGAATCAATACCGCATTGCCCTAAGTTGCGCTTTGCTTCAACCACTCGAACAGCTCAGCCCCACATGAAGTGATATGAATCTATCGAACCAATAGATCTTTACATCAGCGACCACTCAGATGGCTTGGGAGAATAGACTGGTCTTTAATTAAATGGTACGGAGCCCATGGCCGCCTTAAAGGCAACTTCCAGTAACTGCGTGTCTGAGACAAACCATGGAAAGTTCACAATCTGATGCTGATAGAGTTCACTGGAACCTGTTAGGTCAGGGGTGAGTAAGAGTACATATGTAAAGCTGGCACGAATATGACATATGGGCTCATAGGTCCGGACACATCTAGGTATTGATGATACAACCATTACGAGGCTTGATGGGGACCTTGAATGGTCTCAGGATCACTTGGGCATGAATATGATACCTGCCCCAGCGTGGGTCCCCGTCGTCGGTTTCATCATCCCATTAAGTCATTCCAGACCCTCGAGGGTGAACTTGCTTACCCTTTCGCAGTATCAGCACAGGGGTCAATATACTCTGCAGTGGTGGCGATCCGGCCAGTTACTTGTGACAAGGACGTGATAGTATCCAAAGAATGCCAGCTGTGGATGACATAGTCTTCTCGTGTTCCAAACACGTTCTCTGTTTTCTTTTCGGTGTGTGAACTCATACCAACCTTGACACTACACTGGATATCGCGGGACTTGGGGCACAGGTCACGAACCGTGGCAGCATCTCAGGTCCGGATTCCAGGGTTTGAGCAGTTGGATTCAGATTCGGTTGATTTCACACTATCAAAGTGTACGGACAAGTAATGTTTCAACGAACGCAAAAGTGAAGACTGTCATATCACCCTACACAATGGGGCAGGGAGGATGGTTGAAAGTGCAGAGTCAATTCGACGGATTTACATCGCCAGCCTCATTCAAGACCCTCTAGCTGGGCCTTAATCCGCAGAGCAAGAAGCTTCGAGTAATACCTGCATATGGCCAGGTTGCCGCCGTGGAACCAGAAACCCGGGTGGCCAGAGTCCCTCCACAAGGCGCGGAACTCGCCGCTGTCATCGAAGCCCCAGATGTCCCGCAGCCTCTCACCGACCTTTTCCCCAAAGATGCCGGTCGCTTGCGTGCGCATGTTCTGGTAGCCTGTTGCGAAGATGATCTCGTCCGCCTCCAGCTCAGTTCCGTCTGCAAACCTCAGCCCGTTTGGAAGCACCTCGGTGATCTCCTGGCCCTGCTTCACCTTTATCTTGCCGTCGATGATCAGCTGCGATGCTCCGACGTCGATGTAGTAACCGCCACCGCGTTGGAAGTACTTGATGTAGAGGCCGCAGTCATCAGGTCCCTTGTCCGTCTTGAAGCCCGCCTTGGCAAGGCCCTCGAGAGTGGCCTTGTCTTTTTCCTGATGGAACTTGGTGACTTCAAGATGTGTTGCCTTTGTCACTTCAGCGGGTGTGCCCCAGGACATCAGGTCAGCGTCCTCGGTCGGCGGGCCGCCCTCTTCGTAGACGACAGCCAAACTGATTTTGCAGATGGACTCGCTTGAGACGACGCAGGTTGATGACCTCTGGACCATTGTCACATCGTACCCATTCTCATAATAGTCCTGGCAAATATCGTGGCTCGAGTTGCAGGCCCCGACGACGATTGCCTTCTTTCCCTTGCTGTTGGGCTTTGCGCCTGGGAACTCGGATGAGTGACAGATGATGTCGCCCTTGAAAGAGTCCCAGCCTTTGATTTCCGGGATGTTAGCCTTGCCGGAATGCCCTGTTGATTGGATGATATGCTTTGGGTGAAGAGTTCGCGCTTCGGTCGACCCGTCTGGCAGTGTCCTCCCGACTGTGACAGTCCACCGCTTTTGAGACTCGTCCCATGAGCCAGACTCTACTGTTGTCTTGGTCCAAACGTTCAACTCCAACAACTTTGCGTAGGCTTCAAAGAAGTCGGCCAGCTTGTCCTTGGGCGTGAAAATAGGCCACCACTCAGGGAATGGGATATATGGAAGGTGATCAATCCAGACCGGGTCGTGAAGAACAAGCTGGTGATATCGTTTTCGCCAGTTGTCGCCAACATTATCATTGAAGTCAACAATAAGTGTCGGCACATTCAGCATTTTTAGTCTGGCATGCGCAGACAAGCCACCTTGACCAGCCCCTAGTTGAGGTATGTTAGCGGGTGGTCTTGCTAAATTCATATAACAAACCAAATTACAGAACTGGGAGTCCATACCGATGATCAGAACGTCCGGATCTTTGTCCACAAAGCTGGACTCTTCATTCCTTCTATCCAGCCAGTTCTTCCGACCCCTGTGGTAGCCATGTTGCGCGCCGGTTGGCCGTCGCTGACCGGTCGGTTCCTCAAAGCCCTTAAGCTCCCCCAGGGACGTGAAGAAGGTCCAGATCTTCCAAGACCCTTTGCCATCCTGAGCTAGGCGAACGAGACCACGGCCAGAACCCAGCTTCGTAGTGAAGGTGATGAAGAACACGATACCCTGGGACGTCTGCTCGGGGTTCATGGGCGCCAGCTTGGGCGTACGCCACTGTGATGAGGTGTCCACAGAGACCTTAAGGAGATTGGAGTTGTCCTGCAGGAACTCAACGATACTCTCCTTGCCCTTGAGAGTCCTCAGGTCCCACGACAAGGCAAGGTGGTCTCGCCAGTAGCACTCGCCGTCGCTAAACAGCGACGCCACACCTTCGGCGGCCTCCCTCGAATGGGCCTTGCCGAGATACGAGTTGAGTTTCAAGACGATTTCCTTGGCAGTTCCATAGGCATCCACTGGCCCGTCCGTGGCTCTCTTGGGCCATTGTGCGACCTTGAGGTTGATGGACCCAGGCTCGCAACGCTGGCTAGAGGGCGGAGGGACGGCGGACTGTGTCAACACGCTGGGACTCATTTTGCGTTATTGGACGAGATGAGTGGCGAAGGGAGGGCTAGTGATTGTGTGAAGTGAAGACGCTTGAGGATGATGAGGCTCCTACGGTGCCTCTCGAACGTAGCTCTTCGTCATGGGCTTGGGTTAAATAGTCGCGGATAGTCAGCCGTCGGAGGACGTCTCCAGCAGGTTGACAGATACCCGTCATCGTCGGTGGCACAGACTAGCCTCGAATCCCCACACTCTCCCCACGTCGTACGCATCCCAGATCAATTTATTAGGGTTACCCGAAATCCGGGGGAGGGGTAACTTTCCCCATATCTACGGTGCCGGTAACTTTTCCCCTTGTCTCAAGCTCGACGGATATCTGCAACCCCACGCCGATGAATCAAGACGCCAGACATGAAGCTGAATGTGGTTGAGCCGCTCGCCCGGCGATGGCTTCTGCCAAGATATGAGGCAGATTGCCATTGGCAATCCGGTTTGAAAGCTGCACTGTGGACCCGCGGTGCTCGGGGTGTGGAGTTGAAGCTGAAGCTATCCCCGCACTTGTGGCTCTCTCTGCGTCTCGTTACCGGGATGCCTCTTCTGGTGGACCGAGCGACAACTGTACAGTGTGCAACGCCATATCAGGCAATGTGGATTCCTAAGCACACGGGAAGCCTCACGTGAAAGTAAGCGTGAGATAGGAATGACCTCAGTGTCAAAAAGCAAGAAAATAAGAAGCAACCCATTCCCAGCTTGGAGAACAAAGGAGATGCCAAAGCACCCTCCTTGTTGGTGGACTGGTATTGGCATTCAAGGCTTGACAATAAATTCCAGGACCCTGGCACGCAATTGCTGAGCGTTTCTAAAACCTAACAAGTGAGAGGCCTAGAAAGCAGCTTACACAGACCACCGCGTGTTCCAAGACGCGCTTTCACCAGACAATGATGAGAAATACAGTACATGTTGACTGCACTGTGCCTAGGGGCGTGCAGATTAAGATACGAAGGTTGGGAGAAAGAGAACTTGAATAACCGTCTCAAAAATAACAAATTTCAATTAGGGCGAGAGAATTAACGACGGTCGATAACAGTAATGAGGCTTTGCTACAAAATATGGAAGTGAGCTTGGTGTGCATCCATCTATGTACGCATGATGCAAGACTGAGCGCTGGGGTTTAGATTGCGGCTGAGAGGTGGCTTCGGAGCTGCCCTGAGCTTGGAACTAATGGATTTCAAATGCCTGCGATGCAGAAGATTGAAGTGATGAGTACGTGAGAATGTGAGCCACCGGAAAATGAGAAACTCATCGGGAAGAAGAGCAATACTTGTTGAAAATGGGGATCACTTCGAGGTGAAAACGGGTTTTCTTGAATCATGAAAATGCCGTGCCAAGACTAATGGCGACCGACGTGGTACCGATAACACATGATAAGACAAGGTCTTATCGGTCAACCCAGCCAGCACGGCCAACCAGCCACCCCTATGATTATGTAATCGTGCCGCCTGCGGATGACTACTAGTGCAATTCGTCTTTGCTCTTTCCACCTCTTCTGCCTCCATCACCGGCGTCGTCACCGAACCCAGCCCATCGACATCGCGCTTCATCTCATCCAGGCCGGCTCGAAGTAGTTCCAAGGTATCTGCTCTCACAGCAGGTAACCGTGCACTGCCTGCCTACGGCCCACGACACTCCCGGCGACCAGTGTCCCGCGGCCAGCACCGACCTTTGACAGGCTTCTACCCGTCGCTCCACGGACGGCGAAAGACCCTGGGTGCTGGTGCTTCTTGCAGCACTGGAGCTCGTCATATAGTGTGTGTCGTGGCTAGGCTGGGCGTGCAGGGATGAAATCGACCGACGCCTCCGTTCCATCACCGCTTGGTCAATCAACAAACCAAGGCGGCTCCCATCACCAGCTCAGTACCATCGCGAGAACAGGCTGGGCGGGCGGGACCACCTTGAAGGGCGCATCCGGGGCCAAACCCGGTACTGGGTGAGCATTGCGTGAAGAACTTGTTTGAACTGACCCTCAATAGCACGAAACGGTCGCCATGGTGGCCGGGACTGCGGAATGCTCCTCCCCCATTGATCCGACGACCTCGCCTTCCCCTCGATCCGTAAGCTCAGGCACCACGACGAATCCCAATACGCCCAGGCCAAATCCAGAACCAGATATTGAATATGACGAACACGAAGCGCACACTCCTCGGCCGACAGGTCCTGACCAGTCCCCAATAAGGCACGCAAAAGTCGAGAATACACCTGCTGGTACTCACGCATCCCCATCTTCATCACCGTCTCCTAAAAGTACCAGCTCTGGTGCGCCATCTCTCGGGCACATCGAACCAACGTGGCCCAAGAAGATCGACCTGGCCAAGATCGCTGCTCTCGCGTCATGGGACAGAGACCAGAGCCTGCCCGGCCTGCTCTTCGACATACACTGGGTGCCTTCATCCAACAAAGCCTTCTTCGAACTACGCGCCTCGGTCCAACTCAAGCATGCCCCGGGTCTTCGCCGTGACGGCAGGACCAACATCTTCATTCACATCTACCCGGAACGCATTCACCAGCTCTCTTTCGAAGCAGACCCCGCCGACAAGATGTTGGGTCATGACACCATAGCACTGGTCTTCACCCTGTCCAGGCCGCCGGCTCTGGTGCTGCCACCCACGCAATGCGAACCCAAAAACAAAGCATCCGGGAACATACTCACGTCTCTGTTCCACTTGGCCAAACAAACATCCTGGACCGTGTATGCTGCCGTTCCTCCACGGAGTTTGTCTGCTGCGCGAATACAGAAGCTCTGCGCAGCCGTCTCAGAACCGTCAGCCGGTAGTATCGCTGCGTTCACCAGTGCGGCGACTCTTTACCAGGGCCAAGGGGGCAAGATAATTGAGGGAGACACTCTGGCATCTAGCACTGCCGGCAGCAGCGATCCTGCTGGTCATGAAGTGCACGACGATCCTCCAAAATACGAAGAGTCTGGCTCTGCCCCTGTCTACCCAGGCCTCGACAAAGGCAAAAAGCGTCTTCGTCGCAGCAGCAGTCCTTCGACAATCCACGAGCAGAAGCTTCAAGAGCCGGCCGGCATCGAAGCTCTCCTTAATTCTCGCCTGTCGGCCCTTGAGCAACGTTTTGACGACGCGCTTGCCGCTCACAAAAAGGAGATGGTGGAACTCGTTGGACAGGCCGAGGCACGCATAATGGACACGCTTCGCAAAGAAATAGGCGAGCAGTCCTCTGAATTAGAAGACTCGCTAGACAAAAGAGTCAAGGATGAGATGGCTGAGCTGGAGGAGACCGTGATGCGGAACATTAGCGAGGCGCCTTTGCAGGCCACTCTGACCTTCCCGCAACATCCTTGGTATTGAATGGGAGTAGAGGGCGACGATCTCTGCACACTACCTTGTACTTATCATGCAGTACATTTTTGAATATCATTGCCGCTGTCACAGTCAGCAGGAAATGGCATGTGGTTCTACTTGAGAATACATCACATTTCGCTAATAACAACAAGATGAACCCCATTGCATGTGACCGGAACCCGGCGCGTTCCTCGGGCGGCAGCTGCCGGAACGGGACCTGAAGGCGTCGTTGATAAGCGACGAGCTAATCGGCAAGGGGCTCCGTTGTCCGGGTGCCTCCCGTTCTTTCAGAGAGGGGTCACCCCAGGCCTTTCCAACCAAGCCACGTACCAATTTTAAAGCGTCAAACAAAGGGAAGACAAGTCGAACCGAAAACCTGGGCCGAGTAGGCATAGCGCGACGAGATGGCTGAAGGTGCAGCCCGGCTCTGGATTGCGGGGAAGTATCAAGCTGGGAAGGGTGAGCTGTGAGTGTGAGGCGGGCAGTCGATTGGTGCCGTGTCTGAGCATCAAAAACATCAACGTGATGCGGTACTAATACTTCATTCAGCATTCCAGTCGAGGATCCCGCCACTGGAGAAGTCTTCGCCCACTGTCACTCCGCCTCCGGTGAAGATGTCGAGAACACAGTGCAGCTCGCCCACCGGGCCTTCAAGTCGGGCGTCTGGTCCCGCCTCCCGAGACACCTACGCGCCGATGTCCTCGAGAAGGCAGCGATCCTGCTCACTGATAACCTGCCGGTCCTCATCGCGTTGGAAGTCCAGCAGAGCGGCCGCGCGATCCGGGAGATGAACGCCCAGGTGCCCTCACTCGTACGTTGGTTCAAGTACTACGCGGCTCTCCTCAGGACAGAGGAGCGGTCCGTGCTGCCGACGCAGGGCAAGCTGCACAACTGGGTCGACAGGGTGCCGCTGGGTGTCGTCGTGCAGATCACCCCCTTCAACCACCCCTTGCTCATCGCGGTCAAGAAGATCGCGCCCGCGCTCGCCGCCGGTAACTCGGTCATCGTGAAGCCGAGCGAGCTCACCCCGCTCACGACGCTGCGGCTTGGCGAACTCCTGGCCAAGGCTGGTGTTCCTGAGGGAGTTTTCAGCGTGTTACCGGGCTATGGCGCAACTACTGGAGCTGCGCTGTGCGGTCACCCGCTCGTAAGGAAGGTGGACGTCACGGGAGGAACAGCAGCGGGCCGTGCCATCGGGAGCATCGTTGGCCGCAACCTGGCAAAGTTCACTGCCGAGCTCGGTGGGAAGGCGCCGCTGGTGGTTTTCAAAAACGCCCACGTCGACCTGGCGGTCAACGGCATCGCCTTCGGGGCCTTCGTGGCCAGCGGACAGACCTGCGTGGCTGCAACCAGGATCCTCGTCGAGAACTCGATTCTGGACACGGTCCTGGAGAAGCTTGCCGCAAAGGCGGATACCATCGCCAAGGGGATGGGCTCGCCGACTAACCCCGACTCGACGATGGGCCCATTGATCTCGGAGAAGCAGCTGAACAACGTCGAGGCGCTTGTCCACGACGCCATCAGCAGTGGGCATGCAACTCCAGCTTTTGGAGGCGTGAGACTACGAGGAACGAGCCGGCTGGATGATACGGATTTTGCGAAAGCATATTTCTTCGCCCCCACGGTCTTGACATCCAGCAGCGGGAGCAGCATCCTTAAGACCCGCATCTGGAAGGAAGAGGCTTTCGGTCCCGTGGTGGTAGTGGTGGGCTTCGACACCGAGAGCGAGGCTGTATCGCTGGCAAACGACAGCGAGTTCGGACTCGGAGCGGCAATCTGGACTAAGGATCTGTCACAGGCATACCGAGTGTCTGAGCAGATCGACGCTGGCATCGTGTGGGTGAACACGCACCATCGCAATGATCCAAGCAGCCCGTGGGGAGGAGCCAAGAGTGCGAGTGGCGTCGGGAGTGAGAATGGGGTGGATGCATATCACGCGTACACGACTATGAAGAGCACCATCATCAACTACGCGACACCGGAAGAAAGCTTGGCCACCGATGATTGGTTCAGGGAAAATGGCGGTAATGTTCGTTATGGTTGAGAAGCTTTCCAAGAGAACCACTTTGAATGGATATATTCACGAAAAACTCAATGTCACACGGCTGGGCGTGACCGTGATTTTCCAATGGCCTTGAACTGTTTACAGAGGCACCCATTTCCTCAAGTAACCTCGTCAGGTTTGTATATCTCTGACGCGAACTGGTGGACTGTGTTGAAGTCCTTCGGAACAGGTCAAGCACGACAGCCCTGTCGCACCGTTGCGACTCAACATCTGCAGCTTCAATGACAGGAGTGAAGCTGTCGATTCTGATAGGCTGAAACTATGAACAGACTCAAGTTTGTCGACCGAGCGCAAACTGTTCTAAATTGATATAAAGGTTAACTGTAAGGTGCTGTTAACAGTTCTTGGTTAACCGGATGGCTTCTGCTTTAGATTTGATCCACATCCCTAAGGACGAAGATGAACGTCTTGGGCCTTGGGCGATCAATAATCCTTTCTTGCACCCCGAGTTTCAGTTGTACCTGTCTCCGCGAATAGAATTCATCGTCGACGGCTTGGCTGTTTTTCCGGGGACCGGACGCAACGTCGAAACCACGCCAGCGGCATCCGCGTTGACTCCGCATCCCGATCTCAATAATCACTTCCTAGAGCGGTCAAGAAAGAGAAAGATGCCTCGCAAAACCGAAATACAACCAGCTCCCAAGCAGACCAACGGCCCGCCTTCTTCGGTGCAAGCGATGACGACAGGCCATATTAGTGACAGCATCAGCTTGGGGGCTGTAACTAGGATCATACCACCACTAGAAGGCGAGGTCAACCTGCAACACTGGAAGGCGATGATCACCAAGGCCTTGGACCTTCTTCAGCTTAAGAAGTACATAGAGTCACCGATACCATGCCCATCCAATGGCGAGGACGTCGAGCGATGGCGTTCTGAACGAGGCATCGTCGCACTTATCATCGAGTCCTCATTTTCTCGTGTCCGGGACAGGCTCACAGATAACGGCCTTCCCATAAACGAGGCTGATCCATACGTCATGTTCCGACAGACCTGCGCAATCTTCGACAAATACGGCAGCTTCGACGGCGCAAGGCTTTACAAGCGGTTGATGAACATCCGGCGGCCAGATTACGAGAACATGAAGTTTTATTTCCTGGAGATCCGGCGCCTGCGAAGCCGCATGATCGAGATTGGGCAGTGCGATGACGTATTTATCCTGGAGCAGGTATTCAACCACCTCCAGCATTTCTGCCCGGCCGACGTGCTCGGCAGGCTGCAGCGCAAGTTTGAGAAGGGGGACCTGACGTTCGATGACATGACGGAGGCTATGTTGGAATGGGAAAAGGGCAACGTTGTCATCAAGCCAGCGCCTGCGCCTGCGCCAATACTTGCGCCCACGCCCAACTCTCGGAGGGGCAGCATGGTGGAGCCAGTGCGGAATTCATGGGCCAGCAGTTCAATGGGGACGCAGATGCGAAGGGAGTAATAGAGGATACCAGGGTCTTTTGAGGCTTGCCACTGCAGTCTTTGTCCCCTGGGAGTGTGCATAATACCGGGTCAGAGGGGCGAATAAGAATATCCCAGGAATGCCTGGAGCGGACGATATGAGTTTCTCTCACATTGTATACATTTGTCTTCATTGCCTCGAAAATACGCTAGATATTGCAATGATGGGGAAAAGAGGGAGGATTCACGTATTATGCGGGACTGTATGATAATACCATGACCAAGTTCTACAGCTTTCCCAGATCACAACCCTGTTTAGATGGTGAGGATGGGATACGATTACCAACATGTTGCTGTAGAGCTTTCGTAGTATTGGTAGCAGCTCTTGGGCGGCTCGCAGGTGAGATTGATGATGGTTGTCGAGCTGATGAACTGGAGTGCGCATCTTTCTTACTCTGTCGGTATGGCAGACTGGTGGACATTCTGACTTCACAACTGGCAATGCTTCTGAAATCAAATCTTTTGAAGCGAAATTGTTGAATTTTAGCCAAAGTGATGTGTAGAGCTGAAAGAGTCAGAGAACCAGATGAGAATCATGATGGATTCTGGACGCTGATGAATGTCAGGGAACTTAGCTTCCCCTTATGGTTCAATCACTAGGCCAACCAATGCAGTCTCTGACCCGTCCAACCGAGCTCGTAAGAGCCTATCAGGCAGAAGTGCTGAGCATTGGGGGCGACATTGCAGAGCCCCATCTTCGTGACCTGTGCCAATCGTGGACGACAAAGCCTCCTATAGTCATAGGCCTGCGGTCGAGTTGGCGGGTGGCATCCCTCACTTGGGGCCCGCTTGCAGGTAGCTTGGTGGCGCATACCTGGGAAGGTTACCAGCTCGAGCTGAGCCAAGACAGCATGATCCCTCTGACCAGACTCGAAAGGCGGCCCGAGTCTTGGGAAAAGCACCCCGCCATTCCTACACTTAGCCGACTGTTAGTTCTCGAACTTTAGGCGCAGCAGTTCCTAGAGCGAAGACGATACTTCCAGCTGCAGGGCTGCGCTGGCTAGACATTAATGCAGAGTAACAGCCAGAGGTTTGACCGAGTCTAATAGTTGACCACAATGATAAGGTTTAAATAGCGACTTTCTAATCTACGGCTATACAGTGGTATTCTGTTAGGAGCCATCGTTTCGCACTGTCAGTCTTGGTCTTGGGCCACGCCCATTTGTGTCAGTGCTGTCAATGAGCTGCATTATCAATATTCAAATAGTGTATTTGAAGACGCAATTCATAAGAGCCTTTTTCAGTTGTTATTCTATACTATAGTGCCTCAAGGTAAATGATAATAAGCTTATTTATTTTAATGTTCTTATTTCATTTTCAGATAGCTATATAAATAACTTTAATACTAATCCTATAATAATGCCTTAAATGTTTATAATCTAGGCTAGACACCAGAACTAGGAGTTGTATTAATTATAGGTTCCTAAATCTGTGTTATAGGTGGTGGGCGTGGAGCTCTGTGACTTCTTTCTGGGGTGGAATGATGGAATGCTCTTGAAGCTGTGTTTAGAATATTAGTTGTTCCATCTGCGGAAAAAGCGAATGCTTATTCCGTCAGCGGATTAAGCCTTATATCCTTTAACACACCCCCTAGTTCGCAAGGTGGTACCCACCAAGTAAAGTATATGCCAAAGTAGCCCTTATAAACATAAGATGTTTTGCCTAAGTTATATACCTTAAATATACTCATATAAGGTGTATATTTATATAATAAATAGTTTTTAAACTTATAAGCTTTTTAGCCTTTAAATTTAAAATCTTTATAAACATAAGTATAAGGAACTTAATTTAAAGCGCCTTTTTTAGCATAGTTTAAGGGAGTTTAGCAATTAATCGCGCTATATAAATAAACCAAGGGCTTATAACTGTGGAAAAAGCGAACGCTTAATCCGTTAGCGGATCAAGCCTTATATCCTTCAACATCATCACAGTTGTATCCATATTGCGATATTTGACCTGGAATGGGTGGAGAGTGAGCAACATTCGTCTTTCAGACGCCACGCGCAGACTGTAGATGTCCGGTGACCATTCTCGGGCTCGAACTTAGCGATCCCGTGTTCGGGCTCTCACTACCACTGCCATCACCAACCAAGTCCTGATTCGTGTACTTCATGAATTACAAGATAATGAATCCCTAGGGTACCGTCTCCACTGTGCATACTACTGCGGAATTTCGCAAATATCAAAGTCCGTGAATCCGACCCCTCGGGCTCCGAAGTACTGGTCACTGTGGTGGGTCATGGGGCAGCCGATGCTCCACTATACGTGCAGGCATCGACGTATATAGGTCCACTAGCTATCCCCGCTCCGGGCACCAGCATGTATATATGAGCACCAACCTTGCCCGATCACTCCGTACTTTGCTCGCTTACTATTGTCCTTGTTCCACTTTCAGCTTCGGCGCCTCAGTTGTCAACATGGAATATAACGCCAGAGAGGAGATAGAACCGTTAGGTGTTTTATCGTATGTTTATGTCCCTCTTATTGAACACAGTGAAACCCTCGTCCTTTGGAATTTGTAATTAACGAGATATTCACGCAGCACCGACTTTGAAGAGGTTAATACCTAAACCCTATGTTACGCTATGAGTCTACTGACAGCGGGATAAGCATATGAAAGCACACCCCTCTCCTCCTCTCGCGCCTCCAAGTGCCGAAGTTCGATCCGCCATGGAAGCCCAGCGAATCGCAACGCAGCAGCCAGACACGAGCACTGAGTACTCCATCAAGATCGCCATGCGGGATGGTTTCCTATCTGAGGCTCGCATCCATAGACCCTCTGGTGAAGGGAAGCATCCGCTTCTTGTCTTGCTCTTTGGTGGCGGTTTCATGTTCGGGGACTGCGACCAGCTGAGCCCCTACGCCCGGCTAGCTACGAGGCTTCTAAACGTTACCGTGATCAACTTGTCTTACCGCCTCGCCCCAGAGCACAAATTTCCCACAGCACCACACGACGTTTGGGATGGCATTCTTTGGATCACACGGAACGCAGAGCATCTCCAGGTGGACCTTGCAGCTGGATTTGTGATTGGAGGCCTCTCGGCTGGAGGAAATTTGGCCGCGGTCACGACGCAGAAATCTCTCGATGAAAGGCTCAGCCCCGCTGTGACTGGACTGTGGCTTGGCGTTCCGTGGGTCCTCGAGTCGGAGATCGTACCCGAAAAGTACAAACAAGTCTATTTTTCGAGGACGCAATGTTCTGGTGCCCCGGGACTGGATCAGCAGGCTATGGATATGTTTATTTCCGCCTACGACGCGGATGTCAAGTCGCCGGACTTTTCTCCCTTCAACTCGACGAACCCACACAAGGGAATGCCGCAAACATTTGTCCAGGTGTGCGGTGCGGATCCTCTTAGAGATGATGGTCTTATCTACGAGCGGGCACTGAGGGAGGAGGGGGTAGAGACCAGGTTGTTAGTATACCCCAATATCCCTCATCTCTTATCCGATTTCTTTCAGCTGGAAGCATTTCAAAACTTCCATTTCGATATCTTGAACAGCTGGGCGAGCCTCTTCAAGAAGCACGTGGCAGCGGAGGATATCAAACAGGCGCTAGCTGACAGTCCATTTACACCATGTACTTAAACGGCTGAAAGATTTAAGATAGATAGTATAAATAGCAAAGGGTTGTTAGGGTTGAGGTAGACACTATTGAGACGAGTAATATAAGTAAGAGGTGCGAATTAACTACTTATAGGAGTCAACCCAGCCTCATTTCAGGTTTTGCAATACAATACCTGGGGACATATTTGGCTTGAATGAGCGCATACAATATATGTAATGTTATCACTAGTCCTCTTGAAGTCAGCAATATATGGGTAGATAGGTTAGATATAGAACCATTTAAAAGCGGGAATGTAACAGAAGAAGATAAGTCGTGCGAGCCTAATATATGTCCTTATTCCCAATGTTTAATATGTACAACGGTTCCAAATTGTCTGGTTCTGAAGATATGGGATGCTGTCACACAAAGTCCTGAGTGTTCATAGTTAGCCAGGCTGACCTCTGTTGTGAGGTCATCCGCTATCTATAGGAACTGCACCCTGCGCTGCTATGGGCTCCACTGTATCACGTACGCTAGCAGGGACTTGATATTGGCCTGCTGCTGCTGGGACGAGGCAGACACGGTCTTTGCAAGAGTGGTCATGGAGACAGCTAGGGACGATCCCTCACGCGCCTAACGAGTATACTCCGCTGCAGCCTGTACAACCGACGCCGCAGGTTTAGCACGGGTATGCAGCAAACGATGGTGATGCGGCTGCCAACTCAACAGCAGACCGCTGATAGCTGCGCTCAGGACAACCAATTAGCCGGCATCGACACCTCTATTTTGGCAGTGCGCGGCGCATCTGGGGCTACTCGAGATCTCGATATACTATTATCCTCCCTATAATCAGTATCTTTACATCGTATTAAGTGTCTCGCGGGAACTTTGGTACAAAGTATTGCGGTGATACCAACTTCACTCCAAGTGGCGCCATGTGCTCGTTTTCGATGTACTCGTATTCCAGTATCCTGCTACACATCAACGGATTTCGAACTACTTCATGACTTTCCTTCGTTCAAATAGCAGATCGAAGTAGCCTGCTTCCTGACCAATCTCAACTGTTGACTCCCGGTGAACCTGGAGCCAAGCAACGCCAGCTCGTGTGTAGATGTTCTTTTCTCGGTGCTGGCAGCGTAAAAGCAAATACGCTCGTTTTCCCGTTCGCTTGCCCATCGCGACCTCACGCAGACACAGCTCTTTTTCTGGGTGAGATATTTGATACCCGGTGTCATCGCAGTCCTAAAAGAAACATGTGATCACCTCCCAGTTTGGGAACATATTTCACCCACTCTCCGTCCTCCAAATGCCAGAAGTCCACACTCCACTCATTTGTTCGCTCTATGCGACATGGCACCGTCCAACCGCGCACTATCAGAACACTACTCTTAAGAGCACCAAACCCCGGGCTTTGCAGGTATGTGCACTGTGCCTCCACAATCTGAATTACTGCAGTGTCGAAGTAGTTCTTGACGAATTCGTAGCTCGTCTGGCTTGGTAATGATGCCCATGACCACGTAGGCACGGAATACGGTCTGTTCAGAACCAATTTTCGTGGCACCAAGGGCAGGGAGTCTGTCATGTCCAAACCCAAGATTGAGAGGGGCGTAGCTGGTCGCCACCACATCCCGCCAGCCCTGGTCGATGGTTTCTATCCTGTCGAATGGCGGCGCTCCATCTTTCACAGCCTGCAGCCTTGCTGGATCCCACTTTTGATTGCGTTCTGGACGAAATTTGTGGAGTGTCGTGGCACCACATTCGCACCTAGCGTCCTGGAAACACTGATATATGATCTCGCTCTCAGTGAAGAAAAGCACTCGTGTTGAGACCATGCGCTCTTGCAAACACCATGCTGTCTGCAAGAGAGGATATCGGTTGCGGTGCGATGGAAGTATGGCATTGCCATTGACCTTGTCATCAAGCGTGTGTCACGGCTGAATGTACAGCGGAAAAGTCGAAGTTGCCACTCCTGCGTTCGTATCATTCAGGACCTGATCAAACTGAATGTATGCTATTGGAATTGCTTCGCTCCTATTTGAGCCGGTTCGAAGACCTGCTCGGCTGTCACGGCCTGACAACGCCGCCAGAGTGGCGTAAGAGTTCTTGTACACATCGAACATCTTCATCGACTCTTTCATCCAGTCATCCTTGGCCAGTTGGCTGGCCTGGCCTGGTTCGTTTTGGATAATACACATACTGTCGATCCACAAGTAACGGATACCAAGTTTGCGTGCAAAACGGACTGCGTCTTGGAATGTTGCCGGTAGGTCGGCCCATCGGATTCGCTCCATTTGACCTTTCAAATTGGAAGGTGTTGTCATGCACATGGGATGATGGCCTCCCCAGCAATAGCTCAGAGCAATGTATCGCGTGTCTGAAGTGTCGGAAAAGTTGTCATCGAGCCTCACGTCGAGACCAGTGTCAAATGCGTCCAGGCATACCATTCGCGTAGGCAGAAATGCATCGTCCATATCTGAACCATAACGCTCATGGGACCTCAAACAGTCTTTTAGGCAGGTTTCCGTGAACTTGATTGAGTCGGTGAACAATGAATTGACGTCTGTCCAATGGCATCTCGGTATATCGTATGGGTTGAAGGAGAGCGTTCCCCGGTTGTCGGTGGGTGAGAACAGACGCCACCATGAACCTGAATCCGTGGCTACCAGTGGACCGGGTTCTGTGCTCATGAACCCGAGGTGAAAACAGTCAGTTTCAATCCCAACGTTATGAATACCCAACTTTTTCATAGCCAAATACACAACTTGGCAGTAGGCGAATTCCGGTATATTAGCCGCGCGAGGTTCACTACTACTGTAACGGTCGCGGCCCCGGAAGTACCGCCAAGGTTCTCTAGCAGCACCGTGACAGCATCTTTTCTGAGGAGAACATGATATCACAGCCCCGTTGGCGTCGAATTTATGAGGAAGCCGAATGGTAGGAATTGACAGTTGCGAGCCCGTCACGTCGTCCGGCGTCGGGTTGATTGATGCATTCGCCGGCGCCGTCATCGTGTCGGGATGAGGAATGGGTTACGAGGAGCTCTCGAGCGCTCAAATTTTGGTTCCGAACAGGTACAAGAGAATGGAAGTTACGGGTGGTAAAGCGTAATGGAGTTTCGAAAAGGAGGGGGGGCCAAGGAAGGTGGCACAGCACAGCAGGTAAACGTCTTGGGGCCCATCCGGGGTCACAGGCGGACGGTGGAGGAATCTGGTCTATCGGTGCCTCTGAAGCTGCTGTCACGAGAAAATTAGGCCCAGTTCCGTGCCGAATTGAGGAGATAAACGGGCCCAGGAGAGCTCTTCTGAAGATGTCACAACGTGTTCCACACAATCAGCTATCACGAGTCAAAACGAGGCAACAGAACACACTCATTTGCTGAGGATCTCATGTTTGTGAAAAGCTTCTGCTTGCATTTAAGGACAGTGTATTTAAAAATCAGATTTTGATCATCAAAAAGAGAATGCAGGCGCACTTGCGACGAGCGCGTAGCTATCCCGGACAGTTCCATGTAGAGACGACGCTGCTGAATTTTGCGCCTGTGGTCTTTGTCCTCCTCTATTTTTGATGGATTCATGATTATCCAAAGTTGGAACTCGCGGACTATTCACCTGCCTCCATTGTATAAGAATAATTACCTTACCTTACCTTTTCAAAGAAAGATATGTGTGTGCCGTGGTCTTTGTGTAAGAATTTCTGCGTCATTAATGTGTTCCTAAAATAGACTAAAAGAGTCTTGGTTTGAACAAACCAGATTATTGTCATTGAGCGATCGGCGAGCACCGCTTAGGGAATACAAATAAGAACCATGATAAGTCCAAAGGCGATGAATCTTGGCTAGTCAAGAAAAACAATATCATTGACCAACAACACAACGTCTGCCTGAACAAACGTGAAATATTCGTAAAAAACCTTTGCATCATGACTGGATTGAAACGAAAGAACAATGCCACTTCGGGATCGGCCAAACGGCGCAGGACCCAATCAGCCGAGTCGCCCATGGAAGAGCCAGTAAGAACTGTGTGTCTAAAGCGATATCTGATCCAAGCTTGGCAGGAAATGGTAGACCCTAACGTAGAAAAACATCTCCCCACATCCATCTTCGCACGAAAGATCACCGAAAACGACAAACCTTTCCTCCGATCAGACCAGACCAACCACATTATCACCTATACGGGGGCCTTTAACCCGCCCCACTCAGGCCACATTGAAATCCTGGCTGACGGCTTTAATAACAGCGGCCCGGGCCTAAACATCGTGTCGAGCTTCGTGGTCCCCCTCGGTGACGGCGGTCTCCAGGCGAAGGAGGACGCCAGGAAGGGCGCCGAGCCCACGCCCCGCCAGGTCATGCTCGCGCGCACGCAGCGGGCGGAACTCGTCATGGCACACCTCCGCGAGACGGAGGCCCTGAGGGAGCTCGCGTGCAAGACCAAGGTGTGGAGCTTTCCCGAGCTCGAGCCTATCCCCGGGTATATGCGCCGCGTTACAGAACTCGCGGCCGCGGACGGGTTCGACGTCGAGTACGTAAGTCTGAAGGGCCCGGATCACCTGTGGTATGACCGCCCGATCAATCACCCTGCGCTCATCTTGTGCAACAAAATCATCTTCTCGGAGGTGTCGCGCGCAAATGAAGATACATGGGTCAGGGGACGGCCGAGGCGTCTCAGAGGTGGTTGGAGCCGCTGGTCAGAGATCAGCAATGTGACTGGAGATGACGGCGTCACGAGGTCGGTCTGGGAGTGTACTCTCAAGACCCCGGCAGGTTCCGCGGTAAGACTCCTCACGGACGATAACGAGGCTGACAAGCCTGACATTAGCTCGACTCGCATCCGAAAGGTTATCCTCGAGTCAGCTCCAGGTGAAGACTTGAAGGCTTTGGTACAGAAGCTCAGGGACGCCTACGTCATAAGCCCTGAGACACTTGTTCAATTCCTGGGCGCTCAGTGATTTGAGAATCCGAAGCGATAGTCGTCCGGCACGGCTGAAGCAACGACAGGTAAGTGTAATGTCGTCTATAAAAAGCATTGTTGTTCGTTCGTAGAGTAAAATGAAACATTATTAGGCAAAGGAAATTATGTACGCTGTGTGGTGAATTGCACATTCTTAACACCAAGAGTAATTCCCTAGGTTCGTTTTGTCGAGTCTTTTGTTTTCTGCCCGCCCCGTATATTCCCGTGTTTGGCTCCTGAAGACGCCTTAATGAAATAAAACGTTTTCATAACGGTATGAATTCAGGCTGTGACTGCAAGTAATCTGTCATCATGTTCGAAAAACGGTGACTGGGCGTTTTCAAGTAAGCAGAGGAAAGATTTGGGGCAAGCCAAAAAAGACGAACGGGTCAATGAGGTACGAAATTCCAAAATGCTACAGCAAGCTCATTTAGTTAGAGAAATTACACCTGTCATGGTGCCTTGACGGCTTCATGACTTGAAGTCATGTGGGAAGCCAAGTTCGAGATGGTCAACCTTTTTGTTGTGTCCAACAAGGCTACAAGCACTTAGCGGGTGAGGCAAGGGCCTTGCTCACGGTCGGTCCAGGGTTAGGGCAGCCGCCGCGGCATCTGGCTCAGCTTCGGCTATTCTCACAAATCGACCACCGACATCCGATCACGCCATTGCCCCTGCTGCGATTTAGGAAGCAAAGGTTAGTGAGAGTGGTGCCTTTTGCGAAGCCTTTTGCGAACACACACTTTCTCACTCATAAACACACTCCTACATACTTCAGCTCACCCACCCTCCGACGACGCATTTTTAGGACGAAGGGGTAATCATCCATCCTTGCATCGTTTGCTCCTACCTGCGTCATCGAAACACAGCACACCGACTCACTTTCCCACGGTCCAAAACATGGCTGGAGCGCTGGGGGCCAGGGCTGCTCGCGCCTCTGCCAAGGGCCTGAGAGCCTCTTCACTCAGAACCTACGCCACCGTCACTTCGATACCTCCCAAGCCTCACCACCGTGTGGTCGTCGTCGGTGGCGGCACAGCCGGCGTGACTGTCGCTGCCCAGCTGGCGCGCTCGAAACAGTTCCAGAAGGATGACATCGCCATCCTCGACCCGGCCAAGGACCACCACTACCAGCCTGGATGGACTCTCGTCGGCTCTGGACTCAAGCCCTTGAGCGATATGAGCCGTCCACTCTCGAGCCTCATCCCGTCTGGTGTCACGCATTACCCCCTGCAGGTCTCCAAATTCGACCCTGAAAACAACCAGCTCAAGACGGCAGACGGCGTCGAGGTCTCCTACGACTATCTGATTGTGGCTCCCGGCCTTGAGACCAACTTCTCGGGGATCAAGGGTCTCCCCGAGGCTCTCCAGGACCCCGGCAGCAAAGTGAGCTCCATCTATTCCAACAAGACCGTGGAGCAGGTGTGGAAGAACATCCAGGACTTCAAGAAGGGGACGGCCGTTTTCACCCAGCCGGCTGGCGTCATCAAGTGCGCCGGCGCGCCACAGAAGATCCTCTGGATGGCCCTGTCACAGTGGGAGAGGGATGGTGTGAGGAAGGAAATCCTGCCTTACTTTGCCACTGGCGGCCCCGCCATGTTCGCTGTGCCAAAGTACTCCAAGGCTCTCGAGGAGCTGCGTGTCAAGCGCCGCGTCGAAGGACTGTTCCAGCACAACTTGGTATCGGTGGATGCGTCAAAGAAGGTCGCCACTTTCAAGAATCTCGCCGCGGATGGCAAGGAGGTTGAGAAAGAGTTTGGCTTCCTGCACGTGGTTCCTCCTCAGAAGCCTTTCGACTGGGTGGCAAAGTCACCTCTGGGTAAGTGACACTCAAATGCTAAGCTGGGTTTGTGTAATGCTGCATCGATGACACTAACACCGCAAAATCACAGCCGACTCTGCTGGATGGGTCGACGTTGACAAGACCACAACCAAGCACAACAAGTACTCCAACGTCTTCTCCATCGGCGACGCCTCCTCGCTGCCCAACTCCAAGACCGCGGCCGCCATCAGCTCCCAGGCCCCCGTCCTGGTCGACAACCTGCTGTCCACCATCCGCGGCGAGCAGCTCAAGGCCGGCTACACCGGCTATGCCTCGTGCCCGCTGCTGACCGGCCACAACGAGCTCATGCTCTGCGAGTTCAAGTACGGCGGCGTCCCCGACGAGACCTTTGCCAGGGTCCCCGGCATCGGCAGCCAGGACGTGCCCCGGAGGGTGTTCTACCACCTCAAGAAGGACTTCTTCCCTAGCGTGTACTGGAACAGCTTTGTCAAGGGGACGTGGTTCGGGCCTAAGGCTTGGTTCAAGCCTGACACGGCCAAGACTGATTAGTGGAGTGCATGTGTTGTGATGGGTGGTTGAGGCGCATGGACCTTGGACAAAATTGTAGAAAAGTGTGATAATACGAGGCTCAATTACCGCCGTCTGCCTGTATTTCGATGGTTCTCAGCCGTGAAAAATTTTGTGTGACTGATTCGTGCATTCTTGTGGGCATAACATATCGAAAGGTCAAGGAAATGCTGCGTGTTAATATCCTTGATGTGTAAGATGTCTATGCTTCGAGTCTATGATTACACGGCTCCATTCTAATTCGTCAAAGTATTATACAGCAGCCATGAAAACCTGCATCCCACTCTCTGTCTCCCACTTGACCTCGACCCCCGGAGCTACATAGTAGATGAATCCCTCATTCAGCTCAAACTCCTTGCCGTCCGCGCTCATCTTCCCAGTGCCCTGCGTAACAATCAAAACGCCCGGCCCGTCACTCGCCTTCAGCTCATCACGCTCTCCAGCCTTCAGCCCAGCAATGATCATGTCAAACTCGCTCATGGGCGGCTTGTAAACCTCGGTCCTGCCACCCTTGCTCCTCTCGCTCTTCTGCTTAGGGAGGACCACATCGTCCCGGCTATGCGACTTGAACGTCAGGGTGTTGGAAAACATATCGACGTTGTTCCTGTCAGCAGACGGGCAGAACCCCACGTTGAGCACATTGTTCGACCGCGCCATGCACTCGACAATGTTGCCGGACAGGTAGGCGTGGATGCCGTCGGCGGGGATGTAGATGGCGTCGAGGGGCTGGAACGTCAGGAAATTCATGCACGTCAGCGCCACGACCGACCCCGCGTCGCCGGGCCCGTATTGGCCCTGCAGCCTGGGAAGCAGGTCCAGGACGTACTCGGCGCCGGCGGCCTTGAGGTCCGACCGCGACGTGTGGAGCAGGTCGCTCTCGATCGTCTTGACGGTCGCCTCGTCCGCCTTGAGGAGGTTGCGGGTGACCTCGCGGAGGGTCCCGTTGTCCCATTTGTCTACCGGGGCGGCTGGTGAGTACGAGCTCAGGGCGGAAAGTTTGAACAGGGGCTGGATTTCTGAGAGGGGCTTGAAGCCTGCGAAGACCTGGAAGAATGAGAGGGCGACTGCGATCTCGGGCTTGTGGTTGGGATCCGTGAACTGGTCTGGATCCTGTTTGTGCAGCTTGGTGGCTAGATCTTTGTTGGGGTGCAGCTGGAGCGGGAGTGCCTTTGCTATTGAGAGAATCTGTGAGACGTGCACGGTTAGCCGTCTCTGCTCAGCGATTCCAGAACTCAGGGCTTGCTTGCCTTCGGCAGGAATGGCAGCTGCGCGTCCATCGTGTCCACAACCTTCTTGCCCAGAAGCGTCTGCTGGTCCTTCTTCAAGACGTCCGCAAGGAGCTCGCCCGTCTCCAGTACCCGCGCCGGAAAGTCCGGGTAGTCGCCAAACCACATCTCCGAGTAGTACTGCTCATCTTCGATCTTGAAGTCGGTGCCTGGAGTCCTCGCGCACAGCTGAGCGGCTAGCGACTGCTTTCCCTTCTTGCCCCAGGGATAATTGTTGCAGGTTCCGCTGAGCTGGAAGACTCGTTGGGTCGGCATTGTGGGTGAGGTTGTGTAGCTTCGGGAAGGGTGATGACGAAAGCGGGTGGAATTATTTAGAACCAAGCGTAGGGAGAAAATGGATGTAAAATGTCAGAGTCGTAGGTTGTTTGGGAGGCACCATTCATTATCGAGTCAAAGAGAACATTTTATATTAATTGAACGGAGCCAACATCAATTGGAAAGAGGAAAACGCGTTTATTGTTTGGCGGATTGTCGAAAGGTCGTCTATGCCATGTCACGGTGTCGTCACTATCATCAACACCCGGCGGCAGCTTATGACTTCATACACTCGCATCATAGTGGCCGACTCAGGGTCCGGATAAGTGGGTCCCGGAGCGGTGGGCGCCGGACTCGGGTCCGAACCTACTACAGACGTTAGTAGAAACAGTGAGACAACGGTGGATTATTAAGATGGAATGACTGACTAACCACTGCGGTCGGAAAATCGTCATTGAGGCATGTGGGAGAGTGCACGGGAAGATACTAAAGCCGACTACCCTGCGACCATCACAAATACTGCAAAGGTCTTCACTCCATGTCTGCACCACTCAATATCCAAAAACTCCTTTACCTTGTTTGGTTTGATAATATGGTTTCATTCTTTCAACGTGTTCAAATGTGATATGAGTAGTGTATTACGCGGGTACCCTGGAATGAATTGATGGGTTCAGATTCAAACCCTTTTGCACTGCCGCATCTTAGGAACCATGAGAAGATCTAGGGATGTTTCGTAGAAAATTAAGAAGCTGTTAAGTTGATAGGCAAATTCTAGGTTATTGCTACCGAAAGTTCTACCAATCTGAACACCCAAGCAAGTTAATGCATCCGAGTCTGCGGAAATGATGGGCGTGTATCTGTCCGGAAGTAAACTTTGGAGCAAATGTGGTAAGGAATTTCTGATATTCAATCTAAGTATACTCGTAACTCTCTGGCATTTAATGCCACTGCTTGCAATAATCTCATTCTGTTTTGGGTGTATCCAGCATCCCCATTAATAATGACTTGTGAAAAGCAGCTGATCACCCCTGTTCATTATGTTGGAAGGTGCGAGGGTCGTATGCCCATATGCTAGCGTTAGCCTATAAATAGGCTCCTTTTAAGCATTTAATAGCGGGGAGATTTCTCTCCTTAATATATAATAAATAATTATTATTTGCTTAATTGCTTTATTAAGTTATAAGCCTAGCATTACTTAAGATATCTTAAAATGTTAAGAAATATTAATACCTTTATTTTTATAATTATTTTTATATTTAAATTATTAAAATTTTAATATTACTAACCTTTATTTATATATTATTATTATCTCTTATAATAGCTATTATAACTAATAATAACTTATAATAATTTAATATTTTTACCTTATTTAATATTTTAATTACTTATTTTTTTTATTTATTTATTTATATTAATTAATGCTAATTATTATAAATAAATAAGTATATAAATATTATTTAAAATATATTTAAAGATATGTAAATATTATTTAAAAAAATATTAAATATATTTAACTTTAAGCTTAATTTATTATTTTTTTTAAAATTAAACTTAAAAGGGGAAAACTTTTTAAATTAAAGGGTGATATAAAGTTGCAGCTTTTAATTTATTAGCCTTAATAAATATATTATAAGTATTAAGAAATAATTAAATAAGGATATAGCCCTTATAAAATAAAAAAAGCTTAATAATTAAGCCTTTATTATATTCCTAAGCTTAATATATTTAACCCTTATAATTGTAATGGGCTTGGGCTGGAAGCCCAAGCCTTATAGTGGCTGGCTAGGTAATCCAAGGGAGCTTGGATTATTACGTACCTTTTGGCTTAAATGGTTAGAAGGTTGCTGCTTTTGCAGCTTATGGGAGAAGGCGCTAGCCAGCCTGCAGCCCCTTTGGGGCTAGCCCATAACAAATAATCCAAGCTCTAGGGTTGAAGGTTTGAGTTACGTTTGCCGCAATGTGCGGGCACCCCTTTCGTGAAGAAGAACCTTGGCTTGAAAAGGCGATGTCGCGGGTGAGCCTTGGGGGTAATTGTGCGCCACTAGTAGTTGGGGGGCTATGTAATGGGCTTGGGCTGGAAGCCCAAGCCTTATAGTGGCTGGCTAGGTAATCCAAGGGAGCTTGGATTATTACGTACCTTTTGGCTTAAATGGTTAAAAGGTTGCTGCTTTTGCAGCTTATGGGAGAAGGCGCTAGCCAGCCTGCAGCCCCTTTGGGGCCAGCCCATAACAATAATATTTATTATATTATATAAAAAATCTTTTAATGCTTAAAAAATACTAGCTAATTAATTTAATTATAATATTAATAACTTAATTACTTATTTTTTTATTAATTAATAAACTTATAATATAAGAATAGCTTTAATTTATAAAGCTATTTAAATATTTTTTAAAACTTTTAAATAAAACTTTATATTAAAATTTTAATATTAAAATAATTAATTAAAAGGTTAATAAAGTTACTTATTAAAAGTAATAAGGTTAAAAGCTTCTTTTTTTTAATAATATTATTAAATATTATAAATAATATTATTAATAACCTAAGTAATTAAAACCTTATAATATATTTTAAAATTAAAATTAAGATAATAAATATTATTTTTTATATAAAGATTAAATAATTTAAAGCTTACTTTACCTTTACTTAAAAAAGGTTAATATTAAAGGGTATAAAAAAAGCTATAAAATTTATATTAATAAGTATTAACTTTATATTAAGTAATAAAAAATATACTTAATATTATGTATAAAACTTTATATTTATTAACTATTTATAAATTAATTATGCAAAGCTTATTAAATATAAAGTTAATTAAGAATAAAAAAAGAATAAAAAATAAATTACTATAAATTAAGCTATAAATAAAGAAGTTATTAAAATTTTTAATAATAATAAGAAAAATATAATAATATTATATATTAATATTTTAATATATATAATAAAGCTATTAATAATTATAAATACTTTAATATTATAAATTTTTAATTTTAATGCTTTAAAGTATATAATAAAATATATAAAAAACTTTAGCTCTTTATAACTATATTTAAATATAATTATTATTATAAGCGGTAATTAACTTATTATAAAAAGCATTAACTTTATAAAAATCTTTTTATAATTATTAAATAAATTAATTATTAAAAGCATTTTTATTAATATTTTATATAATTATACATTAAAAAATACTTATTTATTTAGCTAAATTATAATTTAAAAAAAGTTTTAATTAAATGCATAAAAAAACGATATTTTTTTATTATTAAAAAATAATAAATCTTATAAAATATTATAAGCAAAGTTTTAATATAGAAATTTTAAAATTTAAATAGCAAAAAATAACTTTATAATATTAATAATATATAATAAATTTTATAAAGCTTTTAGCTGTAGCAATTTATTAAAATTAATTACTTAATATTTATATAAAAATAAAAATATTATATTAAATAAATTAATAAATTTTTATTATAAATTATGCCAACTTATAAAGTTTATTAAGAAATACTTATATTTATTGCTAAAATAATAATTTATATAATTATTAAAGTATATTTAATTTAATTTATTAAGTAAATTCTTAATAAAATCATTAAAAAATTCCTAATATTTTATTTCTTTATTAATAATTATACTTAATTTTATTAAGTTTACTTTATTACTTAAAAAAATAATATTTTAAATATTATTAAGGAATTCTTAAATATAATTAAAACTTAATTTAATATAAAAGTTAAAATATTTAATTTAAATAATAAAAGTAAATATATAAATAAGATAATTATTATAATATTTTAAAAATATAAAAGTATTTATAAAAAATCACCTCCTTATTATTATAAGTTAAATAATATACTTAAAAAGTTTATATATATTATTATTATTAATGCTTATATAATAATTTATAATAAAAATTATTTATTTTTATCGCTTAAAATAATTTTTTATATAATATATTTATAAAATTAAAAATTATACTTAGCCTTATTATACTAAATAATGCTATTTAAGGCGCTTTATAAATAAAAGCCTAATATTAAACATTTTTAACTATACTTTTATTTTATATACCTTTATATTCTTATTAAAGCTTATAAATTAAAAATAAAATTATTAAATAAAGTTAAAAAAATATATTTTATAAAATTTAAAGCTAAAAATAAAATTATCTTTTATTTATTTATATTACTTTAAAAAGTTATTATAATTATAATATTAAGCTATATTACTTAATTTAATTTAATAATAAAGATTATATAAATAATTAATTAGCTAAATAAAAACATATTATTTAAGATAAAAATCTTATTAATATTTTAGCTAATAAAACTTATTAATAATATAAGATTTATAAATAAACTTATAAATAAATTACTTAAACTTATAAAATTTATTAATAAATTGCTTAAACCTATAAAACTTATATAATTATATAATTTTTAAGAATAATAAATTTAGCTTTTATAAAAAGTAAAAGAAAATATAAATATTATTATAAAATATTTTAAAGATTTTAATAACTTAATATTAATTAATATAAACTTTATGCTAAATCTTACTTAATTAATATTAATTAATATTAATTATTTTAATTAAATCTTTACTTAAGCATTATTTATTAGCGCAGTAAATATTACTAATATCCTTAATATATATATATAAGTTATAAAGAGTAATAAAAAAGATGCTTAATAATAAGCTATTAAAAAAAAACTTAAATTACTTTTAAATATAAATATATAAGTTAAAATACTTATTATTATAAATTAATATATTATTAATTCTTACTAAGTATATATAAAGAAATTTAATGCTTTTAATAAGTTTATTTATTATAAAGCTTAATTTATTACTTATAAATATATATAAATTTATAATATAAATTATAATAATATTTATAACTTTATAATGCATTATAATAATTTAAAATTAATTATTATTATTATTACTATAATAAGCTAATAGCTTTAATAATTTAATATTAAAATAGCATACTTATATAGCTATTTAAAATATAATATTTATATATAATTATTATAAAAATATTAAATATTATTTAATAATTAATAAGTTATTTTAAAACTTTTTAATGCCTTATATAAACTTAAATAATTAAGTTATAAATAATTTAATACTTTTAAAAAGAAATTAATTAAATATTTAATAAAGATAATATTTAATCCTTATATTTTTATTAAAAGCTAAATTATTATTGCTATTTATATTAATAATATTCTTATTATTAAAAGTCCCTTTTAAGTTAATAAATTTTGCATTAAGCTTATATAATATTTTAAGTATAAGGATTTTAATCTTTATAAATACTTATTTAAATTAAAAATTATATAAATTAATAATAAAATTTATATTTCCTAAAAGAAATATACTTAATGAATTTTAAAATACTTTAATATATTTAATTATAATTAAAAATAAATTCTTATAAATTTAAATTTATTTTTATAATATAAGGAACTTAATAACGTTGCAATAAATATAATAATATATTAATTACTTATTAAATTTATTAATTTTCTTATTATTAAAATAAAACTTAATCTTACATTTTTATATATAATGCTATTAATATTTAATATAAAGCTTGCAACTTATTACTTAAATATTATAAAGAAAATGCTTTAATATATTTAGCATATATTAAATTATATTTTATAATATTTAAAATAAATATTATTATTTTAATTTACTATACTTAATATATATATTAATGCTTTTTATAATATTAATTTAAATAATTTAAGAGCATTTAATAAATATATATAACTTTTTAATGGCAGCTTAATTACTTAATTATTAAAACGCTAATTTATTATTATAAAATCCATTTATAAGGCAAAATATATAATATATTTATTAATATTATTATATTTTTATTAAATAATTTAAGCATTAAAAGATTTAAATATTAAATATATTAAATATTTATTTATTTTATATATTAATAATTAATTAATATTAAATCTTATTTAAAATTATAAAGTTAATGCTTAATTAAAATATATTGCTATTTATTATTATTTTATTTATAAAGAAATTAAAGAAATATATAATATTTATTATATTATATTTAAAGATAATTTTATTAATATTTATATAAAAGCATTACCTTATTTTACCTTTAAAAAAGCTTATATAAAATTAAAATTAAAATAAATATAAGGTTTATATTATAAAAAGGGTATTTAAATAATTAATTAAAAATAATATAAGCAGAATATATAAATATTAAATAATATTTATATAATAATTTTAATATAAATTATAGCGGAATATTTAAATTATATTTTTAATTATTAAAATAAAATACCTTTTATTATCATTAAGATAATAATACTTATAATAAGGGGTATGTTAAAAAATGCGAGGGTTATATGCCCATACGCTAGCGCTAGCCTATAAATAGGCTCCTTTTAAGCGTTTAATAGCAGGGAGATTTCTCTCCTCAACACATAACAAACAACTATCGTTTGCTTAATTGCTTCATCACATTATCCCAGATCCCTAGATTCTCCATTCAATGTTGGTGTCTGGTCTCCTTCAATGCGAATACCTGTCGCTCTTGTCCCCGGTGTCCATCAAATATCTATCGGGGAACAATAAGGAACACCCTCTTCGGTTGGGAGCGGAACTCGTACTTTTCGTGGGTGAACATGTATGGGTGGCCGTGAGGAACACCATCGTGTATCCTGTCCTTGAGGCAAAAGGGGTTCCAGCTGCCCGACCCCGAGTCCGTGTCTGACAGCGTGATCCAGCGGCCACGCTCGTTGAGTGTGACGTCGCCCCTTGTTTGAATCACCTCGTACTCTGGCCTTTCCAGAAACCAAACCAGGAACGCCGTGGCGCACGCCCACCTTGATGAGACGTCGGCATACCTCTGGTGTCTGTCCCATCCATACAGGCTCATGACAGGATGCCTGTTGCGGTCCAAGGCGTAGTTGTCGAGACCGTTATGAGCACAGAGACTGGAAAGCGGTTGGTCAACACAGTAGTCGTATCTGGAGAACCTGTGGCGCAGCTCGACCGTCTCCCAGGCGTGTCGCTCGCCGAAACACCGTATGAGCTCGTCACGGCGCTTGCTGGCTTCGGCCTGGTGGGTTTGCTCCAGGGGGCCAATTCCGAACTCGCAGAGCCAGAGCAGGAAGCATTGTTCTTCCGAGATGGATCTTTGTGCGAAATTCAGGACTGGGTCGTCTGTCGTAAATGTCGGATAGTCTTTGAACTGGTACTCATCGTTTCCCTCGTCTTCCCGGACCCACGGAAGGTCGTCTCTGGTCGGTAGCTCCGGGGCACCCAGCTCCTTCGCTGTCATCTTCAGGTGTCGTCGGTAGGCGTGGAACATGTATCGCAGACACGAGTCGAATTCACCCCTCTCGCCTTCGTCCTGGCTGTGGGGAATGAAGGGCTCGATGTCCGCACCCATGTCGAGGATGTGACGCTCGCCTTGAGCATTTGTCCAGTACTTGGTAAGAAGGTAGATTTCGACCCTGAGGAATGCGCGGGCGAACCTGAACCGTTCTATCCGTGTGAGTTGGATCGCGGGCGGGGTGCTGTGGGCCGTGGGGGGGATTGGACCCGTTCTGGTCTGCTCCTCAATGTGGTGGATTCTTTTCCAGGCGTCGTTCGAATAACGGTAAGTCAACGAATGGACATCCCGAACAACCTCTGCGAGATCATAAATTGTATCAAGGCTTGCTTCGACTTCTGGCAGGGGGTTGTCGGACATGCTAAGGATTTCGCGCAGGTCACTCTCCAACCTGTCCCTGTCCTGCTGCGTTTCATGAGAAGACCCCATGGAAGTGGCATAGTCCTTCCTTATCTTTCGTATGTGATATACCCAAATTGTTTCAGGGATCAAGTCTCCGTCGATATCATCCAACACATTATCCCAGGCACGTGGCGCTAGTTGAGATGGGTAGTCCTTCCACAAGGGGAGCACCCACTCAGGGTAGGCTTCGATAAGCGAAAGTAGGTCACGATGACTGGTGATGTGTTCGAGAATGATAAGCTTGACCTCGGCCGGAAGCCGATCTTCGTCCAGCCAGTTGGGAGGCTTGACGATAGCTTGGCTAGTTGAAGCCATGTTGTGTGTGGTGTAGATGGTGGTTTTGTGGTTTTGTTTCTTGTGGTGTTCTTTGAGTGTGTCAATTTGGGTGGAGTGACATGAGCTCACTGTTATAATCAGATTCAATAGCAGCTAGCTTCTGTCTAGGTGTGAGATTTGAGAGGTGGATGGTGGCTGCCCTGTGAGGTCGGATAACTCAGGCTTGTGGTCTGCGGCAATAGATGCGACTAGTGTCGGAGTCGAGTGGCTGGGCTTAGACAGTTTGTGGTGGTGATAGACGGTGACTCAAGTGGGTTAGTACTAATTCAGGTCAAGTAAAGACGCCTTGATGTTCTCAGTAATGTGATGTGGTTAGGATGTAGGCTTGGTAGAGTGTATTCTGAGCAGAGAAGACAAGAGTAAAGTCTTGTTCGGGGGGCGGGGTGTGAACATTAAATGCCTTGATTACTTCCAATCTTTTGAGGCTAGTTTTCTTCCAATATTCCAATGTTTAGATAATTGTGCTAAGAGACCAGCACTGTCGGGCTAGTTCAAAATTAATCGCATTTCCTGCACCTTGAGGGCATCGCTTCAGCAAGTCTAGTGTTGAAGACCAGAAAGGTTCTCTGGGGTCTAATTAATAACATCCGAGAACTAAACTAGCTCTTGCTGGATTGGCTTCCAGAAATAACACTCTTAGCAGCCGGTTGATAGTCCATTTCTAAGCCTTTAATCCTGCGTGCTTCAGACTTAATATCGAATACGACATCAAGTTCCAAGTCTTTTTCCGTCCATAAATGCTGGTTAAGTGAATATCTGAAGTGCTCCAATAATGTGGCCATGTCCCTTTCTCCAAGCCTGCCAGACATCATGTCATAGATGACGCATAGGGTACAGATGATTTAGATACAGGAACAGTCTGTGGCTTCCATAGATTTCAAGTCCTATGCCCATACATAGTTCCCTTCCTGAGTACCCTTGGAATAGTCCGCAGTTGAATCAGAAAGGCTTTCTCTATGACAACTAGCCCTAAATACGATGCTGCAGTATTCTTCACATTGTCAGTTTGAACACAAAGCAATGTTCTTCATGTTACACATTCGATAACGCGAGGTCACACATAACCCACAAGTCTTTATCCAACGGGGCTCGGCTACACACATCCAGCCTGATAGGCCGTAGCTGCAGAGCAAAAACTTGATACTTCAAAGACCATTTCTTGCTCTTCGAAGCGGATCAGACCAATGGCATAACCTCACTCAAGACTGCGGATATGCAGTCCTGGCAGACTTTATTTTGTTCTACCTCTGCTAGCCCAAAACTATGGCTTTCCTCAAGATTCCGTTATTAAATTCCTTTTCTTACCCTTCCCTTCTGTCCACCTCTCGTTTCATGAGGTCACTTAAGTCCCTCCCTCATCAAAATGGCTCATGCTTTGCGACTCCTTGGAACTGCTTGAACAAGGAGAGGCTCTACCAAGACCGCGGCAACCCACTCTTTCCTCTTAGGCAAATGTACCGGCTGCCAATCCGGGCTGCTCAGTCCTGCCAATGAAGTGGATATGGCGGTACCCGCCTCGTGTGCGAGCTCATACTTCTCGAGTATCTTTGCCAAGCTAAGATATGTCTCATAGTAAGAAAAGCTAGAACGGCGGTCACTTAGTATTATTTCCAAACTTGCAGAGTTTTGAAGCTTACTGATTGCCAATGCAGACATTGGCTCCTTTGGAAAATGGAAAGTAGAACTTGTCTCTGATGGAGTTTTCCGAGCTGGCATTTCCATTGTTGTCGATCCAGCGGTATGGGTCGAACAGCTTAGGGTTTGGGTACGCATATTTGTCTCTGAGGTACCAGATTGGTGACGAAGTCAAAACAGTCTGAGAAAGCGAGCATCAGAAGTTGAATCGGAAAGGTGGGAGGATACACGCATGTTGGGGACTCACTCCTTCAGGGATGAATTTTCCACACAGCTCAACGCCGCCTCGTGGGACCACGCGAGGCAACATAGCTGCTGCTGCGCCAGCCCAGCGGATTCCCTCCTTCACGCAGGCTCTTAGACGAGGAATGTTCACTAGGGAGCTCATGTCGGTAGGAAATCCCAGTGCGGCGATGTCCTCATATAGCTTCTGTTGGTATACCGGGTTTCTTGAGAGGGCGTAAAGAATGTGCGCTAAGGAAGCTGAAGTGGTATCCGTTCCTGGTCCAAGGTTCTCTTTTGCCTCGGACAATGCAGTTTGTGTCGGGACGCCGGCTGAAATCATGACCTTGATCAGATTCGGAAAAGGTGACTTCTTGTCGGGGTCCTTGTTCCCAACCCATGCCTTGAGAGTCCACTGTACGCGCGTGAGCTACATCAGCGAGAGACGGGGCGGTTTCAACGGACCTCGTCGTATTGTTGGAGCCCTTGCTTGTACGAGACTTTTGACCCGCGCACTCGGCACAAGAAGTCTTCGATACGGGTCCAGAGTTCATACAGCTCTGGGAAATTCATAAGCTGAGACAATTAGCATCCGAATTTGCCCTTGCACTACTGAGATGTCACTGACTAGAGGCATGAATGTCGCTTTTCTGTCGTTGTTGGCTACAAATGCCAACTCCTCTCCCCGCGCCCAAGCGGCAACAGCGTTCACGGCTTCGCCAAACGAGAATCCAGCTGCGACTGTTAGCATATGTCGGAAAGTAGTCCATCACCCCCAGGCGCGGTGCTCCAGAAAGTCGTACAAATAATATCGGCTTCCAGTGCCCTACAAGCAGGGCCGACGTCAATAGGACCTTGCTTCTGGCCGACCGCATCGACGAATGCGTTAATGTGGTGCAACATCAGTCCTTCGAGCTTTGCGATGTTGGTTCGACTGAACAGCTGACCAAGGATCCTCCGCCGTTTTGAGTGCTCTTCTGGGTCCCTATCGTGTGTCAGCTCCACGTAGCAAAACCCCTCTTCAAAGCCTGCAGGGGACCGCATACGTGATAGAGAAAAGAGCGGGATGCCCATCTTGAACAAACTCTCCATATGTACGAGGATCCTTCGCAAAACCACTATTGATCTTGTGTATCGTGTCGTATATATCTACGGAGTAGAAGGAGACTTCGTTGGGTCCTATTCGCACCAAGGGGCCTGCCATCGTTCTTGTCAGAAGTTCGTAGCGCCCCTACACAGACTGTCAGTGCCGACGAGAACTAGCCTAATTTTTCATGAATCTTGGGAAGCTCGATGGTAATGTTGCCTCGAAACTCCTGATAGAAAGCCCATAGCAAACGCGAGTATCCTGCACCCCAGCCCGCGTTGGGAACTTGTGATAACGGTGATGCATGTGCCCGAGTTACAGCCTCGGACTGGTCAGCGAAAATTTTCCAATTGCTCGCAATTCCAACTCACTTTAACAACTCCCAATGTTACCAAGCAAAGCAAACCCAGGCCGGTGAGGACTAAGAACGACATTGAAGCGAGCGTGGAATGCCGTTTCTGATTGGGGAAAATAGACGTTACCGACCCCTTTCAGGCTCAAATAACAAATTAAATAGCGTCGATGGCGTTGTAGTTCCAGAATATGCAGAATTTGGGGATCAAATCACCGGCTTCGGTGGTTCCTCTCTATAAGGGTTGGAGCAGTTCCACTTTATTCAAGCCAGCCGCGCAGTCGGCGCCATTGAGTTTTCCCTGCGCTAATTGCGTGACAGACTTCTTCCTCCAAACCCCCATCAAGCCTTTCCACACCTGGGGGTCAGCCCGGCACACTAGACAGGATTTTAACTGGCCCCCTGAGCGAGCTGACGCACCTCATATAAGACATTGACGACACATCCATTTTCGGCACTCTCTTCCTGTCGACTCCCTGATCAGCTCGACTTCTTCATCAACCTCATGACACCGCCCGGGCGGGACTATTCTTCATCATGGCAACGGATCGCGAAGATGCAGCCGTGCAGAAGAACGCGACCGTCTCCAAAGGAGACCCGGAACAGGAATCCTCGAGGGATGCTCAGGTTTTGGTAGGTGTTTCGAGGCTGGCGATGCGATATCTGCAACATCGGCGGACAGGCTGACGATAAACCCCGCAGGAAAACTTGGGCTACAAACCAGTGAGTGAAACAAGCTTTTTGTGGCGGCTGAGTCAAGCAGCTCACATGTTCAGGTCCTGCACAGAACTTTCAACACGTTCCACAACTTCGCGACAACATTTGGTAGGGACGACGCAGAACATTCCACGAAGACGGTGGAGGCTAACCTCATCAAGCTGCACTATACTTCATTGGCGGTGTCCGTGTGACATTTTCTACTGGCATAGCAGCTGGAGGAAACCTTGCCTATTGGTATTGTTGCCATGCCAGTCCCTTGGAGCGGATGACTGAATTTGTTACTAACGAATACCCAGGACGAGTTTCCTCGTAACTTGCGTCTTTACTTTCATAACAGCAGCAGTAATTGCAGAGATTTGCTCCTCACTCCCACTCGCCGGATCTATCTATCTGCGGGCGGCTGAAGCTGGTGGTCCTCGTTTCGGCCGACTCTTTGGGTTCATCGTTGCTTGGTGGAGCACGACTGCATGGACGACATTCTGCGCGAGTACGTCGAACAGCGTTGAATGTAATATGTTCGGCACTCCCTGACAACATAATAGGCAACACGCAATCTGCAGTCAACTACATTTTATCGGTAAGTGTTTCCCTAAATTTTCGGACTATGCTGCATAAGGGCTGACAACGGGTTAGGAAATTGTCGTGTTCAATCTCGACTTCCCGTCTGATACATCGAGCGTGAAGTTTCGTGCTGTTCAGTGGATCACAACAGAAGTCATGCTGGCGTTGGCAGCTATTTGGAACCTCCTACCACGTAACTACGTCGCTATAGCGTTGGGGATAAGTCTAAGCTAATTGCCACCCTAGCCCGTTACTTCAAGTGGATCTTCTACCTATCAACCTCGATCGTTCTCCTCGACTTCGTCTTAAATATGATTTGGCTGCCAGTCGCGGCGAGCAACAGTATCTACGGCTTCAGATCCGCCCATGACGCCTTCATGACCACCTACAATGGGACGGGAGCCCCGGAAGGGTGGAACTGGTGCCTGTCTTATCTTGCCACTGCGGGAATCCTCATCGGATTTGATGCTTCAGGTCATGTTGCTGAGGAGACAAAGAACGCCAGCGTTGCAGCAGCTCGAGGCATCTTCTGGAGCACGGTGACCAGCGGCATTGGTGGCTTTATTGTCGTCATTCTTTTCTTGTTCTGTGTCGTAAGTTATCTCTATCTTGACTTAACGGTGGCTTACGTAGTCTGATTTCCCCCCGCACCAGCCTGACGCAGACACACTCTTCTCCTTTGGTGGCACGCAGCCATTCGTGCCCCTCTACGCAGCCATCCTGGGCGAAGGTGGACACATCTTCATGAACATTGTCTGCACAGTGGCATTGTGGTTTGTGAGCGAATTGTCACCTTCAAAATCCCTGAAACTGTCCATGGCTGATAGAGCATCCAGAACACTGCTATTGCTATCCTCGCAGCATCTCGTCTCGTCTTTGCGGTTGCTCGTGATGGTGTTCTGCCTTGGTCACCCTGGGTAGCGCGAGTTGTCGACGGGCAGCCCCGGAACGCTGTGCTTGTCGTTTGGGGAGTTTCTTCCTTGATCACATGCACGATCCTCCCATCGTCGGTCGCTTTCACCTCACTCGTGTCGGCAGCAGGTGTTCCCTCGGCCGCAGCTTACGGTTTGATTTGCCTTGGTCGTCTCTTTCTGACGCCCAAACAATTCCCAAAGCCGGCGTGGAGTCTGGGAAGACTGAGCAAGCCATTTCAGGCCATTGCTGTGTTGTGGAATGGGTGGGTAGTGGCGGTGCTTTTCTCGCCCTACGTCTTCCCCGTCGAGGCCGCCACTCTGAACTATGCCCCAGTCATCATGGGTATTGTGACAATATTCGCCATACTCTCCTGGTGGTTTATACCGGCTGAAAGCTGGCTGCCATCTCAACGCATTCAAGAGACGCTTCTCGCTGGGGAACGGGAGACAGAACATTGATGAGGCATACAAGTTCGGGTAGATCGAGTGCCAATCTGGTTGTATTCACACTTTCAAACACCAATTATCGTGCCACTTCTTGGACTCCATACCTTTCAAGCCTAGCCCGCCTTCTCCTCAGCCTTGATCTTAGCCTGATACTCAGCCATGTTCTTCATACCCTTAGGCATCCCATGCCAATCAAGCCCTGCTCGTCCATCAGCACCGCGCGCGTCTCCATGGCCTTCTTCCACGAGGGCCGGGCCGTCACCCGCTCGTGCCAGGCCTGCAGGTACGGGAACCCTGCGAACTTGTCGGCCGCGGCGCACTCCAGCAGCGCGTCGGTGCGGTCGTTCCACGGCGCGAAGGCCATGTCCGCGTACGTCATCCTGTCGCCGACGAGCCACTGGCGGTCCTTGAGCTGGCCGTCGAGGACGCCCTGGATGCGGCGCACCTCGGCCTGGTAGCGCTCGATGGCCGAGGGGAGCTTCTCGGCGTGCAGGACGTTGAACCAGCCCGCCTGGCCGAAGTAGGGGCCCTGGCCGCTCATTTGGAAGTGCACTGAAGTGGAAGGAATCGCATCTGTTAGCTGAGTTCCTCGCTCACAATGAGGATGACAGGATAAGAGTTGAGGGAGATTAAGCACATGAAGAGGTCTGCCTTACGCCATTGGTTGCACTGGTGCTTCTCCTTCAGCGTGTCGTAGCTTAGGACGTGGTTTTTGTCGTACTGCTCGATCAGATATGTGATGATCGCGCCGGACTCCCACAACGTGATGTCTGTGTTTGGATCCTCGATGGCTTTACATCGGTCAGAAACAAAGGCGAGCTCCTCGACGTCTCCACAGTGTGCCCACGTACCGGGAACGCGGCCGTTTGGGTTGATGTCTATGAACGGCTTCTTCTTGATTTCCTCAAACTTGAAGGATTTGATCTCGTAGGGGACCTGCAATTCTTCAAGCACGATGACAACCTAGTTCCTCCATGTCAGCATCCCCGCGTGCGCAGAGACCAATGGTTCTTCCACGGTACCTTCCATGGGTTCGGCCCGGGAGCTAGATGTTTAGCTCGGAGTCAGCTGCAGTGCTAATGCCGGGCCAGAGCGGGCCGGGAGTTGCTGGTCCATTACTTACGTGCCATCCAGACACGGATTGGCTTCGTCATTTTCCTTCTCCGTTTGTGGTCGTGGTTATTGAGACGTTGAATCGAAGGAGTCACGAGAAAAGTGCACACATATGAGGTTGTGGTCTGGAAGAAAGAAAACCAAAGCGAAAATGCAGTCGGGCTCTTCGTTAAATATCCAGGCGCGTCACCGTTTGTGGTATGGCTGAGTTTCACAGTCACTCAGACAAACACTGCAGGGGAAGTCACGGTGACGGTACTCGGGTTGCTGACGGCCATGTGCTGCGCCCCGGACCAACAGATCGATAACCACTCACCCAGAACATGCCCCTTGCCTCTTGGACCCGGAAGCAATTTGGAAATACGTTTCCTACCTTCTTCCCCATTTTTGCCACCCTGTCACTTACCCGATGTTCACAGCATCAATAATTATCTCTTGCATGTCTTTCGTGATAGCTTGTCAAAGCTCGAATGTCGCTGGATTGACACGCTCGGGCTGGGTACCCCTCTCGTCAGCATATAAGCGAAGTACGGTGCAGCGGGGTGCCCCTCAGTTACCCAAGTGTTGTAATGCCGAGACTGTAACACAGCGGGTACTTGGTACATCTGCACTTGGTTGGTTTCTACATGCCCCTAGTCGGTGGTTGCCGGCTTTCGTGGCTTGCTTAGCTTCCGCCCATCTTACGTCCGTCCTCCCGCTTTTTTCCATTCACGGTTTGCAATCCCATTCGACAACCATCGATTGAGGCTCGGCATCAAAAAGCACCGGTCATATTTTGCAGAGAGCCAGCGGTGTCGTTGTGGAACATATACGCTGAAAGAAATTGAACCTATTTTCTTCGTGTCCTTTCTCTAAGATGCACCTCAACCATTACCCAAATATTAAATTCAATAAGTCGTGGCTCGCGTCACACATATCCCGGAAATCAAGTAATCGTGATAAACTGGAATTAAATCGTCTATGGTTGTGTGGGCACATCCTGTCTGACAGGTTGCATTATCAAAAGAACTTCAAACCCCATCCAGGTAAAAGCGAAACCCCTGGTGTGCAGTAGGAATCCACTGTTCGTTGAATAGACACTGAGATCTAGTATCACGAGTTCGCGACCTCCTTTGTTTCACCAACCTCGGTGTCTGACGGCTTCTTCTTCGTGGAAATCCACTGACATCCACAGGCTAATGCAAAAGAGATGGCTGGGGCTGCGGCAGGAAGGTACTATGTCGGTGTCGGTGTAAGCGGCTTGATTGATAATTTTGCGGTTCTGTCTCATCTACTCATCCGTCTCGGGGCAGAAAGGGAGAACATGGGGAGGTAACTTACAAAGACTTGTGTGCAAGCCTTTCCGTAGGCTTTCACTACCGCAGTCAGGTCCGCATCAGGAACCATTGCTCTGAAATTGGTGGCGCCTGCTGATATGACCTTTTGCACAAGATCTGATGTGACTACAGCGGACAGGTTCGTCTCCAGTCTCTTCTGGAAGATGAGCTGGCCCAGTGCCAGAAAGACTGAGCAGCTGGTAGACACGAACATGAGCAAATTCGACGATCCGATCGGAACAAGGTCTTGTGGCAGTGATGTCTGCATCCCGACCTGTGCCTAGAATGGGGGGTTGGCCAGATTCGTTAGCCTCAAGATTACCTGGGAAGCAGGCTCGCGTGCATAATTGCTCACAAGATTTGTTGCCAGAGCAAAACCCGTTCCTCCCAAGATCTGGTACCCAATCCAGTGGCCGCTGGAGATTCCTGGGTAGATGGTGCTCAGTAGGCCGCCGCAGAGACACACCAGGGCGTTTGCAAATAGGAGGAAGGGGTTCCACCACCCAATCTTCATCACAATACCGGTACCCAGCAGGGCCATGACGGCGTCAGATATGACAGTTGGGAGGTAATTCACCCCACTCTCCGTGGGCGTATCCCCTCGCACAGCCTGGAACCAGATGGGTAACCAGTAGATGATGACCTGGAAAGGCCCGTTGACGAAGAAGGAGGTGGCGCAAAGTAATCCCACGTTCCGGTGAGCCCTAAAGAGTCTCGGAGGGATGAGGGCGTCATCTTGCATGTGCAGTTGCCATGGAATAAACAGGCCCAATACCGCGACGGAGCCTACCAAAAGCCCAATGACGGTTGCGGAATTCCAGGCATATGCGACGCCGCCCCATTGCAGGGCCAACAGTAGCATGATCATGAAGCCTGAAAACAGGGAGAAACCGAGGAGGTCGAGGCCCTTGACCCGACTCAGGAGGGGAACGCGCTCCGAGCTAGTTGTCTTGATGTGCACAAATATGAAGAATACTCCAGCAGCGAAGGCTCCAATTGGCAAGTTGATATAGAAACACCATCTCCAAGTGGCTTGCTTCAAACAAGAGAATCATCAGTTGTGTATGCCAAACCAAGGGCTCGAGTCGCAGGGTGGGGGCAGCCGAACCTCTGTCAGGGCACCGCCAATCACGGGTCCAACGATACTGGCAACTGAAAACGTGGCGGATATTATCCCAATCCATATAGCGCGTTTGTGCAACGGGATAATGGCAGCTTGGACCGCAAAGCCTCCCGCGAACATACCCGAGGCTCCCAGGCCAGCAACGGCCCGGCCCGCGATTAGGGCCGGGGACGATGGTGCCAGTGCGCAGACCAGGCTGCCGATCTCGAAAACGGCCAGATAGATCAGGTAGGAGAGCTTCTTCGAGAACAGAGTAAATGCCTTGCCTGCGAGAGGCTGTGCCGCACATCTGGACAAAGCGTCTGAATCAGCGACGGCGCGGGCACAAGAGCACGATGGCCAAAGTCGGCCCAGGACAGGATGACTCACAGTGCCAGCTGGAAGGCGGCTCCATACCAGCCTACATCTTGGATAGAGTTGAACTCAGACGTAATACGCGGAATCGCGGTGGCGATCAAAGTGAAGTCCTGCGGAGGTTGCTTTTAGTCCAGCCAGTTCTCGTGATAATTCGATGTGTGAAAGTCATTGACTTACCAAGCCGACGAGAAGGGTACAGAGACACAGAGAAGCATTGATCATGATCAGCTTGCCGCCTCGTACCTCGTTGGGATCGTCTATCGAGCCATCCTGGGCGCCGATGCCGGGCACGCGCTGTTCGGCTCCGGCGTCCGGAGGGACATCCTTGGCCTCCGGCCTTGCCGCATCTTCGCTCGGAGCTGACTCCGTTTTGGAGTCCGCAGTGTTTCCACTCATGGCTGTCGAGGCTCCCTGGTGGCGTGACCACAGTGATGGCGAAGTCTGGATCGAGTTAACAAGGGGCGACGAAGTAAGAAGGGAGGGTTCTGCATCCAACATGTTGGCTGTTGAGCGCGACGGAGGCAAAACCTGGGCTAGTGGAATTGCTAGACCGGACGGGAAGGTCGCCCACGAAAAATGGGTCCAATGTATTCTCTACCTGAACGGTACGAGTTCCGAATATCATATGTCGGCCATTGATGAAATGATAACTCACATTATACAAAGTTTTGGCCGTGGCCACCGTGCGGAAGGACCCGAGCTTCGATTGGCCGGGTATAAAATGACATGTATGGTGCAGTACGTGTTCTGAATGTCTGTTGCCTGACAATTTGGAATTTGCCAAGTTTTGATCCATGCTGTGTAACCTCTCCCAGGCTTCCTTGCGCACCGTGTGAATCCCACACCGGTAGAACGGCACATTTCAGCCAGTGACCACGCATTCGAGGCCCCGTTGTAAATCTTCCCCGCCTGGGGGCGAGTTGCGTACCACCGCGTAAAATTGCGTGGTCTTCCTGCAAGTTGCGATCCTAACGCAACCTCACAGCCGCCGTCGTGTGCGATAGCTAGTCCATCGGGAATTGCATACTTTTTAGATGCTTTCTCCGGGTGGAAATAACACAACGGTTGACCAGTTTGGGACAGCCGTGTGCCCTATGTCAGACTTTCTATTTTTCAGGGTCTTTCTCGTGCCCCAGGTGTGCAGTCAGCTTCTTGGTTCCAACGCCAACCACTCGCACAAAGTTCCCCGCCAAACGGATGGCTGACGCACGTTTGCAGCCACACCAAAGTCCGCGAATGATAGCCCCCCAACTTTTCAGACAGCTTGGAGATCACCAACAGAAATTGCCATGATGCCAAATACCCTGTTTGCCGATATGATTCAATGGCAGTGTCCTTGCTGGCAATTTGTGTGCGGCGGGGTGCTCACATTTGTACTTTTGTACTTTGTGATTGATTCTGTCCTGGCAAGAAGAGATATTGCCAAATTGCCTGGTCTACCCCCTGTTGGCACCCCATGGGCCTTCACACCACGAATCGTGTCCAACTCGCTGTTTGCATGGGACGCGGCCTCGCTCTTGCAGAGGGGTTACCGTCGCGTGAGTAAACCTTGCCTGTGTAACTTTCTTTCATTGCGATCTATCAACGAGCGGCATCAGACTGACCTGGACGCCAAGTTCAAAACGCGTGCATTCCAGCTGGTGCAAAATGACAAGAATGTGATCGTGCTGCCGCTTTCTGTCCTTGAAGAGCTCGTGGCGATTCCCCCGACTGTGGCCAGCCCCCATGGTGGGCTTGAAAATGATCTCCTCGGCTCCTACACGGGACTGGAGCTAGTTCTTGAGAGCAGGCTTCACCATTCCATTATCCAGCGTAAGCTGACACCGAGACTCGGATTGGTGACACCCGGGCTGGAAAAGGAGCTCTGCAACGCACTCGCAGAATGTCTCCCGAACAGCGAGGATTGGGTTGTTTTCCAACCCTATCAGGCTTTTAGCAAGGTTTCAGCCAGATTCTCCTCCCAGGCAATTACTGGTCCAGCATTTTCGCACAATGAAGAATGGCTGAATCTCGGGGTCGAATATGTTGAATCCCGTAAGTTTATTTGTCGGAATATGCACTTACTTATCACTAAGCTGTCTTCGCCCAGTGTTCCAGACTATTGTCTGCCTCCGCTTTCTTCCACCGTGGACGCGTCCGGTAGCCTGCTGGCTTCTACCTCCATATTGGTACTGCAATGGATACCTCCGCAGGGCAAAGCAGCTCCTCGGCCCAAAAATACAGGAACTCCTCGCCGAAAATGACGCCGGGCGTTTTGTCCCTCAGGACAATGACGAGCAGCACATAAACGTCCTTAGCTGGCTCATTGACTCCGCCCGCGGGAAAGACCGCAACCCTGCCACCATCTCCCACGTCATGGTCATCCTAGCTCTGGCGTCGGTGCACACGGTCCTTTTGCGCATAGTGAATATCATATACGACGTCACAGCACACCCGGAGCTGCTGGACGAGCTGCGCGCCGAGATCGACTCCGTGGCCAGGGACTGGCGGGACGCGCCTTATGACAGGCTGCACAAGCTCGACAGCGTGCTGATCGAGTCGCAGCGCACATCCCCACCAACGACCACGGGGCTGAAACGAATCTTCCGCGCCCCGTACACTTTCCAGAATGGGTTGCACATCCCCAAGGGCTCCTACGTGTGCATGCCAATATACGCCATCGAGAACGACCCTGCGCACACCGCGGACCCTGAGGTGTTTGATGGGCTGCGCCAGTACCGTCTGTCCGCGAAGCAAGAAGGCTCAGGGGTTGAGGGCAAGGGCAAGACCTTGACATTCAGCTCGACCACGCCCACGAGACTCAACTTTGGATACGGCCGAGCCGCCTGTCCGGGGAGGTTCTTTGCCGAGCTCGAGCTGAAGATGCTGTTTGTCAAGCTGCTCTGCGAGTACGAATTCAAGTTCCTCCCGGGGGCCGGAAGACCTGCCAATATGATGTTACACGAATTCCTGTTCACGTGGCCGTGGACCAAAATGTACATCAGACGGCGGAAGTCTGGTGCCGCTCCCTTTTGACTGGAAGGCGATCGTCATGTGGCAGGGATGGGCATGTGGCACGGTGCAATGCACGTGCACCTGATGAAGGCCAAGCATTAAGTATCCGTGGGGAAAGAATGGTCATGCAGATCCTCATGAGACTATCGGCGTCAAGAAATACGCGTATCCTTTTTCATCGGGACATTCCGTACAACATGATGAATTGGCTGTCATCTCTTACAAAATCAAGTGTATATGGGACATGAACGTGTATATTAACAAGTGATCACCGCAAGTTCGTAGATGTTCACTGACGTGAATATGAAAGTAGTTCATATATTTACACTCTGCTATCTCGAAATACACCCCATCCCTCTGCCAGCAGCGCACTACTTCAGGTCTCTCCCCATCTTTCTTCTTCCCCTTTCCAACCATCACAAATTGCTTCTGAAGTTGGCCCCACCTCAGACCTCTTGACGATGCGACCTCACCACGTCGACGCCTCTGGTGACATTGATGCCGCCACCCTCAAGATCATCCAGCTCGATCGAATCACCGTGCACCTTGGTAGCGCCGGAGTTGATCTGTGTCTTGGTGGTGCTCCGCAGGGGGAGCTGCCCCTGCTCGTCGTCTACCGCGGTGATGTCCTGCTTGGAGGCGTTGGTGCTGGGCAGCCGGACCGCGTCTCTGTTCTTGCTGCCGCGTGGAGAGCTCATGCCGCTCGCGAGGGAGAGAATAGACCGGACGCTCCGGACGAGTGACTCTGGGGCGCGGCCGCCCGAGATGAGCGGGCCAAACGTGGGTAAGCACCCCGCGATTATAGAGCAGTGTGGTTCAACTATGAGGAAGCAGAATTGTGTTGCTTGGATGGCTGGTATTAAGCATTAGCAAGGATGGCGTGGTGAAAGCCCCCACCCTCTTCCTTCTCTCTGTGACTGCTAGACGGGGCCCAGGTCGCGAATGAATGCGTAAAACTTACAGACTGAAGCCTTTTGGCTGAGGATGGATGTAAGGACCTTGTGGTTCAAGGCTAGCCGAACTGCAGAGGCGACGCAACAGCTATTAAGCGGGTATATGTGTCAGTCGAGCATACAAAAACGGCAGGACGATCCGCGGAATCGAATCAATAGTAGGAAGCTCCATGGCAAGATGCCATCGCGGAGCGCGTCGTGACTGATTAGACCTGACTTACAAAATGCCTAGCCAAAAGATGGCACCAACCATGAACTTTCTTTTCGTGGGCATGTGAAGAGTGGAGATGATCGGCAGAGGAAAGCAGAGAATTATAACATCCAGAATCAGGCTTGATCCAACCTGAGTATAACCCACGATGGTAGGGTCGAGCCTCCAGACAAACACTTCACCGGCGGCCGTAGCCCGGACGAAGCTTGCGGGGTTACCTTGAAGGGCGACGATCTGAAGCGGAAAAGACAACGGTGAGCAGATATTCTCGTCACGTGCTTGCTCGTTGGTGAAGCGCTTACAAGAATCATGGATATCCCCCAGAGCGAGACGAAGACGATGGCGATCCATACTGCAATTCTGAACGACTGTATAGAGAAAATCCTTTTGTATAGGAGCAATATGGATATCTTCACCGTAGTCAAGACAATTTGGACGAGACAAGAAGCAACGACAAGACACTGTCCGTTCCATGTGTTAGAGTGGCCGACTTGTCGAGGACGGTTTGGGGTTGGGCGGCACGGGAACACCTACGACTGCGGAGTAGACAGAGCCTGACAAAGGGTCCGTCTTGAAATAATCCACGCCTATCAGGTCGGCATAGACCCAAACATTGATACTAAGCGCGATGGAAAGCACCTATTGATGTCCCACGTCAATCACATTGCTCCTGGCGGGCCTCTGGTGCCACAAGTCGTCGAGAGACGACGATCAAAATATCGGCGACTCACCCATGTTGCCACGATCCACCAGTCGTCTCCCAGCAGGCCAGCTTTTGTCCTCAGCCGGGCTTTGAGTCGCAGCAGCACTGAGCCCAGCGACAGGATAGGGAAGATCACCGATACCACCACCAGTCCGGTGGTGATCAACGAAGGGGTTTTTGTGTTATCCATTTCCCGTAAGAATTGGTCCCAGAAGAACGAGATCGTTGCGTGCGTGATGCTTTGTTGGCGAGACTTCTTTTCTTCGTCCGGTTGTCTTTCTTTCTTCTAGCGTCCCGGAACCGGACGTCTGACCAACTGCCACATGGAGAGGCTTCTAATATGTGGTCAGCACTAGTGACAAGGGACCACAGGAAGCAGCCAAGGGGCTGGACGCGTCTGCCTGTGCGACGACCGGATATGTCTTTTTGTCAGGGTGACTTCTGCCACTGAATTAAATACCTCAGAGCGTTGGTCGTAAGCTTCTGGTCGTAGTGCATGGTAGAGGATTGACCGGTCAGAGTTGTTATGCTGTGTCCTGTTTCACGCCATATGCAGACACGAACAGGGAATCTTCAACCCTCAAGGGTCGACCCAGCCTCGCGAGTGGGCAACCCTCTTCCACCTCCCGGTGTGCCACTCCATGAACTGCGCTTAATCGTGCATTCAGGAATGTCGGCCGGTCCAAATCCAGAATGCTCGGGTAGGACAGCTACATTTGGCTACGAGTTACATGACACGAATGATCCCGAAGCAGCTTCCTGTTGCAGCAGGCGGATTGGGAAGCTGACGCCCATGTAGAATCGGCCAAGTACCAAGTAAATGATGGCGGTTAAATAGCCCCCCCACAAGGCATAGCCGAGGCTGGGGTGGTGGAGAAAACAACGTGCAATTGCGCACAGTGAGTGAGATTTCCCCGACGGCCGAAGGGTCATGGAAAGATAAGTAGGAATTTGCCCTGGAACGCATTGTGGGATGACCAGAAGGTCTGGAACCTTATTGGATAATTATTCAGCAACTCGCGGAGTTGCGGCACGCCGACGCGAACACAGACGTTGGCGATCTCTAGCAAAGTCGCTCCGGCCAATTCCTGATGTAGAAGGAACCTCGGTTCACAGAACTGGTACCGGGATTATTGCACATCCTCCCAACCTGCAGCCAAGCACACTGCAGCCCGTTGCATGTTGGTGACACGACAGGGTTGATATCTAATGTTCCACAACAAGAGAGTGTGGCGGATCCTTCGAGTTCTGGGCTTGCAGTGACAGACGCCGTTGTCGCGCAATCGATTTCGAGATCATGGGAGTGGCCAGGTTTTTGCGACATGCCAAGCATCAAAATGTCTTAGCGACTTCCTAAATGCTCATTATTCCATCGTTTTCCCTCACAATATTTCCCCCCCCTGTGCAGGCATCAAACTCCTTTGCAGGAATGGACATGGCTCCCGAACAAAACTTGAATGCCAGCGCCACATGGGAGGATGTGAGCATCCCAGCCCATGGCGTCTCCGGCCCTGGCCTTTTGGTCGCGCTGTTTCTTGTCGCCCTGCCACTATTGTATTGCTTCAGTCACGACAAGACGTACAATGACGCACTCCCAGTGGTCAATCGGTATTTCTCCAGGGAACCACATGCTCTGGCACGGCTGCGATGGGCTGTTCGCGCTAGGAAAATACTGGACAACGCCCATCAAAAGGTAGGACCAGAATTAGTCTTCAACACTTTTGAGAAATTCCAATGCTAATATATAAATGCAGTTCGGGGGTAGTCCGTACAGGCTGGCCCGCGGCGACACCGATGTCATCGTCCTCTCGGCCGACCACATTCCAGAGCTGAACAAACTCCCCGTCGAGGTCATTAGCTCGAGGCAATGGCACGCACTAACAATGCTCGGCCACCTGACTGGCATTGATATTGTGCGGCGCACGAGCTATCACGTCAAGATATTACTTAGCCGGATCAGCCCAGCATTGCCAGATCTGCTGGAACCGACGGGCCAGCGTGCTTGCCGAGCGCTGGAGCGCCTGCTTCCCCAGGACCCTGAGGCTCCGTGGACCGTCATAGACCCCCTCGACACTGTGGTGAAGTGTGTCAGCGAGGTTGTTTCTTTGGTGTTATACGGGCCACCGACCTGTGATGACCCCGAAATGGTGCGATTATGCCACGAGCACACGAAGCACCGTACGTAATATCACCGCAGAACAACCCAGACTTGAGCTAATTGATGTGCCGCCAGTATTCACCATTGTCTTTATCATGCGCTGGATCCCCACATTTCTTCAGCCGTATCTGGTGTGGCTCCTCCCCCAAAAATGGTACCTCGAGAGTGGCTGGAAGGTCATAGAGGACCGCATCGTTCCATTGGTCAAACAACGCATGAAGGAATCCGACGAAGGCCTCCCAACAAACCCCGACATGATCTCCTGGATGGTCAAAGACGCGCGGTCGGCCCTGCAGAAGGACCCATGGTCCCTCGCCCGCCTCACCGGCACCCTCACTGCCGGCGGCACCTACAGCACGGCCAACTTCGTGGTCGAGACCATATGCGACCTGGTAGCTCACCCCTGGCTCCTGGAGGAGGTCCGCGAGGAGATCCGCGCCCAGCACGCGAGGTGCGGCGGCGTCTGGGACCAGGCCGCCTTCAACGGGCTGGACAAGCTCGAGTCCGCCATGAAGGAGAGCAGCCGCCTCGCGCCGAGCGCCATGCTGCTCTACGGCCGCGTCGTCGGCGAGGACTACACGCTGTCCGACGGGCTGCGCCTCAGGAAGGGCCAGACGATCGCCGTCGGCGCACACCACAAGTCCATGGACCCGGGGGTGTTCGAGGACCCGGAGGCTTATAGGGGCCGGCGCTTCTACGACGCCGACCTGGCGAGCCACCGCGCGCAGCCGTTCCGTCACGTCGACCCGTTGCTTCTAACCTGGGGTTCGGGCCGCTGGGCGTGTCCGGGCCGGTTCTTTGCCAGCATGACTGCGAAGGTTCTGCTGGTTAAGCTCCTCGACGAGTATGAGTTCAAATTCCCGAATGGGAAGCGGCCGCCTAATGCTATGATGCACGAGTTCATTCTGTTCCATCCTTTTGGGAGACTCTCCGTACGGCGGAGAAAGGAGGACCTTGGTATTCGTTTTTGAGATGGCGAAGGCATTAGGAGGCGGAAAAGTAGAATAGGTAGAATATACCAAGATCTCACTGCTTCCATCAATGTTCTTCGAAAGTCCTCGTCAATATCCCAGGTCGGACATATCGCTGCTGGATCTTTCCTCAGGTAGGGTCCTCAACGCTGAGATTTACATGCTGTCTGATTTCTTATCAGCGAGAGTTCTAATTTCGTCTCCAATTCCACAATAGCAGACCCTTGGATCGAGATGAAAGTGAAGTCAAATCTCAAGATTGGACCTCGGTTCTGACAGTTTGTTCTCGGTGCAACGCCAGCCGGGATTCTAAAAGTTCCCGATAGTTATTTGCCACAACACATTGTAGAAACATTTTTCCCGATTTCCTCGATCTTTGGTACGGAATCCTTCCGAAATCTGTGCCGACATGCGTAGAACACCCCGTAGAAAGTAGAATAAACTAGCGCTAAGTAGAAGGTACACAGGGCAGGAATACTCGGGCCTACTCGAAAAGGTTGGTTTAGAATGCACGTTGGCGGCCCCACCCGAGCATCGTCGCGCCTCATTGATCGAAGGCGCATGTCTGCACATGTATGCAATTTGAAATGCTGTGATCGTCTGCTGTAAGCTAATCTTATCACATATGTGGAACCTAAACAAATCAGCAGAGTCGTGCAGAAGGAAGGCGGAGGTTGCTCGGCCAGAAGCACGGGAATGCAACCCAACAGCTGCACGAACGGGCAGCGGCCAGGGGGGCCCTCACTGTGCACCATGGATTGGCACTGGCTTGGAACGAGGGGCTGCTTCGACCTGTGCAGTCCTGTCAGTCACGGGACAACTCCTGGTATTTTTCATGATGCGGCATTTCACAAGGAAATGCTTAGCTAAAAGGAGCAGTGTAAAAAGGTCCCGGGCTTGTGCGAATATTTGTTTTGCAGTATTACGTCGTTGGACGTTAAGTTGCCACCACACTTTGTTGTTCTCTTTTTCAGACTTGAACTTATGCAGCAACGCAGTCAAACGGTTGTCGAGTAAGAATGGCACCAGAGAAGAATGGAATGGGCCCTTCTGGCCCGGGTCTTCTACTTGCGACCCTCGCTGGGGCCTGTTCCTCAGGAGAAGGTTATGGTTCAATGTCTACATCCATCTATGACACTGCATGTAAGTCATTAGTAGGCAAGAGGCGGCAGGAGCTATCTTCAGTGTGGAAACTCAATGTGGTTTTTGCCCCATCCGGGGTTCTCACCTTTTTGATTTCTTTTCTAATTGGCGTCAGGGCTTGCCATGATCGAGAAGCCAGTCGGTTCTGGACAGTGGCTCCCGGAAAGTTTCGATTATATCCTGCAGCAGCAATCCAGTAACGGAGACTGGCCATCCTACGCCACAGTGGCGGACGGGATTCTCAACACAGCCGCAGCTCTACTGGCTCTCCGAAGACACTTGTCGTGGAATTGTGCCAATGAAGACTTAGAAATTCGCTGCAAGAAAGCCCAGAAAGCCCTCGAGGTCTTACTGGAGCAGTATGATGTATCATCATGCGATCAAGTAGGTTTTGAAATGTTAATCACGCAGCATATCAACCTCCTCGCTGCAGACGGGGTGGCTGTTGCATCCCCGTGCTTGCCACAACTTAATGCAGTGTTCCGAGAGAAGCAGAAACGCCTCTCGTCATCGGGAGATTCCATTTATCAGAGGCCGTCCACCCTGCTGCACTCTCTGGAGTCGCTGATTGGGCATATTGACTTCGACCGGATCCGCTGCCGGCTCGAGCCCAATGGGTCCATGTTGAACTCGCCGTCATCGACAGCTGCATATCTCATGCATGCCTCCGAATGGGACGATGACGCTGAAAGTTATTTGAGGACTGTTTTGCGTCAAGGAACTGGACATGGCAGGGGCGGTTTGCCTTGTGCTTGGCCTACTACTATGTTTGAGGTTTCGTGGGTAAGTTGTTCAATTCGTTGAAAACTCAAATCGCTCAGGGTATAAAATCAGGCCGCTGACATGTGTTCACTCGATAGACCGTCACAACACTTGCTCATGCTGGCATTCCGCTAGAAGAAGAATATTCAGCAGCTCTGCGAGCAGTTTTAGAGCGCGCCTTGTCCGAAGGCCAGGGACGTGTTGGCTTCAGTAAGAGAGATTTCTTGGACAAATACATATACATTTCACGTCGCTAATACACAATTATTGCAGCTCCAGATACGTCCGTCCCAGATGCGGATGATACAGCAAAAGCTATCCTGGCCCTGAGATACCTAGGAAAGACGGACGTCGACATTGGGCCACTCCTCGCGACGTTCGAGGGTGACGAACACTTTTTGACGTATCAGGGAGAAAGGAACTCGAGCTTCAGCACCAACTGCAACGTCCTGATATGTCTCCTTATGCTCGAGGATCCTCTGCCATATACCTCGCAGATTATCAAGACGGTGCAATTCCTCAGTGGCCGCATTTTTACAGCCCAGATCATGGACAAATGGGTACGCCATGACCTTCACTTTACCACGTGCAAATGATGCATAAGAGGTCGATACAGGCAGAGAGACTAACAAGAAATATGCAGCATCGCTCTCAACTTTATTCCATGATGCTTTTATCTCAGGCGCTTGAGCACCTCTACAGTGTCTACAACACGGATCTTCTCAGAGAGATTTCGTCGCAATGCCCCATACTCTTCAATGAACACGTCCCATTTGCATCTATCCAGGTGCTAATCAAAATTCTTAGTACTCAAGAGGAAGGGGGCTCTTGGGAGGGTATGTGCGAGCTGACAGCTTATGCCATCCTAGCCCTATCGTCGCTCGCACACCTTCCATGGCTAAGTGACGAGCTCGACCTATACGGAATTGAGCCCTGCGTTGACCGGGCAAAATCTTATCTGCAGGCATCCGGTCACAGTGAATGGGCCAAAGGAAAATATATCTGGATCGAGAAAGTCACCTATGCCTCGCCCCTCCTCTCCGAGGTCTACTGCCAGGCCGCGATGCACGTCTCGCTCCCTCAGCAGCGAGAGAGAGAAACACCCACACAATACCCGTCACAAGTGCTCCCTAACCCTAAAGTCCTCACCGCGATGCGGAAGGCAGGCACGCTGATGGCCCACACGCCTCTCCTGGGCCCCTCTCAGCTGGCACCCAGTCTTCTCCGCGCCGCCGAGCTGCAAGCGACATACGCGCTGCGCGACCTCGAGAGACACAAGCATGACGTGTTCCCCGCGCCGCCGCGCAAGAACGGCGCGGATGGCAACGGACGCAGCAATGGGGACGCGGACAAGACGGCTAAGGACAAGTACCTCATATTTGTACCGCTCACCTGGACGGCATGCGGCGCGCTGCACGGCGGCAGGGCTGCCAGCCCGAAGGTGCTGTACGACATGATGCTTTTCTCCATGCTGGTGTACCAAGCGGACGAATACATGGAAGGGGTGGTGGAACAGGACCTGGGCACACAGCTGGATCAAGTGAGGGATTTGGTCATGCGCGTGGTCCGCGGTGAGCAGGCGCGTCCTATCCTAGATCGGCAAAGAGATGACTCGCAAAGGGAGGATGGTGTGAAACGCAGAGAGCTCGCCGCCGACACTGAGCCCTCCACTGCGCTTGTGGACGCAGAACTGGTGCTGCGCAAGTTTATCTCGCATGTCATATGCCACCCATCCGTGGTGAGGAGCCCGCTGCACCTCCAAACGCGCCTGACGGGAGAGGTGGAGGCATTCTTGCTCGCCCACCTTGAGCAGGCCGAGGACAACAAGACGCTGCGAGCCGTCCAGCGAGAAGACGGGAAGATGGGCTGTCCTCGGCCCGACGGGCTTGGGCACGGGTCCAACCACGCGTGGAACGGCGCTGCCAGTGGCACTGCATCCGGGAAACGGCAAAATGGGCGGCTCCGTCCGTCGATGACGGGCAGGACGTTCTACAACTGGGTACGCAGCACGTCGGCCGACCACACGTCTTGCCCGTGCGCCTTCGTCTTCTTCAACTGCCTCGTCGGCTCCACGACACCTCGGGCTTCTCCCTTCGATCTCTACGGGCACTCTGCCAAAACGGCATATGTGGCCGAGGACCTGTGCCGGCACCTAGCCAGCATGTGCCGCATGTACAATGACCACGCGAGTGTTTCGCGGGACCACAGCGAGGGCAATCTCAACTCTATTGATTTCGCTGATTTCCACCACGATGGGGAGCGCGGCGGACTCGATACAGATTTGGAGGCTAGTAAGACGCAACTCATGTGGATTGCGGAGTACGAGCGACAGGGGATGGAGGCGGCGATGGCGAGGCTGGAGGGGGACGTTGGCGGTGGCAACAGGCTGGGTCGGGAAATATTGGACGCTGTGAGGTTGTTTATCTCGGTGACGGACCTGTACGGAGAGATCTACGTGATTAGAGATATCACTAACCGAGTGAAGCAAGGTAGTATTGGGGCGGAGGAATAGGTGCAATAGTATACTGAAAGAATTTCTCCATGTCAAGATCTTGGCATATGTCTATTGAGACATTATCTTTGGGCCTTATCTCTACCCAGGGCTATGGCTTCAGCCCATGTTCAATTTCTATCTAGATTATTATTCCAAAATTACACATGCACCTAGGTAACATTGGTGTTTCTGGACCGGGGCACAGTCGAAGTTATGAGTGATACCAACATGTTGACTACTATAGTATTAATAGTCCTCGAGGTATAATCCAGGACTTACCTCTGATTCTACACTGATGGTGAATTAAAACTGATCAGCTTAGAGTGACTATGCGCATGTGGTGAGATGTGACGTACGTTCGTTGCATTCGAATTTTCCAACTTGATCAGAAGGCATTGTAAGTATCTTTATATTATCTGTTCTTCAACATTGTCTGTTTTCCTCAGAAAAATCTAGATTATATTATGAATTTCCTTCCTCTTCTCTTGTTTTCATTAACACGCTTCTTTTGTCAAGTGCTACTTCAGGAATCCGCTCAGTTGGAAGCTTGCTCCTCGGCGAAAGGTCGTAGCCTGAGGCTTCATTCGCGGGCAATTCCCTCCACATGCTGGCCATCAACCCACGGCCGCCGAAGGACATCATTGGTAACTTTAATCTTCTTCCTGACCTGCTCCAGCTGCTGCTGTTGCTGGTGGTGACGGACCTCTTCTTGTATGAAGGTAAAGTCTGAGACTCGGTCCTCCTGGATGATCTGATGGTAGCCTCGAGTAAACTCGTGCCGTACTTTACGACGATGATGCGAGTTGCTGGAAGACTTGCAACGATCATTCCGACGGTAAGCTCGACGACAGTCCAGACGGCTACGGGGTAGTAGCTTGCTGCAAAGAGGTTTTAGTAACTCTTATGTGAGCGCCACCAGGGGGAAGGCAATAGTCTTACTGTTATCGGCAGGATTCTTGCCAAATTCAGTCAGTGTCGTGAGGCGGATGATACTGACAGCCGTCAGACTGTAAGACGAGTGATCAGCCAACGTAAATCCCTCTTAGATCGTTTCCTGGGCGTGATTATGCTGAAAGGCTTACAAGATTCCTACGGCAAACATCGCCGAGACGTCAAGCTTCTTCTTAAACGACATGTTCAGCCTCCAAACCTGAGTAGCTGGCAGGATAAGCATCCAGACGTCCAGGGCGATGTTTATGGCTGAATGGGCGTAGGCCATGGCGTTGATATCGAAGCAGCTACCAGAATGCTCCTTGTCCCATGCATCCCAAAAGTAACTTAGCGGCACGCACTCGCCAAAGTCGGCACAAAGGAAAGCCACGATAAGCAAGCTGTTGAAGATCTGAGTACCCCATAGTACCCTTCTCAAGGTCGAATCCGAGAATATTCGTATGTAGAGGAAGCAGATCGAAATCTTGATTATTCCCAGCGTCAGGGTGTAGAGGACCTCGCATATGAAGTAGACCTTGAGTGTGGCCGTGATCTTCCAGAATTCAAATGTCCAGTATGGCTTTCCAGCGCCGAGTTCCGCCTCTGTGTTGGGATGGTCAGTAACCCCTCTGCGACACCAGAAATGTAAGCAACCGCACCTGCTATTCCACTTGCGAGGAACCCTACGGTAAAAACCTGTGAATGGTCAGCAATGGTATCCAACGGGTGGAATATACGTAGGCGTGGGAGAAGAGAACATGCCCAAGATATCACGATGGTTGTGTCATCAAGACCCCATGGCACCATTCTCACAACTCGTGAGGCCATACGGAGGATAAAGAAGATTGTCTGTGACGCGAAAAGGAGATAGTGTAGTAACTTCAGACTCCCAGTCGTGTCGTTAAATGTGACGCCGCAGCCCAGAGAGGTTACTCTTTGTGTGGTCAACTGCTCCTTCACTGAGCAGTTTCCTAGGACGCATGAGTTGACAAAGTCAATATAGACCTGGTCGGCACAGAGACACGAATCGTCGCTGGGGAGGCATGATGACTGAGAGAGGGCGGAGATCAGGCATTTTACCTGCTCAGGTCTGTCATTATGTGATCAGGCAAGACAAGGTATGCAGTGATTGAGGTGAGAGGTACTCACACCGCATTCTGGGATACCTGTGAGGTTCATCGTGGCGGATAGCGCACCAGATCGACAAAGATTGAACGATGAGTCTGACTAAGATCTGTCCAGGGTCGTTGGAAATGTCGTTGAATAGGAGCGTGGCCAGTTGGGCTTATATCGAGCTACGTTGTCTCAGTTCCTTTAGCGCCATCGATCGCTTTGACACAGGACTACTCTCGGGCCGGACTGACTGGTCAGATATTTGGGGCATGATCCTGTCGGTTGGTCCGAAAACGCAACCTTGTCAGGGCCTGTACCCCGGCCACGATAGTTGGCTGGTCTGGACGTCTGTGTAACCATAGCTGCCCGCGTCCATTTGAAGCGCCAAAAGGTATATGACCTCCAATCCTGTTTTATATAGGCTCTTCTTTGTTATTAGTTTCCGATAATAATACCTTTGTGGGAATCCTGGATCCGGTCAGTACAGTAAAGGACGGAATTTGAGCAGGGCTATCAATTTCCCCGGCCTCCCTTGTGGTTTGGCTACACATCAACTCTACCTAGGTAGTTTACTGTTCTGGTTCCGGCCGGGTAACATCGCCCTAGTGATGAGAATCAACACTGGTTCGACCTGCAGCCCAAGGGGTTTGGCATGAGGTGACGACACGACTCTCGAGCTGGCTGTCTCTTCACATCTTAGTGTCTTGGGGCCAGGAGCCAGAACCAAGAAGAACTCTACTAGATTCAGCGCCATATCTTTTATTGGAGATCTTCAGCAACGCAGTCCGTTCAGGGAAGAACAAGGCTAAAGAGAAGATCTGCTAGCTGCTAGGCGCCGTCTGGAATCCATGCGCATCAAAGCGATGGCCTGGTGGCAAGCTGTCCCACAAAGAACGGCGCTAAGAAATAACACACATGCGACTAACGTCGAGGATCTAAGCTCAATTGAACTTTGACGGACGGGCCGCGGTGTTCGTGCAAGCGCAAGGACATTCCATCCGGCTGGAGCAAAACTACTGGCTCCTGCCTTTGCAGAATTCCACGGAGAACGATAATGCCGGCGCATGTTACCACTTCATACCTCTGCAACCCTGTCTGTATCTTTGGCTCATGCGAGACATCATAACATGGCTGGGTGCGACAATGCCGGCTTGGGGAGCGATGAGCCAATCTGCCGGACTACAACTTCGGTCGAGCAGTTGTTCGCCCCAATACAGCCGTCTACATGGAAGTAGAGTTGGGGTTGAACGCGTCAAGATTGTGCTGCGTTCCATTGTCATTCGTTCCGTCCTGACACACATAGAAATGATGTCCAGAAGAGCAGTTCGGTCTTGCTTTTGGGTCCGGTCATTTTCACGGAAGGGCCGTTTTCCTAATTCTTGAGCTCATTACGATATACTATGTTCGAAACCCGTGGGTTATCAACAAAGGCGGGTTCCAGACACGAAGGATATCATACCAGTAGAACGGAGAGATGAATGCACTGTTGATCACTTTCCTGCTATGCTCAATTCGCACGTAACCCATTTCTGGTTGATAAAGGACTACCCGTCCTCTTCTGAACTGGCAACTTTCATCTCGGAGTCTTCTGTCCCATTCTAGGATGCAACGAGGAACCTGCCGTCGTGATGATGCAGGTAAGCTCCTAAGCCAAATAGGAGAACGTCCTGGTTGACCCAGACATCTACATCGTCTCAAGCTTAGGCAAGACCAATTTTCCCACTTCCTTGCCGCCATCACCAGGATCGGCAGAGGTAGCAGTGATTTGCACCGAGCCACCCACAATCTCAATCTGCAGGTTGTACTCAAAAACCCGTCGTCCACCGCTGTCAGAGTCCTCGACGGGGAGTTGCTCGATCGGCTTTGGGGCCGTGATCGTCATGGCCCCGTATTCCCGGAAGGTCTCCTTTCCTCCGAACCGCTCAGGGGGCGAATCGCCATCATGTGCGTAAAAGATCGATCGTTCGGAGTGGTTTCCTTTTCCGCCTCGGTCGAAGGCGAGGTACATGGCCATTGTCGATTTCTGGTCGGTGCTTATCAAATCACCCTGCTTACGTGGAGAGGAGTCAGTACAACACGGCAGAATGGACACGGGCGAAAGGGGAATCGTGAGACATGCCTTCTTGACCACCCATCTCATGAAGTTCGGGATCATGTAGCAATCGAAGTCAGGCATCCAGATACCGCCCTCCTCGGCGGAACCTGGTTCGTTCTGAATGAAACCAACACTAATCCTCGACGATCGGCTCTTCACAAGACGATTGTTCAGCTGTGCACGCATGCCGAACTGACACGCGCCCCGGCAAACTGCCGTCCATGGCATTTCGCCCGTATCGCTATGAATCTCGATTCCAGCGGAATCGAGTTTCTGCTTTTTGTTTCCATCGTTCTTGGTGCTTTTGGAAGCAACACTGCTGCCCTCAAACTCCTCTCGCAATCTCTGAAGCACGTAAGGACAGCGCCCGAATCCGCCAACAGGTAGAATGATGCGTGGGCCCTTGCCATCATGTGCCTTCTTGACTCGCTCGACCTGCCGTTTGATGAGGTCGATGGTTCTGGGCATCACCGAGCCCTCGAAGACGTCCCGGATCTCGTTCTCATGCAGGAGCACGACGTCAACATTGGGGTTGGCGTTGGAAAGGATGACAGGCCACACTTTGCCGGTTCCCACCCATTTGAAGCTCCGCTTGATGTGGTGCTGCCACTGCTCGGAAAGAATCCTTCTCCAAGCGCCGGGTCCGTTGGTTTTGAGATTCTTGTGCTTGGCCGGAAGTCTGTTCAAAAGGAGCTTCTCGAATGCCTCGTCCACAAATATGGCTCCGCAGAGATCGCCTGATCCTGATCAGCTACGGCCGGCGAAAGCTTTACTTCATGCGCTTACCTTCGCCTGGAGCAGCCTCTTTCAGCTCCAAAAACGACTTTTCGCCCTTGCCCACCTTCTGGTAGGATATGATATCGGCGGTTCCACCACCCATGTCTGCAACCATGACAATGTCGTTCTCATCGAGCTTCAGTTGGAGCTTCTGTGCATAGGCTTGCACAGCTGCCTCCGGCTCTGAGATGAACTCGTAAGTCGTAAGCCCTGCAGAGCGCGACTGAAGAATGCTGGAAGCTGCGGCATCCTTCATCATCTGAATGGCCTGGTTTCCCCAGATGGCCGGAATCGTGATGACGACGTGGATGGGCATGGATTTGGAGTCTCGGTCTCCGATGCCATTCCTGATCTCGCCCTGCGAATGAGTCCAGACTTTGCCAATGTACTGCTCGATGACCTGAGTTGCGCTGATTCCCAGGCCGCGCAAGTGTTCTCTCGTCTCTTTGAGCTTCGCGGAGTTCCGGAGGTAGGAGGGAAGGTCTTTGTCGGCCACGATGGCAAGCTTGAACCACTCCATATTAATCCCATCGGCATCAGTGGTCTCGTAGCCCCACGCCGTGACTTTGCCTTGATCATCGTAAAAGAGTCTCGACGGTGCCTTGCTCTCATCTTGATCTGGGCCGTGAGAGCTCGGCCAGGAACGAACAGTGGGGGTTTCGCCTTCGCTCATGTGCTTGGTCTGCGGATAATGCTCCTGCCAGGCAACACCAGAGAAGCTGGGGCTCTGGTTAGTATGTCAAATTACAATGCTTGTAGGTTGTACGTACGTCGTTCCAAAGTCCAACCCGACAACGAGCTGTTTTGCCTGAGGGCTGTGCTGCAGAGCATCCTCCATCTTCGCATTGGCCGGTGGCTCAGACGCGCTCAAGCAGTCGTTCTGGGGGCGGCTTCTGTTCTGGTCTTGTGATTATCTGGACAGAAGTTGAGGTTGAGAATAACAAGGAGCCTTTTGAACTCTGTTGACTGGTGGCACACAGCGGAGGATTATGGCAGTTGTCTCAGCAGGAGTGGGGCTCACGAAGTAACGAGAAAGAAGGGTACGGGAAGACAAACGAAAGAGAGGACGACCTAGCTGGGGAAAGGGGTTCAGATCGGATGTCATATCAGCTGAAAGTGAACAAACGGCCGCCGAGTTCTGGGAGCACTCTCCAGTGAGAAACTGAAGTCCCTTGACAGCTCTGGTGCACTTTCTCTCAGTAGGCCCAGCAGCTTTCATCCCATTGAGCATCAAACTAGCGCCGACACAACCTTTCCGTTGCACGAGCTGGCAATTTGGTACCTAGGTACTGATTGCTAGGTCACCTCACGTAAGGAACGCTTGTAAGGCCTCGTACCACTCTGGCAACGCACACTTGACCCAAGTATCTGGGTACTCAGGTATGTAATGGGCCCCACCCCGACTCGACTCTCCACTTCAACACCACAGGAGTACTCGACCAACCTTCCAGTTGAACAACCTCCCCTGGGACAACCTCCCGTGGGACAATCTCCCGTGGGATAACCTGCCTTGGGACACTCCCCTCACGACCATCTTCCAGTGGCATCGCCAACCATCTCTGCTGACACTTCGAAAAGCCAGACGCGACCGTCTCAAAACCCACCGCAGCACCGCAGCCATGACCTGCAATAAGAGGAAGGGGGTCGACGGTGAGCCCGACGGCAACGAAACTGGCAAGAAGACGAAAAGGGAGGAGGACGAGCCAGGACTGCCAGAAATCCAGTCCAAAGCGGGCATGATCCAAGGCCCTGACGACGCGTCCATCACGAGCCTGTTCACTACCCTCTTCTACACCATCAACACCTTCGTCCACGAATATTTCAAGGGCGCGCCCTATTCCATGGCCCGCAAGAATGATCAGAAGGTGTTTTTCGAAAGCCTGACCGGCAGTGACTCCACGGCATACCTGAAGTCAAAACAGCCAGGAGCTAAAGAGGCGATCATCACGGCCGCTATCTGGAATGAACTCATCAGGCCCTTGCTGAGTGCACCGATCACAGCCTTCAATGAGACGATTCCAGAGCACGCTATTAAAAACCATACTTCAGGTAAGCTACTCACGTGATACCGGCGTCACTCCAAGGTCACTCCCTAACTCGCACTCTTACAGGTGCCGTCGAAGAGTTCTACGCTTGGCGCACTCTCACCGCCCACTTCCTTGCAAGCCACTACAAGGGGCCTATCTCCTGGGGCGAGGGCGGCGAGCGGCGAGAGCAATTCGTTGAAGAGATGGCATCGCTCCTTCTCGACCACTCTGTTATAAAACGACAGAATGAACTGGAAAGTGGGCTGGACGGCATTGCCGACAAAGCCTTCCATCTTGCCACAGCCATGGCCTGCAGCAGGGCATACTGGGTTTGCACGACGAGGGACCCTCGCATCGGGAAACTGCACGGCTTCAAGATCAAGACGGACCGAATGGATGACGTCGATCTCTGGGACGAGGACGAGGGACACGGAAAGGGCACGACTGTCGATCTGGTCAAGACTCCGATGTTGCTCAAATATGGAAACAGCGATGGTCAGAATTACGACCAGTGCCGCGTGGTCAGGAAGGCTGAGGTAGTCGTGAAGGCAAAGAAAGCCCATGACTAGATCGTGGGTCGTGATGGAGACAACCGGAAGGAACGTAGGATACCGCACAATGATTGACCTCTGCTAGCCATCGCGAGACCTACATGAAAGCCTTTACTGCACTTGGTGTCATTTCCTAAGACGATCCTCATGCCGCGGCGCTATTCTCAACGCCAGTCGCAGCACCACCCCTCCTCAACGTAGCTCCCACCACAGGGATGTCCTCGGCGTCCTGGTCGGCAGGGCCCCATCCCTCCCGCTCATCCTTGGGCACTCGCACGAAAAGGAAGTTCAGAATCAGGCCGGCCACGGCCAAGGCGACCCCGAAATACAGCACTGCTCGATACCCATGTGCCTCGTCGTGCGTCTGTTTCAGGAGCTGAGTCTCGATCGTGCCCGCGAACCCCAGCCCCAGGCTGTTTCCATACAAATTCAAAGTCCCAATCAGACTCCCCGCGATTCCCTGCTGCTTGCGACTGACGCTGTTGCTGGCTATGACTTGTGCGGCGACGTACACCAGGTCGGGGCACATACTCCCTACGACAATGGCGGGGAATGTCTGGGCCCAGTACGTCTGATGAACAGGCATTGTCGCCAGCAGCAAATTAGAGACCAACACAAACACCACACCCAGCGCGATGATGTACTGGGCCGCGAGCCTGGGTATGAGCCACGCAGCGATGAAGACAGCAATGACGGACCCAGGGACAAACGGCGTCCAGATCACAGTCAGCTGGATCACGTTCAGGCCGCGGAGGATCTGCTCCCAGGCGATCATGTACCACAGAGAGATGCCAAAGGACATGTAGCTGAGCAGCACGACGAACAGCATGGCGGTGAAGGTCGGCGCCTTGAAGATGCTGACCGGCATGATCGGCTCCCGGGCGACGTACTTCTCCCAGGCAAGGAACCCAGCGAACAAAGCGACTGAGACGACCAGCAGCGCGATCTCGTACGGCGTCGACCAGCCGGCGGAGGGGGCCTGGTTCCACACAAAGTTGAAGAGCAGCAGGCTGGTGAGCCCCAGCCCCGCCCCCGTGTAGTCGATCTTGCCGCCCTTGTCGACGGGCACCTCCCGGGGCAGCTCCAAGAAGAGCAGCCCGAAGAGCACGGCGGTGAATCCGGCGAGGAAGACGAACATCATCTGCCACCGCGCCGTCGTCATGAACAACCCCGCGATGAGGCCCCCGACCCAGCCTCCGATGGGCGCGGCGGCGGCGAAGAAGCCCATGGTGAGGTTCCGCGCGCGGCCCGGCGGGACGACGATGGTGATCATGGCGACGGCGTTGGGCATGATGAGCCCGCCGCCGATGCCGGTCAGGGCCCGCACGGCGACGAAGGTGTTGTAGGTCGTGGTGAAGGCGGTTACGAGGGAGAAGACGGAGATGATGGCGCCGCCTACGAGGAGGATGTACTTGTGGCCGTAGACGGCGCCCAGGCGGCCGCTGACTAGGACGAAGGTGCTCTGGGTGAGGCTAGGATGGTTTCTGTCAGGAAGGGTTATGGGAAACAAAAAAAACAAAAGTGGTGACAACAGGGTAGGTGTCCTCACGAGTATGCAGCAGGCATCCAGTTCGCCTCCCCTGGGCCAACGTCACGGCCCAGCTTCTTGCTGAACGCCAGCCCGCCTGCCAGGGTTACGAAATTCGAGGCATACTTGCAGTTGTTAGCCGCGACGCTCCTCTGCAATTTGAATATGGACTTTACCTGTGTGAGACTGGCCAAGATGACGAGGGTGGTGATCAAGGCCCTCCTTGACTTGTTCAGTGTGGTCGTCGGCTCGGCCTCAAAGACTCGGGGAGATGGTTGACGGCTGGTGGGTATCTGGCTGATAGGGAGTGCCGGAACAACAGAACGTGGTCTCGAAATGGAGGCCGGCCTTGGGAGTTCAGTCAAGGGGATCGCGTCCACCTGAGTGATTGTCGTCCCCATGGTCTCTATTGTTGAGATGGATGCTCCCTCGCTCGGGATTTGCAGATGGCTTTGTGGTTTCGGATGCTGAATCTTCTGCTGCAACAGAGTATTCAAGGCGAGCAGAAAGTCTCGTAGGTGCGAAAGCACTCCCCTATGTCTATAGAATTAATAATGGGTCCGCATCAGGCAGACCAAGTACAGTAGAACCACACGCAGGGAGATCAGTCAGCAGCGCCCTGTGGGAGTCGGAGTACAGTCCCCGCACCCACAGCAGCACCGGCCAAGACACGGTTGGGGTTGGACGGACCGGAGAACACTCGCCCTCACCAAATTGGAGTTGCGATGACGCTCTAGTTTGTGACGAAAAATGCACCACATACGCGGTTGACTAATTGTGACCATCACATGCATTTTTGCAGTTTAGACGGGCTTAGCGGAGAGTGACTCGAGGCTCCCATGGGCCATTTGGGCGGAACTTACGTTTCAGGCGAAGCCAAGTACGACTCTCGCTTAGAAGAGACGCTCAGGCGGAGCTTACGTTTTGAGCGCAACAAACAACGACTCAAGCTTGTATGGGACGGTTTGAACGGCACATTTTGTCACAATGAGAAAGATTCAATGACAGAATCCGTACCAATCCGACGTGTGGTGCTTAAAGGTTTAGCCTGGGTGGCGAGGATTAGATAAGTAGACCAAGTGTCGATGATGGCCGCAGGATTCCAATTTGCACCAATTGAACAGGAGTGATTTAATCGTCACAACGAAACCGGAACCGACTTCGGTCTCGGGGAAGGGCGCACATCACTGCACATGTGTGACACAAATTGCTTGACAGAACAGACTCGATTCCAAGAGCTGGAGAGGGCCAGCCTACACCTTTCTCCGTACGCCCGCACCCCCGTATAATAAATATTATACATGCTCTACTCATGTATTTTGTCCCCGCCCCTCAGATCAGGGTCACAGCTGACCGTAGTGATCCAGCTTGGCTCCTCACATTAGCCTGAGTACTCGATCCATTCCTGTCTTGGTAGCGGCTAAACAAACAAGAGACGGCCACGCCCACACCGGTGATCAACACCTCTGATCAACATTTGGCCTGAGCGGTGCCTGCGAACTCTGTTCAGATAAAACTGGACCACCCGCCCTCTTCACGGGCACCATCTGGATCTTGTGATCGGACCGGACCTTCTCCCCAAGCTGGTGCTTCCGGATCAAGAAGCTGGCCACCATCCCCGCGCCCATGACAGCCGCCACCTCGATGAACACGTGTGTCATGGCAGTCTCGAAGACACTTATCGTCCGCGCCCTCTCCTCTCCGACCATTTTCTCCACGTTGTCGATGAGCTCCGAGATGCTCAGCTCTGACGTGGACCCCGTGTTGAGCTTCTGCAGCTCGTCAAAGCAGACCAGACCGCTAATGCTGATGCCCATGCTGAGTCCGATTGTCCGGATGAATGAGTATGCTGATGCTGACATGGCGATGTCCGAGTTGTCGGACGTTTCGTCGAATGAGGCGTGAATGGGAATGAGAAGAGAGTTGAAGTTCGGGGCGACGCCGATTCCAGCTATGAGCAACAAGACCACGGTGACGGCTGTTGATGTCGTCTTGTTGAGGTGGACGAGCATGCCGCAGCCCATGGTGGCCATGAGGAAAGAACCACAGATTAGTGTTTGGTATCTCTTGGTCGCCGTGATGAGGTACCCTGCCCCGGTGCTCGCGATGCCAAACATTAAAACAAGAGGCAGCATGCTGATGCCGCTCTCGGATGCGCTCTGGCCCCGGACTGCCTGGAAGTAAATCGGAAGGTAGTAATTCAGGCCCATGTATCCAACAGCGTGGAAGAAGGCCGCGAGGTATGCTCCGATCCTAGTGGGATGCGTGAAGAAGCGCAATGGGATGACTGGCTTTGTGGCCTTGGTCTCAGCATATATGAAAAATCCCAAAGACAGGGCTGCCGTAATCAATGAGATCAAAACCTGTGGTGAGCCCCATGAGGTCCCGAGCGAGGTCCATTCGAACGCGAGTAGGGTGAGGACCGTCGCCGCACCGATTGCGAGAATGCCGACTACATCGAGGGTTTTAATGGCCTCCAGGAAGCTCTTTGATGGTCGTGACATGTTGAGGAACAGAAGGGTGATGATAAGACAGACTAGACATATGGGAAGGTTGATGAGAAAACACTGCACACCAAGATCAGCATCCCCCTCCGGCCGTATTCACTCACACTGCTGAGAGCACTCACCCATCTCCAGCTGATATGATCAGCAAGCACACCAGACAGCACCGGCCCAAGGGCCGACGCAACGGCCCAGGTCGCCCCGATGAACCCCTGGTACTTCCCCCTCTTCCTCACGCCGACCAGGTCCCCGATGAGGATGATGACCAGCGCCGTGATGCCGCCCGCGCCCATGCCCTGCACCATCCTGGACGCGACCAGCATGGAGACGTTCTGCGACGCCCCGCACAGGCAGCTGCCCGCCATGAAGATGGATATGGCCGCCACGAAGGCCCACTTGCGCCCGAAGACCTCGGACGCCTGCCCGAAGAGCGGCATCACCACCGCCTGCGTCAGCGCGTACCCGGACCCGACCCACGTGTAGCCCGAGTTGGACGAGGACCCGCCGAGGCTGTTCATGATTTTGGGCAGGGCCGTCGACACGATGGTCTGGTCCAGCGCGGGGAGGAAGAGCGTCAGGAACATGCTGCCGACCAGTATTATGTGGCGGACCTTGGAGAGGCCGTGGCGGGACTCATCCTCCTTTGGGGGCTCGGGGGCCGTCAGGGTGCCGCTCGTGCTTTCCGAGTCTGTGTGATACGGCGTGTCGACCTGGGCGGTGCGTGGAGGGCGGCGAGGTTCGTTCATGTTTGTTTGGTTGATATTTGCACTCGTTTGCTGGAACGTTTCTGGTGTGAGGCCCGAAGACACTGGCGGTTCCTAGGTGGTGGTCCCTGGTGGTGTGGACCCTTGGTTGTTTGGTTGATCGCCCCAAGGTCATGAAGTGACGTCTGGATTTGACGAGGGGCTGGGATAATGTTTCTATGCCTTTGTTTGCCAGGGGGACCGAAGGGAGAGAGTCACCGGCAGGGCAGGGAAGGGGCTACTGGCAACGCTAGCCGCCACGAAGCTTGATCGAGATGCTTTTGTACTGCCCGCTGTGCGGATCTCTGTCTCATACTTCTCATACATTCCACACTCGGACGCATTCCCCTTTGGCATCTCTCTCTCAAGGTCCCAAACGGGGCACTGTACCCGAGACGGACTGGGCTGGCAGAGTGAAGTAAGTTACAGCCAAGCAAAAAGCGTGCCTGCGGGTCTCCCGGTGAATGTTGATCCACGAACGTAATCAAGCTCAGACGGTCTGCTCCGTGCTCCGTCAATTGTGCTTCACAGCCGAGGTACCTTGACCCCGTGTCCAGGGCAAGAATAATCCGGATCAGGGTCGGTGGTACGCACGGTTCGGCCCCCGCGCACAAGCAAGAGACAGCATGATGATCCCTTCTGATCAATGGTTGGCAGCGGCTCTTTTCAGACTATTTGCTCTGTCTAGGGAGCAGCACTCTTTTTTCTTACGGGCGCGAGATCGCCGTTGAGCTGCCTGGCCGCCAGCCGAGACACAGATGTGACTGACGGGCAGGTGGCAGGTCTAGATATTCACTGGCAAGCCGGTCAAGCCAGGTAAGCCAGGTGAAGGTGTGAAGCCGCGGGGATAATCAACATGACACTAAGCCTGCGGGGACCTCATTGGCTTCGAAAACGACTCGATATAAAAGACGTTGCACAGTGTGATAGCCTCGGTTTGCAGGTCGAATCGAGTGCCCGAGACACCGTTTTGGCACCGTGTTACGCTGGCTGTGCTCAGTCCAAAAAAAATCGAGAGAAACAAGAGAACGTCTAGAGGAGGAGGGGGAGGGGCAGGAGTGGCTTGGGGTGTTACGCCACTGACTCACTTTGTTTTCTTGTTAGTGGTGTGTGAAGCAATACACAGACTGGCCGGACTGGGGCAGAGCAACTCGTCGTCATCCAACGCTGCACGGGGGCGATCAAGCGAACCCCTTCACACTTTTACCCCTGTCGATTAGGACGCGAACCTGCAGCCGCCCCCATGCTTCTTCTTCACCCACCCGCCCAGTTCGCGCCAGTCCATCCCACCCACCAACAGATATGCCTGGACTGCCAGACTGCCTGGCGGGTGGCACAAGAGGCCGGGAGTAGGGGACTTTGCTGGCCGCAGGGTGGCAGGGTGGCAGGCACGGTATCCTGCTGTGACAGCTCCATTGAAGGATGCGCCCGAAGCCGCGCTGCAGATCTGGCAAGTCCCACGACAGTTTCCTCTACTCTTTTTTGCTGCGCTGCATGTTGCTTTTTTCTTTCTTTTTTCTTTCCCCTCAGCCCAAAAAGCAACTCGCTTAGCCCGATTCAGCATCGTCGACTCGCTTGATGCATCCGTGCGAGATCTCATCAGTGATAAGCGAGCTGCAGTTGGGGGGTCTCGCTTCTTTGTTCTCACTTCCCACTCTACATCAGTGTGCTTCGTGCTACCGCTCGGCCGAAGCCGCCAACAGGAGGGCGGGCCCTGCCTCAGTCAGAAAGGACCTCGCATTTGACCCCATCACCTGATCTGTCTCAAGTCGCACTTGGGGGGGCAAGGGGAGCACGGCCAAAGCCGCGTCGTACGATGCAGGTCTCCGAGACACTCGCTGCGACTGGACTGGCCTGCGGAATCTTCTTTTGCTTTTTCGAAAAGGGCTTTTGCTCCTTTTTATGTGGCCTGCTCTGCCTAATCGATCGACTGTGCCGATCCACAAGACGACTACATTTTTTGACAGCAGGTGAAACTGACAACTGTTGTCTACGTGCCCATCGTGACTACTTACTTTCACCTGTTCCCGCCCCAAAATACGAAGACAAGCATGAAAGAAACTACAGACGGGCACCTTTCACGCAGAAGCACAAAGGAGACATGTCTCACGGGTCGGCAAGGCTTACTTACTTTCGCAGAGTTGCCACGGCTACATACGCCCAAGACCACAGCCAGTCGCTCAACTCAACTCGGTCAGCCAGTCAACAACCTGAAACCTGACTCACCGCGGGCCCCAGGTAAGCCAGAGCGTTGTATCCAGTGCCCCATCGACTAGTAAAGACATACTCACCAACCCTTACCCATCCCGCCCTGTCATACAGCCTGATGGCGCCCCCGTCCTTCTCGAGCACCACGAGAACGAGCCTCTTGCCCTCCCGCCTCGCCCATGCGGTCGCCGCCTCGAGCACCCCGGACCCAACACCCCTTGCTTGCGCGGCCGGGTCGACGAAGAAGCGGCTCAGCAACTGCGTGGTTTTCCACCGTGCCCCCGCGCTCCAGGTGCGCCTTTGACGCCGGGTTCAGAACGCCAGCTGCACCTGGCGACATGATCGTCGCGTGACCGGCGATGGCGTGTTCACCGTCGGCGTCTTGTTGGTCGGCGGGCGTGATGAGCACGGCCGTGATGGCGTGGAGCAGCTGGTCGGGGGGAGGGTCTAGGAAGGCTTCGAAACAGGATGGGCCGCCTACCGGGTAGCCGGTCTCTGTGTGTACGGCCGTTATGATGTCGAGGAGTCTCGGGATGTCGGAGCGCTCACGCTGGCGCAGCTCAATCTTTGCTCCCGTTGACGAGTCCATGATTCTGTTGCTTCCAGCGAGGCACTTATCATTGTTTTTATATAGATAGCTCGAGCTTTTATTAACCAAAGATTGCAACAACGCGCAGGGCTCTTGGTGGCTGAGAGGAGTCGGCGCCTGTCATGATGCATGCACAGTAAAATCCAGGGCCGGGGGTGGAGTAGCGCAGCGGCACAGTCCCCTCCTGCGCGGTTAATCTCTGCCCAAGACATGCGTGATCGCCGAGGCCGAAGCCGAAGCCGAAAAAAAAGAAAGGCCAGCGAGTTGTCTGTCTCACCTGCCTTCGCCTGCGCTAGCCTTCCTGCAGCTGCAAGGTCGGCGAGGTTTCGTGTCGATCTGCCGTTATCATAACCAGCATGCTCGCAGTTGAGGGCCTTTGTGCGAGGCCAAGCCGGCCCGCGGGCGCAGGCTGCCGAAAATGTAATTATGGGGTTTTTGTTCACCTTGGAATGGCCCTTCCTCGCTCCACAAACACTTTCGATGCGACGTTGCCCTCCCCCCCTCCCCCCGGGACATCAGTGCAACAGGTCCTTTGGCCCTATATGCATGCACGCGCGTGCGTGCAACTGCAGGCAGCCGATACCAGTTCGTGGCTGGCCTGTCACGGAGAGATGGCATGCCTCTGCTGCAGCCCGTCGCGGTTCTGTGGCTTCCTTGGGTACAGAACGAGCATGTGCTCATGTGTTCATGTAGCGTTATTCGGGCGCTGGAATTCGGGCATTGTTGCACTTCCTCGTGGTCATAGATTGACAGCCAATATATGAGAACACCAAAGGTGTGGCTCTTGCCATTTGTTCCCTGCGTGGCCGCTGTGGAACAATGACTTAATTACTTAGGTCGGTCGGGCCGACGCGGAACAGAAGGCGAGACCTTGCCCCGAACAAGAAAATTCGTTATGAAGCTTTATCAATGAGTTGTGCAGCATGGGGAAGTGGTATCAGATTATTCCAAGCACCGACAGAGGACATCTGCTATTGTAGATACTTGTGGCATGACTCCAAGGGATGAACGACTTTTCCAAGCATGGCCTCTCTCCACCGGTCCGGTGGTGTGCTGAGCATCCCCCCCAAACACCAGCCCACAGCAACGGAATAGTCGAATCCAGCCTCCTCCTCTATTTCTCCGTGCCACTCCCGTGCAGCTTGTACATCGAGCGCCCTCTCGATGGTGCTATCCCCCGTGTCGGAATATCTGAGGCGGCAGGGCTGCTCTCCCAGGAGTTTCCCGAAGCACAGCTCCAAAAGAACGATGCCAAGCACTTCCAGCGAAGCGGACAGTTGCATCCTGCGGCTGTTTTCCGTTGAAGGAGTGGGTTCTGATCTTCTTTGGAGGCAGTTGTCGAGGTGGGGCTCGTCGAGTTTGAAAACTCCGGGGTGGGCAGCGTCCTCGAAAAACACAACATCTGATTTCCGCCAAGTGGTCGACAGCCACGGCGATTCCAGAAGCTGCAAGAAGGATGATGATAGGATGAAGGCTAATGCAACTCTTTGTCGTCTCGTTGGGCAAGGTAGTACGTCTTGTTGCAGAAGTCCGTCGAGAGTGATGGTTCTGGGTGAGTTTGATCGATTCGGTACTGAAGGCTCTTGGTAGACGTAATATCGATAGTCTTCTTCGGCGATGAAGCCACATAATTGGCCATTAGAGCATTCGAGTGACCGACACAGGTCGGTAATGGGCTGGGCTAAAGACGAGGAGCCAACTACGGGAGACGGACACTGTTCAACTTGTGTGATGGTGACCGACGCCTGCGTCCTGTATGACAATCAACATAGAGCCAAACACGACGCGCATCTGGATAAGGGACTCATACCTGGTATTTCCAGCAGAATATGATGTATTCTTCTTCAAGGCTGAGCCTTTCGGAGTAGACTTTCGATGACTTGGGTTGTGTGCAGGCATGTTTCCGGCACCAGCGTTTCGGGGGCTGATCTGAATCGAAGCTGAGGTGTCGAGATCTGTACTCTTCTCAGTGACCCTGATCCTCCGTACCTCTTGAGGTTTCTGGGGGCTCTTGGAGTATAAAAGGCGGAAGTCAGTCGGTGTGTTCGTCCGGTGTTCCAAAAGCAGTCTCGTGGAGTGTTGTGGTCGACAGTTGCAGTTCAACACCATAGAAAGAGCTGTGAACGCTCTACTGGCCTGCCGCCAGAACCGACACAATGCGTTGCTTTCGTGATTTCTAGCTGCTGCTCTTTGTTGGGCCAGATCAACATTGTCTTCGCTGATCTGCAGTAGTTTCTTGAGTCTTTTGTTGCAATTCTCAAGCTTGGCGAAAATCTCCTCCCGGTCCTTCTCCGCCTGACTGAATCTTATTCGATACAGCTGCCATTTGCCCTGATCTCTGAGTGTCTCTGCCTTAGACTTGGGCTGACCCGTTTTCTGTGAGCGCTTGTCAGCCGTCCGTAATAAATGATGGAGAGTGTGTCACGGTTAAGTTTACCGCCGCGGGCGTAGACCCTCCTAACGGTTGTTTCGAAGCTACGTCAAAAGCTAACTCGCGGTTCATCGCTTCCAACCCTTCCTGAAACTCGGAAATTCATTGCAGATAGATCTCATGCGAGTCGCCAAGGCGTTTCTCAAGGTTTTCTGCGGTCCTGGTCTCGGTCCAACTCTTGCCTCCCGGATTGTCCAACAACTCGTCGATGCGCGTGTCATCGAGGCCTGCCAGCGGTAGAAGCAGTTTCTTCAAGTTGCCCACGTACACAAGTCGGTGAAATTTGAGCTGTGAGTCGCACTTCTTGTGCTCGGCTGCGATCTTGTACCAGAATCCAAGCCGTCTGGCCACTTCTTTGTATCTGCCGAGGAGCTCTATTGCAATGGGAAAGGCTCCCAGAACCAAACCGGCGACCTCCAGACCCGACATATGGATTTCCCTAGTGAAGGCGGTGGTTACCTTGGCAAACCTAGAAGAAACCCCTAGAGGATGATGGCAAAGGGGGGGCGCAGAGCATGGAATCGTGTGCACTCGAAGATGTGTGGCGTGCGCGGTCAACATCGCACAATGCCCCGCACGCGCGCGCGATATTGTGCTCCAATCGATAAATAGTATTCCCTGGAAGCTGCATATTTTTACTTGCATGCTGTGGCTTTTCTAGGTCAGGGTGTCAGCGACCCCGCCCGGTATCATCACCTGGATCTACACAGGTACGAGACATTTGAGCCTCATCTTATGGGATCAGACCATTGTCGTCGTCTAACAATATGCTTTGATACGCTTCCATAATACATCGAATAGTCCGGCAACTCGGATTGTCACTAGAAAATCACCATCATGCCACAGCCCAGTGACCGCAAGAGTATGGCGGACCGAAGCTGGGACGTTAGACAGAGCTTGCTCGATCTGCTTGACAAGACAAGGACCACGGAAGCACCCATGGGACCGCAGGAAGTGGAAGACGTCCTAGACATGTTCAAGCTATGGACTGGTAACCTCGGAGCTCTTCATCAAGCACACAAACGGATTTCTCTGGAATCGAGGCTGGCAGATAGCCCCGAGGTGCAAGGCCAAATCTGTGAACAACTCGACGATATGCAAGAGGCCATACAAGACCGTACATAATATTCTTCCCTTTTGCTTGCTTCTACTGTCACTTGGCTGACTGGTTTCCAGTACTGGCGCTTTGCTCTGATGCACGCGTGGACCTTGGGTCCAAGACTGAAGATGCACAAGAGAACCCTGCAGGCATCGACCTACTGGCGGATGACCTTGTACCAGACACAGAGTACACATCCAGCAGAACAGAGGCCATCTCAATCTTGAGCATGGCGTCTGAGTGCCTCAAGGCTCTGTTTCGGATCGGAATTCTGGTGAGAAAAGCGACACCCCGAGACCGGTTTGAACGAGCGCTTCAGCAGTCTGGGTCTTCATTCACGCCACAATTTGACATCAATTATGTCGAAGAAAGGTATCCAAAATTAGCTTCCAGGGACTCACGTTGGTTAGCATCTAGGCTGGGCGGTGCAAATGCGAAACGAAGGCAATTTATCAATTACGTTCGAGATCACAAGGCAAAGCTTGAGGTCGAAAATATCATGCCTACAGCGGACGCAGCAACAACAGTACAATCGAGCAAAGCCACGACTTTCGTTGTCCCAGGGAATCTTTCCGCATCGGAGTTTCTTGACTCGTCTCTCGAGGAAGAGGATGATTCCGTTTCATTGATATCAGCATCAACAGCATTCGACAACGATACCAGTCTAAGACTGCCCAGTCTAGCAGACTTGGGTCCAGACGGGAAGCACTTTGAATGTCCGATCTGCTTCACCTTGCAGTCTTTCCACAAGGAGAAGTCATGGAAGTACGTAGAACTTCATGGGATTGCCTCTGTCGGAGCCTTGGCTTTTTACTCCTCGCCATTTCCCGTTGTCCAGGTTTCTCGCAATGTTCTCTAATTGCACACAGAATTCATGCCTACCGCGATCTCAAAGCATACGTTTGCACGACAGGCCGAGAAGAATGTGAGACCAACATGTTTGGTGATCGCGACTCCTGGTTCAGCCATGAGTTGGAACATCACCATTCGCTGTACATGTGCAAACTCTGCGGGTCCCAGTACACGGACAAGAAAGTCCTACAGCAACATCTCTTCGATAAACATGGGCCTTACTCCAACGATGAGATTCTATCTGTCATTGAGCATGGGAAGCTAGTTCCGTCTCAATTGAAGGCACAAGACTGCCCGTTCTGTGACGACTGGGCATCTATTTTGTCACATCGCAGGCATCAAACAGAAGGCCGAGCTTCATCCAGTATTCAACAGGCTGACATCCTGGTTTCTCTAACTCATTTCAAACGGCATGTGGCCACACATCAGGAACAGCTCGCTATCTTTTCTGCGCCAAGGCTTGTCGATGATGACGAAGAGCACAGCCACGGAGCTGTTGAGGCAAATTCGGAGGCTGTCTCGTCCCAAGACGATAATACTCGGATGACTGATGAAAAGCCTCAAACTATGGAAGACTCAACTCCTTCCCAGCCCTGCGTCTATGTGACCGGCCTGCCTCGTGCGGTTAGTGAGGACGACATTGAGAATCACTTCCGCCTCGGAGGCTTCAACGGGATAAGGGAAGTCACATTAATAGACGACTTTGCATTGGTCCAACTCGAGGACCCTGAGGATGTTCTTTTAGTCATTGCATCTATGCATGGATCCACACTGATGGGTGCGCGCATAAATGTACTGCGAGCACGACTTTCGCTTGACCAGAAGACGCAAGTTGTTGAGGAACACTTGCGAATGGACCCGAGCCACTCCGACACCTGGCCCGTTTACGATCTCCGAACAACTCTGCAAGCTGTTCAGGAGCAAGCACCAAGGGATCCAAACAATCTAGGCTACTCGGGCCAGCAAGGGAATCAATACCAGGATGCAAACGTCACACATCAGCAGCTTCAGTTGATGGCGTCTGATGACAATGAGGACCAACTGTCTCAAACTGCTATACAAATCTCCCCGGTCAATTCAGCACATGACAGTGCCTCCATCCAGCTCGAAGACTCGCAGTCACAACAGCAAGAGCAGCAAGCCCTGGAGGCTCATGCCGACAATTTCGATCGTGGTCGAGCAATCGGCGAGATAAGTGCCGCCGACAGCCACTTTAGGACCAGCTTACTCCCCATATGCGAGGAATTCATAGCCAGCCCGCCTTCGGATCCTCAGCAGAGGCAGGATCAGTCCACCCACATAGTGACGATGATCAGGCATGAGGTTTGGTCAACAGTGAACTTCATTGAAGCACATGATGACGAGGAAGTCATGGCGATGAAGACAGAAGTCCTTGAAGCCGTGGACAACATGCTGGAGCGAATTCATGCTCGCGCGAGTAGCAGCTTTGATGGCGGATGGCCGCGGAAGTTGGATGAGCTGGCCCGCCAGCCGCGCCACGGCCCCAAATACAACCAGCTTCTGCACCTTCTCAACGACATGCAGAATCACCAGAGCGCCTGGCCGTTCCTCGTGCCAGTCAACAAGGATGAAGGTTCCTACTACTACGACGTCATCAAGGAGCCCATGGACCTCTCCACGATGGAGCAAAAGCTCGAAATGGACCAGTACACTACTCTGGAGGACTTCACTAAGGATGCTACCCTGATTTTCAAGAACTGTCGCCAATACAACAGCGAGAGTACACCGTACACCAAGAGTGCTGATAAACTCGAGAAGTTCATGTGGTCCAAGATTAAGGAGATTCCTGAATGAAGTTATCTCCCGGTCCAGCCTCCGGCAGGACATCATAGACGACCCGACGGGGGTTCGCCAAGCAACGGCGGTCGCCCGCACGCTTTACCAGGTGACGACCAAAGATTTGAAGAGGAGAAAAAGCAGCAGCAAACACCGGAGATGATCCGCTTCGGAACCATGGCCCAGGAGGAATCGAAAACCTATGAATCTGAAAGGTTCCACTAGGTTCCCGTGACTGCAGAGACTCAGAACTATTTAGCGGCTTTCATTTCAAACAGCATTCCAATAAGCTTACTAAGGCAATAAATTATTGGTTCCGTATCTCTACGTATGAGGCTCAGCCAAGAGCATTTGTTAGAACAGTACATATGAAACTTCTTTATTTGTCTTTTAATATTGCATGCTGACGATCTCTCACTACTTTTTTTGGAGATCTTTGTCTTCGTAGCAACGTCTATAAACAGCTTACGTCCACAAAGATTTGAAGTTGCAGTCCTTGATTAGGAAGGTGGAATTTTCAGTGCTTTGAAGAGCCTGGTATCACACATTGTCCTATCTGCCAATAGTACAAGCAAGCAGGTGCACCTTTACTTGCCCCTGCAATCGCTTCAGCTGGGATTGCCGAGGTGCGGGGAGCCTCTGATGGAAGTTTTTAGCAGGCTGATGTGCCATTGTGTGAAAACTTTCCGAGGCCTGGACATGCATCGAGTCGTGACAAAGCAGTCAGTCTTGCAGGTGAGTTCAGAGGGCCCTCTTAGGAGCAGCTAGTGACAGCCTACCTGCTTTGACCAAATTTTAGGCTAACACATCAGGAACTTCAGCTTTATTTACAATCTTCCATCATGGCATAGTTGTGTGCAGGTTGTGGGTCATGTCAAGTTCTGTTAAAAAAAAAAATTGTGGTCCAAGGAAACCCAAAAAAAGAATTTGACAACTGTGCGACTCGAACGCACGCCTCTTTCGAGACTACGAAGATGATACCACCTGAACGTAGCGCCTTAGACCACTCGGCCAAGTTGCCTTGATGTAAGTATCATTTTATGTTCAATCATGACCTCAAATCCTGCGAGGTGGACCTGCAACACAAAAGTAGCCTCGGCTTGGCCCAGTGTGGGCCGGGTGGGGTCAGTGTCAGCGGGATGAGCCCAAGTTGGTCCGCTTGTTACGTCTCAGTTGTCTCTAGAGAAAACAATGGATAAATTTCATATAGGTGCTAGTCATCCTTAGATGTATAGTATATAAATATGGATTACATTGGAATGCTGACAGAGTGCAGGGTTCAATCTACTTAGCTGCAGTAGTTATATCATACTTGATACACGGCAAGTAACTTAATTGCATAGACTGACCACCCTGTGTGCCTGAGTCGAGCCAGAGCATGTCAGGTAGAGAGCCCAACTACCGTTCACAACGCCATTACTGGATGGAAATTCCTACAGGATCCATCAATACCGTTCAAACCCTCTGGAGCATAACCAACATCCCAGCACCACGTTTTTACTGCTGTTCGCGTAATCTAGTCGGCAGGTAGCACAAAGCCATATGTTCCCTGGTCTCTCAACTCATAGGTATAGATGTATACCGCGTTGCCGGTGGCATGGACGCAATCGATTTAGTGCTGACAGGCGTCCGTGCTGCCCAGCTAGAATCCCAGGTCAGGGTTTACGTTACCGGGGGGAGGAGGTAATTAGTGTGCTGAGTGAGATGTCTGGATGTACACACGCAATCAAAAGGTCGGGTACCACAGGATTCGAGGGGGGTTACACGCATACACCGGTGTGACAGCTCCCCTGGCAGAGATCTCCGCACAACTCAAATACGATCAATAACACGACCTGGCTATCGATCTAGATACAACTTGCGGGGTACTTTGCGTCTGGGCTTTTGAGATGATTGTGCCATGTACGCACCGCTTCAGTCTCAGGTCTTGGTGGTGTAGAACCTCGCCAGCGATATATCCGCTGGCATCTATCTTCCTGCCATGCTGACCGTTCAGAGAAGCTTCCTGCGGCGAGTCCGCCGCATCACTAGCCCCCAAAGAGTGGCGCCGCATCGCCGCGCCAGTCACGCTCAATATTCCACCAAGTTCGACCAAGAGACAGATGTGGTCATCTGCGGCTCGGGCGGCGCAGGCCTGCTTGCCGCTCTGCGGTGCAGTGCCCTGTCGCTTCGGTCCGTCATCCTGGAGAAGACAGACAAGATTGGCGGCACAACGGCCCTGTCGGGCGGCGCCATGTGGATACCCAACAACGCATACCATGAGGCCCGGGGCGAGGACGACAGCCTCGATACAGCTCTTGAGTACATGAACCACTGCATAGGCGAGGCCGGCCCTGCGTCATCCGCAAGACGGAGGCTGGCCTTTGTGCAGCACGCCCCTCGCATGCTCGACTTCCTCCGGGAGACGGGATTCCAGGGGCGGGCGTCTGGCCGGTATCCCAACTACTACCCAGACCTCCCGGGCGGGCACATCAAGCGCAGCGTCGAGTCGGCCCTGTTCGACACCCGAAAGCTTGGCCGGGACTGGCGTGCTCTCGTCCGCCGCGGGCCGAAGTACCCTCCAGTCCACACCGAAGAAGCGTCGAGGCTGTTCCGCTCCGCCACGTCGCTGTCCAACATGCTCCATGCGGCCAAGATCATCGGTCTCAGGGGTCTCGGCCGAAAGGCCCTGGGCCAGCTCCCCGTCACCATGGGGCCCGCGCTGGTCTTCCAGCTGCTCCATCTCAACCTCCAGCAGCAGCAGCAGCGGGGCGAGCGCTTCGACCTCTGGCGCAACAGCCCGCTGATGGGCCTCATCCTCGACGACGACGGCCAGAGTGTCATCGGGGCGGTTGTGCACCGCGGGGCCGAGAAACAGCCGATACGGATCCGCGCCCGCCGGGGAGTGCTCCTTGTCGCTGGGGGGTTCGCCCGCAACGTGCAGATGAGGCAACAACACCAGGAGGGCCCCGTCAGCGATGCGTGGACGTTGACGCAGGAGGGCGACATGGGTGATGCCATCCGCATCGGGACGCATCCCGTGCACGGCGTCGAGGCCCAGGTCGCCCTCATGGACGATGCGTGGTGGGGGCCATCGGCCGTCGACCCCAGGTCCGGGCAGCGCTTCTTCCTCGTCTACGAGCGGGCGCTGCCGCACAGCATCATTGTCGACGGCGGCGGCGACCGCTTCATGAACGAGGCGCAGCCCTACACCGACGCCGTCCACGCCATGTACGAGCGCAACCGCTCCGTGTCGACGATACCGGCGTGGATCGTCCTGGACGCCAGTCACCGCCGCAGGTATCCATTCGCATCTCTGCTCCCCGGTCGCACCCCAAACTCCGCACTACAGTCCGGCTTCGTCTACAAAGGCGCCACCCTGCACGACCTGGCGGGCAAGATCGGCGTGCCACCCGCGAGGCTGGGCGCGACCGTCGAGCGGTTCAACGCCATGGCCCGGCGCGGCAAGGACGACGACTTTGGCCGCGGCGGAAACGAGTACGACCGCTTCTTTGCAGACGAGGCCGTCAAACCCAACGGGAACCTCGGCCCGATCGAGACGGCGCCGTTCTACGCGTTCCAGGTGCACCCAGGGGACCTGGGCACAAAGGGCGGCCTGCTCACGGACGACAACGCCCAGGTCATCAACACCCGCGGCGATCCCGTCGGCGGCCTCTACGCCGCGGGCAACACGACGGCGTCGGTGATGGGGAGATCGTATCCTGGGTCGGGCTCGACTTTGGGACCTGCGTTGACTTTTTCATACATTGCGGTGAACCATATGGCTCGCGGGGTCGGGGCGTCCAGCGATCCCAAACTCAGTTGATGGGATAACCAAAATCTACTAATCCGAGCCCGAGGGAGCCGGGCTTTGAAGATAAGACTGTCAACTTCATTCTGCCACTCGGTGTCATATTATGATACTCCGAGTCACCGGTAGAGTGCAGTGAAGAGACTGGAGCTGTCTCACACCACAACTCTAATGGGCGCCTGAGGATGGAAGAGGGCTTACTGAGCCGGTTCCCTTCCCAGTCCATGACTGATTTAGTCAGCGAGCATACCAATGTTTTTTTTTCGCAATTTAATTCCTGACAGAATTCTCATGAACCGCCTGGGCAAATATCCCAGCGTCCTTGGTCCACGGTTTGCAGGTTCAGGCCAAGGTGCGCAGGCGCAGATAGTTAACTACAGTATCCGTTAGCTCGACATACAGGCTCATCTGATCATATTCGAGCTCCGTCAGTACTGCTAGATTCTGAGGCAACTCAAATGCTGCGAATCACCCCTTGTGGCCCCGTCAGACCTGCTTCAGATCTCGCCAGTGACTCCGTTCATCGCATTGCTCGCATACTTTTGATCAGCTGCATTTCCAAATTCTTAAGGTCCTAAGATTCTGATCCATTTTCTATACTTTCTCTGCACAACGCTGACCACCCTCCTTTCAGCCTCCCCGATTCAAACAAGACTCCCATTCTTCCCTTCTCACTACCAAAGCAGCATCTGCTCCCTACCACCATCCTGCGAGCACCACAAAATGGAAGGCATTTTCGACACCGAAAACATGGCCGACAACGAGCAACCCAACGATTCCCCTCTCTTCACCAAGATCCCAGCGGAGCTTCGCCTCCAGATCTACAATGAGATATTCGAAGGTTCCAGAACAACATACAGGCAAAGCCTTGTGATGGGGCACCGCACGTACCGCAACATCTTGTGGCCTACTGACCACCGCAACTTCCTGCTCACCTGCCGCCAGGCCTACAACGAAGCCCTAGAGACCTACTGGAGCAAGGCAATACTCTACGGTGACCATGGCGACAAGGAGCTTGTCTTCTCCTTACAGTCAGTGGTGCCTGGTTTCGCCAAGCTGCACATCAAGCACATCCGAGGTCTCTGCGCCCTCGATGTGTGGGAGCATCCTGTGCGGGGATGCCTGCATGAGTTCCGAGGCCTGCAAACCGTTGCTTTCGAATATAGGATGATCTGTAATGTGACAGGTCTGGATAATCCTCCTACGATTCAAGAACAGGTCGACGAAGATTTCAAGGATGACCACTGGAGATTCAACAAGCTCATCTATGACGGAGGCCCAGCAGTGACCTGCCGTGTATTCTTCAGCCGTGCTGTCTTCGAAGGAGACTTGTTTGTTGAAGGAGAATTTGAAAAAGATCGCAGGGTAAGAGTCTGTCTGTTATATTCAATTCACTGACCACCATAGGCCAATGGATGACTTGCAAATTGCTAACATTATGCTTCCTAATAGGTCTTCTTCTACAACTGCAGCACGGGAAAGAGCTTCTGCGCCGATCATCCTAATAAGATCGACGACGAGGAGGCGTTTCTCGCCATGGTCCTTGGGAACCAAGCACCTGCAGAAAAGGCACGCCAGGAGATTTGAGGGAACATGGAGGTGGCAAGGACAAATGACATCAGGGCACATTCGTCCATTTTCTTACTGCCTGCCTAGGGCATTGGTGGCGGCGGGTACGCACAAACAGTATTCACACGTACAACTGTGGACTTTTGGAATCAGACACGAGACACCACTCTCCCTACTAGGGGGAGGGGGGGTTTTCATCAACATCGCACTACTATATCAATAGCATAACGACATAATAATAACATGCAATCAAGGTTTTAATATGCTTTTTTATATATATATATTGCATTATTTACATATTATTAACATATAATCATTCCTAATATATTATAATATTATATTAACTCTTTAATATAAGGGTAAAAAAAAACTTTTTTTTTTCCTTATTCTTAATTTAATTATTTATTTATTCTTTATTAGCTTAATTATTTATTATAAAAGAATTTATAAAATTATAAAAATATTTAAAAATAAAAATAAATTTAAAGTTAATAAAATTTAAATTAAAGCTTTTAATATAAAATTATAATAATATTAGCTAATATATAATTAACGTTAATATAAAGTTAATATTAATATAATTTAAAGCTTTAATATAATTTCGTTTTAATAATATTTTAATAGCCTTTTATTAGCATTTCATTAAAATTATAAAATTTCAATTAAATATTAAAACATAAGTGTATTGCATGACCCAGTCAGAAACCCCCCTCCCCCCTGGTAGGTCCCTTAATACAGACACCACCAATCTTGATCACATCTCAATCGTGCTTCCATATTATCAGTGACCCGAGCGGCTTGATGTGCAACTTTTGTCACGTAATCGCAGACATGCAGCCTCGCCAGAAGTAACATGAAGCCCCGATTACCTCTCAGACCTCCCGCCTGTGAACATTGAATGAACGCCAGCCTCTTCAAGAGGAGGTTGGGCACGTCAGTCACTACCAATCGAAATTTGGTCTCAATCAGAAGCTGTGAATCATCTAGATGTCACTTTTGTCCTGTCCGTCGAAGTAAGAGGGTTTCTAGTTACCTCGGTCGTAAGATTCATCGCCTAATCGTCTGACCCGAGTACGTCCTTGCCTGGATGACATGATTTCTGTATGCTGCCTGCACAAGTGGCCCAGCATCGTACCATCTACAGGATTTGGGATCTCTTTCCGCCGAGGCCGCTCCAAAAGCTCACAGGTTTCCGAGCCAAGCCTCCTTGAGCTCCCTGTTTAGGTCCAACCTCAAGCCCTGCACGGCCCCTCATCCCATTCAAGCCCCCAGAAGCTACAGATTGGTCTGTATGACTTTCTCATAGCCCTCTTCATCGTCAATCTTGCGTGTAGCATCCTCGAAGGCCACGCCGGTTGAGAAGTTTCGGAACTGAGGCTGGAAGATTGAGCAGATGTCAGCGCAAATGCTTTCAGATACCAAGAGGATCTCAACATACCAGACTCTTCTTCAGGGAAGCGGACGCATTATCTTCGTCTCTGGCCATGGAAAACATGATGGCACCCTTGAACAAGAAGGTAACCCCAGCAGTGGCGTCGATTCCATAACGATCAGCCAAGAAGTCCATTGGCCCTTCTCCCCAAATCATCTTGAAGCGGCTGAAACCCTCGTTCTCGGGATCCTTGGTATGCGAGACGATGCCGTCCACGGGGTGAGCGAGGGTCGGGCTCATCTCACAGGTGGCAAGCTTCTTGAACGTTCCGAGAAGTGCCGAAGCCGTCAATGAGGGGTTCTCCTGGACGAATCCACTCTTCAGGGAAGGGAGCACCATGCCCCTGATGTGCTTGACGTTATCCTTCACCACTTCGGGCAGGGAAGCGTAGAGGCGGTGGGCGTATTTGTCCAGCTTGAGCTTGGCAGGTCGAAATCCGGAAGGCCGGCCGAATCTCAGGGGCGGACACTCGAGTTTCAGCACCGTCGTGGACCAGTAAGCGGCAAGAGCTTCGTCGTGGATTGCGCGGCTGGTCAGAAGAAGCTTGAAGTGCTCGGAATGACGCAGGATGACAGCTGGGCTTTGAGTGGAAGAGGAGTCGGTATTCCTGGCGAGTGTTGCGTGAACTTTTGAGCCCTGAAAGAAATGTTCGTAGATGTCTAGGCGCAGCTCGACGGGAAGAGTTTCAAGGAAGTGGCAGCCGGGAACCGGAGCTGGAGCCGGAGTGGCTGGGTTCTCCTCAGCCATGATCGTCTTCGAGATGTCGACGATGAATTGTGGAGTTGGGGGGCAGAATGGAGTGTATGTCGCAGGCTTGCAGACTCAGTACGGAACGATAGGTTGTCTTTGCGAATGACACTTGAGGGGTTCAAGATTTACTATGTCCTTAAAGATGGATATAGACGAAGGAAGGTGGAAGTGTCTGTGGAAGAGAAGCCCTCCGTGGCCTGTCTTTTAAACACACCCAGTGTGAGGGCCCGCTCAATAGTGAATTGATGATCACCATTCACCTGCACTGAACCATTGAATATACTGACAAGTCTGAAACTATTTGAGCAATCTTTCTGGAAGAATCAATTCACTTTTACGAAGTGAATAATTTCTGTGGGAGTCACAAGAACGAGAAATCTGAACACAGGCGTAAGGACGTACATTGTAGTGAGCAGTGTAGTGGGCCCTCTCACTCATCTCCCACACCCAAAAACTGGAAATTGTGCTTTAAACTGCTGAAAAATGGCTGCCGGGAGTACACGGGATTTCGATGCATGGAAATGCCTCTTCACCGTTTGGTATTCCACCAGGACAATGCAAAGCAACCTCCCGGCACGCACGGCATGGGCATGTAAACCAGCAACGTAGATTATCATGGATATAAGGAAGAACATAAATACAGTCATCCTTTGAATAGACACACAGCCTTCAAAATGGCAGCATATTCTCTTGACTATAGGTTCAGGTTCATTCCTGATAATAACTCTGCGTGCCTTTGGTCACAGTTTTGAGTCTCTTCTAAACCCAACACATTCTGCATAATTCACATTGACATTGAAACCTAATCGATCATAACAACCAGTAAAAGACTAAAGTATCCCATCATGTCTGTGCAGCCCTTAATTGTCTCATGGCTCTTGCACACCAGCTGAGCTTTGACCGATGACACGAGGACAGATCGTACTTTATTCCTTGGCTTTCTTGTAAGAGAAGAGCATCCACTACCCACCCACATGTGCCAGAGCCTCCAATATCCATGTCTGAAAAACATCATATATGCTGCGAGGGGCACAGGAGAAGGCTGTGAGGGCGATGACTAGCCTTGCAAATTGAGAGAACAGAGCGACACAAGCAGTCACCACCACCACCTTCAACAAATTGAACTCCCCCCATTCCATATTCACGGTCGTCTCCGCTGAGTCCAATTCACCCACGTTATAAATGCCCATCCCCAAGGCTACATCAGCCCATTTGCTGTAAGGCTCAGTGGTCTGTTCATAAGCCCCGGGGGCTTCAAGCTTCAGCAGTTTTTCATATCTTCCTTGGAGGTATTCCAATGACTTGAAATTCCAGAAAAGAAGATCCAGGTAAATCAGTGCCAATGCCGCTATGTAGTAAGATGTTGTGAAGAACACCCACGCCTTATAAGCGGGTATTGAATGCCACTGGTAGTCAGGCTTAGGGAAGTACAGCGCATGAAGCATAGCGAGACATAATGATGCCATTGCCAAAATGAACGGCGAAATCCAAAATGCCCGGCCTTCATCATCCTTATCTTCTGGGGTCTCCATGAGCTTGTTATGCAATGCGACCGGAGAGAGTGGCGGGTTCTGGTGTGCATGTGACATTGCCATTAGCTCGGCGTAATCACGGAAAGGAACATCGTACGGTTTCTTGATGTTTTGTGGACATCTCCACCATGGAATGAAAGCAAGGAGTCCAAATATGATCCATTCAAACATCAATCTCTCCAACACAGAAGCGGGGTAGTTGTAGCTCCTTCTGCACCCGATGTTCACGATGGCCCAAAGGAGCTGTAACAGGGTGATGCTCTTGGCGAACCAGTCTGCTTTAGACTTGTCATCGATCTCTTCTGAAATGGGGAAGTCCTCATATCGGATGCTGCCCACGAGTGCGAGCCGTAAAAAGGTTTGCGGATCGACGATATCGTCCGCTGTCGTATTGCTGCATTGACTAGAACTCAAGTCACTGGCAGCACGATGAGTGTGTGGCCGAAGACGGATGCCTCTTTTAAAAACCAGAAAAGATTTGGTCAAGGTCCATTCGGTTCCCCAGCTCTCCGACTCCATCTCTGATCTCAATGCCTTCCGTAGTCGGAAAGCAAAGATGAAATCCCTGAATGCCACCAGTGCCGACAACTCTGGGACGAGTATCGCCGTGATCGTGTTAAAAACTCGGTGTCTCTGAGTAGTACCAACCGGGGGGTGGAAGTTAGTCCAGGTAACGAGAAGGACAACAGATGCGCAGTTCCACAGGATGCTCGCGGTCCCGCGGGTAAGTGGCGCGGCTTGCCATCCGACCTCTCCCGTGGCAGTGGTATTGGAGGAGTTCGTCGCCATGTTCTGGTGTGGAAGATATGCTCTGCAGGGAAGAGTGGTCGGAGCAATCCCAGACTCATAAGCAATGATCTTTGAGACGCTGTACAGTTTCAAGTAGCGATGAGAATTTCCAGCAGTGTGCAAAGAGCCATGCACACCTCTGTGTCGGGGAAAGGTAAAGGAGGTAAAGGAGGAAAAGACCCAGTTTCATCCAAGCCATGTCCAACTACCGTTTTATCTATGCATTCATGAGTGGTATCCTCTGGATCTCCAGTTAATTCGCACGAAAAACTTGAATCTCGGCAGATGGCCTGGTAGCCACGGCCTGCTTTACGAAAACCCCAGAGTGACACCGACCCTTAGATACAACACGGGCTATCTGATTTCTGTCCAACGTGAGGCGAGCCTGCTCCCGGTACGGTAAGTGTGAGTGGACCAGAGGATCCGGGAATGTAATGTTTGCCTGTCACAGACCACAATCTGTTTGCGTTGGACCCCAAACACCGTTCCATCCGTAGCCTGGATATCTTCGCGTCAACGGCGAGAGGATGAGTTTCTATGCATGTGCGTAAGCACAGCGAATGACAAGACGAGGACAGCGAATACCAAGGCGTGCTGAGAAACGATGCTCCTTGCGTATCCGTCGGCTCTCTATTCGTTCTAAACGTGTCTAGCTATGACCACGCCTGTACCACTGAGCCGAGTGTGAATGTAAAAACAAATCAACCTTGGAAGGATGCCGGAGAGCCCCCATCACCCGTGCGTCCCAACCCGACGAACTCAGGCCCGAGTCCGTGAAAGATCAAACATGCCTGTGCTCAGGTCACCGTGTAACTAACCCGCGACGTGCCCTTACTCCTCGAGATCTTCTTGACCTTCGTAACACCACACAAATCCGTCGTATCAACATGCGTACCCCCACAAGGATACACCTCCGCGCCCACAATATTCACAACCCGGAACTTCTCCCCCGGCGGCGCAAGGCTCCTATCAGGGATAAGCCTCTCAAGCCCATGCTTCCGGAAATCCTCCTCGTCCCACCAGTCGATCTCAACCGGCATCGCAGCAGCGACGTACTCATCCACCTTCTTCTGCACGGGGTCCTTCCACCTCGCCTCGATCAGACCGGCAAACTCGCACGCCGCAGAGTCGGGAAAGTGCGACGCTTTCAGCTCGTCGAAGCCCTCGACCTCCTTCTCGAGCAGGTGGCGCACCGCGGCGCCCAGCACGTGGCCCGCCGTGTGCAGCCGCGAGTACAGCAGGCGCTTGTCGGCGTCGATGGCCTGCTCGACCGTGTCGCCCGGGTTGAAGGCCGGTTGTGGATTGGCGGTGGTGGCGAAGCGGCCGAAGTGGAGGACCTGCCCGTCCCGGACGGCGTCCATGCGCACCGCCTGGACGTCAAACGCCTCGCCGGACGGGCCTGTCATTGTGCCGACGTCGGACGGCTGACCGCCCCCCTGGGGATGGAATATTGTCTTTTCCGTGACGACCACATGATCCTGGTCGGTTCCTTGCTTGAAGAGGCCACGGTTGGCCTCCTCGAGGGACGAGAATGCGTGGATGGCGATGACCTTGGTCGGGAGCTTGTGCAGCTTGGCGTCGTGCTGAAAGGCCAGGTACGTGCGTCCTGCTGATGCCATGACCGCTTTTGCACGGGAGAGCATGAGCTTGTCTCCCGCAGATCTGATCCTGTGCAAGAGGCCTTGCGTGAGTGTGTGAAGCCGGACGCGGTATTAATGAATGAATTGGCTTAATGGGGGAGAAACGGAGAGAAACAGAAAGAGACGGACGTCACGACTTCTGTGCGCAGATGAGCGTCCCCGGCAGGCGGTGATGAGACTAGGCCGTTTCGGCTCCGAGGCATGGATGCAGGGGTGAGCAGTCGGCCTCATCTAAACCCTGTCCATCCTTCACTTCACCAAAGAAGGCTAACAAAACAAGGAAAAAGGTTACCTGGTGGTGACAGAGCTATTCGGATAAGTCATCGCAGCAATTGAGTGACTGCTTGAGTTGGACTCACCGCCGTAATTCACTCACCTAACCTAAGTGCTCACTGGGCGGCCCAACGAACGCTTCACAAATCAACGCTGATCTTCCACAATTACTAGACCTCAACGTTCGCCGGGGAAGACGTAACGTTGTTGGTAATTATATGCTATACTCATACAGCAAAAATTATATATCCCAAATACGCTATTCAAAAATCAACAACCGTATGCCAGTCTTCTCACACGGCGACAAGCCCACAGCGGATAAATCTCTGCCTACAGGCCATGTGCGCTGCTCCTCCACTATCTATTCCGTCCTCAGTGCCCACCTATACTGATCTGGCACCTGCCCCACCGTCTACCTCGATATCACCCGAGACATCTGCGATCGCGGTGCCGCCCGTTAGGACATCACAGTATCAGGGATGACAGTGTCTCCGCCATCATCATCGTCATCGTCATCACCATCATCCTGATAACCAGGGACTCTATCGTTCCCTGGCACCCGGGACTGCGTCGCCGGTACCTCAGGCGCGAGGGCCGCGGACGCCTCTGCCGCAGACGCCGGGGGCTGTAGTGTGCCGGCAAGGGACAACCGGTCAGCCAAAGTCACCACACACTGGCACAAACAAAACAGACACAGCAAAAGTAAAAACAGTATGGAAAGAAGCACTCACAGCAGGCGGCTCCCTAAACATCCTATCGCACCACGCCCGGACCCCATCGGGGTCATTCTCCGGGATGGCCCAGCCGGGCGACCTCTCCTTGTTGACCATGACCCAGTTGAGCTCCCACAGCGAGGGCCGGTCGACGGGCAGGTCCGCCAGGCAGCGCAGGAGCAGGTGCATGAAGTCCTCGTCGAGGCCCGGCTCCGAGGCGAGGTTGTACCCGTGCGTGTAGAAGGACGGAATCTGGTTGCCCCTCGAGTCGTGGACCCTGGTCGCGCTGTCGAAGAGGTGCGCTCCTGCCGGGTCGTTCAGGGGCCCCACGGCCATGGGCGGGTATGGGACGGTGACTTTTGTTATGAGGTTTTGCATAGACTAGTAGGGCTAACGTTAGCAGACGATGGGGCCGTAGTTATGTGCGTGTGAATAGCTTACGAGGGCAGCCTGGAAGACATTGCTCCACGGCCCATACTGGCCTGCCACCTGAGGAGGCTCGGGTTCCAGAGGTGGAAACTTTTGTATGTAGTCCCACTCTTTGTGGTATTGCTCCTGTCATGATTCCAAGGGTTGTTAGTTAATGGCCTTTCCCTCCCCAGTTGCTTTGCCTGGACTGCTTGTCCCTGCCCGTCATGTGGACTTGTCACGTACCGGTAATAGGTAGATTAACTTGCCCATTTGCCGCCACTTCCACGATCCCAGACTGCAGCAGACACGTGTTAGCAGCAGTCAGCATCAAACAGTGGCGAGCCAACGAAGTCGCTTGGTGACAGAGAAGGTCGTGGTAGCCAATTTCTTGCTGGAGATTGGTAGGAAGTGGTAGGAGCAGTCATAATCATGTACGCACGGTGTCGTGAGGTCGGGATCCTTATCCGGGAGGCATTTTCCCAAGCCCAGGTCGCTGATTTTGAAAACGGGTGCCACCGAATGCTCTCCGCCGTCCGTATCACCGATCAAGACTACGAGCATACCGCAACAGTTAGCATCTCATCTGGTCCCTAGCAGCCGCCTTTGGCCAAAGGCGCAGGGGCTCCACATTACCATTCTGGGGATCAAGATCAAAATGTATGAAATTCCAGCCGGGAGGCATCCTCTCAGACGTCTGTGCGGGCAAAGTCTCGGCGAGGTCTTCACCAAAAACCGGCCTCCACTGCGCCTCGGGCAACAATGTCCCGTCAGGGAGTGTTATTGACCTTGGTGGTGAATACATTGCTATACAGCCCCGGACAACTAAGTGTGACGGCAAGATCTGTGTCAACAAGGCTTCTAGCATCAGGAGAGGTCAGGCTGGGCAGGCCGGGCTCGGAGCAGACTCACGGCAGAAAAAGATACGCCACAGGATCGGCTGTGGTACCGACTCCTGGGCCATGGCCAGCTTCGCGATGAGGTGGTGCATATCTCCATTCTTCATGAACTCGAGCGTCAACATGGTGCGGTCGTCGTCGATAGGATGCCACGCATTTTGAATTTCTCTCGTCTCGGAAACCTGGGTGTCCGCCGTGGGAATTATTTCTCTTGTCCAAAAGCGCGCCTGGATGATATGCCGGGCCCGCCTGAGCGCCTAGAGCAGCGCTTGGTCGTCAGCAAAAGGGAAAATGAGCCACATCAATGGACCGCGCTTGTCTGGGCGTCTGTCTGTCCACTGGAAGAAAGGTGTGGCACGAACTAGGTTATAAAACCACTCCAGCTCCATGCCGAGGCCCCTCCGCAGCAGCGACTTGACGACGACCTTCTTGCTTGGCGCGTCCTCCCCGCCGGGCCAGACCTCGAACAGGCTCGCTATTCCATTGCCGCCCCAGCCCAGCACCTTGGCCAGCCGCACGGCAACACCCTGCTGGGCAAGCCTGTCTCTCACGGCCTCGGCCCCGGCCTCCGCGTCGACCCTCTTGCGCCGCCTCGCTGATCCTCCGCTCCCGCTGTATCTTTCATATCCAGTTCGGAACCGTGCCTGAAGGTCAAGCGCCGGCTGCACATCGGTCGGGTAGCGCCCGTCCCAGGATGTTTCGGGGGGTTCCTGCCAAATGGGTGGTATGTTTTCGTCGTCCCATGGCTTGCGAGTGTCCCGTGACAAGCCTCTCCGGTGGTACTCGAAGAAATTGCACCAGTGCTTCTTCACTGTGCCCCGGAAGTTTGCCCAGTACTGCTCTTCCGTGTTGGGGCCACCTTGTCCAGCGAAAGCACCTGGTCCAGCGGCTTCAGGGCTCGGGGCTGCTCTTCTGTCTCCCCCTCGCCCACGATCGTCTCCTCCTCCTCCTCCTCCTCCTCTCCCACGATCACCACCGCCGCCTGCCCCTCGCCCCCGATCGCCGCCTCCTCTTCCCCTCCAGCCATCACCACGACCTCTTCCCCGTCCACGACCGCGGCCCGCCCCTCGGCCCCCTCGACCACCTCTACCCCTCTGTCCTCGAACCCCTGCTCCTTGTGGTAACATTTGCGCGTGCCTTTCGGTGTGACTGAAAACAGTCTCACACTCCCTCACAAGTTGGGCCTCGTTCAAAGTCTCGACAACGGGACCTTCGATTTGTTTTTCAGATTCTGCTCCGCTGCAACTCACCATCTTGGGGCAGTCCGGGTATACAAGACAAAGGTTAGACGCATAGCCAAAATTGGTGGTTTGGCCGCAAGCGGTGGCTTGGTTTTGTCTCGCGGACACAAAGAGAGAAACGCCATCCCGTGGCCAGTAGTAACAAGAGAGGAAAGCATTAATTGATATTGGTCTTGATTCTGCACTGAGGACTCAGCAATATTTATACACCGCCCTGTGGCTGCCGGATTTCTTTGGCATCACTCTGGCGAAAAGGACACAGCGGTGGGCAGGAATCCATCAATAAGCCTAAAGATAATGTTTCACTTCAAGCAATTCACGAGCACGCCACCGAGAAGTACATATGAAGTAGTGCAAACCCCGCGGGGGGGGGGGGGAGACAGGATTTTATGTGGCGGCGTTGACAGTGCAAGCCGTGGTCCGTGATTTCTCCACGCCTCGCGACATCGTGGAGCAGTTGAGATTATGATCTTTCATGGATGTGCCTTGTCACCGAGCGCCTATATTTACACATGCGCACCCATCGAGTCTAATCAGCCGAGATTCAGATTCGTAGATGTCTGGCTGGGAGCCCCTGACAAGGCAACGAGGCGAATACGAAAACTTTGTAGATCCATTCGTCTGTTCGTCCGTGGTATTGGATAATCAAAGCAACCGTCGATCATTCACATGGCCTACTTATTCAATCTCATCCGTCCGTCCAATCAATTTACTCAGACAAACCGACAATTTCGACCTATCATCCAAGTCAGCATACGCCCACCCAGCTTCTACAGTACGCCCACCCAGCTTCCAGCGTTGGCCCACCCAGTATAAGGAAATTGGCTGCATACGCTATAAAATATTAATACTACGGGGTTATTAATAAAACATAGCTATAGCTATTCCAAAGGGGTTTTATAGCTACCCTAAAGGGGTCCTATAGCTACCCCTCTATTTGCAACTTAAAAGTTACTTTTGCCCTCTGCGCCCTCTGCGCCCTCTGCGCCCTCTGCGCCCTCTGCGCCCTCTGCGCCCTCTGCGCCCTCTGCGCCCTCTGCGCCCTCTGCGCCCTCTGCGCCCTCGCCGCCCTCTGCGCCCTCGCCGCCCTCTGCGCCCTCGCCGCCCTCTGCGCCCTCGCCGCCCTCTAGGCGCTCTGGGCGCTCTGGGCGCTCTGGGGCCCTCTAGGGGCTCTGGGGGCTCTGGGCGCTCTGGGGGCTCGGGGGCGCTCTGGGGGCTCTGGGCGCTTTGGGGGCTCTGGGGCCCTCTGGGCGCTCTGGGGCCCTCTGGGGGCTCTGGGGGCTCTGGGGGCTCTGGGGGCTCTGGGGCCCTCGGGGCGCTCTGGGGGCTCAGGGGCGCTCTGGGCGCTCTAGGGGCTCTAGGCGCTCTGGAGCGCTCTAGGCTTTTTTAGGCTTGTATTTTTAAAGTATTGCTTAAATTAAAAAATAGCTACCCTGGCTTATTAAGAACCCCGCAGTACTTGCATTTTAGTGCGGATGCAGCTAATTTTCTTTGTACTGGGTGGGCCAACGCTGGAAGCTGGGTGGGCGTACTGTAGAAGCTGGGTGGGCGTACGCTGACTCCTATCATCCTAGCAAGCTGGACCCTGTGAGTGGTTCTTCAAACTTTGGAGGAGAGGGACGACTACTAGACACCGCGCACTAAAAACAGTGCCTCTCGTTGAAACACTCCAACGCAGTTACCTGTCGTTCGGAGCATTTGATATGTGGAAAGTGCGGTTGAACAATTTCCGCAGCTAAAAACGGACATACTAGTGTCTGCACCAGCATCGCAGCACTGACAAGGAAGTTGAGGGATAGTCTAACGCCCACGACTTTGGTCTGAGTAATTGTAGACCCTGGCCTCTTACTTCATCAGTGAATTGTGACACATGGCTATTGATTCTACCTGCATTAAGATTAGGCGGCCTAGTAAATTGCTATGTAGATTAGTAAACATTATATCTGAACGCGATAGGAAATAGATGGGAATCACCCAAGCCCACGCCTTATATCGCCTTATCAGTCTTCCTTGGACCGCGATGGCCGGGTACGCGTATATTTGAGGGGGGAAATGGATGGGCTCACGAAAGTATCGCCCTTGAACGATTGAACCCCGCGGTCGAGCTGTAGAGCTGCGACGCGATGTGGTCGCTGACGAACTTGCCGCCCTGCAGCGCGGCGTCCTGTCCCATCTGCCGGCCCCCGAGCTCGGCCATCTGCTCGCTCAGGCTTGACTGGTCGATGGTGATGGGCTGTATCGGCACGTCAGCGTCGCTCGCTGCCGCCGGCGGCGTGTTGTCGCCCAGAACCTCGCCGACGTTTGCGTCGAGATGGATTGCTCCTGGGAAATTGTTCAGTATCTCTGATCCTCGTTCTGTGAGACCCTGCTCAAAGCCATGTATCGCGGTGTCCGGCTTCTCAAGCTGCGCAGAAAGAGAGGACCTTCCAGCCTGCCAACACCCTCAACGAAGCCCACGCTGTCAAGAAAGACACCACCTGCGGCCACCCCGGTCAAGGAGGCCGCCACTGGGATGGCGAAGCAGGTCGGCCTTGACGAATGATAAAGACGTCAGAACAATTGTGTTCTTTCAGAACTCAAGTACCGATTCACGGTTTGTATGTGAGAATGAAACTTGAAATGGGATACATAGAGATTTGTACGGCGTAGATAGAGGCACATGTGCCCAGCCTGCCCGGCATCGTAAAAACATGCCCAGACCAGGCTGGCTGGCGGCTATACATTGTGACACTGCTGCTGGCTAGGCTGCAGTGTGTAAAACATGCACTCAATTCATTTAAACGGCGAATATGGTGGCACATGTGCACAGCCAGTCTTGTAAGAAAGAAGATCAGGCTGGCCCAGGGTGGCGGCTACGCGTGATGGCATGGGGCCAAGTGCTCGACCTGCTTTGTGTGGTTCCATACTAGCTAAGCATATAGTTATTGCTGAAGGCGTCATCCTTGGAAGAAGCATACCGGAGGGAAATCAGTTGGGCCAAATATTGCTTTGGACTTGTCTTTGGCTACATCGTGACAACTTCGGGTGCAGGCCGAGCCCTGGTGTGAACGGGTGTAATTTTGACAGGATCTTCAAGTGTGTACGCTCGTAATGCAGCCGACCCATAGCTATATCCTGATTCCAGTGCCACACGTCCTCGTTACTGTCCCGCGTGGCTCCCACGGTCTTGACGTCCGCACTTATTAGGGAGTTTGTTTTTCTTCCCTTTGATAGCTGTGATGTATGCTGTTATGCTAGATTGCCCAGCTCCCTGTACAGCACCTACCCGATCCTAGACTAGAGGTCCCTGTGTTACTGGGATCATGTGGCGTTTTTGGGTTTATGGTGGGAAATTTACCAGGACTTGGTCAAGCTTATCAAGGGAGATTGGCAGGCTGGCAGGCCAGCGGACGATATGACATGCATTAGAAGAAGGATGACTGGGCGGTGTGTTTGGGGACGGCAGAGGCAAAGCAAGGATCTGGCAGTTCTGCCGTTCCACTTGGTCAATGATTCTCCGCTCCCGGGCCGTCCGGTACCATGCAGTCTAAAGGCGTCATCCAGTCCATTGCGGACTCGTGGGGAATCATGCAGGCGATGTGGTGCTGAGAATGCAGGGCGACTTCATCAACTGGAAACATATCGAGCAGCCCGAGGCGAGGCGAATTCTTTGTCGCCTCGGAGCGCATACCCCAGGTGGATCCGTGATGGGGCAGGGTGGATTGGGGGCTAAAAGCTGAGAGTCCCAAAGCTCCACAATCGACGGACAGAGGAGTCTAGCGTAGAGTCTAGACGGAGACGCGGGCTCGGGTTGCTGCAGGCGCATTCTGCCCACATGGCTTTATTACACAGTAGAAGCCGTTCAGAACGAGTAACACGACACGTACATGTTCCGTGTTGCTTGACCTGCATGACTTGTCAGCTTGTTGGCTTGTGAAACATGCGGCTGCTGCTACTCCTGCTGCTGCTGCCGGCGTTGGCATTGGCGTCGGTAGTGCTGGCAGTGCTGGCAGTGCTGGCAGTGGTTTGCGGTTGCGTTGGTCGGGGATTGAGAGCCTCGTGTCAAACGGGCGTGCATGGCATGGCATGGCATGGCATGGCATGGCATTGAGTTGCACCGCATCGCAGACCTGGTAGGTCAGCACTTGGGCACGCTCGGACCTGTCAATGTGACAGGAAGCCCTGCGTATTGGGCCGTTGGCTTGTGTTGCCCAGTCCATCTCGTCTCGTCTGGTCTCGCGCCGCCTCGTCGTCTGAGTGGTACTGTGAGATGCGTCCGTGGTCTCTCCAATACGATGCATTAGCCCTACAGCCTTACTGCCGAAGAATGGGTCAAACTCTCCGACCGTGATGCAACAGTTGGAGGTCTGTCACGGTGTCGTCTCGAGGTTGACAGGCCTGGCAGAGCACGTCGATTCGACATGCAGGCGCCAGGGGTGAAAGGCCAAAAGGACAAAGGAAATGTTGCGACTGGTCGAGGCAGATGAGGTGGGATTCTCAATGGGGACCCGGATGGGGGATGCTGCTGGTCTATATGGGGGCCTGATATTAATCAATGCCACGTCAGCGGACAAGCCACGTTTTCTCGAGTGCCGGAATGTCACTGCTACCATGTCTTTGTCCGTGTCTCTGTGGCCCTGTGAGGTGTGTGAGTGTGCTGAGTGCGCCCTCGCGCAACCTGCGACATTGAAGATTTGATGCGATGCGATGCGATGGGCTGTGCGTGCAGTGATGAATTCGGGTGCATTACGGAATCTGGATGTGTGTCTGTCGGTGCGGATGCGCCCTGGTGTCTTGGGACAAATCAGGGTTTTGTGGAAACTGGGGTGGCATCTCTCGCATTCGCATCGTACCGCCAAATGCACCCTTCCCATCCACCCAGATGCGCCTCGTACCTGGCGCTAAGACAGATTCCCCTCCTCTGGCCCCCTTTTCGATGCTTCGGCTCATGCTTGAGCCACCGATGCTGGCGGAAAGAAAGCTCGACCAGACTGCCAGACACATGCTCTGTCCGGTGAAGCGGTGCAGCTGTGGCCGATCATTGTCAAAGCGACAATCTTAAGGTGCGGACCATTGGGTCGGTTGGGCTCGGCTATCTGCATTTGCCTGCGCACCCCTGGCTCATGGGAAAGAAGAAGTGGAGGGGCTCTGCGGTGATGAGACGCCGGTGTGCGCAGGAGTGGAGTTGGGCAGGCAGTTCGGGGGGGGGGGGGCACTCGAGAGGTGTGGGAGTTGCTAGTTGAGAGCTGAGAGTTGGGGTTGAGGCCGAGACTGAGATGCATCTGTTGAAGGCAGATGTTATGTTGAAGAAAGTGGTAGGACGAGGCAAGACGACCAAGTCCAAAGGGAAATGCCACTGTCACGGTCACCGAGATGAGCCTACATCTTCTGCAACGCCCGAAAGGGAAATCAGTCAAATGAGAAGAGAGAGGCAAAAAAGATGCCACAGACCATGATCCCTGTCCCCTTTCTACGGGGATACTCGATGCAGAATACAGGGGAAATGGGCAGAGACAGGGAAGGACCCCACCCCTGATCTCTGGTGTGTCCCTGTCGCATAGTGTCCTGCTATTCCTCGCTCTGCGGTTTTCTTTTTTTCCCTTCTTTCCTCTTCGGTGATTGGGCTATCTAAGGATCCCAGTCCCACTGGCCCAATACGGCAGCATTCAGCAATGGGTTGCCCCACCCCATCTCTTCATCTCCATTCCTCCATCGGGAACAGGGGGAAGCCACGTCCGGATGGCACCCTGGTCCCACGAGATTGGTCTTGCCTGTCTTTTCTTTTTCTGCCCTTGATGGAACTGATGGAGTAGTGGTCTGGCAGGAGACAGGTCAGAAAGTCAGGACAGGGGAGGAAGCACAACGTGGCCCAGTTGGATTCTTCGAGGTCTTTCCCCGCGAGGAGTCAAATGGGACGATGATAGTAATAACGTTGTTAACACCTAGGTAATGACGATGAATGGTGGAAGAAGGGAAGCAAGGAGGAAGGTACGGGCACCTGAGGTGGATGTGGATGTGATGTGATGTGATGAGTGATAGATCAAGATCATGACTGCTGCATGTCATTGCAAGTCAAGGTCACTCGTCCTTCCGGTTGATTTCCAGATGATTGCCTTTTTCGTGTCCTTGATGATCTACCGTTTCTTCTTCTTCCCTCCACTCTGAAGTTGTTCCAGTCCTCACGTTTCGCGGCGCACATGACGAGGTGATCAATCCCTCACCAGTCGGCCGATCCTGCCAACAATAGAAGCAACACCACAAATCCCCCACACCAGGATTGTCGACATCCAATATCCGGTCCGAGGTCTGGTGGTGCAAGGTCGCACAATTCTCTCCTATCATAGCAGACAGACATAGAGGTGCTCGATTCAACCGCCGGACAATCTGCGAGTCGGCCAGCCTGCCTGCCTAGGTACCAAGTATCAACTGATCGCTGCTCTGCTCATTTCAGCAACCAGGTCTCCTTGTCCTTGGTCCATTTTGAAGCGCCAACCAACCCGACCGCCAGACACAGCACCGGCCCAATGCGGTATAACAGACAGGCCGTATCTCCGTCCACACCGTCTGTCCCCATAACACATAGTTTGACAGGCCGTGCCGCTGTCTGTCAGGCCCAATCTGTGTGCCTGTTTGTCCGTATACCTGTCAAACTGCGATCTGCCAATCTGCCAATCTGCCCATCACACACGTGGGACTGACTGTACGTAACTGGAGAAAGCTTTGACGAGCTGCACCTGGAGCTTGGGCTCGACCTCGACCTTTGAATTCGACCCATACGCGCCATACTAGGCCTGTCTGTCTCCAGTATTGACCTCGACCAGGAGGAGCCAGTGTCACACCAGCGGAGAGAGTAGAGCAGACAGGCGGACCAGACACCCACCCACTTCGCCTTCAACTTTGACCCCGTCCTCGATCTCCTCCTTTTGGCGCCCGCCCCTTGATATCTCTCCCGCCAGCCTGTACACTTCGAGTCTCTTCTGCCTCGCCTAGTCTGCATCGAAGCGCCGCAGGGGGAGACTGGTCAACAACCAACGGCAACTACCAGCTGTCAAGGCATCCATCCATCCATCATCTCCAAAACCAGCCCAACCGAATCGATCCCATCCCGGTCCAATCCACGGCTACATTGACTCGCAGTCGTTCGTTTCATCCGCCCGCCAGTGCAGCCAGTGCAGCCACCAGTGCAACCACCCGTTTGCTCACCTTGCTGTGCTTTGCCTTTCATTATTACTTGCATGCATGTCGTGTCCATCCCGGCCAGTCCAACCTGCCCTGCTCTGCATGGCGCCCATTTCGCATCCGCTCCGCAACGGCTGATCCCCCTTGCTGCTGCTGCTGCTGCTGCTGCTGCTGCTGCCATTGCTGTTGCTACTCGTCTTGCTGCTCTTGCTACTCTCGCTGCTCGCTGTTGCCTCCTGGCTAGGAACCAGCGCCCAGCACCGACAACCTGGGCCCTGGGATTCTAGAATTAGGACCTGGGACAGCCCATCTCGAGTCATTCGTTAGTCCCAATCCCGAGACCAGACGAGCGAGATCCGCGGAGGGCTTGCCTGTCTGGCCTGTCTGTGGTACCGCACACACCACATAGCACACCAGTGACAGCGCGCCCCTCCAAGCCCTCGAGCCCTCAGGAGCGCCTCCAAGCTACCTTAGCCTACCTACTATAGGCCATTCGACCGACTTTTACTTGACTGACAAGACGGCTTGCACCCGCGCGGCACAGCACAGCGCACACACACTGCACTACACACACCACAGACAGAGAGACAGGGCACAGACACAGGCAGGTACAGGTACAGGTACCGGCACAGGTACGGGCATACACAGCCTCCAACGATGCATCAGATGCACCAGGTGCACCAGATGCATCATCCCGACCACCCCGACCACGACTATGACTACGACCTTGACCCCTACCCCCCTCGAAGAAATGGCAACCGTCGAAGACCCGACCTTAACATAAATACAATCAATGCCTCTGCCGCCCGCGCCATCGACCCGCCCGGCCTCACAACCCCCTTGTCGCCGCCCCCGCCCCAGCTGCCCTACAAGTCCTCGTCCAGGAGCCTGCGATCCTCCGCCGCCGCCGCCGCATCCTCATCTACCGTGACCGTAAGCCACCACTCGACCTCCCCCTACTCCTACTCCTCCTCCTCCTCCTCACGGCGCCATCCTCCCGTCTCCTCAAAGGGCAAGCAGGCCGCTGCCAACCGCTACGCTGCTTCTTCCTCCTCCTCCCCCTTTGCTAAGCATTCCTCTCAGGCTTACGCCGCGCACGAGAGGGATGCACGACACGCCGACCCGGAAAGTGGCACATTCGACCCGGAACAAGGTTGGGCCAAGCACGGCCGGGACAATCACGGAGCCTTCGAAACTTTCTTCGACCCGCTCTCACCCGACGACATGTCGAGCAAGGAAAATGACTTTCCTGCTGAATACGACCGCGACAGGGACCACCACCACATCCCCGCCAGTGCGACCACTCCCCCTTCCCGCCCTCAGCCCCGGCCGCGAGACTCCCACGACCTCTCCCTCTCGCCCCGTAATGTCACGCGCGACTCGTTACTCGGGAATATGCTCCTGTCCCTCGACCAGTTCAGTATGGGACAGATGAATTGCGCCCAGGGCGGTGGAACCTCGCGCACCATGTCGGGGTTCGCCGAGTCAAATTACTACGACGACGAACCGCCCGCGGCCGCCAGGACAATGACTAGCACCTCGAAGGCGCCGCCCCGGCGAGGCCACGGCCACTCGTACAGCTCCGACTACGAAGACAACTCGAGCACCCTCTCCAGGGGCCAGCGGAGCAACAGCAGCTCCACCGGCTTCCAGTCCAATCTGGGCAGGATCAGCAGCATGCGCGAGATGTCCAGCCACCGAAGCACAAACGGCGGCGCACAAGGGTCGAGACCGTTACACTCGAGAGGGGGCAGGGGCAGCAAGAGCAGTAGCACAAATAGCATTGATGCAGGAGGAGGAGGCTACGCGCAGGTCATGGGCAGCCAGCGCTGGGCACACGGCCTAGGCACGAAGCGCTCCTCAAGTTTCGAGCTGGCCCGCAGCCCTCCCTTTGGCGTGCAGCCCGACAACCACCAACAACAAAATCAATCACACCGTCAACAGCACCAACGGCGACCGTGGCAATTGGAGCTCTCCGACTCTCTCGCCGGCGACCAGGACGACTATGATGCCGCCCCCACCCCAACTGTGCCGGTCGGACCTCGTCGGCTGCCCAACATGCCGTCAATGCCGTCCTTCCACCGGGCCGAGCCCATGGGCGAGCCCCTCTCCCCTGTCCGCTCCATCAATCTCGAACGCAAGCGCAGCAACAAGTCCTCGCGCAGCACAAACACCAACCGACAGGCAAATTCCAGATTCAATCCCCGCGATGCACCTCCCGTCCCTACGCCGGCGCCCCTTCCCGCATCCGGTCCCACGCTCGAGCTAGATGCCGCCCCGGCGCCACACGTTGGCTATGAGAAGGCCAAAGAGCCCGTGCACCACCCGCCTGCCCAAAACTCTGTACCGCAGCCAAAGGAAAAGCCTGGCTTCTTCAAGAGGATGTTTGGCGGCGGCTCAAAGAACAGTGTCGTGGCAGCATTGGATCAATCGGCCAACTCGACAGGCCTTTCCAACTCGTTCATCAATTCCGCCCCGCCCACTGCCTCCGCCATGGGCAGTAATAACTCCAACCAGGTCTCATCACAATCCAAGTCGGGCAGCAATCCGCCGTCGCGGGGCTCGCAGAATCACTCCTCACATGGACTTCAGAAAAAGCCCTCGAGCTTCTTCAGGAGACGGAAGAAGTCCGTCTCTGTCACAGATGCCGAGTTGCCTCGCGTGCCACCCATGCTTGCTGCCCCCACCATCTCCCCAGTGCAACTCCCCCCGGCCCCATCCCAACGTCTCGAAGTCCTTACCCCTCGCGCGCAACCAAGCCCTGTCACCAGTCTCAGAAAGGCTATGGACCCATACTTGACGCACTCAGGGTCATCATCAGGACTGGCAACACCTCGCCAGCCACCCGATGACTTGTCACCAGTGCATCGCTCCGAGGCTGATGGCAGCCGGCCATCCGACCGGAACGTACGAAGCTTCTCACCCGACTACGAGCCGGACCCGATGGCGACGATACGCTCAGTGCCATCAGAGTCGAGGTCGAGAGAACCAAGTACCTCCGCGATTGACATACAAAGAAGGACAACACCATCGGGAGACCCCCCAAGGCCGCTGTACGGCTACGAACGCACCGGCTCCTTCTTGCACGACAACAGCGAGAGCGAAGAGAGCCCTCCGAGGGTCAGGAAGATGGATCCCCAGTCCGCGATAGACGGCCACCCAAGATCATCAAACGACGTGGGCCGCGCGTCGCTGGCCCCACTCCAGACGAACCAGCCCATGTCCTCACCATCGTCGAGCACGTCAATGCGGGACAAGAAGATGGACAGGTTGACCCAAGACAGCCTCAGCACAATCAAGAGCGAGCGTCACACCAGCCTGCAGCTCCCAATCGAGGGTGCTCTCACAGATCCCAAGCTCAACACGCGTGCTTCAGCAGCTAGCATCCCCAGCCTCATGGTTGAAGACTCGGAGCCAAACTCCAAGGTGACTACCCCGAAGCCGGACAATCCCCTCGATGAGCCCTACTTTGTGGTCGGTGACCCGACCGCGGACGATCGGTCCAAAGCGCAGAAGATCTTTGACGGCAACGAGGAATTCATATTGAAGGATAAGGCTGCCTCGTGGATGGGCGAAGAGGGCTTGATCCGGCAACGGGTATTGCAGGCGTATATGGACCTGTACGACTTCAAGAACAAGAACATCGTGACAAGTCTTCGGGACGTGTGCAATCGTCTCGTTCTCAGGGCGGAAACCCAGCAGGTCGATCGGATCCTAGTGGCATTCTCCAGGCGTTGGTGCAATTGCAATCCTAATCATGGGTTCAAGTCCACCGGTAAGGATATCATTCTCTGCAATCGTTTCTTTCAGTGCTAACAGCTGCTCGCAGACGTCATCCACACCATCTGCTACTCCATTATGCTCTTGAACACCGATTTGCACATGGCCGACATCGAGCAGAAGATGACCCGGAGCCAGTTCATCAAGAACACGATGACGACAATAATACAGGCTTTGGGTGAATCTGTCCCTGACATGTTCAACAAGAGGGGCAGCGTCCTGCCAGGCAAGGGGCTGCATCTCGATGACGGGGACGGGCCCACTGAACAAGAAAGATCAAGCTTCCGCAACTCCTTCGTCAAATTCCCCATGCGAGCTGGATCTGCACTCGGTGATGCGCCGACCGAGCTCGACGACTGCGGTCCCTTGGTCAAGAGTCCCTTCGAGGGCTCGTTGAAACAATGGGAACAGCAGATGGAACACGTCCTGAAGGACACGTACGCTTCGATCCGGGACGAGCGCTTGCCGCTGTTTGGGGCCGAGCAGCCTGCACCGGATCAACAGCCTTCTGGTGGCCTATCTGTGATTGGCATGCTGAAGCGCTCACCTAGTGTTCTCAGCAAAGCCCCTTCGGAGAACCCGTCCATGCGTGGGCGAGTCCCAGACTCGATGCGCGCGAGCAACTCACGCTGGTCCTCCAAGAGTCGTTCACGGCCGCGTGGGTTCGGCAGCGCAGGATTCTCTTCTAGTAGAACAAGCTTCGATGACGGCCAGTCCATGTGGAGTCCCGTCGAGTCCAACGCGACGTGGAGCCGGGCTTCCCTGGGTAGAACTCAGACCTCCATGTCCATGGATTCGTTCGGATCGCACTTCACGCGTGGCGGTGGGTACCAGCAGTCCATCGGCTTTGCCAACGCCCTGAGCCAGGCCATCATCCGGGAGGATCCTACAGGAAGCGTTCAGTCCCTCGTCAGTGACGAACCAAAACTCACACAGCTACTCGACGACGAGTCGCTCGAGCTCGCCGGGCCACCGTGGGTCAAGGAGGGCATGGTCGTTCACAAGCATCACCTGGATGGTGTCGACAAGAAGGCCAAGGAGCGTAATTGGTCCGAGGTCTTTGCCGTCATTCAGAAGGGCACCGTGAGCATCTTCTCTTTCACGCCTAACAAGTCCACAGGTCGGCGCGGTCGCAACGCGCAGAATATCAAGAAGGGTGCAGTGGTCGGCGGTGGCAACTGGCAGGAGAATGCCACGTCCCTAGGCTCGTGGAGTCTCAGGCTGGCTCTTGCGTCTGCGCTCCCATCGCCGGGCTACTCGAAACAGAGGCCCCACGTGTGGGCTTTGTCCCTACCTAACGGTGCCGTGCACCTATTTCATGTCGGTACGCCGGAGATATGCAAGGAGTTCGTCACGACTGCCAACTACTGGAGCGCCAGGCTTAGCACGCATCCCCTCATCGGCGGTGTCTCGAACATGGAATACGGCTGGAGTGACGCCATAATCAACAACGCGCTTGTGACGGCCATAAACGAGAACTCCGGCTCCACGGCAGCTGGTACCGCAGGAGGCCGGCAGCGCAGCAATAGCGCCGTTGGGCGGTCGAGCATGCACTCACGCGGTAGCAGTTTCCGTTCCGTCGGCTCTTTCGACTTTGGCAGCTCCAGCACACGGGGTGGCGACATGTCGAACAAGCTTCCCGGCGACCGAATCACCATTTCAGAGTGGATGCCACCTACACAATCTATGCGACCCTCGAACTCGGCTGAGAAAGAGCAGCTGGAGACACTGTTCAAGTACGTCAAGAGCATCGAGGACGAGCTGCAACAGCACAACTCGCTGCGCAGCCCTATGCTGCTCGCCTTTAGCCCTCGGGGCCCCAATGTGCAGAAGGCCATGGCGAACTGGGAGCGGAAGAGCAGCTACCTCCTGCGGGAGATTGTCAAGTTCCGGACCTACGTGGACTGTCTGCAGCATGCTGAGGTGAGGAAGGCGGAGATCTGGAGGGAAAGAGAGGTGGCGAGGCGCGCAGCGAGAGGCAGCCTCGACCTCGAGGATGACGCGAACGAGGACTACGACGGCCACCACATCGCGCGGCGCGATTGGGACGACGGTGGCAGCGACCGTGAAGGTCGAGATAGTATCTACGAGATGGACGAGCCCGTGATGGAGGAGGGCGACTTGGAAGCCACACTGAAGGCTCGGTCATGAGGTGGGACCCACAAACCGGCAGACCGGAGCTCACCCGTGTTTTCGATCTGTCCCTGTGGCACCAACCTTGTACACTGTTACACACGAGAGATACGGCTCCTCTGTGGGCGTAGGTCTCGTCTATAAGAGCCGCCGGTGTGAGGCACTTTTTCCCTTTCTGCGATGATACCCCCTCTTTCCCCAGCCCCAAACGGGCACTTGGGATGCTGCCAGCAGCGGCAGCGGGCAGGGACGGCGTGTGTCTTCTTGCCTCTTTATCAAGACCTTTTTTTTTATTGCTGTGTATTTTATTTGTTTGTATATATCAAATTCATAGCGTGGCGCGGGAATGGATTTGATCAGTCAGGATGGATGGGGAGCAGTGGCAGCGAAGAATAAAGGGGGGGTGGGTGGGTACACAGCCAGTCTTCTCTGGCGTGTGTGTATGTATATGCATGTTCGGTAGCGCTTAAAACAGTGTGCCTTGATGAGCTCTGGTAGCCTCTGTTCCTCCAAAGGTGTGTGCCATGTGATGTTGTGTTGTGGTAAGCGTGGTTTGCCTGGCGGCGTTCCGTACATCTAGAGGAGGCGTAGTGGTTCATTGTCTGTCTTTGGCTTCTCCACGTTAAGACGCCCATTCACGTAAAGTCATATTATATTCCCCTGGCATTGACCTCAACGTCTCTCATCCGGAAAGTTCAGTTGAAATAAGGGAATTAATTGTTGTAACCTTGCTTGGAGCCTACTCCGAGCCAGTAGTCTTGAGTTCTCGATCTTCACTTATGCTGGCGAAGTCACGCCGATGCATGTCACTAGTCGGAGTTATTGGAATCATGTGTATGAGTTGATTTCTAGCAGACTATGTATTGTAGTGATGGGGTGTAATCATTCTTGGGGGAATCCAATGGACTCAAACATGTTATAATCAAGCGTTCGTTTCCTGTTTCCGTTGTCTTGTCGTCATTCTGGTACCTCTCTTCACCACCTATTTCCTGCTTCCTTTCGACTACCTTTCAAAAGAGTGACTTGTGAAAGGGCACACCAGCTAGCGGAACGTGCATCTCATTCAAGATTGCAGAACCCGACCATCAGCCCTGGTCTAATTCATTGTGTTAGCCTTCACCATGGCGTCAATCAGACCTCCGGTAATAGAGAACTTACGAGCACTGCAGAAGCGAGAGTTCGCGTCGGCCCAGTTGTTACCGTCTTCCTTGGCACATCGAGTGCTCCCCGCGACCATTGTCAACTGGGGTGCTGATCTTGGCAGCAGCCTTTGTGTTGACGGGTAGATTGTGAGACATTGAAGGAGACATGATAACTTTTTGGAAGTATTGAATAGATGTGAAGGTTGATGTGATAATTTGAAAGCAGATTAAGGAAGGGCGATGGAAGATGAAGACCTGGAGAGAGTTTTGGGACTTCCTGTCCGGAAATGGCGGAGGCCTTTTATGTACAAGTTTCAACCGGTGTTTTGTCGCTATGAACCACTACTCCGGCCCAGATGCTGTGTTCCACCTGTTAGAAGCACTGGTGTTGTCGCTGCGCTGCTGAGCCTCGATCAAAACTGGACGCTCACTTCTTGACCTCCGCCGGCATCAATGGCCTCCTGGTTGTTGGGCTAGTAAGTATAGGATTAGAAAGTCCACAAGATCCAGAAGTAGAGTTCTAAGTTTGTTCACGAGACACGTATGTTGAAAAAGGGTGTGTCTCAAGTTGGGCACTGCCTACATGTTCAAACCTGCTAGCCCATGTACCAGGTAAACGCCGACTTGCGATTTGGTAGCCACCCCCTCAATTTGGCACTTCCACCCCAGAAATTACACACCCTATTTTGCAATCGTTACTTACTTCCCTGGCATACCGGGTTGTGCTTGTAGACTTCTTGTCATTTCTCATCTCTGCTGACCGAGGCGAGTATCCGAGTGCACCTCACGCAATCATGCTGCCTCCAGTCAGTATTGATGAAATGTTTAGCACAAAGCACTTCTGGCATGATGATGGATATTCGCCTGCGATGGCCAGAGTGCGATGGCCAGAGCTGCACAGAAACGGCCGGATGATCAGGCGGCCGTCGACAAGCAAGGTGTCTCATGTCTGTATGTTGCATTCTTCCTGTGATACCCCAGTCCGTGTCGCAGTCCGTAGGGATTGAGCCAGCCAACAACGTGAATATCAAGTGTCGTGTTCCGTTGGTGTGCTTAGGCTGTTCATTTGTTGATTCGAATGTCCAAGGCTGAGGTTATACTTTTTGTTGGCAGACCAGGCAGCAAACACTAGGATGTGATGAGGCGCTTCGTGGACCAACCGCGCTGGAGAGGAGTGTGTTGGTGATTCAGTTGGTTGCAATGCCAAGTAATGCCGCCTCGAGGGCTTCGGGCAGATGCCAGATTCGAGAGCTGAACAAACCCCGCCAAATCATACCCGGCATGAAGAATCGTATCAGATTACGGTGGTTCAGAGTAGCATTGTCAGGGCATCCATACATTGCCCCAACACAGGAGCAAATCCCAGCGCGACTTCCGGTCCTGCTGCTTCACATCTCACAGCCCGCTAGCCTGCACCCTAAGGCGCATGTCCCTTGGAATTATTTAGGCACCAGCAACGTTTCCTTGCGACTCTCCGCCCATTTCGGCACATCCTGCACTACACTCATGCTTTCCTTTCGTCAAGCACCAGCAGATAAAGAATACTTTCACAGAATTATACAATGGTGCACAGGTTCTTCGACTGCTCGGTCACAGGATGCAAGAGACCAAGCGCCCGCGCAGTCGGAGCCGGCTGCGACATGTGCAGCTCCTATTTCTGCGGCCTTCACATGTCTCGGGATCATCACAAGTGTCCCAGCACTGGGGTAAGAACTCCTCACACACGTACTATCACAATGGAAAGCTTGCTAACCGGAATTCGAATCAAGGACCTGGACGATGCAGCCTACACCGCGCTCATCGCCGCTGAGATCGGCCGCCTCCGAGAGCAGATCAACGAGAAGGCGGTCTGCGAACTCGCTTCCAGCCTGAGCGAGGGCAAGCCTTGCACTCTCGAACACCCCTCAAGGATCGTTGGCGCGGACGCTCTGACCGGATGTGCGAATTACCACGTCCGCATCCGCTTCGATGACAGGTCCCCGTCCTGGCTTATGCGCGTGCCGCGGGTCACGGGCTTTGCAGTCGGATTTCCCATCTCACTTGCAGAATATTCAATACGCAGCGAGTATGCAACGCTGAAGTTTCTCGAAACCACGACAGTCCCCGCGCCACGGGCTTTCGCGTTCGGTATCCCCTCCGAGAACACCGACCACGGCGTCGGAGTGTGCTTCCTGTTCATGGAAGAGCTCCCTGGCAAGCCTTGGGACGGTCGAGGAGACGCGAACAAGGTCTGGAAGGGTCTCACGGGGATATTGGCTGAGCTAGAGAGGTACCCATTCACGAAGGCGGGTTCTTTGTATGTTAAAGATCCTGGCGACCTGCCGTGTGTCTCCTCCACCGCGAGCGACAGGTTCGTGTGCCTTGATCCATATGGGCCATTTGAAACCTCGCAGGAATACTACACCGCGTGGGCCGAACAGTACCTCACCTTGATCGCTGATGGTCAGCTCTACCCTCAATTTCCAGTCGAGGCTTATTTGGTTTATCGCTTCCTCCAAGAAAATGCAGCCCAGCTGTGCGATTCAGAGGGCGGCTTCTATCTGAAACACGTCGACGACAAGGGCGACCACCTGATGGTCGACGAAGACCTCAACATCACAGGCATTATCGACTGGCAGATGGCGCGTGTTGTCCCACGACGGGAGGCTTTTGGGCTCGACCTCGTATCAGCCGACATGAGAACTCTTTGTGATGGGGACGTGTCGCTTAGCATAGAGGACGTTGCGCTAGGTAAGGCTGTGAATGAGGAGATCCTGGGGATGGAGCCACTCACAAAAGATGAGCGTGTGAGAAGATTCTTCTGGGGCCTGGGCCTTGAGTCGAAGTGGAAGCATGCACTACCCTTGGCAAACGCCATTCTTCAAGTTTTCGGGGTCGAACAAGGCTGGGACGAGTGGAAAGCGTGTGCATTAGAGTGTTATGGGAGTGAAGAACGTCTCAGAGCGCTTGTGGGCGACTCGTCCAAACATGCAGATCAATGACCGCGGATTGAAGTGTGTTGGGAGGAACGTGCAGCTTATCTCTTGTCCGGCAAAGGAGTAGCAAAGCTCACCGTGCAAAACTTATCAATGGGGGCGGTCTCTAGACAGCCTCGAGCGACACGTCTGAGCTCGCCAAGTTGTTGTACTATATTCGATCATGTATCCCAAACCTGTTCACAACATCGGCATTGATACCATCAGTAACATTGCTCGCCATGAAGTCCCATGCATTTATGCCGCGGTATTAACATGCGCCAATCGGCCTCCTCAAACTTGTCGCCTGCAAGTCCTCAAGCGATCTCCCAAGGCACAATTTCATTCTCATCCTCCGGTCACATCTCCCGATGCATGGCCCCGACGACAATGGCAGGTGAAATTAATTCATGGTGTGCTCCTTTCTCACGCACGATGAACGGCATGTTGAGGCCGGCGAAATTGTATATCAGGTCTCCTGGCACAAGGTCGCTGTTTCCAGCACCGATCCTCCCATCCGTTGTGACAAACAGCCGCCTTCTCCTCATCAGTATCGAATACATTTTTCCGCTCTCTGTAATCAGGCCACAAATCCTGTCCACGTCACTCTCGGCTTCCATCTGGCTCTGAGCCCTTTTGATTTCGTCAGGTACATCCGAGTCTATGAACCGCAGCAGCTTCACTCCGGCGCAGCCAAGGGGTACCTCCGATGTGATTTGTCTCTCAGTAGCTTCCCTGAGGAACTTCCGGACTACGCTCACGAAGGTTTTCGCCCCTTCCCTGATTTCCGGATGGTAAACGAGTCTGTCGCTGACATACTTGCTGACCAGGCTGAAACTCTTCCCAAACAGCTTGAGTAGAAGACCGTCGTCAGCGAAAGACGCAAGACGATGATCTCGCAGTCGAGGACACTCATATGAACAGGCGATCACACCCCAGCTGAGTTCTTCCGGCAGAGCTTTAGGAGAAATACGCAACACACCACCTTTACACTCACCAGCCCAGTCTATAGCCCAAGGAGGTATGTGATATGTTTCTTCCTGTTGACCGAAGACATCATATGATCTCCTACATAAACAGGATGTGTACAAGGCGTCCAGACTCCGCGATGCTGAGATTAGACATCTCGTAGCCTCGGTAAAGATATCCTCAACAGTCCGGTTATAGTCGACCGTGACGTCGCCAAAAGCACTGGGAAACAGGGTTCTCAGAGCGAAAACTTTAACCCGAGGATCGGAGCACTTCAGCCATATAACATTTCTGTATTCCGGGAGGGCAGTCAGAAATTCAAGCCGTTGTGCATTCGACTTCGAGTGTCGATTAATTTCAAATAGTTCACGATGCGCACATATCCTTCCTGTTCCGTCGAGCATGGATATGGCAGGAGACAGTGCGACGATCGAACAAAATTCGACGTTTGAACACAATATTCTTGTAGAAGGGTGCGGATACTCGTGCAATGTCCAAGCACAGGTCCAGTATGAGGCGCTGGAAAGTTGAGATGGCGTGTGGGCACTTCCTGGTATCTGAGTCAGCTAACAAGGGCAACGCAAAAAGAAAAACGGCAGCCTGGCACACATGTCATCAAGGAAATGAACATGATCTGATCGACGGCTCCATCAACTTACCTTTTTGGACTATCTTCTTGACAGCCGGTGCTGTCACTGAACACACATTATTGATCCACCGAAATTTCCAATTTCGGGACCAAGAGTTTCGTCGATGATACGTGTACGGGCGTGCGAGATGCATGACAAGCATGCCTCGACGATTCGGAGGCGCATGGGACTTTCCAAGCCAGACGACAGCAATCCTTGCCTTCTGATAGATCTCAGCCATCATGGAGACCTGGGCGCTTCTCTCCTCATTGCAAGACTGGTTGATGCAGATGGGCGTCGACCCGCAGAGCAGCAGAGCTTTTACCAGTGCGTTTCCTGAGGATTTTCAGAGCTCTCGCACGATTGGGTGTGGTGAGGAGGCTTCGAGGGCCTCAACTGTCGGCTGAGATGATCTCCAGCGACTCACTTGGCACCTCGTTATTCCAAGTGTATGACAAAGCTTCGTAGTCATAGGTCCGTCATCAATGTTGACTTCGACGAGCTCGCACATGATTGCATCGTTGTCCTGTTTTGCTAGGATGAAGTGTGATCAGACGCGTGTGACGAGGACTCGGCAGTGACGCGTAAGAATATTGAGAATGGGTGCTCATGATTTATGACGCGTTCGAAGGCTCAGGGCGCGAGAGGATGAGAAACAACAGGAAGGGATTTGTTGCGGAGTGGAGGGCTTGTTACTGCAAACTGGGGAGTGCCAAGGGGTTTTATATGCTAAAAGAGTGATAGATCAGGCTGTAGGATGGAGACGGGCCCCTTCGAGTTTTGGGCGGGGTGAATTTACGAGGCTCGAATCTCTATTCGTCGAATAAGCCCTGGAACAATTCCAAAGAGGATGGTGTGAAAATGGCCGCCCCAACTAAGCGCTGATTATGTTGTGTAGCATTGGCTGCTGGGCATAGGCTGTACCGTGCTCGGCTTGGTCACCTTGTTGTCTAAAGTCGTGGACAAATGGCTGACGCAGAAATGATATCGCTGGAATTATGTCGGAAGTGAATATACAAGTATAGATAGGTAGCTACCCTTGTAGATATTGTTGACCTACTATACCTCCTACCTGGTCGTGGAACGTACCTGTCAAGGTTCCCATGGAGACATGATTTGGAGGATTCATATTCCCAGTTGTAAATATCAGGTGTATCATGTGTATCATATGGAGCGAGAAAATAATGTATTCCCTAGACTTGGAGGCTTCGTGCGCACATCTGGCAGCGATTACTGTCAAGCGGGGTGTCGGATAGTCGTCCATTTTTCTCCCCACAGTCTATGAACACCACTCTGGCTGGCTGCAAAGTGGCCAAGCCGATATTCGTATGAGCTGTCACATGGACTATCGACATGCCGTGGCAAGCCATCGATCAATCAAATCCCGCCCCGCAAGGCTTGAAGCCAAGGTGCATTGTCTTGAGCCCTCCCTTGAACACGATTGGAGATGATCGTCGTGCTGTGATGGGTGATACAGTTTCGTTGTGTCGCACCAATATCCCACCTGTTCTGTATTACTAGTATCTAGGTAGTTTGGAATCTTCTCTTCTTCGACGCGCAACTTTTATAGAAGGAAGTCTTGTGGGCGCCGAATTCAGGCATTCACCTCGAAACCATTCCTGTTAAGATAGAAGCGGCAGAAATGTCCCGACCGACATTCTGCGAGGTGCTGACTGAGCTCAGCTCGATGATCATCTCCCGCCACAGCTGAAGTTCAGCCAGCCAGACCGGTTAGCTGCAGGAATGTGCTGTTCCGAGTGAGACAAAGAAAAGTAGTGAGACTCGAGCTACCGTGACGTACCCAGAAGACGAATATAACAACCCCTCTCTGCCCACTGATTTGATTTCGAGCCTTCTTCATTGGCACCACCTGCATCTGATAGATCTGGACTTTTCCCTTTGGCTATGCAGGAGAGATGACCTCAAGTTAGCGCTCATTAAAACATCCGGCGACGCATATCATCATTATCACACACACACCAGCCATGTCTCAGCCAATCCCCCAGCCGAAAGGCCTCCCGCTGGTGGGCAACATCCTCGACGTCAAGCCCTCCAACACCTGGCAGTCCCTGCAGCGCCTGTCGGAGCAGCACGGCGAGATCTTCCAGATCAAGGTCCTGGGCAGCACGATCGTGTTCGTGGCGGGCGCCGCGCTGGCCGAGGAGCTCTGCGACGAGAAGCGCTTCCGCAAGTACGTGGGCGGGCCGATCGTCGAGATCCGGCGCGCGGTGCACGACGCGCTCTTCACGGCGTTCGACCACGAGGAGAACTGGGGAATCAAGCACCGCATCGTGGCGCCGAGGCTCACGCCTGATGCTGTGAGGGAGTGGTGCGGCGAGGTGGTCGGATGCACCGGCGAGCTGATTGCGAAGTGGAAGGGGGTGGGAGAATCTAGTGGCGGGGTCGACCTGATGGACGAGCTGAACCGCCTGAACCTCGAGGCCACGACGCTGACGATGTTTGGCAAGAAGCTGAACTGCATCACTGCTGCGGAGAGCCACCCGATGCTGCAGGGCATGGAGGATTCGACCTCGGAGGCCATGAAGAGACCCACGCGGCCGGGGCTCCTCAACTGGCTGTTATATGGCAGCAAGTTCAAGAAGTCGATCAAGGCAATGCGTGAAGACTACGCCGAGGACCTTGTGTTCCACAGGAAGCAGAACCCAACCGGACGCAGGGATATCCTCTGGGCCTTGATGGAAGGACAAGACGACCAGACAGGCAAGGGTTTGACAGAAGAGCAAGTGATAGACGAGATCGTGAGCATGCCTATCGGGAGCTCAACAGCTCCATGCTTGATTGGAAGTGAGATATACCTCCTCTTGCAGAACAAGGAGTGTATTGCAAAGGCAAGGGAAGAGTTAGACAAGATCGTCGGGCCGTGGACGGGTGCAGCAGGCGAGACGACACAGATCCGAGCCGAGCACCTCCCACAGCTAAAGTACATCGAGGGCATCGTCCGCGAGTCCCTGAGGCTGAGCTTCGCGGCGCCGGGCTTCAACATCGAGCCAGTCCCCCGACCAAAGGGCCCGAGCGGCGACGCGGACAAGAGCCCTGTCCTCCTCGCGGGCGGGAAGTACCAGATTGCGCACGACCAGGCCATGATCCTTGTCCTGGCGGGCGTGAACCGCGACCCCGCCGTCTTTGACGACCCCCTCGCCTTCAGGCCTGAGCGCATGATGGGCCAGGCGTTTGAAGACTTGCCTCCTGGCGTGAAGAAGTGGTTTGGAAACGGGAAGAGGGAGTGCATTGGGAAGCACTGGGCGTGGCAGTTCAACATGGTTGTTACGGCGATGCTGATCCGGGAATGTGACTTTGAGATGGTGGACCCGGACTTCAAGCTGGATGGGCACCAGGACGGCTGGTTCAACTACAGACCTGTCGGGTTCAAGGTCAGAGTCAAGCCGAGGGCTTCGTGATGGGTTTGAGAGTCGTCGGAGTCTTGCTGGGGCGCATTGGTTTCGAGTATTCAGTGAAAGTCGAGATCAAGGTTCTCGCTATGGAGATGGTTGTTGAGGCGTGCCGGATACGGGAAGAATGTTATTACGATAAAGTGGTTTGTGATCGCATCAGAGCCCAGGACCGGTTGACTTGACGCTACTGTACATTATGATTACACTCTGTTGTTGGGAAGCCATATCTAATCTTTCTTGTCGAATGTCTCTTGAACTTGCGATTCACTGGCGTCGTCTCCATGAAGGACAGGTGCCTGCTCAGGAGGGATGACTCCCCACTTGGCAAGCTCTTTGCTTGAGAATGTGCCGTAATAGTCCACCTCGTCATACTCGCCCATTCCAGGGACCGGAAACAGTGTGTTCAGGGCGAAGAAAATAGACGCACTTATGAAGAAACCTGTTCGGCCACGTTAGCATTATAAAAGCAGTCAGTGCTGGAATTCTATACTTACCAACCAGGAACGCCATGTAGTAGAGTTGATACAAGGCCTTGGGCCCATCTGTATTTCCCCCGGCGGTCAGGATCAGGCCACCTATCGTAGGAGCCCAGCCACACAGCCAAGCAACAATGGCCCTCCAGTTGACTCCGTGGAAATACCAGTATGATGTGTCATTTGTGCGATACAAGTGACTGAGGCGGATCTTGCCTCTGCGGAGCACCAGGAAGTCCGTTGCCATGATGCCAATGATGGGGCTCAAGAAGACGGAGAATGAACTCAAGACGCTGACAAAGGTCGTCGCCCTGTTAATTAGTTGCCACGGCTGGCAGATCCAAGCGGCCACAAAAGTGATGATAGCACCGCGACGGATATCGATGTAGTGAGGGAAGAGGCCAGCTAGGTCGATGCCACCTGCCACAGCGTTGCCGCAGATGTTCTCGAAGCAGGCTGTCAGTGCGAACCCAAATGCCAGGAAGAATACCCCAGCACGCGCTCTAGAGGATCCATGACCGCTATCCATCATCACCATCAACAGGTCCGGGGGATTCCAGTACACTTCGCCGTATATCGTTTGGGCAGCGGACGTGGTCACCAAGCCAATGAATGAGACGAGGACGCCGACGATCCACGCGGACAGGATCGTGCCTCCGACGTAGTGCTTCGGCCCCCTTGCATACCGGCCAAAGTCGCTCGAATTGGTGATACCCGCCGCAACTCCCCCAACCATCTGGTTGATACCCGCCATCATCAGCCACGACGAGTTCCTCCACCCGCCGGGGACGTTCTGCCCCTGCGTCATCAACGGCCCGACGCCCTTGGCCGTGGCCAGCGCCCAGGTCATCATGCACAGCATCCCGATGCCGCAGTAGGCGCTGGTGATGCGGAACGGCCACTTGAACTTCTCTGGGCGGATAAACAAGAACGGCGTCGAGACCGCCCAGAACACGACGAAGCCGACGAACTCGTAGCCCGTGGTGACGGCCGCCATCCCCGCGGGCAGGAACTCGGGCGTCTCGGCGAAGCTGGGCCAGATGGCTGTGAGGCAGACAGCAGCCAGCCGCCCGCCGTTCCAGCACTGTATCGCGTTCCAGAGGAAGTTGAGCAGGATGCGCTGCAGGAGGGGGATGTAGCTCGCGCGGAGGCCCCAGGAGAAGCGGTTCTGGATCGTGAAGCCGATGTGCCAGGTGAGGCCGCACCAGGCGATCAGGGTGGAGAAGAGGGAGATCAGGAGGCGGCCGACGAGGATGATCGCCATGGACTGGGAGACTGACAGGCCCTGGGCCAGGAACGTGTTGGGGGACTGCCAGTTGCTGATGTTGAGGCTGGAGATGGTCCAGTAGCCGAAAAATAGGAACCAGTCTGGGGGGAGTGAAACGTCAGCGCATGATTCCCGGGGACGGTGCACTGGGTGTGTCGAACTCCACGTTCTCCTCTCTGGGGGGAGAGGGATCAGGTCCCTGTTGCTCCATGAGTCCGTCTGCTCGTGTTTTGCTTCGTCGCCATGTAGACGGACTTTCTCCTTGATACCTCCTAGCCTCGCCTTGACGCCACCGTCTCCCATGGCTGCGAAACACGCGTCAGGTTTTCGGTTTTGAAGAAGAAAAGAAAAGTCTACAGAGAGAAATTATTCTACGGGGTACAGGGCTTAATTAGAGTAGATGGGCGTGGTGGTAGCACAGGCCTTTGGGCAGTGAGACATCGGAGATATCAGCCCCTCACCAGGAAAGGAGGTGAAGGATGCTTGAACTGATTCCCACGCTAGATTTTGAATCGTACGAATCAGAGTCAAGCACCTCAGATAGGCAAACGACCTTTTCCTGGCTGCGAACCATATCATTCGATTTTGACCATGAATTCCCCATGGTCTAGCTGGTCAAAGCACGCGTCCACGGCTTCGGCAGCGGGGATGGAGATAACCCGGCACTTCTTATCACTACCCCGATCGGCGCCCCCCAAGAAGTGCCGCCCGGCATGCGGGTCCCTTCCGAGGAGAGAGAGGAGCCAGAGTCAGATTGCGACGAGAGGTTATACAAGGCGTCATCTGTGGCTTATTGAGGCGAGGGTGTATGGATGAAAGATATACAACCTTATATTCACAACCACTTTCGAAACAGAGTCGGCAATGCAGGGCAGTTCCATGTTTGCGGATGAAAATAAATCAGCTCAGTTCTGCAAAATCTTGTCTCTGGTTGTTAACTCTTTAGTAATGGGTCGACCCGTCAAGCGTCCAGTGGCAGCAAGCACAGGCGCAACAACCATTTGTTCGCTTTGAGCAGTTCAATACACGGAAAGACTGCACCAAAAGCTACCGCCATGGGAGAAGGAGGACTCCGATCGCGAGTCTGACGGCGAAGACCACACTTTGTGTGCAACTCTCTTTTGCGTGAATACACAACGACGAACAAATTTAGAGCGAGCTCTGGGGACGCCCGGGGATACTGTCTGTTTCTGGTGTGACAGGACAAGATGATCTGATCAGCTTGGCGATTCCATCCTCATGACTTCTTCGCGGCCCAGTCGCCTCGTTCCTCCTGATCGAGTGCGCCACGCATCATTATTTCATCAACTTGAGCTGGTAAACCCTCACATTGCACAGACCTTCCGAAGTTGAGAGCAAGAGCTTGGTTGAGACGGCCATTTGGGGAAATACATAGCCATCTAAAGCTTCGATGGCGTGGCAAGGTTCACATAAACGGCCTTGATGGTTGAGTAGGCGGCAAGACCAGCCTCGCCAAGCTCCCTACCAATGCCGCTCTGCTTTACACCACCAAAAGGCACCCGCCAGTCGCTGTCGTTACTTGAGTTGATCCACACAACGCCAGCCTGGATCTTCTTAGCCACGGTGTGGGCACGGATCAGGTTGGTAGTAAAGAGGGCGCTCCCCAGGCCGTACTGGGTACCGTTGGCGAGGGCCAAGGCCTCCTCCTCGGTCTCGAAGCGGCTGATAACCACAAAAGGGCCAAAGACCTCCTCCTGGAAGATCCTCATCTGTGGGGTGACGCCGGTGAAGACCGTCGGCTCAACGAAGAAGCCCTTGCCGTCGGACGAGAAAGGCCGGCCTCCAAGCTCGAGCCTCGCGCCCTCCTGCTTGCCGAGCTCGGCATAGGAAAGAACCCTCTCGAGCTGGGCCTTGGAGACCTGGGGCCCCTGGAACGTGCCCTCGTCGAATGGGTCGCCGACCTTGGAGATCTTGGACACCTGCTCGCGGAACTTTGCCAGGAACCTGTCGTAGACGGCGCCCTGGACCAGGATCCTCGACGTCGCGCTGCAGACCTGGCCCTGGTTCGACATGATGCCCGCGTGGGCCCAGTAGGCCGCCAGGTCCAGGTCCGCGTCGTCGAACACGATCAGCGGGCTCTTTCCGCCCGACTCGAGCGTGATGTTCTTCAGGTTGCCGCTGGCCATCTTCATGATCTGCTTTGCCGTGGCCGTGGAGCCCGTGAAGGCGATCTTGTCCACGTCCGGGTGGGAGGCGAGGGCCGCACCCGCGACGGTCCCGAGGCCGTTGACGATGTTGACGACGCCGGGTGGGAAGCCGGCCTCGGCCACGAGGTTGGCGACGAACAGGATGGAGAGCGGGGTCTGCTCTGCTGGCTTGAGGACGACCGTGTTGCCGCAGGCCAGAGCAGGGCCGAGCTTCCAGGCCGCCATTGCCAGGGGGTAGTTCCACCTGTTTTGTAAAGCTCATGAGCTCGCGTTCAATGGCATGTCGCCTTCCCAGGCTGATGGACGAGCATCGTGGGGGGGCGGAGAAATAATACTCACGGTATGATCTGGCCACACACTCCAACCGGTTCGCGGACAGTGTAAGCAAACCTCTCTAGCCTCGTCTCTATCACCTGGCCAAACACCTTATCTGCGAATCCAGCATAATACCTGAGCGTCTCGACCGCCTCGGTCAGGTCGTCATTGAGTGACACTGAATATGGCTTGCCATTGTCCCAGGTCTCGATCGTGGCCAAGGTCTCCCGATGGTCGTCCATGAGCTGAGCGAGCCGCCCCAAGAGCTTGCCGCGGTCCGTTCCAGGCAGGTCTCGCCAGCTTGAGTGCTGTAGGGCCTCTCGTGCTGCTTTTACCGCATTGTCGACGTCTTGGCTTGTTGCGGCGGAGACTGATACTATTTCTTGCTCGTTGCTGTGCCAATGTGGTGTTAGCAAAAAAAAAGCTCTTGTGTGATCAACGGAAGGCGAAGACATCTCACGTTGGGTTTATGCTGGCTATTCTACCTCCATCCGACGACTGCACCCATTTGTTGTTGATGAATAGTCCTGTGGGCTGGAGGTATGTTCGCCCATTAGGGGCAGTGAGCTCTACTGAAGCCGCCATGGGGAGAATGACGAGAGTGATTGTCACGAAAAAAGGGAAACAGTCTGTCCACTTAGACCTGAACGGGCTCCAACTTTCTTTGTGAAAAAGTTGTTCTCATTAATAAGGAATTATGAAGTCGTAGACACCTTGGGATGTTATGTCCCAACTGGACCCACTACGCAGGACGAAATAGGAAAGAAAATACGACCACATTGTCCTTGTGCTTCGTGCTTCGTAAGGACTGCTCTGACTCGTCAACGGGCACCCTGGCGACCCCACACACCACAGGCGACGCCCCCGGACGCGTTGGAGCTAGGCTGGGATTGTGCCAGTCCGGCTGTGACGCTATCGCTGCCAGAGGCCCGGGGCCGAAAAGGGAAAGAAATTTGACCAAAGCTTAAGTGGCGGGCACTTGTTATGATACTGTCCACCTTTAGAGGCAGATCTTGACTACTCCGCAATTTGGATCTGCTAATCACTCCCGGTCGTACGTAATAAGATTTAACGTCTTACTATCTGCTATTGCAAACGCACCGGCGCTATACAGGCATGCCGTATCGGTAATTGTTATGGGTGAGTAATAATTGATAGTGAGGGAAGGAGACGGATCAGTCAGGGGTGTATCAATGACAGGATTTATCTCTAACTCATAAACCTCCCTAGCCGCGAAGCCAAGTATGGCTTAGGGGCTGCACTTATATAAGGTATAGCTAGGGAGAAAGGAGCGGCTTTGCGGCCAGGAAGGTTTATATTTAAATAACAGCGCTTATAAGAACTAAAGTACGCCTTAACGTACCTATTCACCCTTTTAAATTTAAATTTTAATTTCTTTCTTATAAAATTTTTTTTAATTATATAAATACTTTTTTTAAATTAAAAAGCTTTTATTAATTTATTTCTCCTAAGTTATACCTTTTTTATATAAAAAATAAGAAATTAAGACTTAAAAATATCTTAAAAAATAATTAAGATATATTCTTATCTTGCTTTATTTTTTTAAGTTTAAAAAATAATTTATAAGAAATTTAAGTTTTATAAATTATTATAAATTATTTTATTAAATTTTAAAATTCTTAACTCTTTTAATTTAAAAGTTAAATATAGGTAATTAAGAATAAAAGGAGCGCTTTTTAATTTATTTTTTTAATTAAATATATTATATTTTATAAAATAAAGATATATTAAGATAAAAAAAATATAAAAAGAAAGCTTAATTAATTCTCTTATTTAATATATTATTTATATTAAAATTATTAATTAAAAAGGTTATTAAATTAAGAAATATTTATAAAGTATTTTTTACATTTTTATATAAAGTAATACTTAAATTAAACTTTTTTTATATTTTAAATTTAAATATTTATTAAATGCATTTAAAACCACCCTTAATAAGCCATAAAAAGTTAGTTTTATATTGCCACCCTAGCTACTTTAATTACTAAGGAAGCTTAGGCCCCTAGAACTTACGCGTTTAAATGGACTTCTGAATATTTGAGATAAGACAGGATTAAGGCTTGTTGGATGAAAACACAAAAGATAGCCACCAGCATTCTCTTGCATCAAGCTCCCAGGGCATCAAAACTTCAATCTACTTAGCCCTACTCGGTACTATATAACTCAGAAAAGCCTTTGGCAGCCTGCCTCTTGACAGAGTGCCAGCAACAGTCCCTGGATTCTGTCTGCCGACGACTACATCAAAACAGCCTCCATCCAACCAGACGAGCAACCCTTCCATCCTGACCCTCCCACTCTCGAATAAAAGCCATGTCGAAAGACCCGGAATCGAACACCCCACCGGACCAGGCCGAAACCTCAGAACAGGCCGCCCAAGATGCGCGCGAGCTCACCTACCTCGGCCACGAGCAGGCCCTCACGCGCAAGTTCAGCACGACAAGCATGCTCTTCCTCGCCCTGTCGGTCCTGGGCACATGGTCGACGTTCGCGCAGGGCCTCTCGAGCGGCCTCACGAGCGGCGGGCCGGTGTCGATCCTCTGGGGCCTCGTGCTCGTCATGCTGTGCAACGTCTGCGTGGCCGTGTCGCTCGGCGAGCTCTGCAGCAGCATGCCCACCGCCCTGGGGCAGGCGTACTGGGTGTACCGGCTCTGCCCGGGGCCGGCGGGCCGCTTCGCCTCTTACCTCTGCGCGTGGATCAACACCTTTGGCTGGTGGACGCTGTCGGCGTCGCAGCTTGCGTTTATGACCAATTTCATGCTCAGCATGAAGGTTCTCTTTGTGCAGGACTGGGCCCCGGCCGGTGTGGGCTGGATCAACTTCCTGCTCTATATTGGCGTTACGCTCGTGGTTACAGTCGTCAATCTCGTCGCTTGCCGTCGAGACGCCATCCTCCCGGCCTTCAACAACTTCGTCGGCGTCTGCTTCATCGGGCTTTTCTTCGTATTCTGCCTGGCGCTGCTCATATCCGTCGGCGTGCGAGAGGACCTGGAGTTCCAGCCCGCGTCGTTTGTTTTTGGGCGGTGGATTAACCAGACCGGCTGGGGGGACGGCGTGGCCTGGTTTACCGGCCTCGTGCAGGCCGCATATGGCCTCACTGCCTTCGACTCGGCTGTACACCTCGCAGAGGAGATCCCGGCTCCCCGCAAGAACATCCCGCGCGTCATCTGGCTCTCGGTCGTCCTGGGGGCCGTCACCGGCTTTATCTTCATGGTGGCCTGTCTCTTCAGTATCCAGGACCTCGACACCGTCCTCGACCCTCCGACCGGTCTTCCCTTTGTGGATCTCGTCCACGGGGCCGTTGGGCTGCAGGGCGCCGCAGTGCTTCTATCCTTGTTCATCTTCAACGGGATGGGCCAGGCCGTGAGCATCGTCACGACGTCGTCCCGCCTCACGTGGGGCTTCGCGCGAGACGGCGGTATCCCATGGAGCACCTACTTTTCCAAGGTAAACGAAACCTGGAAGGTGCCGGCGCGCGCCCTGTGGCTGCAGGGCGGCCTTATCGGCCTCGTGAGCGTTCTATACATCTTCGCCAACACGGTGCTGGAGGCGATTCTGAGCGTCAGCACCGTCGCCCTCACCATTTCCTACGCGATGCCCATCGTGACGATCCTTATTGTCGGACGCGAGAAGCTCCCGCCGGGGGGGTTCACGCTGGGCCGGTTTGGCCCTTTTGCCAACGTGGTCTCCGTCATCTACTGCACTATTACTAGTATCTTCTTTTTCTTTCCAACCGAGCCTAACCCGGCGCCTGCCGATATGAATTATGCCGTCGCTGTCCTTGGAGTCATGTTGGTTGTCACCTTGGGATTCTGGGTGTTCAAGGGGCGCCACACGTATCTGGCTACACACGATGCAGCGGAGCGCATTATTGAGGCGCAGAACGCGGAGCTTGTTCTTTCGCCTGTGTTACCTCAGAAAAGCTGATGTGTAATCCATGCTAGATTAGCTGATGTATCTAAATTTTCTTGTTATTACTCTTCAAAACTACAACACTACCAATGTCCAGATAAATGGTTGTGATAGATCGTCTGCCCGACTCGCAACAACCCGAGCCCATCAGTTGAAGATGGCACTGTGGCATGTGAGATCTTCCCGGTGTGTTGGCATGGATGACACTGCACCGTTACAGCCCCGTGCCAACCACAGCCGCTGCCGTAGCGTGTGGGGAAATCGGCCCTCTTGACCAGGACCGGCCCACCGGAATAGCGTCACACTAACAGAAGATAGTGAGGGTTGCGCGTACCGACGGCCTGGTCATGCGGGCAGGGGCGTGGTCGATTTTCTTGCCCGATTCGGCATGCAAAGTGTCCAACCCCCCTGTGCGAGTCAAGCGGCACCAGCGGTGCTGGCCGTCCTCCGGTCCAGTCCCGATCCTACGCACCGAGCCCCCGACTCGCTGAGGCAAGGGGAGAAGCTAGACCCGTTTCCCTGGAGGGTCCCGCCCGACAGCGTTAGGTTTGGTTGGACAATGGGCACCGGTGGCAGGATGGGATGGCTGTTTGGTCGCTGAAGGGATCATGTTTGGTTAGCGATGGGATCCCGGTGGACCACGGTGTGGACCACAGCTACAATGTACATGATATTATCAACTGCATAGCTGAGTCTATCATACGATTAATTAATGTTGTCATCGGGATGAGTCCAACATCCGGCAGCAGCTAGCCTGGGATTATTTTGAGTTACCCGTGGAAGCCGACGACACTCTACCGGGTATAAGTACTAGGGACAAGCAAGTGTACTTGATCGTGGAATCTCTTCTTCCTCCTTCAGGTCCCAGACTAGACATCTTCGAACTAGTTGCTCATCACCCTCAGCACCACTTGAACATTGAGCCTCCCGGCATCACTGAACCCTCTCCCTATCAACAATCGACCTTGGTCGACGCCCACAAAGACCCCCGTATGGCACAGTCGCTCAGTCCAGACAGCCCCCATCATGATTGCAGACACCTCTTCCATAGCCGGCTACACCATCTTGCGGGAAGAGCTCAGCGACGCCGCTCCAGACCTGTCCACGCAGCGCCCAGCACATCCTCTCGGTAAGTGACGGGGCATTGCGACCAGTCATAGATCTGGAGCTGACTCGGACCGTACGTGTAGATCAGCTATCGATTGAAGAGATCCAGAGCGCTGCCAGACTCATCAAGGAGCATGCCGGCCCCAAGACGCTGAAATTCAACTGCCTCACTCTTCGCGAACCCAAGAAGAATGAGTATGCAGCCTTCAAGTCAGGCTGCGGCCCCCGCCCGGACCGCCGCGCCTTCGCAATCGTCATTGAGCTCGGTTGCTCGCAGGTCTCCGAGGTCGTCGTCAACCTGAAGACCTCGGAAGTCGAGATCTGGAAGGACGTCACCGACGTTGCTCCCACCCTCACCCTGGAGGACCTCGACATCTGCGAAACTGTCACCCGGGAGGACCCCCGGGTCATCGATGCGTGCCGTGAAATCGGCATCCACGACATGTCCAAGGTCTTCATCGACGCGTGGGCCATTGGCTTCGACCACCGCTGGGGCATCGACCGCCGCCTGCAGCAGGGGATCGTCTATTACCGCAACTCCCCCGGCGACAACCAGTACGCCCACCCGCTCGACTTCTCCGTCGTCGTCGACACGGAGAAGGCCGAGGTCCTGTCCGTCGACATCCGCCTGGTCAACGGCGAGCGCACTAAAGTGCCTCTGGCGGAGCACAACTACATGCCTGCCTTCATCGGCAACGACTACCAGCCGGGCAGGCTCAAGCCCATCGACATCACCCAGCCCCAGGGCGTTTCGTTCCGCATGGCCGGCAACGAGATCTTCTGGGCGGGACTGAAGATGCACATCGGCTTCAACTACCGCGAGGGCATCGTCCTCTCCGATGTCCGCATCGACGACCAGGCCGAGGGCCGCGAGCGTAGCCTCTTCAACCGCATCAGCGTTGTCGAGATGGTCGTCCCGTACGGGAACCCCGATCCTCCCCACCACCGCAAGCACGCCTTTGACGTGGGCGAGTACGGCACAGGCCTCATGACCAACTCTCTCAAGCTGGGCTGCGACTGCAAGGGCGTCATCCACTACATCGACGCCGTCATGGCGGTCAGCTCGGGGGAGGCGGCCGTGCTTAAGAACGCGATCTGTATTCACGAGGAGGACAACGGCCTCCTCTACAAGCATACCGACTACCGCGATGGCACCGTCATCTCGGCCCGCGACCGCAAGCTCATCATCTCGCAGATCATCACGGCCGCCAACTACGAGTACTGCTTCTACCACACGTTCACCCTAGACGGCACCTACAAGCTGGAGATCAAGCTGACGGGCATGTTGAACACCTACTGCATGCACCCCAGCGAGACCGCCGCGCCGTACGGCACGGAGGTCGCGCCCTCCATCAACGCGCACAACCACCAGCACATCTTCTCCCTGCGCGTGGACCCGGAGGTCGACGGCCCCAACAACACGGTCGTGCAGAACGACGCCGCCCTGTCCGACGACCCCCTCGGGTCGCCGGGCAACCCGCACGGCAACGGCTTCTACTGCAAGAAGACGCCCCTCCGGACATCCCTCGAGGGCGCCGCCGACTACTGCCACGAGACGGGCCGGTCGTGGGACATCACCAACCCCAACAGCGTCAACGCGACCGCCAAGAAGCCCGTGGCGTACAAGATCCTCAACAGCAGCTGCCCGTCCATCCTCGCCAAGGAGGGCAGCACGGTGTGGAGGCGGGCCGGGTTCGCGCGCAGGGCGCTGTGGGTCGTGCCCTACAGGGACTACGAGCTGTTCCCGGCGGGCGACTACGTGTGCCAGTCGAGCGGCGGGGACGGCCACCCGTTCAACGGGACGGTCGTGGACTGGGCCGCGCGGGACGAGCCGATCGAGAACACGGATGTCGTGTGTTACATCCAGTTCGGCCTGACGCACTTCCCGCGCACCGAGGACTTCCCCGTCATGCCGGCCGAGCCGGTCGGCGTCATGATCCGGGCGTCCAACTTCTTCAAGAAGAACCCGGCGCTGTGGGTGGTGCCGTCGGTTGTTGATGCCGATCAGACCTCGAAGAATGCATTTTCTTCCAACGCGGCTGAGCCTGCTGCGTCTTGCTGCGTTAGCAGGGACAGCAAGCTTTAGGGGTTGGTACATCACTAGCGATGTGGGAAGGGGGGACGGCACAAATAAGGCTATTTTGTCGCCGAATTTTGTAACTCCTCTCAGTCTATCCTAACATAGATCTTGTTCAATGTCAGTGATGGTTGCATGCACCCTTGAACAACCCCACAAGGGGCTACAGCCGGCGTCGATTCCATACGCGTCGCCCAGTGGGCCACATGATCTGCAAAATCCATCAATAATCCTGATTAGCATACTAATAATGCACGGTACCATGACATGGATCTTAACAAACCCCTGCCTACCTTATCTAGCCCGTTGGAGTGCTCCAAAAGAAACCCCGGAGATCAGTGTCAAGAGCCGCGGCTAACCCGGATGTGGCATTTGTATCCGACGACAACTCGGAGCGCATAGAGTACTGATAGCGCCAGGCCGAGTGTCGCGTCTAATATATTTACCCCTCCAAACACTCCTCAGCGACTGTTCCAGACTTTGCCCTTGACAATCTTGAGGATCAAAGCCGTTACTTACAACTCCCAAAGCGTTCATACCATCTGCCCATTCCAGATATCCAGGGATACAGGCCTCTAGTCTCCATCAAGTAAAAGCTGCCGCATGCGAGCGCCTACGTGGGGACCGTGAATTTGGACAACACACTTCATCATCAACCCTGTTGAGAGAGTGCTTGATAGTTATGGAGAATGTGAGATGATGCCTCTGCAAATGAGAGAAACGCCAAGTTTTGCGAAGCTGTCAGTGCAATATGTTAACCACCATGATACCACGACAGACGTCGTCCGCTATCGACGCCCGCTGCAACCTCCAATCCCACGGCGAATGCGCTACCTTGTTCCATTTCGGCATTAAACGAAAGTCCCTCTTTAATTACTGAAGTGGAAGGACTAAAGCGAGGGCAAAGAAAGGATTACTAGCCCTGAGAAGCAATGCCCCCACACCGGATCAGGACCACCAAGGGCTCATGCTGGCCGTGCAAGAAGCGCCGCGTCAAATGCGACCTCGCCAAGCCGGCCTGCCGGCGCTGTGCCTCGTCCGGCACGGCGTGCGACTACAGCAGCCGCCTGATACGGTGGAGCACCCGGCCGAGCAGCAGCATCCCCCGGGGCGAGGCGCGCCTGGCCGTGCCCCTCGACGCGTGCGAGCGGCGCGCCCTCGACTACTTCCACCGCCGCGTCTGGCCCCTCCTCACCACGAGCAAGGAGCCCTGCGCCGCCCCGACGCCGGTCGCCCTGGAGCACCGCGTCGTCCTCCTCGCGGCGTGCGTGCTGTCCGACTCGCACAGGCGGCTGCAGGACGGCGGGTCCCGTGGCCAGGACGCCCCCGGCAAGCGGCGCCTCGAGTGCCTCGCTGCCGTGAGGACCGAGATCGCCAGCTGCTGCGTTGACGTGCAGGGAACTGGCACCCTTGTCGTGCTTCTGTTCGCGGTGATCCTGCTCTACTTCGACGACGGTCAGTATCAATCTTCTCCCGCTGCAGTTTCCCGACCTTTGTGCTTTGGAATGTCCCAGAATGTGTCACTCCCGGGCCCGTAGCAGGTGGTTAACAGGTAGTAGGGTACGTGGGGTGCACCCTCAAGTCCGCCTCCACGTCCAGCCACCACAGCGGCGTCCTGGCCATCCTCGAGCGCCTGGGCGGCATCCGCGCCGCGCTGAGGAAGGCCCCCGAGCCGCTGCACATGCTCCTCTCCGAGTTCGCGACCACGGACCTCACGACGGCCGTCGTCAGGGGGCGGCCCGCGTCCTTCGCGCCCGGCGTTTGGGACCTCATCGACCAGGGCCCCGTCTGGTGGGGCCGCGACCCCCTGGGCAGGGTCTCCCTCGCGTCCGTCTTCCGCGAGATGGCCGCCATGAGCCTGTACCTGCAGGCGACCGGCGCCATGGCCGAGGACTTCTCCGTCGGGCGCGTCCGGCAGTTCGAGGCTGCGCTGCGTCCCGTCTACGCGCCGCTGACGATCGAGGACTGCGGCGGCGGGCAGGGCACGGCCTCGGGGGGGTCGGATGCCCCCTCGGCCACGGAGATGGAGGCCGTGCACGCCTTCACGCTCACCCGCGCCTTTCAGCATGCCGCCCTGCTGTATCTGTACAGGGCCCTCTGTGGCCTCCCGGCGCGGCACGCCCTCGTCCAGCAGCACGTCAAGTCGTGCCTCGCGTGTGTCTTCGAGATCCCGCGCCGGGCCAAGGTCATCAACTGCGTCATCTTCCCGCTCTTCATCGCCGGGGCCCACTCCGTGTCCGCGGAGGAGCAGAGGGCGGTGCTGGACATGACCGGCCTGCTCTACGACGACATGCGTTTTGCGTCGATCGAGGCCGTCAAGTCTGTCTTTGAAACAGTTTGGTTTTCTGACTCCACTGACCAGTCTTGGTTTGATGTCTTTAAACATCTCAGCCCCCACGCTTTGGTACTGTAAGTCTGATGTTAGTCACTATGGATGCGTTCATTGAAGGGGCCTGTAAACTGTGCGTTTGTGTTGTTGACAATGCTGTGAAATCTCGATTTGTATAATCGTTTGTGTTGATAGTAACCAGTATGGAAATTACAGAAAATGAGCGTTTTGTTATGGTATCCTCCTTATTCAGAAGTAGGGCGACAAGTCCTCGAGAAAGTCAAGTTCAGCTCCACCGGTAGCCGGCGGCGAGATGAGCACGGTCTCCTGCCTTTGCAAAGCGTGGGAAAGTTGTAGCATCAACCCGAATTCCGTTATCAAGCAACACGTGGTATGAATCGAGTAAATCTTCAAAAGACCTTGACAAGCAATAGATTAAGTATATTCTTATGGCATGTGTAAAAAGACATTCCGGCACTTTCCCTTATCGTATTTTGGACCAGCGGCGCCCTCCGAGAAGTGCCGCCCGGCATGCGGATCCTTCCCGAGGGGAAGAGGACCACACTAGATTGCGACAAGAGGTTATACAAGGCGTCATTCGAGGCATGTTACACACGAGTGCGTATATGAGGGAAAGCCCTTGAGCACATTGTGATATTGACGAGCACTCACGAAAACAAATCACACAACCGAGGACCAACCGGCAGAATCGCCGAAGCAAACCGACCACATGGCCGAGCCTCACACAACCAAACGCCTCCGGATCGGCGTCGACGTGGGCGGCACCAACACCGACGGCGTCATAATCGACCCGTCGCAGGCCTCGTCGCCCAACAAGGGCATACTAGCCTACCACAAGGCGCCGACGACGACGAACCCGAGCGACGGCATCAACGCGGCCATCACGCACATGTTCACGGCCTCGGACCCGCCCGTCAGCCCGGCGGACGTGGCCTCGGTGGCGATCGGCACGACGCACTTCGTCAACGCCGTCGTCGAGCGGGACGCGGACCGGCTGTGCAGGGTCGCGGTGCTGCGGCTCGCGGGGCCGTTCGGCAAGCACGCGCCGCCGTGCGTCGACTGGCCGGACGACATGCGCGACCTCGTGCTGGGGCACTGGGCCGGCGTGGACGGCGGGCTCGAGGTCGACGGGGTGCTGATCCGGGAGCTGGACGGGGCCGCCGTGCGGGAGCAGTGCCGGGCGATCAAGGAGAAGGGCATCCGCGCCGTCGTCGTCAACGGCGTCTTCAGCCCCATCGACACGGTGCACCGGCAGGAGGAGCGGGCCGCCGAGATCGTGCGGGAGGTTCTGGGCGCGGGCGCCGACGTCGTGCTGAGCAAGGAGGTCGCGAACCTCGGGTTCCTGGAACGGGAGAACGCGGCCATCCTGAACGCCGCGATACTGCCTTTCGCGCGCAGGACGATCCGGTCTTTCCAGGACCCCGTGAGGAAGCTGGGGCTGGACTGCCCCGTCTTCATCACGCAGAACGACGGCACCCTTCTCGCGGGGGAGATCGCCGCGAGGCTGCCCATCCGGACGTTTAGCAGCGGGCCGACGAACTCGATGCGAGGTGCCGCTTTCCTGATCCAGGGTGAGGAGAAGCAGGAGGGCCAGGCCATGATGGTCGTTGATATTGGCGGGACCACGACTGACATCGGGCTCCTCCTCGCCAATGGGTTCCCGAGGCAGCAGGCGGCTTACAGCGAGCTGGCTGGCGTGAGGATGAACTTCTCGTGCCCTGATATCAAGAGCATTGGCCTCGGGGGCGGGTCAATCATCCGCAAAGGTGCAAATGACAGGCCCACGACTGTGGGACCGGACTCTGTCGGATATAAGCTCACAGAAGAGGCGGTTGTCTTTGGAGGTAGCGTGTTGACAACCACGGATGCAACCGTTCTGGCCAGGCCGGGTGTGAAGATTGGCAATCCATCACTCGTCCAAGGAAAGCTGACTGGTGATGAGCTGAGCGAGACGAGCGCTATCATCAAGCAGAAACTGGAGAAAGTCATCGACATGATGAAAACTTCCCCCGAGGATCTGCCAGTCCTGCTTGTGGGCGGAGGTGCCGTCATATCTCCCGATGAACTCAAAGGAGCAAGCAAGGTCCTCAAACCCCGGTACTCAGAAGTTGCCAACGCCATCGGAGCAGCCATGGCAAGAGTCAGCGCCGTGGTCGACACAGTCAAGTCGACTGAAACCAAGTCTACACAGATGCTGCTGGATGAGATCTCGGCCGAGGTGACCGAGAAGACGGTTGCCGCGGGTGCATCGCGCGAGTCCGTCAAGGTCGTCGAGATGGAAACGCTCCCGTTGCAGTACATCGCCAACAAGACACGGTTCATCATCCGCGCCGCCGGCGATTTCGACTTTTCGAGGACGGACCTCGCCACCGTCCCACCCGCGAACGACCAAGAGCAAGCCACCAACGACATGGGCCGGTACGAGAAAAGGACCCGCACGAACGGGTCTTCATCAGCCGAGCCCAACGGCGCGGAGAAGCCAGCAGCGCGGCGGGAAACAGCAGACGCCGACCCGGCCACGTACCGCCCCACGGTCAAGAACCGCGTCTGGCTCATCAGCGAGACAGACCTCACCTGGATCAGCACGGGCTGCTACATCCTCGGCACGGGCGGCGGCGGGTCCCCCTACTCGCACATGGTGCGGCTGCGGCAGATGCTCCGCGCCGGCGCCGTCGTGCGCGTCGTGTCGCCGGACGACCTGGCGGACGACGACCGCGTCGGGTGCGGCGGCGGGATGGGCAGCCCGACGGTGGGGATCGAGAAGCTCGCCGGCGACGAGATGATGCAGGCGCAGGTGGACCTGGGGCAGATCCTCCCCGTCGACAAGCGGGCGACGCACATGATCGCGCTCGAGATCGGCGGGGGCAACGGGCTGCAGGGGATGATGCTGGGCGCGTCGGGGAACATGGACCTGCCGTGCGTGGACGGGGACTGGATGGGGAGGGCGTATCCTACCAAGTGGCAGACCACGCCTGTTGTGTTTAACGAGCGGCAGCCTGTCTTCTGCCCGCTGTCCATGTGCGACGGGAACGGGAACACGATCATCATGACTAGTGCCACGTCCGACCTCCAGGTCGAGAGGGCGCTGCGGGCTGCGATTAGCCAGATGGGCTCGCATGCCGGCTGTGCCGAGGGCCCTGTGTCTGGCGCCGAGACGAGGCGGTGGGCTGTGGAACACACCATATCTGCCGCGTGGAGGATTGGCAGGGCGGTCGAGAAGGCGAGGCGGGCCAACATTGTTGACGAGGTCGCGGAGGAGATCGTCAAAGAGGTTGGGGGGAGAGGGGCGGCCAGAGTCCTATGGAAGGGCAAGATTGTGGGCGTGGCAAGGACGCTGAGGATGGGACATGTCTACGGCGAGTGTCTGATCGAGGGGATGGACGTGGCCGAGGCCAAGGAGGGGGATACTGGCGCCTTGAAGAGTGAACATGGAAGAAGCCGCTTCGAGGGGCTGATCAGATCCCGTTCAAGAACGAGAGCATCGCGGCTATCAAGGTGCGTGGCCACAAAAACAACCGAGGCGACAACGAGGCCCTGGAGAAGCAGGAGGACGTGCTTTGCATTGTGCCGGATTTGATTTCCGTCATTGACGCACAAAACGGCGAGGCTATCGGCACCCCAGAGTACCGATATGGGCTCCTCGTTACTGTTCTGGGGATTGCAGCCAGCGATAGATGGACAGGTTCAGAGAGGGGGGTTGAGATTGGTGGCCCCGAGGGTTTCGGCATACATCACCTCAAGTATCAGCCACTTGGGAAATTCGTGAAACCCGTCAGTGTGATAGACGAGTTCGATACAAGTGATTAGTAGGGTGTAAAACACACAGGAGACATGGGCCTGGATATTTTACTGCAACAGGCATAGAATCTCAAACCACTAGACAATTAAACCACATTTCTCCTTCGAAAACTGGCTTGGTCACCAGTGCGGAATTCCCCTAGTAATTACTTGAAATTCCCATGCTCACAAAAACCGAAGTAGAATCAACCTTGTGGTATTGACCATTCCTTAGATTCTGTTCATTAAATTTGAGTCCAAGTTAATGCTGGGAGGAGACAATAGCTGAGGTCAGAGGCAGGTCTGGGTAGGAACAGTGTTGGTGACTTGAATAATTCAGGCTGGCCTGATTATTCACACGAGAGACAGAATATCCGTTCGTTGTATGCACTGGCCATCTCAACCTCGGCACGTTGTAGTTCACGGTTGTGTGCCTTATCTAACAAGTCGAAGGATGTCCCACATGAAGATCGGCGGCTGTTGGTCGCCGAGGTGTCAGCTTGAACGTATCCGAGGTTGGGGTGATTCAGGGCTCCAGGCATATTTCACGATTGTTGTATTCGACCTTGACTTGACTGGATATCGGTGTGGTGCTCGCTAATAAGCCGTGGTTGGGCAGCGCGCCCCTCATTCCCAGACCCCGTCTGTTCCGTGATTTGCAGTCGAGCGGCATCAGCCACACTCAACCGAACCCGAGGGGAGGATGCGATCCCGAAACGGGGTCATTCAGCAAACCCCGGCTCCTTTCCCGCTCGAGACGAGGACACAAGCTTTGTGCTAGGCGCAGCGGCTTACAGGGTCCACCCCGGGTCAGGCTGCCGCCCTTCGCATCACTTGCTGTGGGGGACCATTTTTTTGGCGGGTAAAACATCACCGTGCAGAGCTGGAGCTGCTGCTGCTGAAAATGCTGTTTCGACCAACAGCCGTGCTCTTCTGACGGCTGAAGTTGGGTCAGTTGGGCAGAAAAGTCATTTAAATCAGCACAATCACCACGTCAATACCAACGCTTATTAGTTCCAAGGTGTATCTCAAAGACATGTCTGTTGTGCACGCAGAACGGGTGATCTGAATGTCAGCCCCCACAGCCAGACACTGCCATCGTCATCGTTCTCGTTCTCGTTATGGCCCCTTGTGCTAGCTCCAGCGTATCAGACTCCTTCCTGACTGCGCCCCTTGGCAAGCCAACGCATGCATATGCATGTCAAGACAGCTTTGAGGATTCACATGTGGACTAGCTCCATTGGAACCAGGCCATGGTAGCTCATTGAGCCCGTGTTTGATCTGGAATCCTCCCGGCTTCCATGTAAGCCACCGGGACGCGAATCTCTGCCTGACAGGCGTGAGCTTCCAGATGTCATCCTCCAAGCTATGCCCGAGTTGAACAAACACCTCCACGTCCCCCCGTTCTTCCGTTCTGATTCACTCCTTAGCCTGCTGGGAAGACTACACTCCTCCACACCTTGAGTGTTTCAAGATCCAGCAACAATTCGCGGGAGCAGAGACGAGTCACAAGTAGACAAACAATGGCTGTCCCCACCGAGATTGGTGGCCCTCCCGGGCTGCCTCTTGTCGGCAACATCTTCGACCTACAGGACGAGGTCCCCCTGCGGGCCATCGAGCGCATCGCCGACATACACGGGCCCATCTTCAAGGTGAAGGCGCCGGGGCGGGAGTCGATAATGGTCAGCGGCTTTGACCTCTTCGACGAACTTTGCGATGAAACACGGTTCTACAAGCTGCTCGGCGGCAAGCTGGCCAGCGCCGCGGACGCGTCTGGCAAGCCGCGGGGCCTGTTCACGCAGAGGAGTGAGAAGGAGGACGACTGGGGCCAGGCTCACCGCATCCTGATGCCTGCCTTTGGGCCGCTGGCCGTGGCTGAGATGTTTGATGGTTAGAAGACACTCCGTGAGCAGTAGAGAATGGGGGAGCAGCAGTTCGCTGACAGAACGCCGAGGCAGAGATGCACGACATTGCCTCACAACTTGTTCTCAAATGGGCAAGGCAAGGCCCGACGCACAAGATCCAAGCCTCGGAAGACTTCTCGCGGCTGACGCTAGACACGATCGCGTTGTGTGCCATGGACTTCCGTTTCAACTCGTTCTACCAGGAGGACATGCACCCGTTCGTCAAGGCCATGAACACCACCCTGGGAGCGGCGAACAGCTCCGGACAACTTGCCGGACTCATCACCAGGCTGTTCCCCTCGTACAACGAGGAGGTCAAGCAGAGTGTCAAGTTCCTGGAGGATACCTCGCAAGAGTTGGTCCAACACCGACGTGACCACCCTACGGAGAAGAAGGACCTGCTCAACTCTTTGATCAATGGCAAGGACCCCAAGACCGGAAAGACGATGAGAGACGAGCTCATTGCCGCAAACATGCAGACTTTCCTGATCGCCGGTAAGTTGGCTGCCTCAAACGAGCAGGCCTGGTGAATGTTGGCACACTGACCAACCACAGGCCATGAGACGACGTCCGGGCTGCTCTCCTTCGCCTTCCTCCAGCTCCTCAAGAACCCAAACGCCTACTTCGCCGCCCAGGCCGAGGTCGACCGCGTGGCGGGCCACTCCAAGCTCGAGCCCAAGCACGTCAACGAGCTGAAATACGTCAACGCCGTGCTCCGCGAGACCCTGCGCCTCACGCCGACCGCGCCGGCCTTCAGCCGCGCCATCCGGCCCGAGAACACGGAGGAGCCCGTGTACATCGGGGCGAGGGACCCGGACAGCAAGCACAAGTATGAGATCCCGCGGGGCAAGTCCATCGTGTGCCTCATCGGGAAGATCATGCAGGACCCCAAGGTGTTCGGCGAGGACGCCGCGGAATTCAGGCCGGAGAGAATGCTGGACGAGAACTTCGAGAAGCTGCCCAAGAACGCGTGGAAGCCGTTCGGGACGGGGATGAGGGCGTGCATCGGGCGGGCGTTTGCGTGGCAGGAGGCCGTGCTGGCGGTGGCGCTGATCCTGCAGAACTTCGACATGCGTCTGGACGATCCCAACTACGAGATGAAGGTCGTGCAGACGCTGACGCTGAAGCCCAAGGACTTTTACATGCGGGCCAGCCTGAGGGAGGGCATCACGCCGACGATCCTGCTCCAGAGGCTGAGCGGTGATAGGGCCACTGGTGGGCAGCACAAGGACGGTGTCCCCAAGGCGGTTGAGGCTGTGGCGACTGGTGAACAGGATGTCTCCATCTTGTATGGGTCGAACACTGGGACTTGTCAAGCGCTGGCGCAGAAGCTGGCGGGGCAGTGTGCTCAGAGGGGCCTGCTGGCTGATGTCCGGACGCTGGATGCGGCCATGGGTCAGGTTCCCAAGGACAAGCCGACGGTGATTATCACAGCCTCTTACGAGGGACTCCCTACCGATGATGCCGCGCGCTTCGTGGCATGGTTGCAGAGCTTGAAGCAGGAAAGCGAAGATAAGAAACTTGATGGAGTCAGGTACGCCGTCTTTGGCTGTGGTCACAGCGACTGGGCCTCCACTTTCCAGAAGATCCCGACGTCGGTGGATGATATTCTTCCCATCCTGGGAGCGGAAAGGATCGCAGACCGCGGGTCATCAGACGTCAGCAAACAAGACACCTTTGGCGACTTTGACACATGGACAAGTGGTAAATTGTGGCCAGCCCTTGGCCCGTACTTGTCGTCCTCCGAAGACTCGTCCAGATTCTCTACCATCCCGACCATCGAGATCGAACTCACCAACGATGAGCGTGCCGCCCACCTGCAGCAGAACGTTCAATGGGCCAATGTCATCGACGCCAAGGTCCTCACCGCGGAGGGCGAGCCGGAGAAGCGCCACATCGAGATCGAGCTTCCCTCGAACATGACATATTCTGCCGGCGATTACCTTGCCGTGCTGCCCCTGAACCCAAAGGAGTACGTCAGGCGGGTCATGAACCACTTCAACCTGCCGTGGGACGGCACGATCACCATCAAGCCAGGCTCGGCAACCTCGCTCCCCACGGGGAAGCCAATCGGCATCTTCGACCTGCTCCAGGGCTACGTCGAGATCTCCCAGCCGGCGACGAAGCAGGACATCGAGGCGCTGGTCTCGACGTGCGGCTCGCCCGGTGTGAAGGAGACGCTGGCGGGTTATCTCAACCCGGGTTCATTCACCTCGGAGGTCATCGAGAAGCGCATCACCATCCTGGACCTCCTGACAAGGCACAAGGCCGACCTCCCCCTCCCCTTCGCCACCTTCCTCTCCCTGCTGCCGCCCATGCGCACCAGGCACTACTCCATCTCGTCCTCCCCGCTGGCGTCGCCCCAATCCGCGACCCTGACGTACGCCGTCCTCGACGCCCCGGCCTGGTACCAGCCGAACGGGGACTCCTCCTCCTCCGCAAAAACCAACGGCACTGCCGGGGAACACGAGCCCCGCCACCGCTTCCTCGGCGTCGCAGGCAGCTACATGCGGTCCCTGACCCCGGGCGACCGCGTCCTCGTCTCGGTGCGCAGCACCAACAAGTACTTCCGGCTGCCGCTGGACGCCCGGGCGACCCCCGTGGTGATGATGTGCAACGGCAGCGGGATCGCGCCGTTCCGCGGGTTCGTCCAGGAGCGCGCCACGCTCATCGCCGAGGGCGGCAAGTCCCTCGCGCCCGCGGTGCTGTTCGCGGGCTGCCGGCGGCCCGGGCGCGACCAGCTGTACCGGGGGGAGCTGGAGGCCTGGGCTGGGCTCGGGGCGGTGGATGTCAGGTGGGTTTTTAGTCGGGACGAGGAGGACGGGGGTGGGGGGGACGGGTGCAAGTACGTGCAGGACCGGATGCTGAGGGACCGGGAGGATATCGACCGGCTGTGGCTTGAGGGGGCGAGGTTTTACATCTGCGGGAGCAGGAGCCTGGCCAAGGGGATCGGGGCCGTGGCGAGGCAGCTGATTGCTGCCGGGGCCAAGAGGAGTGGGAAGGATTACACGCCGGAGGAGGTTGATGCTTTTGTCAAGCGGATGAGGAACGAGAGGTTCGTCACGGACATCTTCTGATGTGGTTGTCGTCTTGGTCGAGGGTAAATTGTGAACTGTTTCAGATGGCGTTGTCTGGACTTTTTTGAACATGGCGTTGATTTCCCGCGGATATCGCTAGTGACAGAACAGGCTGATAACAAAACCACAAATAATGAATGTAGGCACGCACAGATCATCTCACATGACAACAGTCTTAAGCTCCTGCAGCGCAGCCGTCCACCTCTGGCCACTCCTCTGCCTCTCCCACAGCGCCGGCAGCGCATCCAATCCCCGGAGCACGTTGTCGTACCCGGTAGACTGCCACAGCCTCCTCAGGACGGACGAGAAGAACTCCCTGTTGTCGTCCTCGCGCGACTCGGCCGCCGCGATGAACGCGGGCCACACGATGGTGTGCGAGCCCGGCGCCGACGGGTCGACCTGCTCGAAGAGCCCGCGTATGAGGGCGATCCGGTCCGGCATGCTCTCGAGCGGGCTGTACGTCTCGTCCATGGCCGTCTCGGTCGCGTCCAGGTTCGGCAGCAGCGGCAGCACCGTCGTCTCGGACCTGCTGGCCGTGGCCGGGGCCAAGGCCGTGCCGGGCGAGCTGTCGTCTGGGGTGCAGGCGCGCAGGACGTATATCTCTGTCGCGGCGCGGGTGATCTCCATGTACAGCCGCGTCCGGGAGTCGAACAGCCACTGCGTGCTCGTCGGGAGCGGGGCGCTGCTGACGAGGAACTCCACGCTCTGGCGTTGGCGTTGCTTGAGTTGCTCGTGGCTCGCCATGAGGCCGGTGAGGAATTTGGAGAAGTCGGCCACTGCTTTTGACTTGCCCAGGATGGGGTAGGCAAACAACGATATTCTGCCCGATTTAGTACTTCTGAACTTTCTATAAAGGGGGCCGTGGACTCGTAAGTGACTTACAATTTTGACTGGTTATACAAGAAATTCTGCAGTGGTGATGCCGCTTCTCCAGGATGGCCTCGGGCGTCCAGGAAAGCAACAAGCATCTTGTACAGCGCAAGCACGTGTTCGTGGCCCGTCACCAGGTCCGCGACGATGAGCAGAATGAGAGTCGCCCAGGTCGAGTCGCTGAGGTCAACCTCGGACGACAGCTTGCTGACGATGGCGGCGCGGCCCGACTCGGCGGGGAGGCGCAGCTCCGGGACCTGCCGAGACAGGTGGAACGCTGCTGCGACACACACGGCGCGCTCGACGATGGGGTCGGCGTGGGCGAGGGGGAGTATCTGGCGTCGGTAGCCGTTGGCCTCATCGTCGTACATGAGCATCACCGGCGAGACGTGGGTTGAGACTATGCCCGACTATCAGTATGTGGCTTGAGGCGAGGACCGGCTGGCGGAGCGATGGGTAAAGGCTTTTCTCACAGTGCTTGAAGAGGAGGCGTATCCGCGGGTCTGGGTTCGAGAGCAAAGAGGGTAGGGTTTTCGGTATTGGTGAGAATTCTGGCCGAGCCAGTGTGCAGTCAAGGTCACCCGTTCGCATGATCTCAATCACGTCGTCCTCGCTGCCGTGAGCAGACGATGATTCGAAAGTCTCCTGCGGCGACGTACCCCTGATTTGGCGAGTCCAGTAGTGGTGATCATGGCCTCCACTGTCGATGTATTGTTGACTCGGGCCAAATGCATGAATGCCTTGTTGTCGTCGAGCGATGTCCAGGGCCTCCCCAGAACTCCTCACGGTTGAGCTCAGGGGCGTTGCTGCGCCTGTAGTGGCGTCCGCGCTTGGCCGTCGCTTGCCAGTTGCCCTCGCCCTCTTCACCCGACTAGACACGTCAACCCATTTCAGGTCAGGCTGTCGGCGCTTTGCGGAGAATGATGACGCCGGAGACGGTGGTGAAGCGTTGCGCGAGCTCTCTGCCGGCTCGAACTCGGTGGATGAGGCTGTTTTCCCGTCCGCGAAGCGGTACCTGATGCCGTACCCGGGGCAGTCCAGCCCCTTTTTTGCGCACTTGTTGCACTTCGGCTCTGTCAGGTCACACACTATCCTCCTCTTTGTGCAATGATAACAGGCTGTGCAGGAGTTCCGAGTCAGCGCGCAGTCACGGGCGTGTGATCTCGACTCGGCGACGATAACCCAGATAGCGAGCAGACGCACTGCTCCATCAGGGCGCCTCGGGAATAGAGAACTCAGCTCCGGGGTCGGGCACCCGGGCCGAGGGGCCCAGGCCGGTGCAATCTCACATTTCTTTGGCTTGTCAGAGCCCATCGATCATGCCATCCAGTCTCTGCTGTCTTGCACAGTATCGGTACTCTCGTGTGGCTGAAGCCGGCATGTCGTCAAAAACTCGGCTCAGGTCGACTTGGGGGAGCGGGGTCCGGGTGCGGATTTGCGGGAGATTCAAGATGTGATCTGGGACGCTTTGCCTTAGCGCGTGCATGGATCTTGCAGCAGCCCGCCCGCCCAGGCCGCCCTATGTACAGTATCTACAAGCTCCGAGACACATGCTGGGATCGCGGCGATCGGGTCTGGGCGTCGTGTGGGGCCGAGGACACGCTGTGGAGTCGCAAACTCGAAACTCGCCCTCGTGCTCCTTTATTTGTCGCAGCACAGGGCGCGCCCCACAAGGAGAGCGCGACTGGTGACGGAATTTTTATCAAAATGTTATTGTGAGCATTGCGAGGGCGGCGGCGGCGGAAACCATCGGAAAGCGTCGCGCGAGAGACTGCGATGCTCGGCCCCTGGGCTGCTGCCTCCAAAGTTACTTTGGAGGTGGAGAGAGAACACGGTTACAAATCATCATGGGCCACGATAACCAGCTGGAACACGGCCACGATGAGACTGAGGAATCAGAGAACAACGTGCCCCAAGTGGTCACAGTAGCCAAAGTCGAAGATAATCAAGCATAATAAAATGCGAAACACATGTTCACAATAGTTGTTGGGCTTGGCTACTGAGATCGCCCTCCTCAGACTCCGAGACCGTATGCAAGACTCGGATGTGAGTACGCAGGGGTATGCCCTTGTCGCGCTACACGCCTATTGCATGGGACTGATACTCCATGAAACTGATTTACGCGTATGCATTGGACCATGGTGAAGTAAATTCTTGATGAAGGGGAGCAAGGCCCGAATGCCATATATTTCACCAGAAACATATCCAACGATTTGATAATACTGCAGTTGCCTACGCGCTCAAGCGGACCTAAGATTGATATCACCACGAGCAATCGATCACATTGATTCTTCGTAACAAGTTACTTGGAGAATCTGACAACACGTTCTTGCTTGCCATGACCAGGTACTGGTTCAAGACCTCATATTCGAGCTCCGCATTTAGTATTGATCGGTCTCCTTCGGCATGCTGTATTTCTCCAAGTTCGAGCTGCTGTAAGTACTGAAAAAGCGACTGCTGTAGCTCGAACAATGTCCAACCCTCTTCCGTCTGTGATTTCCAGTGCCAGTGTGATTCAGTCTGTTTCACCCACCCCCTTTCTTCCCTCGATAAATCTGGGTATATGAAGGCTGTGATGTTCTTCGGCTTGGGTGTTGTGTTTTTCAGTGAACAATTCTATGTCTGTCACTAATTATCCAAGCCAGACCAACATGGAGTCAGTACACATGGCCATCAACACGGATGCTAGAGTTTCTGTTGAAAACCTTGATTCGGTGGCGAGGTCTAGGGATGAGTATATAAAAGTATGTAACAATTAAGCTGTTATAAAGATAGAGTGACAATTCTGTTCGTCGGAATTAAAATCTCCATACCTGTATCCGTCCCTAACTCCAATAACATAACCACCTCGGCACCTTTTCGCGTTATCTTTCTGCTCGGCGAGCAACTTTTGCATATCCCCAAGAATGATGCTAGGTAGTGTGTCGCGGATGGAAGCTACGACGCGTTTCTCCAGATCTGTAAGTCTTCTCTGCAAATCTTCATCAAGAGCCTGAAAGCCCTCGCGAACCTCGCTCCGCGTTTTTTTCCAGCACTTCATGTCGCATCTCGCTTGCTCTGTCTACAGAGGATAGCTCCTGCAGGCGTGCTATCCTCATAAGCGACTCAAGCTTCTCATATTGTCGTTGGAATTCGTTCAAAGAGTCCCACTTAATTGTTCGAGCGGCGAGCGGGGTTGTCATCCCTTTGCTCGATTGCAGTTGCTGCAGAACCCGGCTGACCACCTCGAAGGCCAAAGCGTAACATTTCACCAACTCATGCCTCGCAATTCGCAATTCGTCCGAGGTACTGCGCTCTATTGCCATCTGAGAAGACGCCAGCGGGAGGATGGTGAAACTGAACTTGTCCATCTCCAGGTCCAAATGGATTGCCACCTCATCATGTGCATCGTATAGCTTCATCAGTCCCTGGGCCTGTCTCCAGTTGGATCATTTAAGGAACGCAAGCGTAATGTCAAACTTACTTCATCCTGGCCCCGTAAAAGAAGCGCCCAAAACAACGCCCTGTAGACATAGTGTTTGCTCTCCGTCCCCAACTGCCCCTTCCTCTGTATAATTTCTGTCAATTTCTGCCTCTTCCAAACCGGGGACAGCTGGCTCTCATTAGTGGCTGGAAGTTCCAATATTTTAAGGGCTGCAGCTAGCATCTTCTGAGTTTGAGATCCCAGTGATAGATCATTTAGAGAAAGGCATCCTGCGGCTCTGCCTATTGATGACGGTGAACTCCACCGGTCATAGGCCTCACGCCATACAGAATCTCCTTCTTCGTCCCACGCGGCGCCTCTGTCAGCAAGCTGTGTTACCACCCCAGAGTGCCCACCAGTCTGAGCGGCCTGAATAGCGGTCCCAAGCAAGCCGCCTACCGTGTCTAATTTGGCGCGTTTGTCAAGTAGGATACCCACGATGTCGGTATGTCCGGCAGCAGCTGCTGCTTGCAAGGCAGTCCCGAAGGACCCACTTCGGAGGTTGACATCGGCTCCTGAAGCAACCAGCAATTCAACAATACTTTTAGAGCCTCTCAAACTTGCAAGTTGAAGTGCCGAGCGATTCTGGGGGCTTCCTGCATCTGGCTTTGCGCCCGCCTCCAGTAACATCTGCACGAGTTTCGCATTGCTGTGATCGACAGCGATGAAAAGTGCTGTCGGTTGATCACGCGAAATCCTGTCAATGTCCTCTCCAGATGCTACAAGCTTCTGTGATATCTCAATGTCCTCTCGCTGCGAGGCCAGCTGCAGGCTAGTGCACATTAGGCCACCGGTTCCATTGATGTATGAGCCCTCGTCGATAAGAATCCTCGAGATACTCTCGAGTCTCAGAAAGATAGCCATGTACAATGGCGAGGGGCAACTGTCCGTGGTCAGACCAGAGTCTGTTGTTTTCCTCTCCGGGTCCCAGGTGCGTATCCAGTTGAGATAGGCCGGGCTCATCGGGTCTCTGAACAAAGTCAAGAGCTTGGAGCTCAGCACTTTGTCCTCTTCAAGGCTACTTCCGCTGCTCCGCAAATGCTCGTGCCAATATCGTGCGGCATACGGAATGAATGGGGTTGATACAGCTATCGAGGACCTTATGCTGGGTTGTTCGATTGCAAGAAGATGGTCGACCATGAGTCTCGTGAACTCAGCGTGTACATCCTTCTCCGAGACAAAGAATTGCGACACTTGGTTTTCAGCAGAATCTTGCAGCTTACGGGAGTAGAGGAACCTCTTTACAGAGGGATGGTCAAAGGTCACGACATTCGTTTCCGTGCGAGACGAACTGTGAACTGCCTCCTGCGGCAGGTCGATTTGGTCCTCATCGGGGGGTCTCTGTTGCTCTAGCCGGATCATACTGCTGGGACAGATATTGGACAGATCTTCTGGGTTCGGAAGCTCGACCCCGGGAGCCGCTGCGAGTTCAGAGGTCGTCAGTTGCCGAGCTGCCACCGAGATCCAGCAGAAGATGTGTCTAAGCCTGCGGGCATCCTTTGATGGGACACCTTGTAATTTACGCAGATATGCGTCCTCGATACTCCCCGGGATCCTGCTCAAGACAGCATCAATTTGGCTGTCGTCGTAACATTTACGCAGGTCCTCGAGCTGTAACGATACGATCCGGAATCTCCTTTTCTGAGTTCAGCTAAAGAAACACGATATGACAGTTATGAAAGGCTCTTACTACCCATCATATTTGAGCACCTTCATAATATTGGTCTTGATTTGGGGGCTCCAGTGTCTCTCGGTAGCGTGTTTTGCTATCATCGTATCCAGATAGGCATCCACATCCACAGAGACTGACTTCTCAATATCCATATTTGCTGGCGTGGGCCGGATGCGTGCGAAGGCAGTCTTGATACCAATTTCAGATACAGAAGTGACAAGAATGTGCAGCTTGGGCAGCTTTGCATTGCCCAACTCGACTAGGAAGTCCAGGAACTCCTCGCGAAAGGTCTCTTTACCCGTCTGATACTCGTCGATAGCGTCTAGTACGAGGAATAGTTCCTCCTCCAGGGCGGCAATGGTGGCCTGCAGAGCCTTCATGAGTGCTGTGATGCCGGGCGCAGAACCGGCGGCCTCGTGCTTGTTCGCCAGATCACGCACAGGTTCGGGAAATGGCGTCGCCTTGGCCGAAGTTCGGCGGAGGACGAGGCGTACTAGGCGTTGGAGGTCTTGGGTCTGTGGATCGGCGTTGTCAAAGTACCAGTACGCGACTATCATGTTGTCATTCTTGGCGACAGACCCTGCCAGTTGTTTGACTACTGTGGAGCAGAGTATGGATTTTCCACAGCCTGATGTTCCATATAGCCAGAGAAAGGAATGTGGCAACTTCAGCCAAGATGTGTATTCTCTTGATGCGAGAAGCCACTTTCCGGAATTCTTGTTGAGCTTTTCAACTTTACTTCGCAGTTGCTGTTGTTTATCAGTGAGCGGACTGTCTGACAACCACTTGAGGGTCCTAAGCTTCTCAGCTTGAAGGATTCTCTGAATTGAGAGGTCAACCTTGTTTAGGGCCTCCACTGCCTGGGTTTCAAGTTTCTGGAACTCCTGCTTCCGATACTGGTGTGCTACCAAGTGGGCCTTCTCGGTCACTGTCTCATCATTGGCCGTCAATTCGTCTTTGAGGATCTTGATGTCCCGGTTGTCCACGGTGCAGAAGCTTTCCGACAGCCGACCTGTACACATCAGCTTTTGAAGGTTGGGGGTGCGAAAGCAAACTGGGTAAATATTTACCTGCAATGGACAGATCGAGCTGCTTCTGTACACATGCGGAATACTTCAGGATGGAAGCGTACACGTTCCTGATCTGATCTTCGAAGGCTTTCTGTTCTTGCGTCTGCCTGTCCCGATAATGGTCCTCAATGATTGCATATTTGGGCAAGAACTTTGCTAGCACCGCCGCTGATTCAAATACGGCATCGGCCCTATTCTTGTCGTTCTGCACCAGCTTCAGCACGCCGGAGAGCACCCCCCAGACAATTGTCCCGTAGCCACTGGGGTCGAACATGAGTCCGACCTTGACGATATCGTCAAACTGCAGAGCTGCGCACATGATCTCCTGGGCTTTGACCTTTACGTTTGTCTCTCTAGTCTTGTCGCCCTTCTTTGTGTGCCAACCGCGTTTGCAGTATTCGTTGTACTTCAGCTCCGTGAGGCCCTTGACCTTTTATACCGCGGCCAGCTGCGACGCCTCGTCCCTAGGTGTTCCATCACCATGAGCCTGCCGCAGTATTTCACGCTCGTTTTGAGGCAGGGAGGCAAATGCTTCGCTCCAGAGATCTCTGGCTATTTTGTCATTGGAAATATTGCGCCCCTGGATGTAACAATTCGATTAGCAGCCTGTAACGCGTTGAGGGCAACCGGGCCCAAGTATGAAACCCGACTTACATTGTCATCGATTGGAACTTTCGGGCTTTTGGCTTTCTTGCTCTTGAACAAAGGCAATTCTTCCGCCCAGGCTCCGCATATGGTGAGTCTTCAGCTGGTTGTCAAGAATATTCGTCCCGTTGCAAGGTCATAACTTGATGAGTGCGCAGGCAATAACCCCGCACCTGAACATTATCGCAGTTTTGAGACTTTCAGCTGACAGCTGACGAACTCTTCTCTCAGGAATAGGCGCCGATGATAGTTCAATAATTTCCATACCTGTTCTGTTGTGCTAGACTAGTCTAATGCACTAGTTATACATTTTATGGTTACTTGGGGTGAGAAGAATCAGACGAGGCGTATAATCGCTCCGAGAACAAAGAAATGGTTTCCGGCTCTGGAGCCATCCACTCGATGAGTTCATTCGGTGGAAGTATACAGATCAATACCCTGAAGATTGCTCGATGCCTGAGAATAATGAAGAGGTGCTCTGACACGATATGACTACCTGATTCATTCAAGGCTGTGACCGCACAGACGCCTTTAAAATTTATCGAATTGAGACCAGCTTTCGAATTTCATTTCATGCCATCCTGGCGCTTTTGTAGCACGAAATAGTATACCAGTCTGGACCGGTCACGCGTGGACCCCAACCATTAGCAACAGATGAGCTTCAAGAAGAGACGAGGGTATAATGGGGACGCATTTCTGAGCAGCTTAGAAACACCCGGATGTTCACAACCACACATTGTATCTTCATGTTGAATTTTGCGTAGAAGTAAAAGTTTCTAAGGAATATCTCAGTCCCTATTTTAAATAAGAACGAATATTCGCACTGGTGAGAACGGATGGCAAACTGATACATGCTACCCCCCAATGCACATTTAACGCCCTCCACCAAAATTACTACATACAACGTCAATTTAACTTTACCAACGCTATAATCAACATACTCATTAATATACCTATTATTAATACAACCTTTTATACACTCATTACAGCGCAAATAACTTAATTCTATGGTGTTCTGGTGCCTATCTAGTTCAAATGGATTGTGATCTCATCTTAAACCTTCTACTTATTGCAATTATTGCCAACAAGGTTCTTAATAGCCAGATCTACTTATGGCAACTGGTTAATGCTTCTTATAACCCCTGTACGCTGCTTTTTAGGGTGATTAATTTAACTTCAACGGCGATAAAGGCTGCGCAGGGTACTAATGATTGCAACTATAAAAAGCACCATAGAGTGATGAAGTAGGGCTCAGAGCAGGGCAATTAGTAAGCTCCGATTAGTTACAGGTTTTGAGACTTTTTGTTTAGTTAGAAAATGCTGGTGCAGCATCCGTTTTACAGGTATGAATATTCGTTCTCTTTTAAACCTCCTGTTTGAAGATAACAACTGGTTGGCCTTGATACATGAACGAGTTACAGGATAGGTCTGAAGAAATTAATGGCGGTACAGTGTATAATGGATGTAGAATGGGTTCTGAATTCCCGTTTCGGGTGTAGAGTCTTTCAAATCATGACTTTGCTAGATAGATACATTGGTGTGGATGGCTAGCTGGGTAACCATGTCGCAAATACTGCAGTGGTACACACCATTGCTGTCCAGTCAACATGTGTTTCCCAAAGCGTCTTATAGCATCGGCTTTTTCCCTTAACCAACGTCATGTCATGTTCACTTGAATGTACCAGTATCATGTTCTACAGCAGTAAGCCGATGTTCAGTCGTGTGTGCTGCGTCATAGACACCCAGGAAGGGATACAATGTCATTGTCAATCAGATTCGGTTCATACACTAATTGATGTGCTCAATCCTGGGACCTTGGTATTTCCTCGTCGCGTATCCAAACCAGTTAGCTAGCGCAAGGAGACCCATCACTCCAATCACAGCGCACGCATAGTCTAGGAAGGTGTCAGCCAAGTCGTATGCCAAAAGAGTTAGATAGGACTGCGGGCGATTCTTACTCATATTTCCAACTGTAACGGGCAATACTACCGGAAGGTCATAGAAGACCAATGCCAGCAGGGCAATGACTATTGTCAAGACATTCGCAACGGGGCCGACCCCAAATCGTAACTTGAACCCAATCTTGGCTTGAGGCATGACCTCTTCGAGCGTCCCCTTCACCCGGCGGTACAGCATCAGCGCGGCAGGGAACGCGAAGCTGAGTTGCTGCAAGATGATGCCGGTGCTGACCAGGGCGTTGAACGCTGTCGATGAGCCCAAGTAGACGCATCCCAAGACGAATACACATGCACTGTTGGCGATCAGGGACCACACTGGGACGCCCCATCGTGGGTGGATGCGGCTTAGGAACGGAGCGAACACGACGGCGTCGTCTCGAGCGAAGGACCATGTGAGTCGCGAGGCTGTCTGTGTGGCTCCAGAGATGGCGAAGAGTGCGATTACGTTGAGCGTAACGAGGAACAAGGTCGCGACGGCTCGACTGGAGGTGGCTTGGTACCATACCTCGAGGGCGGGAAAACTGGTAATGTGACACAGCGTCAGGTGACGTTTTCCATGGGAATGATGTCCAGATAGGAGGAAGGATCAGACTCACGGTGAAGCAAGCACGGCATCAAAGTCATGGTAGCTGTAGCACATGCCAATGGCGAAGACCAGCGCCGTCACGAAACCGATGGCCACGGTCGAGACAAGAGCTCGGGGCACAATTACCGCCGCGTTGGTGCATTCCTCGGCCAAATGAATTGCACCGTCTAGGCCGGAGAAAATAAAGTTGGGATTGACCAGGCCGGTGAGAAAGACAACACCATCCGAAGACCAGCCGGACTTGTTGACAAATTCTCTCCACACAAAGTCGCTGCTTTGTTTCGGGTTCGACTCGGCGAGACAGGTGATTATAATAACGAAGAAGGCTATGATCGAAAGGAAGACTGTTGATACGATAACATGAGGTTAGCATGATGTACAATGGCAGCCACAGGCTGCACACGGTGGAACGTTGCAAGGGAAGACAACTTACACACCACGTCCTGCAACCAGATGGTTCTTTTCAGCAGGAAGATGTTATACGCCACCACCAGGAAGTTCATGGCTTGGAATATCAAGAAGACGTGCCATGTCTGAACGTTGTAGCCCGGATTCCAGAATGAGGCCAAAGCCAGAGCCATGGTTGGAAAGGTGATGATAAATCCGGCCGAGGTTGCGATCCATCCGAACACATTGATCGCGCCACACCAGTAACTCTGCTCCCAAAGTCAGCATCTGTGGACAGGTGTGCGCAAAGTACCAATTGCCTTCGAGGCCACTTACGAGTCCTCTGCTTGCGGATACAGGAGCCAGGATGCTCGTCCAGTGATATTGTCCACCTGCGGTAGGATGAACAGACGCTATCTCAGCCATGCTCAGCGCGCAGGCTCCTCCGAAGATGAATATGATGATGATGCCATAGATCAGCGTCACCGGCCCTCCAGAGGCGACGGAGATGGCCAGCGTCGCCGCTACGGCGGCCCAACTGTTGCAGATGTTCCATCCTATCGACACGATGGCGAGTAGCCCGAGGTCTCGGGACGGCTGGATTGGAGTTTCGACAGTGCCAAAGGAGTTGGAAACATCTATATATTATGGGTAAACACAGTCAGTAAACAGCTGATTCTTGCATCGCGACGGGGGCCGGTCCGTGGGGCAGGAGTGGATATCTTTACGTACTTTTTTCAAGGGCGGCGAGGTCAATTTCCCCGGGTTTTGAAAAATCCTGAGGCTTGTGTTGTGGGTTTTCTGACGCCATTTTGTCTAAATGTAGAAGTGGGGCGATAGCCGGCAGCCAAATCTGGACTTCAAACTGTGAATAGATTCGCTTGGCTTAGGATGAACCGTTGTTCGAATCTGTCGAGATGCGAGATCTGGCCATTCCTCGTTCGACTTTATAGAAGAATGGCGCCACGCTTGCTGTAACCGTAGTGCCTTGTCGAGACGCTAAGAACATCAATTCCTATCAAACTGAATATGCAGCCTCTTGCGAACCGCAGCGCGGATCTTGTTGGCTTATCTCGCAAGGAGGAGTAAAGAAGGATGGCACAGGGCAAGTCGATCTGGGTGGATCAAGCCTTATCCACAAAGCCAAGACTATCTGGGGTGGAGGTTCTCACAGCGGTACCCTGGAACGACTCTGTCGGTGCCACGCGGGATGCGACTGTGGATTGGAAATTGAGCAGGCAGGCTAAGTCGTATTACCGAAAACGGATAATGAAGTGAGAAAATGACCCCAGATCTGCCACAGCAATTGCCGAGCGACTGCCGTTCTGTGTTTGTGCTTGGCGATTTCTAGGGAGAGCAAGCCTCTTTCAATGCAAAACCCACGAGGTAGCGCGCTCTGTCTGTATCTGATAGGGCGCTCGGCGTGTGAGCCAGCCGCCTTCCTCACGCTAAGCTGGGCTTCTCTCCCCGCTTCTCGGCTGTGGAAAATTACTAGATTGGGGCATAAAAGTGAGATTTCAACAACGTCAGACAAATCGGTGCCTCCCGAGTTCCGACCCAAGATATCCAAGACTCACTTTGTGATGTAGGTTAACATCATACTTATCAGAATATACCAAATTAGGAATGAAAAGTGAGAAACTCTACGAAACGCTTAAGTCACACGGTATAAATATGAACTCATGCACCACGGGAACAGAGGACCATGTCCCAGGGCATATAAGCCATAACATTGCTGTCTTCAAGTTCATCTGAAACACCAAAGGTTCATCAATCCAAGGACTTCGCCATCGACAGCACTCAGCCAGCCTTACCAGCTCGAGGGCCCAATGACTAACCCACCAGGCCACACCAGCCGTGACGGCTACCAATGGACGCCGGAGACTGGACTCAAACCTGGAGTACCATGCCTTGGAGTGATAAAGCCTCAGTCGACTGTTGCCTCAAAAGAAACAGTCTATGATGTAGCAGTCATCGGCGCAGGATACACAGGCCTCACCGCCATCCGCGACTTGACGACAACAGGCCACAGCACCCTCCTGATCGAGGCACGCGACAGAATCGGAGGCCGATCATGGTCATCAAATATCGACGGTTACCCTTTCGAGATGGGCGGCACATGGGTGCACTGGACACAGCCCTTCATCTGGCGCGAGCTCTCCCGGTACAACCTCCTCAGCAACCTCGAGGTGTCCATGTCCTACTCGGGCGGCATCAACAAGTGCGCCGTGACCATGTCCAGAGACAAGCCGACAATCTTCATGTCGCACGAGGAGGAAGACCGCATCTCCGAATCCGGCCTCAAGAAGCTGGTCGACGTGGACGGCAAGCTCGGCCGGACCGTGATCCCCTGGCCGCACGACGCGCTGCGCAACAAGGAGGCCGTGGCCGTCTACGACAAGATGTCGCTCCGGGACCGCATGGCGCAGATCGCGGACGACCTCAGCCCCGTGGAGAGGAACATGCTCGAGGGGTTCCTGAGTATTACTAGTGGCGGCAAGTGGGAGGAGTCGTCCTTCTTCGAGATACTACGCTGGTGGGCGCTCGCGAACTGGGACTACAGGGGCTTCGTCGAGATGGGCCTGACGTACAAGCTCAAGTGCGGGCAGAGCGCGCTGCAGAGGTGCCTGTTCGACGAGGCGCACGCCACGGGGAGGCTGAGCCACAGCTTCTCGACGCCTGTCGCGAGTGTGAATGACAAGGGCGGCGTAGTCGAGGTGACTGGCCGGGATGGCAGCATTTTCAGGGCAAAGAGGGTCATCTGCACCGTGCCCCTCAACGTCCTGCACTCGATCCAGTTCACCCCCGCGCTGCCGCCCCTGAAGACGCAGGCAAGCGTCGAGGGCCACGCGAACCACGTCGTCAAGTGCCACGCCGAGGTCGCGAAGCCGGAGCTGCGGTCGCTGGGCTCTTTCAACTTCCCGCACGGCAAGCTGACATACACCTTTGGCGACGGCACCACGCCAGCGGGGAACACTCACCTTGTTGCGTTTGGCAGCTCACACCCTGGCGTGCACTTGCAGGCAGAGGAGGACATCGGTGCGACCCTGGACGCGTGGAAGCAAATTCTTCCCGGTACGGAACAAAAGGACTTGAAGAGGGTTGTGTTCCACAACTGGCACAACGATGAGTTCGCTAGAGGAGCTTGGGAGTGGTTCAAGCCAAACCAGGCCAGTCGATACCTGGATGCATTACGAGAGAAGCAGGGCAATGTCTGGTTCGGGAGTGCAGACTGGGCCATGGGCTGGAGGGGATTCCTCGACGGTGGGATAGAGGACGGACAGAGAGTTGCAAAGGGGGTCGCTGACGACCTCAAGGCGTCCAGATCGATCAGGGTGGCCCCGCGTCTCTGAATATTTGCTCGTGGCTGTTATACTGAACTCTTTGGTGTTGATCACTTGCTTTTGCTCCGTTTTCGGTCACAAAGCAGTGCAGGGAGCGGCGAAGGGTGAAAAGCTATTTTCGATGTAAACACACTCGACCCAAAGTAAACGCCAAATATCCTCGTGCCTTCACCTGAAATCCGCCTCAGTCGTTGGGATATGACAGTTCTATCGTTGCCTTGCACACTATGATAGAGGTAACACGATCATGTTGAAACCAGCAAGTCTCGGGCATGTAGAGCTGTCTTCAAAAGCAGCAACGGCTGTTGGCCTGGGGACTTGTCCTGTAAGATGTAGCGACATTTATAGAGTTATGGTTGCCTATAGGATATCCTAGTGACAATTATTATGCACCATATTTTACACGGCCTGGCGTATTCTTACCATCGATTAATATGTGTGTTCGGAATCGGTCGGCGAGCAAATGACTTCACGATCCAGTGTCACCGTTCTCCTTGCCCGTACTCGACATCAAACCCGGACGAAGCCCTGCGTTGAGTCATCTGAGCTCTGAAATGTTTCCAGAAACTCCGTAGACCAGTTCATCCAGTCGGGGATCACCATGGGCCACGAGTTAGGGTCGCCAACGTTTGTTTCCATCCCCACGTCTTCCATCTGGCCCACCGGGGCCATCTGACCCACTGCCAACCCAGACCCTGCATCGCCAAGATCATCACAGTAGCTATACGCCTCCTGGCTCTCCTGGCTTCTGTCACCTTCGCTCGTAATGGTACCCGGGGCGACTTCCGGCAACACACCACTAGAGGAGTCGACCGAGGTATTATTATTCACCGAGATGCGCGCGCTTCTCGCCCGAATACTCCTCATCATGCTACACGCGAGCTTGGCGCCGTTCGAGTTGCCGCTCAGCGCGTGCAGCACGTGCACGAGCGTCTCGATGTCCTCGCCGAGCCTTGGGGAGGCGGCGGCGGCGGCGCCGCCGCCAAGGTCCCCGCGGGGCTCCTCGTACCTGGCAAAGGTGTCGGCGAGGACCAGCACGGACCCGGCGCAGACGAGGCACGAGACCATCTGCCACCAGGGGTAGTTGAGCACGATGTCGCTCGTGTCGCTGACGTTGTACATGAGGTGCGCGATGGCCTGGGCCTCCCGCACGCACGTGCTCCCGTACTCGCGGATCTGGGCGTGTTGCTCGGGCAGGAGGGCCTGGGGCTTGTGGCCCTTGAGGTGCGGGTAGCATAGGTACGGGCGGTGGATCAGGGTTCGGATGTGGTGGAACTTGATTGCCAGCATGTTTCTCTTTGTGATCGAATTAGTCGGCGATGAAGCAATATAATCTCTTGGGGGAGGGGTTGGTCGACGTTACCTGTCGCTTGAAGGTCATCGATTTCTCGAACACGTGCCCAATGTCAAATCTGAGATGACGAGGCAGTCTGTTCTTCCAATCAAGGAGCTGCTTGTCGCAGCTCTCGGTACTACTCAGGCTCGCGAGGATCTGCCGCCGAGGGTGGTATGTTTCTCGCAGCACTCGGCCGACGATAGAAGAGAACTTGATGACGGAAGCGAAGTAGTCACTAAGGCGTCTTGGCTCGCTTCCACTTCGTGTGCCGGTGTCGTGGGCCTCCTGGCCGTCCAGTTCCAGCTCGGGCAACGGGTGGGGGATAGGGGCGTGGCAGTCCTGATCAGATATCGCCGGCGGTCGACCTAGTTGCAAGGCCAGTAATCTGTCAAGCACGTACAGACAATACCACACCCGGGCTCTGCTCTCGGAATAGTTATCGAGTTGTGGCCCTGCCTCGGTCATGCTCGGCTCTTCCACGTTCACGTGCAAGCCAATACTCTGCCCCAGACGGATTGCCAGTCCCAGAGAAACCCAGCACCTGGCGGTCGGAATAGTTAAGTTGCCGGTTTCAAGCAAGGTTTGAACATCACCCTCTCTTCCGGGCACCGTTTCTCGCGTGTGATATTATGTTCCCCAGCTTGTGGATCACTATGGTCAACCATGCCGTGCAGTCCTTGTTCTTGGGAATATTTATCTATCCCGCGATGCCCACGGCTGCGGGAGCGAAGGTGGAGGTACTGGATGCTAACTGGGGGTACCTTTCCCATTCGGCTGGTGAGCCATTTAGCCAAAGTTGTGCTCGTGCGTGTACCTGTTTGGGGATGATGTGGTAGCTGCCCTGGCGTTAAGCTCATAGTGGACACGCTGTAGAGACAAGAATGCTGTGAATCAAAGAGACAAGAGAATGGTTGTCTAGGGAGCTTGAGGTGTCGTTCCCCGTTTGTATCAAGGGGGGTGGTAAAAAAGACACCCTCGTCACTTTGCGTGCCTCAGCATAAGATATAGAAGAGTAATTTGGGGGGTTTGTTAACATGAAATGGTGTTGTACGTATCTATTTTGGCAATAAATCGTCGAGGTATGACATTCCGGCTATGGGCAAGAGAAGTGTCCAACTGCAGACTTTCAATAGTCCCCCCCCCCCTGCTGCATGATCTGCACGAGTGCATACAGCTAGAGCATGGCACAGCTGAGGGGAGGACTCTAAAATTATGTTTCTCTCATCTACGTGTGTTGGATATCGCCCCCACTCGACAGCTCAACCCAACATTGCAATGGGTGTCCAACCCCTCCGTCACCTTCTGAAAGACAGTTCCAGCCCTGCGGCGTCCTGCAAGAGCTGAGGACTGCACAGTCGATCTGGGCGAAGACGTTCACCTGCCTGCCTACCTAGTTGAGAGTGAAAATCGAGTGTCGCATAATCTCTACCCTGATCGCCATCATGGACCCTCTCTCGATATCTGTGAGCGTGCTCGCCGTCATGTGCGCAGCTGGGTTTGTTGTGAAGACTGTGAGAGCCATCGATCACGCGCCACAGGAGCTCATCGATATTGCCGACGCAGCGAAAGCACTGGAGACGACTCTCGAGGACGTCAACCGCTGGCAGTCGTCGGGTCACCATCTGAACCAAGGCCTCGTATTCCACATCCGGCGTAGCGAGCAGAAGCTGCTGGAACTGGCTCGTTACCTCAAAGACCACGGCCTAACGAGCCCGAGCAAGCTGCGGTCCCCGATATACTGTGTTCGGTATCAGGAACAGCTCAGGGACTATAAGCTGCAGCTTTCCGATGTTCGAAATGATCTCGGCTTGGCCTTATCTGCCGTGGTGTATGGCCAGACGGGACGCATCGAGATGGACCTTCAGCAGCTTGTGATCTCGGGACAAGTCACAAAAGAGACCTTGACTGAGCAGGCGGCACATTTAGGATATCTCGCTCAGAAGACAGATGAAATGGGACTTGCACAAACTCAGATGGTACAACTGCTGGAGTCAATCAAGGACCAATGCAGCAATGACCAGCCTAAACTCAGAGAGCAAGACTCTGAGTCTGTTGTTCGTCTTCGCCACAGCATACAGATAGAGAATTTAGTCGAAGAACCCGGAAAAGAGGAACCGACAGGACCTATGATTGCTCCCCAGAAGGAACAGAATCAGTCAGTCTCCTAATGCTCGATCATATGCCGATGCGTCTGCCACAAAAGACGCAGGTTATGTACGCCGCACTCCACACGAGACTGGCTCGGTGCCCTCTCCGTGACCTTCTCAGAGATACGGCCCCTGAGCTCCGGCTGCACTGTTCCCAGCTGCGCACGCAACCTAAGCCCCTCGGACTCCGTCGACGTCACACTGCCCAGCTGGCTGGCGTCAAATATGATCTCGATCTGGCTCAAGTCCGCGCCAGTACAAGGCCCGGAGCTCCTCCTGCGGTCGAGGAGGATCATCGAGACGCCGGCGTACTACACAGCCGAGCAGGGGAACCTCACGTCGCTCAGGCAGCTGTACGCCGAAGGAAGGGCGGGGATCCATGACTCCAATCCGGTCTGTCTCAGGGCGCAGCACGTTATTCGATGGGGTTTTCCGGGGCCACCTGGACGTCGTGCGCTTCCTGCTCGACGGTGGCGCCGACATGGAGGCGGCCGACTTCTGCGGCTTTACGCCTCGCGACCTCGCCTTCCAGCGCGTGAACACGGCCTGCCCTCCTGAATTAGCAGCGCAGCTCCGCACACTCTTCAAGCTGGACGATGTGCCGGATGATCTGGAACTCACCACGGCCCACCGAATAGTCCTGCGCATGTCAAAGCTTGACCTGGGAGAGTTCCTATCCGAGCATCCACAGGACGTGAACAAACCAGACCTTCTAGGCCGGACCCCACTCTGGTGGGCCGTAAGGAGAGACGACGTGCCCGGCTCGCAGGCTTTCCTCTCCCATGGCGCCGACCCCAACATCGCCAACGCCGCCGGCCGCTCCGCGCTACACAACGCCGCGGCGCAAGGAAGCCCAGAGCTGGTGTGGCCATTGCTAGAGCACGGTGCGGACGTGCACCAGCGGTCCTCCGAGGGCAAGACGCCGCTGCAGGTGGTGGGCGTGTACGGGGTGCGGAAAGAAGACGTGCTCATGGTCATGCACGAGCTACTTGATGCAGGCTCGGGCATCGACGAGCGGGACTCCTATGGCCGCACACCCATCTCGCTCTGCTGTTTCGATAGCCACGTCGACATCGCGCGGCTTCTCCTAGGGAGAGGGGCTGATGTCTCGATCCCGGATGTCCAGGGCTGGCTGCCGCTGCACTGGGCCATCTACGATGGTGCTGCGCGGATCGTGGAGCTGTACATGGCGCATGGGGACTGTGACATGAACTTCGTCGCTGAAGAAGGAATGAATGTTCTGCATTTTATGACAGAGCGGTGCACGGTCGAGCAGGTCGTCGACGCTATGCTCGTGACGGCGGATTTGTCGAAAGTCGACCCAGACGCTGAGGACAGTCGAGGCAGGACCGCGGCTGAGATTCTGGAGGAGCGCGGGTCTTTGGATGTGCCCATGTTCCCACTTGGTGAAGAGACAGGTCTTGAGCTGGAGCAGTTGATTGAGAAAGCTGGGAAGCCCTCAGGTGTACCCGGCTCACCACCGTGGTCGGCTGCTAGCACCGCGGACTCGTGGCACACAGCAAGGTCGCCCCTTCACTTGGGACCATTTGGAGAGTAGACAGTCGCCATGGCTTCCCGTAGCCCATTCGACGCCATCAAACTGCGCGAATAAAGGCCACCCACATGTCACAGATATCGCTGACGGTCAATCCCGGACCTCCACTGTCGACAACCGGCAGGGGGCGGATGGGTGCATATGTGCAGACGCCGTGTGGTAGGCGTGCCGACGGGCCGCAGCCATGCAGCCACGGGGCCAACAAAAGGGCCTGTGTCACCACCACCAGCTCGACACCTGTTGGGCTGCACGTTGGGGGCCGCGGGTGACCCGCCTTGTTGAACCTCAACATAACCAACCGATCCGGGTCCCAGACGTGCATCCGATCACAACGGGCCGATCTCGTCGGCTGCCCGCAGCGGTTGTCTGTGACTCTGTGCGAGTTCAGTATAGGATGGCCTACTTGGAACAGGTGAGTACAGAACGTCACAAGATGAGGACGGATAAGACAGGGCAGGCGAAACGGCACCAGAACGTAGACACCGGTGAAAGCTCTTCGTGGTTGTGAAGTATTGTATGATTTTCTCTTCCGTTCCCGACAGGCCCCTCTCGTGTAATATAAAGTATATACATCAGCACATGCTAGATCGTTGGCGACAGCTGGCGCAAAACCATCCAGGGCGGCCAGCAGAAAAATTACAAAAAACAGTAAGAGCATCCCACGCCGATGTTTCACACCGCGCGCCAGAAAGATGACATGACAATATTCCAGGATGTCATCTGGTCTAAATAGGTAGCGAGAAATGTGCGGTGTCGCGAGAAATGCGAAGACGTGTCTGTGAATGAACACCATCGGGAGCGCTGTTGTGTGCGCTTGTCTGACGGCACGGGCCCACTACTGGAGTCGGTATCGACAACTCCAGTAGACGCAGGCCAGGCTCAGGCTCAGGCGTAGGCCAAAGTCATGTCTTATGGTACCCCCCGGGGTGCGATCGGCGGTGTTGGTCGCTGCACCCTGCGCCGCGGGACTCCACATCAGTGTCGTCCGTCATCCACAACCGAGATTGGGACGCGAGACTCTCGTCTTGTTGCGAGCGGCAGGATTGCCTGAAAATTTGCCCAAAACGCATCAGAGCGCGCAGCTGATCGCGTCATGCGAGTATCTGTGCACTATTACCTCGTGCCGTCGAAACTCGCCCTCTGTGTCCTCCAATCTGCAGGTGGCGGGGCGATAACGCTGTCCCTCTTGCCCATTGACCCAAACCCTGGCATTGAGCTGAAGCGGTTCAGCTTCTTGCGCTCCTTGGTGGCCGTGGGGGCTTCTGTTGCTGCTGGGCCAAAGGTTTGTGCGTGTGTGGGTGATGGGCTGGCACTCTCGAAGGCGGAGGAGTTCGAGTTGTTGGACGAGCCAGTAGTGTTGGGGGTCTGGTAGATGTACTCGCCGTCGACGTAGATGGCGTTGGAGACAAAGGTCGAGCGCCTGTTGCGGCGGCGGGTGTAGCGCTGCTCGAGGCGCCAGATGTCGATCTTGGACTGGATGCGTTCAAAGAGTCCTGGGGCCATTTTGGAAGACTGGCTTGAGGAAGGATGAATAGGGCTGTCGCGTGTGTTACTTCGTGTGATATGTTATGGGGATAATCAGAACTGTCGGCCTGCTTGACAGGAGTTCGTTGCGTCGTGGAGAGAGTCGTTGCTCGTTGTTTTGTCGTGGGACAGCGTGAGTGATTCCTGGCTGCCTGACTTGACTGACTTGGTCGGCCGGTCCAGCTATATCGGTCGTGGGTGGGGCTTCGCTTCCGAGTGGAATCAATCCAGGATTAAGCTCCGCGCAATCTGCGTAATTTGCGTGGTCTGGCAAAAGGAGAGGAAGTGCGGACACTTGGTATTCTCTATGTAGGTATGGAATCTAGGTACGGATGAATGATATGAAAGGGGAGCGAGAGGGAGAAGCAGAGGGCAAAGAGTGGCTGGGTTGTGGGAGTGGGCGAGGGAGGAAAGAAATATGTGAGATAGCAGAGAAGAGCGCGAGAAATGGATGGAGGTTGGTTGATGAAGGAGGGAATTCTCGAGCTACCGCGGGGACGGAGCTAGGCCCAAATGAGGTTGGTAGGTTTTGCAATTGACTAGCCGAGTGGACGGGTGAGAGGGGGTGGAGGTGGTACAACGTCCACGCACCTCGTGGATACCTTTTTGTACTTGGTATGGGCTCGTCAATTGATTGATGGACTGACTGTGCTCCTCTCTTCAAAGTCTGGGCAGTTGCCGTCTGTTTCCCACAATATTCAGGTAGACCTCCTGCGCATGAATCCCCAAGGGCGGTGCGACTCCACAGCTCCGACCTGCGATACGAAGATCAAAACAGAGGCCAAACCGGCAACAATTGGAAAATTGGAGAGCAAAGCACCGAGTGGCAGGTCGATCACCAATCCACCAGGGAAACGGATTCAAGGACCAGACGGGCAGAGGGACGAGCTGGACAACAAGGGCGACAATCTCATCCCTGGCAATCACGACTGGCCCATCCCTGCCTTCTCTGTCCAACCCACCCACTTGTCCCGCTGCTACTCCCACTTTGGTCGTCTATCAGCGACTCGGGCCATCCCTGTTCCTTCCCTGTTCATGCCCATCCCTGTCCCGGCGTCTTCCCAGTTTGGGTTGAAGCTAGGCCCGGAGGTGGGCAGCTGCAGCTTTTAGCGGCCGCCCCACAAGCGCCACCCTGTCGTCTACAAACTGCGCTGCTGAATGAGGAAGGGACTGGGGAAAGGGAACGGAAGTGAAGGGGAAGGGGCAAGACTCATCGTCAAGCAAGACAAGCCAGTCAATCAATCAATCAGTCGAGCAATCAACTCCAGTTTCTCCGTACCGAGGTAGACAGAAGTAAGGGGATGTATAGAAATAGAAACAAAAAGAAAAGGAGAGGAGAGAGCGGGACGGGACAAAGACAAAGATCATTCAAACGATCCGTCCCCCCTCGAGCCGAAACGTGGCAGTGCAGTCAGTCACAGTCAATTGTTCGAGGAAAGAAGTGACAGAGACAGGACAGAGGAAAGACAGACCCACGGCAGACCTGCTAACAATTAACGACGAAAAGTCCTGCCCCGCGCTCGAGCTCTCCGCTGCACCGTCGACTTCGTATCAACACGGCCCAAATCACCGAACCCTCCTCCGTAGTCGTAAGGCCGGGGCCCAGACCAGCGCCACAAAACCCACCATCCATTCCAACCATGCCACCATCGCGGATCGCCAAGGCCTAGTCTAGCTGGGCGTGCCGTGGGCTCGGATGTCGCATCAGTCTCTTTGGGGCGCCCTTCTCGCGCGTGTCTCTGGCGATTCCGACGCGGCGGGACGGGTCACGCACCCACCACGTTTTTCTTGTCCTGATAGTGATCACAGGAACGGTAATATGAGCATTAGAATGTCGAAACGTCCAAGCCTGCTCTGTCACAGTACATGCCCGCCGTCGAGCAGTTCGAGTCGCGCATGCAAATGGCTGGGACAGAGAGAGGAGAGGGCGATGTGCACCTGTAAACCATGCAATTATTTGCGCCATGATCCCTCCGTGGCGAACTTGCTTTGTCGACCCCGCCGCCACAGCAAATCATCCCAATTCATCCGATCCCGTCTCATGCCCATCAGCTGTATTGCTGCCAGAACCACCACACAGACCACATTGAGGGAGAGGAGGCCGAGGCCTCACCTGTCAGCCCCTCACTCACCAGCCCTGGGCCTGGCCAAAATAGGCTCCACGTCGTCTATCTTGTCGTCCCAGTGACAGATACACTGGATCGAAATCATATCGCTCGGCTGGCTGGCTGGACACGAAAGCCAAAACACAACCACACCCACTCTGGCAGTCTGCAAAATGAGCCGACCGGGACCCCGTATCCCACCAAAACCCTTCACATTGCAACCCGAATTTCTCAACAACCAAATAGTGTGTGCTCGGTTCTAATTATATTCAAATGTTCCGAATCGGCGTCTGATTCTAATGATATAAAGATATTAGATAAGTTCCATGGTTGTGGTTGATAAATAAATGGCAGTACTGAGAGGTATGTTTTCTGGTACTGAGGTATGGTCGGTTTATTTTGCAGACTGCCAGCCACTACGCAACCCTGCCCAGCTGGACCTACAGGGGCCATGGCCGTCGTCGTGCAACTCACGCCGTCGGATCGTTCCTAGCTCACAGTTCGGTCGTTTCGCCATCAGGAACAGATGGAGGGCACATGGGACTCTTAATGGGCGGGGGGCTAAATAAGGGGTCCAGCTCTATAGTAGGTGAACCTGGGATAGCTCTACTACACTGCGGGCGCCGTGTGTCAACCATCCCCGGATCCGAGCAGCAGCAGAGACACAGACGAGGGCGGGATCTGACCCTCCTGAGACCGACGAGCCCACCCGCCCCAGGGCCCGCCTTGCACTCGGTGTAGGACAACATGTCTCGCCGCCGAACATCTATCATGCGCGCCACTGCAACGCCGAGCAACCCCTAGAGTCCAGACTCCAGAGCTCTGCACCGCTGGGGATCTGGCAGCTTGGGTGCCTGGGCACACCCGGGTGATCGCGTGCGTTGTTTTTTTCCTTGACTGGCCTGGCAGGCCCGGATTGCGCGCACCTAAAACTTGTTCCGAGGTTGCAGTGTGCCCAGGGCTCATCAGGGAACAAGGAGCCAGGGGGGGCAGAACCTCACAGCCCAACCGGCGCCCAGCGCGACACGCGGGACTACGGGACAGCTCCGCGCGAGAACAAAGGGGGCCTCGACCTCGGGATCCGCACCCTCGGCCTCAGAGGCTAGCGGGGGGGGCCGGGGAACCCTGCCAGCCACGTGTGGACGGCTCTCCTTGTTTTCGTTCACCACTTTGTCTTTTCCAACATCGTCAACATCGTAAACCGGCCAGACTCGAGAGCACATGCACGGCTGCATGGTTTGTTGCCTTCTCATGGACCTGCTGGACAGTATGATTCGATGGGCGCTGGCTGGCTGCTGATCTTTTAACCTTCAAGCTCTGGAGAACTGCAACCCTAATACGTTAATAGAGATTTAGATTTGAGTTTACGCCTGCCAAATCCCGAGCTCAACGGCGTATCCTCAAGCCATCATACCACACCTCCCCCGTTGTGATTTTATTTGAGTTCTGGGCCTCATTTGCAATTTAAGGCTCTTCCACTCAATCGCGCCTGAGGCTATGTAGCAACGTGTGCCACTCACCTGCAGGCCTGTGATGCCTTAGGCCAACCTGCGACCGTGAAATTGACCCGGCTTATCAAGGGATATTTCCGGAAACCAAATTTCTGGGTCCCTAGAGTGTGTGTGTCCTTTGCCGGTGACCATGCATCTGTCAACGACAGGTGCCTCGTGGTCCAGATGGTCGGATCCTTCTTCATGCTTCGTGCCTTTGACCCACAGAAGCATCCAGCCGTGTAATGACGATATAAAACCAGTCCTTGTGGATCTGCGTTCTGTGCCAACTTCCGTCTGGGAGTGTCGTGACGAGAGGCTCAAACGCACCATTCAACGGATTGTGTTGGCCTATCGTACACAAGCCAAGCCTTCGTCGTGGAGCCTTGAGACTAGAGTCGTGCTGATTCGCGTTGTAAGAAAAATGAAGATTGGCGGCATCGAGGGATTCACACTGGCCAGACAGATAGTAGCGCCGGTGTGCTGATGCGATGCTTAAGTATGATCACGGCTGATTCGAATACTACGTCATGACTCTCTTCGAGAACACCAGGCTCATATGACCCTTTTAGTAGGTCACATATTGTTAGCGTCAAGGTCGTCGTAGCAGCGTCGACTGGCTCTAGCAAAGTGTGTGATTTCTGTATTTGAAGTAGTCGTATGGCCAGAATTCTGAATACAGAAGGGCCAGAGCACACATTTTCCATACACGGACCTACGCGCGTGCCCTCTTCACTGCCACGGTAGTCTTCGTAAGCCGCAAGTCCTCTTTTGCCCAAGACAGCCAACTGTGAGGTCCAAATGGAAAGGTGCTGTTACTGTACACGCTTCAACGTTCAGCTCCAGGAAAGTCACCGCATCGACTATCGCGCATGACTGTCTGTCGATCAACTCTTTCCGCAAGGACTTCCCATCCTTGCCCCAACAGTTTCAAAATAGTACTGTGACAAATGTGTTGGGCGCATCTGAACACTTGTACATACTACCTATATGGGTATACTCCTGCCCGTCAAGAACGAAAACTATGCAAGGACTTATAGCTTGTTGCATGAGCAGTCCGACATACTCCCTATCATCTCCGAAGCAAGCAAAGTCCAATTGAGTAATCCAAACCAACGTAGACGAGACTTTCTCTCTGAAAATACCTGGCATTTGTTTGCCAAGCGTGTTTTTGCAGGCGTCAAAAACACGAGCGAACCACGGCGGTGATGGAGTTTGACCCACCAGCTCATAAAACAGATGAGTAATCTTTGATAATGAATGCTATCAATATGGTCTAGATAGACTTGTGTATGTACTTCGGGGCTCGCCGTACTTAGCTAGGACACCTAGTCACAACTTTCAATCGCGATGATTGTCTGAACAGAATTCCACCAGACGTGGATCTACGACCTGCGGGCTTTGTACCGCAGCTGTGTAACGTCAGCATGCTTGTCCTAATCTAGTGGGACTCCTTGTTGGCTGTGGACGAATCGAAAGAGCAGGGGTGGGTCAGATGCATGTCGTAGGAGGCCTATGGCCTGCGGCCACACGACCTGCATTGTCTACTCCTCTTCCTGAGCAGCGTCGAAAAAACCAACGAAGCAAATCCAGCGAGAACAACCAGCCTCCCCTGCGTTCTCAAGGTTACTAGCTCTCGTCGCTATGGTTCTCGACCCTCTGAGTGCATTTTCCGTCGCGTGCAATGTCCTCCAGATTGTGGAGACGAGCCTCCGTGTCTTGGGCAAGACGGCGGAGTGCTACAAGAGTGGAGCCCCGGACGAAGTCAGCATCATCATCGGCAACCTGTACACAATTGAAGGCCTCAACGATGAGCTCCAAAACTTTATACCAGACCCGCTTGGGAAGATCCCACTGTCCGCCACGGAGCTGAGGCTGGTCGAGGCAAATGAGGAGTGCCTGAGGTTGTCGGGAGATTTCATTCGCCTTCTCGAGGGCCTCAAGGTCACCAAGAAATCTGTTTGGCATAGCATTGGCAGCAGTATCAAAACGATGTGGTATCAGGATAAGCTGGCAGGCTTTGAGAAGGCGGTCGCCGAGAGTCGAGCGAATCTGACTCTTGCTTTCCTGCTCCTGATGCAGTAAGTCTAAAGTCCGAATATTCAAAGGAATCAGCCTGGACAGTCCCCGCTGACCAATCTGGTCTGCTCAGCGAGCGCTCCTTGATGATGCAGAACGGTATCATCAAGGCTACTACCGACGTCGAAGACCGCATCCTCGACATCGTCAAGAAGAATACGGGCTCGTTGAAGGCAGAAATTAGAAAGTTGACGTCTTGTCTGAACGAAATGTCTCTCGATCATCGCCCGAACCCAGTGAACGAGATCAGCGACGTACAACAGACTGAGCTTTTCCAGCTATCAAAACAGCTCGCACTGATTTGGGAACAGCAGAGGGCTTCAGATGAAGCGATTAAGCCATTGGAAATGGCAAGGAACAGCGTGGCGGCGCAGCACAGAGTACTCCAGAGTTTGCAATTCCCGCAGATGCAAGAGCGAAAAGAGGAAATATCCAGCGCTTATGAGAACACATACGAGTGGCTTTTTCAGACTGACCCAAGTGGGCAAAGTGACTGGCACAGTTTTGTTTCATGGGCCAGAAGCGCAAATAATCCTCACAGCATTTACTGGATTCATGGAAAGCCTGGTGAGTCTTTCCAAAGAACAAGTATCGCTGATCGATGTGCAATCTTTAATCTTGAATGCAGGATCCGGCAAATCAACTCTGGCTCGGTTTATATACGACAGACTGGATGTTCAGGACCATTTGTGTCCTTGGGCAGAATCCAAGGCTGTTGTCAAAGCGGCACACTTTTTTTGGAATCCGGGTACGACACTGCAGAAGTCGTGGATTGGCATGCTGCGGTCTCTCCTTTTTCAGCTGCTTGATGAAGTGCCTGGACTCTGTGAACCATGCGTTTCTCCGAGCCGATGGAGGACAGCATTTTTGCCTGATGCCACTTTCAGTGAATGGACAGAGTCAGAGTTGCTGCACGGGATACGTGCATTCATTCGCGCAACCGAGGCACATCTATTCTTCCTCATTGACGGCCTCGATGTGAGTTGAATTCGATATTACGCAGCTTGTAGTTACGCCGACTACGTGGTGGACACATGCAGTGAAAGGTTCTTCTTGTCTAACTCAGAAAATTTAGGAACTTCAAGGTGACGAGGAACGGCGAGAAGAACTTATTGATTTCATACTTGACCTTGCGACTTGCCCCAGCGTCAAGCTCTGTATATCAAGCCGGCCGGACAACATATTTCGAGACGCTTTCCAAGATCATCCCCGCCTAAAATTGGAAACTTTGACGTACAGTGACATTCAAACGTATGTCACGGAGCGTTTTGCTAAGGATCGGCGTATCCGAGTTTTGAGCCAAGGTAACCCTCGCATCATGAATGATTTGATAGCATTCCTCGTGGACACCGCTTCTGGTGTGTTTCTGTGGGTGAGGCTTGTTGTCCACGAGCTTCTCCGAGCAGCAAGGGACGGAGCCACTTTCTCTGAATTGGTCGACAAGGCTCATCAACTGCCGCGTGATCTTGACAGCTATTTCACACGGTTTATCGACTCGATCCCGCCAGAGTACAGGAAAGAAGCGTCTCAATTGTTTCAGATCGCACTTCATGATGAAAACTCATTTACAGCCCTACATGGGCTCCGGCTACTCGACCTTTCCTACTTGGGAAGTTTTCAAGAGCCCTTCCAATCCCGTGGAAAGCACAAGGCCACCGCTTTCGATCCAATCAACATCGCCGAATTGGAGTCCAGGCTCGAAACGACCGCTCGCCGGATTAATAGCAGGTGCCGGGGGCTCATAGAATGCTACTACATGCCTGGAGATGCAGAGCATTTTGTTGGTTTTCCAGAAATATCAGTACCTGGCGAGATGGGCCACGATGCGCTGGAAACATTGCCCAGCGAAGACCAAAGTTTCTTGGGGCTTTTGATAGCATGCAACCGCCACGTCGGCTTTATCCATCGTTCCCTTCGGGACTTTCTTGTCAGCCCAGACGTGCTTCAGAAACTCGAGGCATACTCCGGAGGCCCTTTCAACACCAGGTTGTTCCTGTGCAAAGCTAGACTCGCACAGATACAGTCACTCGAACACGAAGGCAACCATCGACGCACCCAGTTGGCTCTGGGCCTGTCGAGTTACGTGTTGAGCGCCCTCGGGACCGAAAATTTGAAGTATTCAGACGAGTGCGCCCTCATTGCGGCGCAACTGAAACCCGTTGTTGAGTCACTCGGACGTGCCCAGGCACACAAGGCGGCCAGCCAGGGGTGGTATCTTTCCGCGAGCTTCCACGAGCGCAGACCAGAGGTTCCTGACTTTCTTGGTGTCGCCATAGACTTTGACCTCGTTGCCTACCTCAGGAAAGAGTTGACGGCAGAAGCCTTACATGCCAAGCGTGGCCTCTCCGTCCTGAACTGCATCCTCGTCGGGCGTTTTTCCGACTACCTGGGCTCTGATATCACGGTTGGAAATCGCATTCCCAACATCGAAGTGCTTCGCCTTGCATTGGACCTTGGCGCAGATCCGAACGAGGATTGTGATGGTATTTCGGTGTGGGCAGAATTCATTTTACACCTTGACACCTTGGCTACCAGAGGGGCACCGCCAGCCGGCGCACAAAAGGCGCATGTCGAAGCTATCAGGGCCCTCCTGGAACATGGCGCTGACCCGGAGCTCCCATCATCATGGCTCACACCTGGACCGTTGATCCCAAGATGGGACACAGATCTCATACCGGTCTTGGCTATATTGAGAAGCATGCTGGGTTTATACACTCATGCACGGCTGCAGCTGCAGGAGTGCATCGACCTTGCTGATGACAAACTCTTGCAAGCCCTGCTTCAACGGTGAACTCTTCATTCCCCCCCTTTCTGGCTTCCTGTGGCACCAAATCGGGTCTGACTTTGGCGAGTCTCTTTTCATCGGGGCTTCCGGTTGGGACTTGTGGTTGGGAAGTTCGTGGTAGTGTCTAAGACCCACGTCACTTGTTGAGCGTTTGGCTTCTATTTTGAATCACCTTACACATACAGATGAAACTTCGGATGATAGCAGCAGGGGTCAAACAGTTGACTACATCACGTCAGTCAGTCACGTTGAATATGCCAGTGGTTGAATATACAACATCCCCAACTAGTTGTTGGCTCTGATACCATCTCATTTGCCTCTCAATGCTGTCCCACCCCAGAGCTGGGCACCCCTTTCCCCAAGATGGTAAGCTGACGCCGATGAACTGGGTAGGATGCGTATGGCCGGTGAAATTGTGTGGCATCTCGTTCACTATTGCCAATATGGCAACGACATAAGCAATTGCCCACCTTGCACGCAGGTCGTTGTACGCGTCCCGACCATGCTTCTTCTCTCAAAACGGTGATTGAGCGGCGGGAGGAAATGAAGAACCAAACAACGAGACTTGTTCCAAGAGGTCGCAGTTCGCAGTGACGTCTAGGTTCGGGCTAGCATGTGGGCGATCAAAGAGACAGGAACGGGTGCGGCTGATCGACCATTCTCGATCTGTACAAAGCCTGAAAGGGAAGCCCAGCTGTCTGGGTGCGTTGTACTTTTAGAAGGGCCGCCACACGGGATACACCGAAGTGAGCCGATTGTGTTCAGGGTTAGGCCCGTATTGGGCCGGCAGAAAAAAAGCAAAGAGGGCGGCCATGTGAGCCTTTTATGGTTTGCACGAACGTTATCCAGGAATGTGAGGGATGACGATAAGCTGACGAAACTGCCGGCACCTCAGGGGGGCATCCGGGCAGCCCAATCAGCACCTAACGTGCTGTGTCAATATGCAATATGCTACACACACCTCGTGTGTCAGTGTGCCCGCGGTGCGACTCTGACCGCAACGCCCGGTGTAACCGCCGGACATAGCACCGCTCTGTGCCAACATCAAGAGTTGCCGCATGAAATTTGTGATGTATGCGCGAAAGACTTCCCCGGTGCTCCCCAGTCTCTGGGACGGAACATGCCAATCAGGAATACATTCCCGGTCTCGTTAACGAGGCCAATTGAGTCCAATCCCGACCCTACAGGAGGCTTAGGTATTGTGAGTAGTCACAAGCCAAAGGCACTAGGCGCTCAGCTCTTGGGTCCACAAACGTCTCCCGCGACCCCAACGACGTAGGTCCTGATCGAATCAACCTCCAAACACTCCAGCCTCACGGCTGCCTTCACACGTCCCGGGGCATGCTCATGATATGTTTCACTCCGGCACGAGCTCCCTCCGAACCCACGAGAGGGCTGACACAGCCGAGCGGCCACTTAATACCCGGGCGATCAGCCATAGTGATTGCCTCGAGAGCCTCGGCCAAGCTCTGCCGGGGGGCGTTGCGCGCGTGTGGCTACATGGCGGGCTCGACCTTGGATCGTCAGCTTGCCGCTCTCACCGTGTCCTGTCTCACCGAGGGGATGTTTGTGTCTGACTAGCCACGCCGTGCCCACGCAGCCTTCACTCGTTTGGTTCGCGGTCTAATAGCGTGGGCGACAGTTGCCTTCATGCCTCCATTGAGCCACGCCATCACGCCGGCTCAGCTCAGATGGAGTGACACTGACGTACTCTCCGTCGCCCTTGCCCTTATAAGAAACCGCTGCTTCATTAGAAGCTCTGGCCCTCGGCTCAAAACCCTGCAAGAAAGTCGAGGAAGGAACGGGCGACTCACCAATCTCCGACCCCCAAGCTTTTCACCAACTAAACATCACAGAAAAAAGGAAGCGAGCATCAAAATCCAAAAACCAGAGACGCAACAGCGACGATGTGCGATCATTCGTTCCACCAGTCATCCCTTCGTGGCGGAGAGGCCAGCCAGTCCTTGGTCGACAGGCGACTTGGCTACCCGATCCATGTGGGCACCAGCGACCTGCCGACCAGAGACGAGGGCGAGGACAACTGCTCTGTGGGGGCCAGCCCCGTCAGCAACGGACAGGCGAGACGAATTGCCTTTATGAGTGGCAACGACGACTTCCGAGCTGCCAGACTGCGATGCGCGCTTGCCTGCCAGGAGTACAACAAGCTGCCCGAGGACGTGGCGATTGAGGATCGTGTGCACGGATGGAAGTGGTAAGTCTTCGGTCCGAGCCGCATGTGACCTGTTGCGGCCACAATCCCAGCACAATCACGGGACAGGTGAAGACGATCAGTGGCCGGGAGATCTACCAAGTCGAAGACCCTTTGGAAAAGCATCACAAGACTGACCACACCGCTTTAGCATCGTGGAACCCAACAACAACACCAGAGGAGACGCTGAAGCCACTCCCGCCGTCGACTTCTCAGCCATCTTCAAGAAGGCCAAGCCGGAGGCCCACGACTCGACCGCCGAGCACACTCCGCCCGTCACCCCCGTCGCAGACAGCCCAAGCCCCCGCCCGACGATCCCCTACGTCAAGCAGCCGGTCTACATGGACTACGGCCTGCGCGTGAAGATCGCGCCCACCACCTTCATCAACCGGAACCTCACCATCCTCGACACCCCCGTCGCCGACATCGTCATCGGCGAGCAGTGCTCCTTCGGCCCCGGCGTGACCATCATCGGCGTCGGCCACCCCGTCCGGTTCGAGGAGCGTAGCGAGTTCATCACGGGCAAGCCGGGCAGCTGGGGCGCCAAGGTGGTCATCGGCGACGGCGTCTGGGTCGGCGCGGGGGTCACCGTCCTCCCGGGCGTCACCATCGGCTCCTACTCGACCATCGGCGCCGGCAGCGTCGTCACCAAGGACGTGCCCTCCAGCTGTGTCGCTATGGGCAACCCGGCTTCGGTGCGGTACTACGTCGACAGCGAGAAGGGCCGCGAGCCCGTCGTGGTCGACGAGACGGCGAACACGCTGGAGGAGGCGCTGAAGCTGGACAGGGAGGAGCCGCAGGGGGGCGAGGGAACCAAGATGGGTGAGTAGGATGAGGAGGCTCTGGGGCATATATTGCGAGTACACGACACTAGAGCAGTGGGACGCGAGTCAGGTCTTCTTTTGGTGACACGTGGGGGCGGATTTTGGACGGCTGGCCAGCAGCTCGAGTCAAGCGAGGCTGAAGTCGTAGTGTTAAGATACCCAGGGCTAAGTAATTCGGAAAATTTGCTTGCGCTTTCTTTTAAAAAATATCGGGTCTCTTCTACGGGTCATTGTTCTCGGGATCTGGTGTGAAGCTTGGTGCATCTAGGGCGCTGCTGCACTGATGGGTGGTGCTGGGAGTATTTCGTGGACTCGGGCCGTGGCTCCACTGGACATGATGCTTTCATTATACATACGTGTTGGGAGCTTCAGGCCTGGTTTTGACATGAGGGAAGACATGAAATTTGTATGCATTGTATTTGCCTGTAACCTTCTAGAAGCATAATCATCTTGGGCATCTTTACTGGCACATACCTCTGTTTGTCTGGACCACACATGGGACGAAAAGCTTTTCTTACCACATGCCTGGCTGAACACCGCTCTACCCGTGTTTAAAAACTCCGACTAGGCAAGAAATAACCTTCTCTCAAGTCCTCCTCCCATCACATCTAATGTAAACGCTGGCATCACCAAAGCCAGTCGCACCCAGCTTCTCAACCTGGACGTACTCCTCCCGGATCATCGCCCGCACCCGCGACGACTCGGGGTCGCACAGGCACGCCTCGAGGTCCTCGGCGCCGCCCCACGTCTTGGGCGGCTCGTGCACCGTCGCCCAGCGGCCAATCGTCTGCTCCTCGGTGAGGACCGTGTCCCACGCCAGGACGACCGGCCGCGCGAGGTCGGCGATGACCTGCCTGACGGGCACGTTCGGGGAGAAGGACAGCACCGCGCTCTGGTCGTCCACCTCGAGGAACCCCTGCGGGTCGTCGACGACCGTGACCCCGACCTCCGCGAGGACCGCCCTGTCGGCCTCGGTGTAGGCGGGGTCCTGGGCGAGGCACCTGATCCGCGCCCCCGGCCGGGCCGCCTGGAGCAGGTCCCGGAGGGTGAGGACCAGGGCGTGCTGCGAGACGCTGCGGTGTCGCGTGTGGTGGTCGTCGTCGCGCGACATGGACGAGCAGGCGAAGGCGATGATCTTGGTGATGCCGGGTAGGGAGGCGGCGGCTGCCATGGAGGATTTCAGCCTGAGGCAGTCCTCGCTGGCTTCCCATGTGCCCCGATATGAATGGAATGCGTCTCGTGTCTCTTCAAGGCTGCTGTGGTTCTGCTGCTCATTATGGCCGCCGTAGCATATCTGCAGAGGACAGAGGGCCTGGTCGGAGTATCTATGGTTTATTAGGGACTGGTAGGTTGTGTATAACAAACACGGTTCGAGCCTAGTTCCGGTGTTAGACTCAGCAACTACCAAACGAGGGAGGGTGCGTAGAATTAGGCTTGGACACTCAATGTGCTACAGTCTGAAAGAATACCCAAACTGAAAGTCACTTCCGGTGAATACATACAGCACTGTTTCTTTGCCAAACTGCCTCGACTGTGTCAGTCCCTTCAGGACTGCACGCTCGACCGTCTGCCCAGTGATGGACGAAAACAAAAATTTCTGGCCGTCTGTCGACCGGCCATTCTCGGCCATGGACTTGATGGTGTCGATCTGATCCTTGAGCTTTTTTATCGCCGGTTTCGTGAAGAACGGGACGCCCCGGTCAAACAGTTCCCGGACCTTCAATTTTTGAAGTGCAAAATTCGGCCTTTCCATTTCGAGAATCTCTTCCTGAAAGGCTGCGAGGTTTGCCGCCGAGAGTTCTTGCTCACCGCTGCGAGAGACCTCGTCGGCGAACGGCTCTAAAGGCGGCTCCGTGGGTGCGCTCGGGTTCATTGTATATTAAGAGGTTAATAAGCAATTATCTGTTAATCCACATATGTCGTGATATTGCCCCGCGATGTTTCGGGCCGCGACAATTGTGTTTGGTAGGGCTGGTGAGACACCGGGTTAGGTTGAAAAGAAGCACATTGCGGTTGACAGAGAGACAAAGGAAACCTCGATAAACGCCCCGGATCCATGTTATGCTAAAGTCGTGGAGGCCCGCTAGAGCATCTTAACCACCACGATGATTCGACGCGTCCACAAGCGCCACGTAACTATTTCGCCTCACAATGCGCAGCGGTCCGAGCTACCCGCGGCGGCCCAAGCCGGCAGAGCCGCCCGCTGTTCAGGCCGTAAAGCTATCGCAAGCGTGAGTGAATCCAGGCACCAATGCTCGATGGGCCTTGTCCAAGAGCAGCGACGACGCCATCCAATTCATTCAACTGGAGATAAGAAGGGCTCGGGGCGCCACGGTCGTTAATCGGGGCCCCGTGGCTTGCGATCTAGCGCCCGCTACCGCGGGTAAGGTGGTCTTACTAACCCAGTTTATTTATATTGCGCAAAACGCGGCCCGAAACACTTGGCAGTGTGCACGGTTTCGCATAGAAGAGGTCAAGGAGTCAGGATGTCGTCGCGTGGCGAAATTGGCTTGCATTCGGAAGCAAGCGGCCTAAGTGGTTCGTTATAGTCACGGCGCACATTTGACAGTTTGTTGATATGGAGCTTGTTGGTGTGCAAGACACTACCTACTCAGAGCTTTCCAAAAGTTCAAGTCCAGTCAACACGATATCTCTGCAGCGATACACAAAATCTTCGACCTCAGCCTTATTATGCCAGGATTCATTATAGGCAGCGCTGAGGCTCATTCTGCTCCTAAAAGTGCCCAGGAACAGACCAAGCCCGTTTCCAAGCTCCTCCCCCGTCACCCAAGGCTTGTCGACCATGATCTGGCCATGTTTCGATGCGATGATCGCATCGACATTCCCCATGCTTGAGATTGACACCGAGGGCTTCGGGTTTGGTGGTGGGACGGGCGGTATTGCGTCGCTCTTTGGTAGCGTGGGGCACCCGGCCTCCCACATGGGCAGCGACAAGGCGTAGTGGTCGCCGTCGTCGCGCACGGCATCGTAGAAATGTCTGATTTTCTCGACGATGGAGCGGAACTCGTTTACCCTGTCAGCGGGGTTGATGGCATCGCCCGAAGCTGGCAGGGTCATGTCTACCGTGAGTGCACGGCCCGAGACAGGACCGAGTGGTAAACAGAAACAGCGTGCTTCGGGGTGTTGTACGGATCGACGCAGCTCCTGCGCTCATTCCGCAGGATGTAGTTGACATATCGGACCTGTTGTGACTGTTGCTTCCGTTCCTGAACATCCCGAACGGCCATGGCGATGGCGGCGTGGAACGCGTGGGTGACTGTCGCCTTCAGGCTCTTGCAGGCCGCGATGAGGGCTGCCGTGTCGCGCTCGGAGAAGTCTAGCGCGACGCGCTGATGCTTGCCCGGGGCGTTGGTACCGTGCTGGTAAGGGATTCTAAGGACCTTTGTGTCTCCATAATCCTGATAAGCCGCGGCTTTGTGTGCATTCTGCTCAGATAAGTGTTGCTTTTGGCTTTCTGTCAACTTGGTTGGCACATTCGCGGCGACACGGAATGGAGGGCTGAGGTTCTTGGTTTCTGACCCATCAAAGCTAGGGATTTTGGATGCACTTCCTGCTTCGTATGCATCCGCAATGAGCCGTGTCAGATTATTGAACATATGCAAAGTCCCAATGCCATCAACAATCTCGTGAGGTGACCGGAGGACAAGATCTCGACGTATCCCATTCGAGAACCCTGAGCCACTGGCGGTTGTTTGTGGCTTTAGCAGGAATAGAGTTGGTATTATAGCCGCCGGAGGGTCACTGTTGGCCCATTCTTCTCCAGTTTACCCAGTCGCGATAGGGACAAATGTTTTCGCAAGCCAGACATCGCGTTCCGTGTCAGCGAGACAAGTGCGGTAGGTCTTGGTGACTTTGCCCGTAGCCGGATCGTGACAGACCTGGGACGCGATCGTTGGGTGGTCATGTCGTAGGGCAAGCCAGCCGTGCCTCAAGGCGGTTTCGAGACGTTGCTCGACATCCTCTCGGGTCTGTCCCTGAGGAACGTCTACGCTGACGGACAAGTGTCCTGTCATCGCGAAGAACATGCGACCGCTTCCTTCATACAGTTTTGCAAGAGCATAGTAGAATTTCTCGGACTCGTCGACGCCACGTTGCCAGACTCCAGGCGACGCCTCGCGCCATATAAGTGACGGGTAAGCTTGAGACATGATGACGGAGGGCTTTTGCTAGGACCGCAGACTGGGCGAGCAAAGCAAGGTCCGTATTGGGGAAGAGGCAAGATTTGGACTGATAGTGATAGTTGAAGCAGGATGTACTGTAGAATTAAAAGCAGTTTGGCACATTGCTAGGATTCTTAAAGACCTGCCAATCGTCACTATTTTATGTGTACTTGGCTATGTGCAGCAGGAACCTACCAGAGATGAGTGACCAGGGGTTTCTCAAGCAGGTCGTGGTCAATTTTCCGAGCTTTTACCGGGCTGGGACAGTTGCCGTAGCCGGCATAGCGGGCCGGTGGTTACTATGGAGTTCTGATTTCGTAATGCGCAGCTGATTGTCCAACTGCCACTAAAGATTGTGCATTACACCGACTTTTATAGGTTTCCATGAATACATCCCTTGGCAAATATTTGTTGTTTGCTCTGTGCAATAACGTGGTGTAAATACTTTAGTATCGTTATATTTATAACGCATAGGAATTACTCTAGCTAGTTATGAGACCCTGTGCCTCGTGATGTCTGGCACTGACTGTAAGGTTCTTCAGGCGCGTCTGGGTTGTGGTTGGTGTCCTTGACCCATATGGCTGTAGACATGGCTGCTTGGAGAGTCCAGTGGAGGCGGCTGGTATCAGCAGTAATCTTGAGCAAGGAACCGGTTCGGTTCCTAGCTCTATGAAGGAGTTTCTCAAGGGACAGGATCTCTGGCCCGGAGTCGTTAAGCCTTGTTATGGTATCGTCCCGGCGCTTAAGTATTGTTAGAGAGAGCTTCTGTGTTGGGCAGAAAAGGGGACGTGTGGAGGGCAAGGTCTTGAAGTTGCATTGCATAGTACGTATAATCTAGAAAAGGTTAAGACGTCAGACTCATAAGCACTAGGAACATGTGTGCTGGGGTATTCATGAACGCCACATCTCACCTGCAGAAGGGGGGTGGGTGCAAATTCGGGTTAGCAACTCAGCACCCTGCGTTGACGAATCACAACTGGGGGATTCCTTTGCTGTGCAAATGATCAACAAGCCCCTCCTTCCGCTCACCACACATTTTTTTTTTTTTTGAGTTGAAACTAGGAGGGAAAAGTCGAATCAGATCATCGTTTGACCATGGGCAACGGTAGGATCCTGAAGTCTCTTGCTGTGCTCCTCGGTGCCGGCCTGGTTCTGACCGACGCGGCGTCTCCGTCACCCGAGGTCGAGATTGCCAATGGCACCATTCGCGGCGGGAGATGCGCGTCCTCCACCGTGAACTACTTTCTGTCCATCCCCTACGCAGTCCCGCCGGTTGGCGATCTTCGCTTCACCCCTCCGCAGCCCTACAACCAGACCTTCTCCGGGGTCCGTGATGCCACCACGCCCGCCCCTTCCTGCCCACAGCTAGGCGCTTTTTTCGTCGCATACCAGGCGGGACAGTCCGAGGATTGGTACGTGTCTTGCTGCGCCCGAGCCCTCTTCAGGTGGTTCTCTCTCTGACCAAGCTTGTAGCCTGTTTATTGATGTCTGGGCCCCGGTAGATGCCACCAAGGATTCGAAACTGCCGGTAAAGGTTTGGCTGCACGGCGGCGGGAACTCGGCCGGAGGCATCTCCTATCCGCTCTATGATGGGTGCAACTCAGACACCGCAGCCGTGCATGTCAGTCTCAACTACAGACTAGGCGCGCTGGGCTTCCTGGTTGCAGACTCTGCCGGTCTCTTGGGTAACTATGGTCTCCAGGACCAGATCTTGGCCCTGCGCTGGGTACAGGAGAACATCGAGGCCTTTGGCGGCGATAAGAACAAGGTTGTGGTGTTTGGACAGTCCGCCGGGGGCCTGGACGCTCACATCCTGGCCACCTTGGACGAGGCCCCGTCGCTCATGAAAAGCGCCATCATGGAATCCGGGGCCGGCCAGTATGTTCAGGACCTACGCTCGGTCGCTGAATTCAGCGCAAAATTCGCTGCCCTCTTACCGTGCGGTGCTGATGATGTAAGTCATTATTCGCAATGCTAATCACCTGCGTCCTATTCCCCTCCAAACATGTGTTTTTTGTTTACAATCTGATTCTCTCGCCAAAGGTCGCCTGTCTTCGAGCGGCTACACCGGAGCACCTCAACGCTACTCTCTTGAGTATGTTCCTGAACGGGAGCGATGGCTTCGTTTTCGAATTCAACGGATTCGGACCTGCGGTTGACGGCAAACTCATCCCCGCCCATCCCACCGAGGCAGGCGTCAAGGTCCCTTCCCTGATAGGTTCTACTGCGCATGAGGGAACGCTGTCCCTCTATGTGAGTTACGGTAATGCAACGGCCAGTCTTAACCAGACAGACTATGACCAAACTCTGCTGTCCAACTTCGGCTCACAGGCCGCTATCGTCAATACAACGTACCCAGTCTCACGCTACAGCAATACGGAACTACCCGTCTTCTACGCGATTGACTATGTCTACACCTCGTCCGTGATCCACTGTCCTGCATTCAACGCCCTGAAGAGCAGCGCGAACACAGCACCGGTCTATACCTTCCTCTTCAACCACACAATCACCTGTCCGTGGGTGCCCTTCATCGCCCCGGACGCGGTAGAGCTTCTCGGACCCGCGCACACGTCCGAGCTGGCCTTCGTGTTCGGCCAGGTGCGCCAGATGCCGTTCGGCACGGGTTTGTGCAACCTGACGGGCCAAGAGGTCGCCCTGAGCGCATACATACAGGCGGCTTGGACAAGAATGGCGGAGGCTGGAAACCCGGGCCCGGACTGGGCTGAGTTCACAGAGAGCTCGACGTTGGGAGTCGTGTTTGATGACGTCCCTGTGCCTGGCATAGTCGACTACTCGGAATGCGCATTTTGGGAGGAGCTAAAGAGCCAAGACCCTGCCTGAATTGTAGAGAGTCTATGTAGTACACACAGATCTACTTCCAAGACCCCGCAATAATAAAGTTAGGGCAGATCTTAAGTCTCGCGCTGAACATATCGGAGGATGCCATACCGACCCCGAACGTAATAGATGCGGCAATCTAGTCAGGTGCAACTGGTAAGTCGGTAGATAATGTTCTGAGGTACACATCTTGCACGTCTTGGCAAGTCTGTTAAGATTAGCCATAGTGGCTGATGAACTGGCTGCTGAATTTAACCGCGCCCCGGGAAAACAGACCTGAATATCTAGAAGGGAGCAGCACCCTCAACCGTCTGGGGGACGTACCACCATCATCCATCGACATAGTCACTTCAGTTTCAGTTGTTTTACTAGTAGAGGGATTATCTACACGTCTTCCAAAATGCTCCAGTTAACAACTCTTCTGGGCAGCTTGCCCCTGATTCTCTCTGTGTCAACCCAGCGCTTCGCTGCCGCGGCACTTCTCAATTCCCGCCAGGCGGCCCCGACGGAGGTTGTGAAGCTAGCCTCACTCGAGAACATCGCGGTGCGCCCCAATGGCCAGCTTCTCGTGACCAACATGAACAGCCCCAACCTGTACGCCGTCGACCCCGTTGCCAAGACGTCTTCGACGGCCGTTGCCGTCAGCGGGGCAGCCGGCCTGAGCGGGATCGGCGAGATCGCGCCGGACGTCTTCGTCGTCATCGGCGGCTCCCCGCAGGGCACGGCGGTGCACCAGGTCGACTTCACGGGCGGCACGCCCAAGGCGACGCTCGTCAAGAAGATCCCGGACGCCAAGAACATGAACGGCCTGGCCGTGTTCAACAACGACACGGTCCTGCTCGGCGACGCGGCCAAGGGCGCCCTCGTCAAGCTGACCGTCTCGACCGGCGACGCTTCCGTCGCCCTCAGCGACCCGACCATGGCCCCCAGCGGACCCATCCCGTTCGGCATTGACGGGCTGAAATACAACAATGGCACTGTGTGGTACACAAACATATTCAAGAACAGCTTCCACAAGGTGGCTGTCGACGGGACGTCCAAGCCAACCGGCGCGGTCTCCACCCTCTGGTCGAACCTGATGGGCGATGACCTCTGCGTCGGGAACAACGGCAAGCTCTACATTACTACGAACAGCGGGGCTAATCAGGTTGTCGAGTACGATCCCGCCGGCGGCTCTGCTAGCAAGCCTGTCGTCGTTGCTAAGCTCAGCGCGCCGACGGCTTGCGCTGCCGGACGTGGCGAGAAGGACAAAGACGTGGTTTATGTTACGAATGGTCAAGGTGTCTACGCATTTAGTACTGTCAAATGATTATCATGTGTTACAGGGGCGGCTTAAATAACTCGAGTGCCCCATCCATAGTGCCTAGCGACGTTGGGAACATGGTAATGAAGCATTCCTATCTTCTGTGCCACATGCTTCTGGAAGAGGCCCAATGGCCTTTGGTTCTCTTTAAACCTGCTTGGCAGCATTTGGCAATTTGAAACCTCCCACCACACGCTTCTGAAAGACTCCTGTCGGGTCATACCTTGCGGCTACTTCCAGAGCCATCTGAACCCTTTCTTCGCCATAAGAACCCAGCACGTCTTGTGTCCCGTCAGCATAATTCATGTAATAGTACTCAACCTGCGCGTCAAGGTTGCGGCTGTAATCCTCAAGATCTCGCTTCCACGCCATCATTTTCTCGCGCCCGACGGCCTCCTGCATTTGGCCATTGACAGCAAGTTCCCCCGCGCCGAGGGACGGCCCGCGAGCACGATGGCCATGGCTATCGCGCACGCCCAGAGCGCTGCTCCTAGCACTACCGAGGCCCGGTCCATGCCGCGCAGCACGCGCCGCGGGAGCTTCTTCTCGTAGCGCTTGAGGAAGATGGCGACGTGGGCCCCAGCCTTGAGGCCGCCGATGCTCATGCTTATGGTGATGATGATCACGGCGGCCACGCTCGTAAAGTCCTGGCCTGGGGAAGGCCCTGACGTAGTCCCCAGCACGCCCGCGAGCGCCTCGAAGCTGTCGCGCATGAAGGCAGAGTAAGTCGTGAAGGAGCCGCAGAAACCGGTCGCGAGGCCGATGTGCAGCGGCACCGCCAGGGGGGGAGACTCCGCAGCAGGTCGACCCCCTTCCTTCTCCCGCCCACCGGCCTCCGTGTCAGACGCAGACCAGCCCCCCGTGTCCTCCTTGGCGATAACAGGCGGCGCCCTCGACAGGCTCCGCGCCGCCTTGGGGTGGCGGAAGAGCTCGGCGCCCTCGGACAGGAAGCCGAGGACCAGCGACGAGCCGAAGTTGGGCCAGAGGCTGGTGAAGCGGGCGGGCTCGGCCGGGTACGCCGTCAGAAGGCTGAGGCCCACGCGCGCCAGCGTGCCCAGGATCGAGAACACGACGATGTGTGCCCAGATGAAGACGTTGGTCTGGAGCCGGCTGGCCTTGCCGGCCTTGCGCCGGGGGTGCGGCGCCCCCCTCTGTGCCTCGCCTCCCCGCGGCACTGGCCGATTAAGTCCTCGAGGTTGTGGTGTGAGAAGCGGTGCACCTCGTTGGGGTTCTCGACGATCCCGCCGGGGGCCGCCTCAGCCAAGTTGGCGACGCTGGGCGGGGCTGAGTACTCCTGGGTGCCTTCAGTATCATCGCCTTCAACGGATGGTGAGTCTCTGGGCGTGCTGTCGATGTAGAAGGAGAACTGGAACGGCGAGCGCGACCTTCGCTTTCGCTGGCTGGCGACTTCATCCTCGAGGGACCTGTGGAAGGTGACATGTGCCTCGTTCTTGTTCTGCACAGGCTCGGGTGCCTCGACCTCGCTCAAGCCTTGTCCGATGTCTGCCATCGGGGTTTGGATGTCGATGTGGGCCACGTTTCGCGCCCACAAAGCGATGAAGATATCTGTGCCTGATATTGGGCACTTTCGCGATGCCCGTGGCAAGCGTGGCTAATTTGCTGGGGGATAAAATATTCAAATGCCATTCGTCAAAATGAACACTCCATGTCCCTGAGCCATATCTCGCGCCCTAGCCGCCTTTCCCGTAGGTTCCGTTCTATCCGTCACTTCCGCCCAGAGACCCGGCTGGAGCCCTCAGCCAATAGTGCTCTGCAGTATCATAATCACGATGACGCCACTGAATTCATATCACGCTCACCATGCACGGCGTAGATGGTATTACGGTTGACGGTGTGTAGAGGTCTTTGATCGGCTGCCGGCTGTGGTCAGTGGTGAAGCTGCCCAAGGCCGAGGGTTCTGGGATCTAGAGAAGAGCAATACCAAAGCAAAATGCAAGCGTCTTTGTCATTTAGAAAATTGAGGAGGGACTGTGTTGGTGGCAAACCAGGGAGGGAAGTTGACAGAAAAGTCGTACAGACGTAAAACAATATCCTTAGGTTGCTCCAATCCGTGCTGGAACAGTGCCCCCACAATTGGATCCCGTGTGTCTCTTATCAATGCCTGACAGTGGATGAAGACCTGCGGCTACCATGATCGACGCTCGCTCTCCCTTGTGGCTCGTCTGACATCCTCGGAGCGCTCTCTCGAAGCGCCGACCCATCTTCGTCCACATTGTGCTCCTTCTCGTCTCTGAGCATCATCCCGTCGCCATAATCAGACAGCATAGTCTTTAGCCTCCGGCCCTCTGTCTTCATACTTCCACGCCTTCCATCATCTGCATATCGCAACTTCTCTCTCAGACCGTCACCGATGCCATGAGCCATGGTCGCCAGGCAACTGTCTCTCCAAGGTTTCAGCCCGAGCCTCCGCGTCTCGAACATTATCACTAGACAGTAAACACAGCCGGCCAGGGTCGTGCCAGCTGGAAAAGCCATGAATGCCCATCGCACGCGGACGTGGAGGACCCACAACAAGGTTGTGCCAGCAACAGGGCTCTCGGCATATCCCAGGTTGCGCATCCAGGTGGTCATGCTGTCAGCGACACGGTCGAATGTCTCCACCAGGCTGGAGTGATTTGTCAGAGACACGGCGATCGTAGATTGATTCCAGAATGACTGCCCCACAAATGCCCATAGGTTGGTGTTTTCTGCCGCCGCGTACCAGGTCATTTGTTCTTGTGTAAAGGTCTGTTTCATCCAGGACAGGCTGCTCTTAAGCGTGCGGTCTGAAATGTTGAACGTTCTCGCGCTTTCATCTGATAGACCGTACTGTCTAGCCTCGGCATCCGTGACAAATAGCTGCAGGTCACTGCGTGGTAGGTTGAGATCCCCATCAACTTCGTAAGAGAGACCGTAGTCGGTCATCTGGTACCACTGCTGAACGCAAGACTCATTAAACCCATCAGGCGCCAAAGATTCCATGTTGCGGTGTATAGAAGACCCGGCCAATCCCTCTGATAATTGGCCTTGATTTACCAGGGGCTTGTAAAATCTGGTGCAGAACTGTAAGCCACACTCGGTGGCAATAGGCCTTGATGATTCCCATGATACGTTGTCCTCAAGGAATTCCGGATCAGCGTTGATGATAGAAAATCCAATGACAAAGGTGTCGGAATCTGTGAAAGAGATTGTCTCTGATCTGTTTGTCGTTCCTCTCGCAGCCATTACTTTCGTCCCGTCCAACGGGCCGAGACGTGCACTCCGAGTCTTTCCGACCGCAGATATTGACCCTTCCCTTCCCAAGTTGGATATGTTGACAATGGGCAAAGGAAACGTCGTCTGGTTGCCTTCCATGTGCCCGGAGGGAAAGTCCTCTTTGGTCCACTTTGAAGAAACTCGGAGGTGTCGAGATACATCGTGGCATGAGGCGCAGACCGCCAGGGACGCAAAAGGAGCCCAAGTGCAATTGCCAGTCCGACAAGTGTATCCAGGCGTTTGAGGAGTGAGAAAACTAGAATTGGAAAAGCCAGCGTAAACACTGGAGACCATACCCAGGTCTGGCTGAGAACGTGAGCCAGCATCCCCCAAGTAGATGCAACTTCCATCACTAGACTCAAGTGCTCCGACTGCAGGTCCTTGGGTCATCAGGCCCACGTCGAGGTTGAGAGACGTGGCTATCGAGGCTCCTTGAGGGTCACTGATCCTGTCGAACTGCCCGTATTGTGTAACTATGGCTTGAATGAATGGATCGTAGCCGAGAAGCACAATGACGGATAATGCGCCGAGTGAAGCCCAGTTACTAGCGATTCCACCAATTGTCAGCATCCCTATCTAAGCAGATATCTGAAAGTGGTTCACATGCATTCTGTTGCAACTCACCGGAATTTCAGCCAGTACAGTAGCTTAAAGCTTCCTAGTGGGCCGCGGCTTGCACTGTCGAACCTGTCGAAGAGATAAAGAGGATCCTGTCGCTTGCGAAACCAGTTCCATTTTTCTTGTGCTATGCAGGATCCGACAGACGAAGCAAGGGACGCTCGGGAGATGGTTCCCAAAACAGAGACCACCGTGTTGAGAGAAAAGTAGAATTTCCAGCTAACCAGCGTCGTGCCATCTTCAACTGCCAGGAGAACAATAATAGCGACCAGAGAGCACACGCCGAGTAAAAGTAGGCTGGTTTCGAACTTCCACTGCCACCTTTGCAGCGGACTCTGGGTGGACTTCTTATCGTCGTTATACTTGGATTCCTTTATATCTGGCTTCGTTGGCTGCTGTTGCGTCGCTACTGCCTGTTGCGAATCCGCAGGCTCGAGAGCGGTTCCGTCAGTCGAGGTACCAGATGCGGCGGATACACTTGGACTCCGCAATGAGATGTTGGATGCATGCATCGAGCGCGTTCTTGACGACACTGCGGAGGCTCTCCTCAACATATTATCCGGGCCTGGAGCACCATAGTCTAGAGTCTGCAGACTCGAGACATCGGAGCCTTGATGTCCTTGGCTCCGGGAATTTTGATCAGGAGGATATGAAGAAAGATGGCGGTACGTGCTATTCATTGTTGCGAGCATTCTGAAGAAGACGGTACACAGTGCACTGGAGGAAGGGTGTGAAGGTATCCGGGAAGTAACGACGAAATCATGGAGGCGAGTGGCCTGATATTAAGAGACTACAAGTCTCAGGCTGTGCTTATGACTGCCTTCTCGAGCGGCACACGAGCTGAACTGGCAAGCTGCATGTCAGCGTCATTGTGCAACAATCGGTTCCATTACCAGCCATTAGATAAGATTCAGCCCCCAATGCGATCAACCGATAGCCCCAACTAATGAGGGCAACTTAGACGATCTGTTCCGATTTGGAAACCAGGTGGGAAGTCCCTGTCGGGGCCTTGGGAGCTGTTCAGCTAAAAGACTACCTGGAGAACGCTTATAGGACTTATCCAAAAATAATCTTTCCCGCAACCACCTCAGAGATATGATTTACCATATTGCATTAGTCTAATAAAAAGTTGCTAGAAGTTCCTCTAAAGAGGCTTGAGAAATCAACATATCAGAAAGCGATCAATTTCCTATCAACTGTCAGAACCTTCCATCCCCTGCCACGTGCAACGTCTTCCGTCAATACTCAAGTACTTCTCATTAATGTTGTAAATTGTAAGACCAGGGAACCTTGGTGTAAAGAAGTGAAGAGGACAAAAATATAAAACATTCGTTTGATTAAAAAAGCCTATACCATTCTGTTACAGCAAGAATCGAAAAAGCCAGAAGGTCTAGTATCACGGCCCTACCTCCCTCTCCGACAACAAGGCAACCTCCTCCTTCTCCTTCTCATTATCCTTCTCTTGCATGGCAGCAGCGGCAGTGGGGATCGGGAAGTCCCATCCCAGCTCCCCAGCAAACAATTTCTCATCTGTACGAGACGAGCCATCCTCACCCTCCTTCAAAAACTCCAGCACGCGACTCCTCCGCATGACCTTGCCCAGCAACTTCATCGCTAATTTTGCCTCAAAGTCCGGAACAAGCAACGGTACCACACGCGTGAGCAGCCAGGCAACCGCGGCGGCAAATACGCCCCGCTCGCGCGGATGCGCACACTGCCGCGTCACCGCTCCGCTGATGCGGACCACGTCGGCCACATCGTCGTCCACGCAACGCGCCTCCGCGTAGCGTGCAAAGACGCCGTCGAGCTGGGCGGCCGAGGGTGATTGTGATGGCGATGACGAGCCCGCCACCTCGGCGCGGAGCAGCGATGCCAGCGCGCACACGTCGTTGACACCGGAGTTGAACCCCCAGCCAAAGTTGAGCGTCATCCGGTGGACCGCGTCGCCCGCGAGCACGACACGGCCGCCCTGCGCGGCGGGGAGGTGCCAGTGTCCCTGCGGCAGCACGCCCTCCAGCTGGTCCGCCATGCCACAGGCGGTGCGCGTCGGCCACATGTCGCCAAGGGGCAGGCCCGGCAGCAGGTGGATCTGGGAGAACCGCGCCGCCATCTCCGCCTGGTCCTCGTCCGTGTACCTCTGGCCCTCGTCGCGCGCCTCGTCCAGCTGCTCGTACAGGAAGAACCAGCTGCGGCCGTCGCGGCCCGTCATGAACATGATGCTGCGCTCCGGGCCGTGGCTCTCGGCGTTCGAGCTCGGCTCGCAGGCCTTGGGCGCCGGGCATGTCCCCCACAGGCAGCGGTACTCGGCTTTGTACGGTCGCTCCGGCGGGAGGGATCCCTCGTCGTCCTCGCTGCCTTCTTTTTCTTTTGACGCCAACATCAACTCACGCATCAAGCCCCTTGTCTTGCTGTACACCCCATCCACCCCAAGCACCATACTCCCCCGCTCGATCCTCCCATCCTCACACCTCACCATCACGCCCTCCTCATCAACCTCGATCCCGCAAACCTTACGTCCCGTACATAATTTCTCCTTCCTCACTTCTGCCGGCAACCTCTCATACAACACCTCCACCAGCTCCCTCCGGTGGAAATTCCACGGCGCCGCGCCAAACAGCCTCTTGTGCGTCGCGCCGGGGGTGCCCCGGCGGTAAACGTTCCCATTGTGATCCGCCGAGCTGCGCGTGTCGACGGGGCAGGCCCTGGCCCCCATGGCGCCGAGCAGGCCCAGCTGGTGCCACACGCGCTGGGTGGACGCGTAGGCGAGCAGGCTGGCGCCCTCCTCGGGGGCGAACGTGTCCCGGGCCTCGAGGACGACAAAGTCGATGCCGGCGGCGAGGAAGGCGTGGGCGGCGGTTAGGCCGACGGGGCCGCCGCCTATGATGATGACGCGGAAGGGTTGTGTTTCCATCTTGGATAATTCTTGGGGGAGGGGGGGTTGGGGTTGGAAGAGGTAGGGTAAAAGTGTGGGAAAGCACGACGGAAAAGAGGTTCCTTTGCACCTATATCTATACGGGAGGTGGAGTGTTTACGAAGGACATGCCCTCGCTTGGGCCGAGCGAACTTAGACGCGGCTCCGCCGTGGATCTACAGGGGCGGGCTCGGGCTAACGGTGGAGCCTTATAAGTTCCCCTTTTTGGTTCATTTATCCTGGACTGGGAATAGACGATGGGCAAAGAGCGGACGATGACTTGGTGTGTCCTCGCTATCAGGTCTACATGGTCTAGAAGGAAAGACAACAGGTAATTCTGGTCAAAGATGCTGAATTGGTAGTTTGGTGTTGGATGGGAGACGTTGCGGGATTTGACAATGGCACAACGCTTGCTTCTTTCTAATTATAACTATTTACAATACGGAACAGCAACTATTCTATTATTTACCGCGTGAGCGGCTATCAACTATTTACAATACAGAACAGCAGCTATCATGTTATCTACCACGTACTTAACAACTGCGAGAAGAACAGGATCCCAGGGGCTCAGGTCTATCTAACACTCCGGGAAGCCGTTGATCACCCCCTCACGACGAGTACTCGTCGATGATGGTGTCAGCCACCTTCTCCACGAGCTGGTGGATCCAGAGGATGGGGAAGAAGCCCGGCAGCCTGTTGCAAGCACTCAGGTCCGAGACGCGCAGGCCATCGACACCGCGCACGCGCAGGTCCCCGTCTAGCACGGCCATCGGGTCGTCGTCGGCACCGATGGGCGCCGAGCACGACGCGTGGTGGCCCCAGGACTCGTCCTTGACGAACTGGTCGAGGTCGTCGTCGGTGACGTCCGCGCCCGGCCAGACCTCGTCGAAGGCGCCGTGGAAGATCTCGTCGACGCCGCTGGCCAGAGAGCCACTGGTGCCGGACAGGATGCCGCCGATGGGGATGACGTCCTCCATGATGCGGCGGGCGTAGTCGTACCCCTCGCGGATGGCCTGCAGGTCGAGGGCGGCCTCGGAGTCGTTGTTGAACTTGCGGAAGTTGATGACGGGGGTGTCGCGCGGGTCGGCGGACCGCAGCTCGACGGTGCCGTAGTTGTTGCGCTGGTGCGACTTGAGGATGATCCAGGCCCAGTGGTTCGAGTCGGCCGTGCAGCCCTGCGACCAGCCAGAGTAGTAGCCGGTGAAGTTGGCCGGGCCGCCCAGGATCATCAGGTCGGGCTCGCCGCGGGCCGAGGTGGTCGTGTTGCGGATGACGGAGATGGCGATGCCGTTGGAGGCGTAGGCGCCGCGGGCGGTTGGGTTGTCTCCCTCGACGTAGGTCTTCATGCAGGGGTCCAGCTCCGGGTCGGGGTGCCATGTGCACTTCTCGGTCAGGGCGAAGGAGGTCTCGGTCTTGGAGACCATGGTCTGCTCGTACCGATCCTGGAGGTTGGTGCCGACACCGGGCAGGTCGAGCACGACGTCGATGCCGAACTGCTCCAGCTCGGCCTTGGGGCCAACACCAGACAGCTTGAGGATCTGGGGCGTGTTGTAGGCACCGCCGGCAACGATGACCTCCTTGGCCGCCTTGACGTGACCAGTGCCCTCGGGCTGAGCAGAGCCGCTGCGGGGGTCAGCACGGTAGAGGGATGCGCCAGACATGTACTCAACACCAGTGGCACGGGGCTTGTCCCCGGTGGTGTCGAAGGTGACCTTGGTGGCGAGAGTGTCCAGCATGATGTCGAGGTGGTACTTGCGGCTGCCGTCGTCGTTGGTCTTCATGGCAGTGTCGACGATGAGGTCGTACACTCCACCACGGCGCGAGTCCTCGCGCATCACAAGCGGCACCTGGTAGACCTCGGGGATCATGGTCTGGCCGGGCGCGTTGAGGTCGCTGAGCAGCACGCTGGCGAGGTACGTGGCCGTGTCGAGGACCTCGCTGATGAGCGACTTGCCGAAGGCAGTGCACGCGGCGGCCAGCACGGACACGATCTTGAGGTCCGTCGCCGCCGTCAGCAGCGAGGTGACCTGCATCGGGTACCAGCCTCCCTTGCCGGCGTCAGCAGAGTGCGGCACGTAGGAGACGTCGGTGATGCGCGTCAGGTACTGGCGCATGTTGTCCGACTTGTACGTGTCGTCGCCCGTCAGCTCCGCCATGTCGTCCCAGTCCATGTCGTAGGGCTGCATGCTGAACAGGGCGTTGTGCCGCGAGCAGCCGCCCAGCGCGCCTGTCCGTGGGTAGTAGATGCCCAGCGGCTCAGCGCCCTCGGGGATCTCGCCGGAAGTGGCGGGCGTGCCGAGGTTGCCCGTCGCGTTGTACGACGACCACATCTTGCCGTCGGTCGTGTTGTAGACCATCTTGCTGTCGCGCTTGTCCTCCTCGGTGTCGGCGTACTTGTGGATGTAGTAGGCCCACTCCATGCTCCAGTCCTCGGTCGAGGCGATGTTCATGGCGGGGACCGACTGGATGAGGTCCTCGCCGTTGTCACCACCCGCCTCGATCAGGAGCACCTTGAAGCCGGCAATGGCCAGGTTCGAGCACATGTGCCCACCGCCGGGTCCCGAGCCGATACAGACGAAGTCGTACTCCATCGTCGTGTTGCTCTGGTACTCATGGCTGTACTGCCTCTTGTTGTGAACGAAGGGGTTGTGTCGAGGCACCGTCAGTGCAGTGGCCGCGTGGGCGAGGAGGCCGCCACTGGCCAGAACCTGCGTCATACGCATGATGAAGGCTTCTTTTCGACAGGAACAGGGGGGAGAAATTAATGCTGATATAAATCACAATCGCGGTTGAGAGAATGGACGGCTTGATAGCCTGGGGCGTGAAGCTTGCAGGTGAAAGGAATGACTGGCTTCGCGATGGGATGGGCACTCTCACCAAGATGCCTGCATGGGCGGTCGGTTCATGATTAAGTATCCGAATGCCCTGGCGGCGAGAAGAACAAGGCGGCTTCCATGAGGCAAGCGGTTGCCCCGATCCCCCCTACTCGCGATCTCAGAAATTCCCGACTCTCCCGGCTCCTGAAGTCCCCGACGATCACCATCTGGCAGCTCCTGTCTAGCGCATCTCGCCCAACTACATAGGGCTTGTTTTTCGACGTTCTACGGGGTCGTGGAAAGGACCCCCGTCGTGCTGCCCACATGTATGGGGATTGTCCATCATCGCCCCGCCTTTGTCGGCATCGTCACCACGGCAAATCATTTCGACACCTGTAGTCCCCGGATAGGTCCTCTGTAGGCGAACTTGGCTTGGCACGGTCTGTTCCCATTCTCCAGTGATGGACACACCCGAAACGCGAGCTGCATTCCTTTCTTGCTCAAGGACGGGCCAACAGGACCCACAGATCCCCTATTTCGAGAGGCCCCAATATTTCCCATCCTCCATAGTCTTACAAAGTCTACGGCCTAGTCTTCCGGCTGGCTCAATAATTTTGCTGCTGTCAGAAGTAATCGAGATGCTTATAACTCTTGCTAAATGCCACACTACACGGCCTACACTCAAGAAACAATTCGCAATGTATCACAGCAATGCTACTAGACTAAATTAAGTCGCGGGACCTGACTTCAAGAACAGCGCTTCCTGGTGGCTAGACCGCAACGGCGCAACCGCTAGAATGAGAAAAAAAAAATCTCCGTGGCTCGAGAAAAGCCGTTGAATCGGTTCTTCGCCAGCTCTTGTACTTTGGCGCTAGCTGCTAGGGGACTGCGAGGCTAGTAACCGAGAATGCTGGTCCTCAGTCAGGGGAGGTTTTGGGTTGTTTGTGATAGGTCAAGTTGGCCAGGTTGGTGATAATCTAGATCGCGTGAAGACGGCCAGCGCGCAGCCGAGAAGTGGGTCGAGGCCGGGGGTCCGGACTGTCACCATTAACTGCCCCAGAGCGCCGGGATTGCCATGCGTTGAAGAGCGGAGCCGATGCGGCTGTCATCCTCTAAGCTTTTTTTCGCCGCGTAATCTGGACCCGCAAGGGCAAGCGACTTCTTGTTCGCAGCAGTTCGGGAGCCCCTGATCACCACTGGCAGTTGCTCGCTTGCAGAGCCCCAAGTTCGCCAGCACGCGTGCTCGCGTAGAGCGTGCCCCCAGGCGATCCCGAGCTCGCCTTGCCTTTCCCCACCAGGGATCATCGGCGAATTACCGGAAGATTATCATTGAAGCGCCATAATAAATTCCTTGATACCGGTTTCTTGTGGGCCCGTCCTTGCGAGACCCCATAGTTGAGAGGACACGCGGGAATACGATAAGAAATCGACCACCGTGAGGCAAGGCCGTTTTCCACGGCACTTGTGCCACCATGGCCAAAGGATGGACTTGAGAGGACTGCCGGATATGCCGTTGTGCTCCCCGGGCTGTGAAGATCGTCACTCCCGAGAGTCAGGCACTCTGCCCTCTAACCGACCCCAGGAGAAGCAACCGAGGCGAGGAGTAGTGTAGAATGCATACAAGTACAGTATAGCTGCAAAATATAATCGTATGTTTATGAAGCTGGAGGTGCACAGTTTGAAGCCTACTATCCAGTCGCTGTTTACTCCTGTCGTTTGAATAGCCTCTTTGGTTTGGCTTCCTCTCTAGTTTTGCATCCCATTCCATTCCAAGATGGAGTCGGCAGTTTCTCTGTTCCAAGACCATATCGTGGCGAGGGCGGCGTCGACAGAAATGCCCATGTGCGCGAAGAAGTGCCTGATTGAATACCTGCCACAATCAGCATGCCATGTGGCGTCCAACATCACGTGCATCTGCACCAACGCGCCCCTCACGGCACAGATGGGAGCATGCGTGCTGGGGGGCTGCTCGACCAGGGATGCCCTGTTGACCAAGAGGTTCGACGCAGAAACGTGCAACGCGCCCGTCACCGACAACTCAATGGGCCTCAAGGTGATCACGCCGCTGTTTGGCGTGCTCGCCGTGCTCTTCTGCCTGTGCCGGGTGTGGGCGCGGTCGCTCACCGGGCTGGCCGCCTCGTGGCAGACCGACGACTGGATGTGCCTCGTGACGACAATCTTCTCCGTCCCGCTGACGGTGGTGTCGTACCTCTTCGCGGCCCACGGCCTGGGGCGCGACCTGTGGATGGTCGACTTTGACGACATCACCTTTGTGCTCGAGATGTACTACTACTCGGAGATCCTCTACCTCGCCGTCGTCTTCATGACCAAGATCTCCATCTGCTACTTCTACCTGCGCATCTTTCCCAAAAAGGAGTTCCGCGTCCGCGTCTTCACCGTCATCGGCATATCCGCCGCCAGCGCCGTCGCCTTCATCGTCATCACAATCTTCCAGTGCTGGCCCATCCCGGGGGCGTGGCTGCACTGGGACGGCACCTACGAGGCCGAGTGCCGCTCCGTGCAGACGCAGGCGCTGTGGGGCGCCATCGTGTCCATCATCCTGGACGTGGCCACCATCTTCCTGCCCATGACGGAGCTCTGGGCGCTCAACATGTCGCTGCGCAAGAAGCTTGGCGTCATGACCATGTTCGCCACGGGGGTCTTCGTCGTCGTCGTGCAGGTGCTGCGCATCGTCTACCTGCTCAAGTTCTCGGCCTCCGCCAACTTCACGCACGACTACACCGCCACCAGCATCTGGTCCAACGTCGAGGTCTACGTCGGCATCATGTGCGCCTGCTTCCCGCAGTGCCGCACCCTCCTCACCCGCTTCGGCCCCAAGATCTTCAACTCCACCAAGGGCGCGTCCACAAAGGGCGGGCCCGAGCCCGGCATCCGCGTCACGACAAAGATACAGAACAAGTTCTCCCAGAGGCCCTCCCGCGACGACGAGGCGGAGTTTGTCGAGCTGCGGTGCGCCGCTGGGCCGGATGGCTTCAACTCGACGACCAACCTGCACCGGACGCCTGAAAAGGATGGGCCGGGGTTCAAGGAGACGGTTTGAGGGCGTTGAATAAGTAGGGTGTGAGCGTTGATAAAGTAGGGTAAAATGTATCTCTTTTTACAGCAGCGGCAGCGTCTTAAATCATTATTTGTACATATATTTATAAAGCTTCTTCCTGACCGATACCAGAGTCTTCTTTATCTGTACTTTGCTATTTTATGAATCTTACGGGCTATATATCCGTCCACCACACACACTCATCCAGGCCAGTTTTGTCTACTTGACCCACGCAACAAGAACGCACGCAACAAGACGCCCGCTCACACCACGTGCTGCTTGCCTTGTTGGGTGAATATCAGGGATAATCACCACATTGGAGAGAGACAGTTCGGCATACTCCGTAAGGGGTGCGCGCCCTGGGAGGCACCGTCTCGCATTCGCTTAGCGGGACTTTCGTGGAAGCCGTGAAGACCATGTGGTGTCTACACTAGGAGGAGAGGAGGAACTCCTAGAAAGCAAGAAGGGAGAGGGAGGTTTCGTCTCGTTGTATTACCCCCTACGACCATGCTGCTTCTGCGCTGCTCCCGCGCTGCTCAGCCGTCGCGTATCCCTATTCACTCAGCTTGCATTCAACGGCCCCTGCAGTAGCACTCAAAGCAGCCCAGCATACGTCATATCGAAGCCGTTGGAATGTTGTACATTCTAAGTAAAGCAGTCGCAGTGCCCGTTGTTGTGGGGCCTGCAGGATTGGCAGATCTCAATACTTGGCGGATCTTTCGCGGATCTTTCGCGGATCTTTGGCGGATCCCTGGCGGATCTCTAAGCTCTTTTTGCTCCGCTGTGGGTTAAGGTGGATCCCCTTTTCAGCCGCCCTTTTCAGTTGGCACTAGCAACCCATGGCCCCTGCCCCTGCTGCCAGCACGGCACGCCGGCAGTCAAGAACGTGGACTCACGGACTTTTATAGTACTGGACGACGGAAATATAGGTGCTTAATCCCGGGGTGGACTAAGCGTTCGCTTTTTCCAACACCGGAGGCTGGAGGCAGCGCACCTGTGTAGCACTCTGCAATGAAAGTTGAGGATCGACAAATTGGGATCTGTAGGGGGAATACGTATTATCATGACCCTTCGGGTGTCAGCGTGATTTGCAATCCCTCGCAGCGTAGTCGACCGGAGCCCGGAAGGGGGGCCCGAGGCTGACGATGATGCTAAATGCGCGAGTGCTCACAAGGTTGACTTGCTCGCAGGTGAATCTCATATTCTAAGAATATTCTTCTCTTTCTGTCTCTAGAGCTCTTGGCCTTTCGCTCCTTTCCGGCTCCAGTCATTCATTCCGAATGTTTTAGTCACTCTTTTACCATAGTCACTCCCTAGTCCTTCATCTTCAACCCCACTCCCACATTCGTTCCAATGGCCCGAATTGCCACCTTGCTGACCGCCGCCCTGGCCGCGACAGCCACTGAGGCGTTTCCCACGCCCGAGAACATCGCCAAATTGGCCCGGAGTACCGGTACCGGGACCGGGACCGATGGCCTAGGCTCGATCTCGGACCTCCACGCCGAATTGCTCCGTCTCCGCGACGAGCAGGCGGTGCTTACAAAGAAGCGCAGCTCCAGCCCGAGCCCCATCGACGTCTCTGGCGACCACGCGTTTGTGCCGCCCTCGGAGGGCGACCAGCGCGGGCCCTGCCCCGGTCTCAACGCGCTGGCCAACCACAACTACGTCAGCCACGACGGCGCCATCTCGGTCGTCGAGCAGATCAAGGCGGCCACCGAGGTGTTCAACTTCGGCGTCGACCTCGCCACCGTGCTCGGCCTGATCGGCGTGCTCTTCGTCGGCAACCCGCTGTCCGCCAACCCCAGCTACTCCATCGGCGGGGCCACCCCGGAGGTCGAGAACCTGCTGGACAACCTGGGCGGTCTGCTCGGCACGCCCGAGGGCCTCGAGCACAGCCACAACATCATCGAGTCTGACGCCTCGTCCACGCGAGACGACCTGTACCAGACGGGCGACGCCGGGACGCTGAACCTCGACTTCTTCACCGAGCTGTACGAGTCCATCGAGGGGGACGCGCTCACCCGCGAGGAGGTGGCCGAGCACGCCATCCGCCGCTTCAACCACTCGATCGCCAACAACCCCTACTTCTGGAACGGCCCCGTCACGAACGTCATGATGCGCCCCGTCGGCTACGTCCTCGTCAACGACATGCTGGCCAACCACACGGACAACAACCCGGACGAGACGACCTCCAAGGCCGTGCTCAGGTCCTTCTACAGCATCACCGAGGACCCCAGCAACGGCTCCCTGTCCTACACCCGGGGCCACGAGCGCATCCCCGAGAACTGGTTCCCGCGCCAGACGCCCTACACCATCCTCGACTTCAACGCCGCCGAGGCGGCCCTGCTCCTCAAGAAGCCCGAGCTGCTCAGCGTGGGCGGCAACACGGGCACGGTCAACTCCTTCACGGGGATCGACCTGGGCAACCTGACGGGCGGGGTCTTCAACGCCGCGAGCCTGCTCGAGGGGAACAACCTCGTCTGCTTCGCGCTCGAGGTCGTCAAGTTCGCCGGGCCCAACGCCCTGTCGTCGGCGCTCAAGACCCTCTCGGAGCCGGTCGAGCTGCTGGGCAGGATTGCCGCGCCGCTGGTGGACCTGTCGTGCCCCGTGTTTGAGGACCTGACGCTCGGCGGGACGAGCTTCTGGGACCATGCGTTGCAGACGTATCCCGGCGCGAACAAGAGCGGGTCGGCTTTGTGAGAGGGGTGGCGCGGGATTTTGTGTATAAGAAATTCTTGGTAAATATATGGATTCAAATTGAAAGGTGCTCTCTGCGCTTGACTCCTGGTGTCGTGGTCGAAATGTGTCCATGAACTGGGAATGGCGGGTGCGGAGCCGGGCTTTTCCTGCGGCCCGGGTGGGGATACGTTCTGCAGTCCCAAAACTATGAGAACTATTTTGCAATTTGGCCAAACACATTGACGAAATTGTGCCGTGTATGCAGACAGAGTTCTGGTAGAGATATATCTTGGTCATGTGGAGCAGGGAGTCTCCAAGGATGGGAGTGTTAAGGATTGTAGCACTGGTTGCTATCCTCTACATATCTCGCCGCCTGGCTTGACTTTCGAGAAGACGAAAAAGTTGAAACCAGACAGTTCGACTTTTCAAACCCAGTTTTACGCTTCTAAGACCTTCCACCAACTGTATTCCAGTCGCCTTCGGCTTATCCCTGATCTAGGTCGACCCATTCCAGTGACCCTAGACTATGGAGACTATTTTGTGAATGTTCTGTTGTAGGTGATCAGGACATGTAAAAATTGTCGGTTGTGCCAGTGGCTAGTGACGTGTGATGTTTTCCAGTCTCTGCCTCCCTATGGATCGCCGCGGTTTGCGCCTCATCTTGTCCAGGACTAGGCTGGGCGAATTGCTCCTCAACGCGTTTATTTTGCTGGAAATCATTCTCGTCGCCGACACTTGGCGCGATATAATCGAGCATAGCGTAGAACGCCTTATCTTTAGAGGTTGGCATGTTCAGTTAATATAGTAGGTAGGAGGGAATTCTTTGAAGAGTGAGATATGCAGCTTGGTGATCAGACTAGGGCCACGGCAATGCAGCCTAGAAGGAGCTAGCAACTTTTCAATGGACTTGCTTGGCAGCATATATCGCATCCTCGACGTGGCATCTCGAGCCCGGGTAGATCGGATAGACTGGCTTCCAGCCGACCATACTCAACCCTCTAGGTTGCCAGTACGTCTCATGCCTTCTTACGTCATTTTACATGGTCTTGATGAAGTTTGAGTCGGGACAGCCGTGAATGTTACGAAAGTCAGGGGCCACGCTCCTCTGGGTCACGAGGGGTTACGAGTTTTCCGCGCTGGCATTCAAAGAACCGCGATTACCTAGGTACCATAAGCGGGACACCATTTGAGCAGGTCCAGGATCACTTCTACGCAAAGATACAGCAATAAAACCCCAACTCCGGAGATCACATCGTAACTATAGTCTCGAGGCTATTTGTCTGCTCCCTAGTTGCGTGTGCCGGCAAATCAGCCAGCCGCGGATCTGCCGTCTCCTGCGGCAGGACTCCGGTAGGAGCGACGTCGACATCAGCCAGAAGATCAGTAGGAGTGTGGCAATGTGATACCAACACTGTAGCCAGTGGCATGAATCCATGACAGACATTGGGATTTAAAACAAATCAGGAAAAGGAAAGCCTCTGAGCAGGACCGCTGCTTGACCAACTTTGTGTATGGTCATATCAGTCTTGAAAGTTTTTATCTCATCATGAGATTGACTGTAAGACCCGCATCAGAGCCTCGAAACCGGGTGTTCACCTCATCGGATATGGTGACAGGCCACGTTTACTTGGACATCAATAAAAGTCTGTCCATCTCTGACATAAGGTTCTCCATTAAAGGCAAGCGAATAGAAGCACACAAGAAGGATTTAGACGAGCCTGACTCCCCCTCACATAGCACGACTAAAATCCACCGAGACTGCTGATGCTGGACTTGAACCTTCAGCAATTCTTTGTTTCTATACGGTTGGTCTCCTCCCCTGATCCACGATTGAAACAGATTCAGTGATCAAGTGGTTTATTTTTCCACACTGACAATCTCATCAGCTTTTTGAGCCGACTCAAGTCCTATTCCCTCCACCGCCACTTGAGAAGTCAGCGCGATACACGTTAGGGAAAGGGAGGCACGGGTACGGCTTTGGCGTCGACTTCTCCCTGCTCTCGCTATACGCACAAGCAGAATTGTCACATAATCCCTACTTCCGCGCATGCCGGCATTGGGACTGCACCAGAATCTACTACGGCATCTGCGTGACTGTCAAAGGATGTGGGCTGTTCCGGCGTCCAGGTCGGAAGTCCATTTACCTTGTGTCGGCAAACCTCGACCCGCCTGGCATCCCGCGCCTGCCACCCTCTAAGGGACTGCCACGACAATCTTTCCAGGGCTTACATTTCGACGCCCCCGGGTTGCGAAGCGAACGGTCGAGAGAAGACAACAAGGTCCCACCCCCTTACACACCGGCACTCGTGTTAAGAGCTGGGATCGGCAGTGACGGCGGTCTGCCGTACGCTGGGGGCTCCCTGCCTCTGAAGCTCTGGGTGAGGGTACCACTCGCGGCGCAAGGGCAACTGAAGGCCGTTTTGAAGAGCGTCCGCCTTTTCATGGTCGATCCGACTGTCATCAGCAACTGCGGGCGCCGAGTGGTGCGTCCGGCGGGCACATTCATCCGAGAAGTTCAGCTTGATATCGCCTTGCAGACAAGGTCGTCCAAGAATGAGATATTTGAGGTAGATCCCGCCTGTTGGAAAGGCTGCAGTGTACCTCGGTCGCTATTCATGACTAAGCCGACGCACGAGGTGGCTCAACCGTATTTGCTGCAAATACTTTGTGAGTTCTCGTGCGATGGAAGGGCGAGCAGCGTGGTGAGATACTCATAATTATTCGGTGTCAATAAGGTGTTGAAACTCAAAAGGGTCTATAGTTCACCAGCGTGCTGGTCCCTGTGGACGTTGCCACACCAGGCGCACCACCGAAGTACGAGGCCCTCGATATCCGGTGCAGGCATCACCTGCCTGAAGAGGGATTGCCTGAGTACAGAATGGAAATCAGCAGTTCATCAGGGTCATAATGGTTAAGAACAGTCAGAACGGGGCTGAAATTTTGTGGCATGTAAACTTGCTGTTCGCTTGTCGGTTTGTAGCCTGGATCCGCGGGGATGCACGCAAATAAACATGGCAAGTTGTCACGGAGCTTAGTCTGGATTACAGACCGGGTTACACACTGGATAACAGAGTCAACGCGAATGGATTGGGCTTGAAATGGAGCTCTTCAGGAGCCAAATGCATGTAAGATGATTGATTGATACCTGTCGCTATGGGCTCGGATCCCGCTCTATAGGTGCAGCTTGGATAACTAGCGATCTGCAATTATCCCCAACTCCTGGTTGTAACAATTCCACAGGATTGCTGGTTCAGTGTATACTGGATGCTTACAGCTTTGCACCAGCAAAAAGCTCCTCCTCACCAACATCCGGGACATACTTCAGGCTTGGTACCACGGGTTCCCTTAGCGAGCGAGAGGCACTCGCCGACGTGTCAGTGCAAACTGGGCGTGAGCATTGCGGATTGGGCGCGGGGTGCTCTGATTGGCAGCAGCTTTAGCGCCGGGGAGGTGTCTGTGTACCCTCCGTTTTTGTCTCTGCGAATATACGTCTTCTTCTTTTGCAACTTGAGCAAAGTAAAGCCCTCTAAAGAGTGTACTGGTAGGCAGGGTGGCATTGCCATCGCTCGCCCAAGGCCCTTGTCCGTGATCCCTCGCGCGTGCTTTCCGCCAGCAGGTCCGCATCTCCCCCCTTGCGAAGCTGGGTATTGCGCCACCTCAGATAGAAGTGAAGAGTTGTGGCGAGGAGGATGCACATGGCTGAGAAGGCCACGTTGATGATGTTGGCCTGCCAATACTGCGGGCCATGGGATTTCGGGTAAAAGTAGCTGGCGTAGATGGAAGCGAAATTGGAGCCAGCGTTTATCACGGCGTATGACACGGCTCGTTTGGTTGCCGGTCGGGGGAGAGTTGTCGAGACCCAGGAGAGAATGCAGCCGAATGATCCATAGACGCTCATCATCATGAAGGTTGCCGTGTAACGGGCAGCGACGTTGAGAGTCGTAGCGGAGATGATGAAACCGACACTACAAAAGACCTGCGGCCAAACAATGTGTAGCCATCGTTCTCTGTGTTTGTCGCTATGCCACGAGTTGATGACGCCGAGGATGGCAGCAAAGACGTACGGTGGGGATGATAGGAGGAGGGTTTCGCGCTGGTTGTACCCAAGCGTTGCGACAATGGTGGGGAAGAAGTTTGTGAAGGATGCCGCCGTGTTGAGACCAAGTTGCATGAGCCAGAACATGTACAGTGCTGGATCCGTGAAGGTCATCTTGAGGCCCTGCCATGCTGATGCTTCGCTGCGGTTGTCTTCCTCGACTGCCTCTTCGGTGATTCTCAGAATAGCAAGCTTCCTTTCTCCATCAGAGAGCCACTTGGTGGTCGCGGGATAATCGGGAAGAACGAAGTATGTGACAAAGGCAACCGGGATAGGTATGGCACCTTCAATGATAACTGTAATAAAATTGGTACCATTAATCTGTTGGAAAAGCGTGGTCATTTAAATCGAACTTACAGAGCCATCTCCAATCCGGTAAGCCGAGCTTGCCGTTCATGCCACCCATGATAGCGCTGCCAAGTAATCCTCCAAATGCACCAGCCATTTGGCCCGCGGCATATAGCACTGAGATACGCACAGCCAGTTCTTTCTTGGTATACCATGAACTGAACAGGTAAAGTGCTCCAGCTGGTTATATGTTAGTACCTGAACATGCAGGATATCTCACAATGAATATGACTTACGGAAGAAGGGGGCTTCGACGAATCCCAGAAGAAACCGAAGGATGACCGCGCCAGTGAAATTGTGAACAGCGCCGGTTGAGGCGCTGACTACAGCCCAACAGCACATGACAACTGGGAGAAAAACGCTTGGTCGCATCTTGTTCAAGATCATGTTCGTCGGGACTTGAGTCAGGATATAACCAACGAAGAAGACACTGATTACCGTGTTGTATTGCGTGCCGACTAAGCCAAGGTCCTGTTCAAAATTGCCCAACCTTGCTGTTGCGATCTGGATCAAATATGATAACTGTGAGTGGTTGACCCATCATGAAGATCCAAGGAAGTGCCACGCACATTATTGCGATCCAAGTAGTTGAGGACATGTATTTGAAGCTGTCAGTATCTGAGACACTTCACAGGTACTGTTAATTTGGTGAGACTTATAGAGTATCATCATCAAGGGCATCCTGGCTCAATGTTAGTAATTAAACTTGCACTTTCATCTAGTAGATGCATGACTGACATTCGAATATCGATCTTGCGTACCAATCGGCGCTCCTTCAGTGGTCGGTCCTCGATATCAGCGTGGGCGGCTGGACTCGGCTTGATTGGGTCGTCGAGCATCTCGACATGGGGGCCCTTTGACGAAGCATCGTTTCCCCTGGATTGAGGCATCCTCGGAAGAAAAGACCAGAACAGGCTCAGGAAGACAGAGGATCAGAACCACGTCAATTCGAAACAATGGGTTCCGCGTGAAAGTACGGACTGGACCTAAATATACCAAGCACGTACGGTTCCCCACAGGACGTTGCCCTTCGCAGCCCAGTCCCCTCCCCCGCAGCCGCCCGCAGCCGCAGATGCGGAGAGAGTCGTGACAGTTGTGGGTCCGGGGTAATTGGAGCATGGGGAATATCGTCTCTGGAGCGTGGTTCATCAGCAGGGACACGCGAGCCGATCGGCTCGCGCCATTTCAATTTCTACGGGTCTCAAATGAATAATAGCATCGTCATGTGGAGTGGTTATCGACAGGGGAAGAGCGGAAGGAAGGGGGGGGGGGAGACAGTTGGGACCGGAGTTTCCTGCTGAGTCTGCTTGTCCAGTAATCGTGGGCAAGCGCTGTATAGGCCATGGGAGGCATCTGGTATGTTATGACATAGTCAGGCATCGACTGCATACAAACAGTGTCCTGTAAAGAAATCAGTATTATATCTCTATTTATGGGGTTGCAAACTTGGCGAACTGAGCCGGACAGGGCGAAATGCGCAGAGGTTGAGGGTGCTCACATTGTTCTTCTCTTCTAATAATTACTAGATACAATGTGGAATGTGTTACTGATGCATTTGACAAGTGGACTAGTCAAGAACAGCTGCAGTGAACCAACGCCAGTTTCTTTACCCCAAGTCTCAGTTTCCCAAGTCGCCAAGAAGTCCGGCTTGGCCTCACGACGAAGCATCCAGCCGGCTCGGCCGCTGTATGGGATGATCAGCCACAGAAGTGGGATTGTACATCCGATCGGGAACAAGAAAGCCTGGAAAGCTCATCTGTCTGACATGCACAAGCGTCCTGCTCGTCGGATCTCTTCTGCATAGGCCAGCGCCGGGAGAGCCCCGCTTTGTTCTGGTCGGGTAAACCCCGGCCGTGTACCCCAAGATGAGGAGAAGGAAGTTTCCGATGACTCCAAGCCCGTAAGCAGATAGGCCGAACAACGTACAGCCCCTTCGTGGATCCGCTGTCGCTGGACCGGAAAACAATTATTTTAGTGCCATGCTGCCCGGTTCGGTAGCTTCTTATGAGATGGCCCAGAAGGATTTCATTAGTAGTACAGCTTGCGAGAGCTGATCAAGTTGGGAACACGCATCAACCCGACCTTTCCAACCTCACGATGCCGAGCAGTGTACGACCAACCGTTCTCCATCTCGGAGAACCCATACAATACAACCCAGAGTTATACAAGGAGTTGGAGCAGATCGCAACAATCATTAGGCCTGAACCAGAAGAAAGAGAAAGGGGGCCATTTCTGAAGGCTTTAAAAGAAAGACGATGGGGTGATTTCTCAGCCATTTGTCGCCCGTTCTGGAATTCTGGGGGCGAGATGGGACGTTGGGATAGCGAGTTGATTGCCCTTCTACCAGCCTCTGTGAAACTCTTCGCGTCAGCAGGTGCTGGATATGACTGGGTAGACGTTGACATTTTGGCGAAATCTGGTAAGAAACATTCCCAAAGCTATACTGTTGGTCTAAACTACTAACATGATACTGCAGGCATCATTTACTGCAATGGAGCAACGGCATCGTCCGAAGCAGTGGCTGACATGGCTGTATACCATATCATCTCGGTCTTCCGAAACATGCAATGGACGAACACAGCGGGGCGGAGCGGCGACCCGGCGATGTTCCTGGATGCGCACAGAAACAACAGCGAGACGGCACATAATCCAAAAGGACACACGCTTGGTATCATTGGGCTCGGCAACATTGGTTATCGGATAGCCCAGAAGGCTTTTGCGGCTTTCGGCATGAAAATCGCATACGCCGACCCTATCCCCAAGCCAGCGAAACTAGAGGCAGCCATAGGCGCTACGCGCTACGCTGACCTTGACGCACTGCTGGCCGTATCGGACTGTGTGGTGATATCTGCCCCAGGGAGTGCAGAGGGTGGCAAAGCTCTCATAGACTCAGCGCGCCTGGCAAGGATGAAAAAGGGTTCACGTCTGGTGAATGTCGGCCGTGGTAACTTGGTGGACGGGGATGCCCTGGCAGATGCCCTGGAATCAGGTCACCTTGTGGCTGCGGGCTTGGATGTGCACGAGAATGAGCCCTACGTCAACCCACGCCTACTGGCTCTACGAGACGTCAGTCTGACTTGTCATACAGCGGGAGGCGCTGTCGAGACCCGGGCTGGCTTCGAAGAACTTGCCATAAAGAATTGCATTCACGCAATTCTTGGGAAAGAACCGTTGACGCCGGTTAATAAGCACTTGCTTGTTCGAGCACGAATCTGAATATGGGTTTAGGTAGACAATCGAAGTTTCATCAATGGCGAATCTTATTAGCGTGATGTGCACGAAGGTTTTCTCATATTGGGCGATGTAATCACGTCTTGCGGGTGGGATCAAATAATTATGCAGCTGTCATTAGAAAGTGGCTTTATATACATGTGTCATGACAAGTTCTAAGGCATTGTCCATCTACCGATGTAAGTTCGGCTTGGTTGAAAAGATTGGCTTACATCGCCATCAACAGCATGACTTTACTCGAATCCCGATTTTGGTTGTTCACTCGGAGGTCTGGACTCAATAATGGAGAGATCATTTTCCGCAAGGCTTGAGGTAGTTATTTGCTCCCCTTGCAGAGCTCCTCGTCATCGTGCTGGGTGTGGCCGTGGGAACTTGATCCAAGTGGCCGCGTCGACCAGCCTCAAGCTCGGATAATGTTATTTTCGAATTTTTATTACACCCAAGACGCCCGGAAGTGGATCGAAACGTATCCAGGGCACTTGCGCAGTGATAAATGATGGCGCCATAGCCCGAACTGGCCGTTAAGCTAGGGATGGGCCGCCTAGATGCGGATCCGAGACAAGAGATCAGTATTCGATCCGACGGTATCAGGCGGACAATTCTGCATCCCGACACTTTCAACGTACTAGAATCAAATTAAACCTTTACGTTTTCGCCATTTCCTCAGTTGGTCCCCCTAGAAGCTCTGTAGATAAGGTTTGGCACGATCACCAATACACCCTTCGTCAGAGAATATGTCCCCCAGACCCGCTCGCAGCTGTTATCTTACGAACAAGATGATCAATTCTCGTGTCTTGTCGCCACGTCATTACAGAATTCCTTTCCCTGCCTGAGATATAAATGATTCTGGTTTAAGTGAAGACGGTTCCTGAAAAGCCTATCGTTGAGCCATGAAACAGCTACGCAGGTTCTTTTCCGAATACAGAAGGGGCTCAATACCCACTGTATTACCACTTCTACCCGGTTATTCTGGTCTTTGCGACTAGCCATCTTTGCGATGACCGATAAGTGGTCAACCACGGACGTTGAGTCTGTGGCTGGAGGAAGAGGGCAATCAAATGGCTCCGAGACTGACATTGATGCCATCCAGAAAATTCCGACCCGGGCCCGAGAGCCATGGCATATGGCCGAAGAAGTGCACCGACGAAGCGAAAGGGACGAAGAATCAGGGGAGAAGCCCAGGAGGCTCGGGGTCAGCCGGCAGAACCTGACTGTCAAAGGCACCAGCAGCAACGCCACCTTCAACGAGAACGTCGTCTCTCAATTCTACCCTTTTCATAAGGACGGCAAATCGAGACCCCTTAAGACAATCATCGACAACTCGTCCGGTTGTGTCAAGACAGGAGAGATGCTACTTGTTCTCGGGCGCCCTGGCTCTGGCTGCACGACACTGCTGAGCGTGCTTTCCAACAACCGGCTCGGCTCCGAAGAAATCACGGGAAATGTGTCCTTCGGCACCATGACAGCAGAAGAGGCGAAGATTTACCGTGGCCAGATTATCATGAACACCGAAGAGGAGATTTCCTATCCGACATTGACCTTTGAGGATACAATCAACTTTGCCGCCCGCAACAAGATTCCCCATCACCTGCCGCCTGCGAGGCAGCAATACGTCCAAGATAACAAGGATTTCTTGCTTCGGCTAGCTGGTATTTCCCATACGAACCATATGAAAGTGGGAGACGCCTTCACTCGGGGTGTCTCAGGAGGGGGAAGGAAGCGCGTCTCTATCCTCGAATGCCTCACCACACGGGCCAGCGTCTTCTGCTGGGACAACTCCACCAGGGGCTTGGATGCCAGCACCGCTTTGGAGTGGATCAAAGCCATGAGAGTGATGACGGATATGCTCGGGCTTACCACCATTGTTACTCTCTATCAGGCAGGCAACGGTATTTACGAGCACTTTGACATAGTCCTCGTCCTGGACGAGGGCAAGCAGATCTACTATGGTCCTCGGCAGGATGCGGTACCTTTCATGGAAAGCCTCGGCTTCCTGCGAGAGTCGGGGTCGAACTCGGCGGACTTTCTGACCGGCGTCACGGTGCCCACCGAGCGCCGGATCGCCACTGGATTCGAGCAGTCCTTTCCCCGCACCGCGGATGAGGTGCTTGCTGCTTATGATCGATCGCCCATCAAGCCTAAGATGCTCGAGGAGTGCCTTGCTTACCCGTCAAGCCAGGAGGCTGTCGACAACACGGCCTTGTTTCGAGAATCAGTCGCTCACGAGAAACATAACGATGTCTCTGCATCCTCGCCAGTGACTGCTAATTTCCCAACTCAGGTTTGGTCGGCCATCATCAGGCAGTACCAAATCATGCTCGGTGATAAGGCGACACTCATTCTGCAGCAGGCAGCCACTTTGACCCAATCTCTCATCAGTGCCTCGCTCTTTTACGCTGCACCCGACAACTCCGCTGGCCTCTTCATCAAAGGAGGCACTCCCTTCTTCTCCATCCTGTATCACGCCTAGATTGGTCTTTCCAAGGTCACCGACTCCTTCACAGGCCGGCCCATCTTGGCCATGCACCGTGCTTTTGCTCTCTATAAGCCATCAGCCATCGTCATCGCCGAGATATCTTCGGACTTCCCGATACTATTGTTCCAAGTCACGCATTTCGGAATCATAACGTAATTCATGGTGGGCCTCAGGACCTCGGCTGAAGCATTCTTTACGTATTGGTTCACCTGCTTTGTCAGTGCCATGTCCATGACAGTCCTCTTCCGTTTCATCGGCGCGGCGTTCCCGACCTTCGATGCCGCATCCAAAGCTTCGGGTTTGGTTCTTGCCTCCTTCTTCGGCTGTATGGGTTACATGATCGCTAAGCCGGAGATGCACCCCTGTCTCAGTTGGATCTTCTGGATCAACCCTATGGCCTACGGTTTCGAAGCCTTGCTTGGGAATGAATTCCACGGCCAGGACATACCATGCGTTGGGCCAAATCTCATCCCGAGATTCCGTACTTGCTGGTTTGCGCCCTGTTGTATTATGTGTGTTGGTGCTTCACAGCAGGCCTACCCTCATCGCCGCAACATGCCGGCAGTGTCTTCTTTGTCGTGGTAAGCATCTGAAACACATTTTTGTTGAGCAAGGCAGATATGAGTGAGTCTGACATGAGTCTAGGTCTGTTACGAGTTCCTCTACACCGGTATTGGGCAGATGATAGCCGCATATACCCCTAATGCCGTCTTCGCATCTCTCGTTAAACCGCTCGTCGTTATGACTCTGGTGTCTTTCTGTGGCGTCATGGTGCCATATAGCCAGATTGTGTCATTTTGGAGATACTGGTGAGCATAATGCTTTGGGCCTTTCCGTGCTCGCAAGGCCAGTCACTGACAGCATTGCCCCGCAGGATCTATTGCATTGACCCTTACAATTACCTCATGAGTTCCCTGCTAGTGTTCACGACTTGGGACAAGCCCGTGCGCTGCTCGCCGGAACAGCTCTCCATCTTTGACCCTCCCGCCAACCAGACCTGCGGTGAATACCTGGCTGCTTGCCAGCAGGGCATGGGTGCTGGCACGAACCTCCTCAATCCGGACGCCACCAGCCGTTGTGAGGTGTGTCAGTACGCATCGGGCGCTGGCTTCTTGCGCACGATAAAACTTCAGAACGAGTCCTACGGCTGGAGAAACGCCGGGATCGTTTTTGCTTTCGTGGCCGGGTGTTATGCGATGGTGTACCTGACGATGAAGCTGCGAACTAAGGCGACGAAGAAGGCTGAGAACTGAACATTACGGACGCTTGTTATCGTCGCCCTGATATTTTACAATGTCACCGGTGCAGTAAACTGCCAGATGCATTGTTTTGATGACACATTTATTCAAGGCTGGGGTGTTAGGTCATGGTGAATAACTAGTAGGACGGTAACATAAGTCACCATGGTGAGTGGTGGGACCAGCTAAGTCATACGCTTGATCTGACATTGCAAGACTTGAACTTGCTTCATTTTCTGAGTAAGATACATCAAACTGGAGCCCATACTTAGAGGGAGAGAGGTGGAAAGTGCCGATTGCTAAGGATATATCAGCCACCATTTATGCATCCCCTTATGAGAAATGCACTTTAATAATGCTCTTATAACGTTAAACAATATACATACAATATATTTTAATAAATTTCATTTATTATTCCTGAGTGGTTTGCTTTACTATAATTTAATATACTTTATATGAGCGCGTAATGCGGCACAGGCCGACATGGGCTACGCTGCGAAGTGATTGATGGGCCATGGAACGTTGGCCTTGCAACCAATCAACCACCCAACCCCGCTCGACAAACCCTTTTAAATTACACAAGTACTGGGTCTGAGTAATTTCTTCTAAAGGATGTAGCAGTTTTTACTGTACCCAAACCTTATAAACACTAATCCTTTGCCCTTATTTTGTCCTGGTTATTCCGGCTTTCCACTTAAAGAAACCTCTTGCCCATGTATACTCTAGAATGTCATTCAGAATCGAATGTGCTATAAACACAGGGGAGGGCGTTGAGAAACGGATTACCTGCGCGCGCCTGTTTGAGCGTGAAGTCTTAGTATTATCTCTCTAGGTCGTGGTTTGACACGTGATAGCCATTGATACAAATATCCTTACATCAACATCTTGAGAAGATAGATCAAAGTCATGTTCAAAATCAAGTCTTTCACAAATCATGTAATCATACAGACTATTTGTATTCAACTATTCCTCCAGATATGCACAACCTCTCAAACACTCTGACCTGGCCATGAACAAAGAATTAAGAAGCGCAAACTCAAAATATGAAGTCAAAAACTCGAATATGAATATCCAATGTCAATCGTCAAAACACGTCTCAAAGGCCTCACAACTTGTTCAAAGTCTTATCCAGCCACGCAAACATGACCCTGCCCAACTCCTGCGTAGCGCCAGTCTGGCAGTGAAACCCAGCCGTTCCATTGAACATATGGAGCTCTGCCCTTTCGCCCAAAGCATCCTTAACGAGCTGCGACTGCCCTGCCATAAGATCCTCGTACTCTCCATCGGCAAGCCAAACTGGCATCTTGATACGATCCGCGATGCCGCCCTTCAGCGTGTAGTTCTTGAACGATTGGAAGAAATCATAAGGTGACTTCATCTTGAAGGCCCACAACCCCTGCTCAAGGCCCCATTTGATGGTCGTAGATGTTTCCGGGTAATTTAACAACTCATCCATTGCCTTATCAAAAGCCCCCTTGTCACCAGACTCGAGCACCTTGAGGAGGTCGGACGGCAGATATGCAGTGTACGCTTGATACGCGTCCCAAACCCCACCGTTAAGCAAGAGTGCCGACAATCGGGGCTCAAAAGCAGCGGCTCGAGCGCCGAGATAACCTCCAAAAGAGTGGCCGTATAGGACGAGTCGCTTGGTATCGATGAATGCGGCTTTTTCGGAAAGAAGGTAGTCGACGACGGGTGTGACGGTTCGTTCCCAGTCTGGGATGAAACCAACAGCCTGTTCTCTGCGTGGGGTAGGCTGACCAGGGCCTTCGAACGAAAAGACATTATATCCACGAGCCAAAGCCGGGGCAACAACGGTTGAATACAAGTCCTCCTGGGCAGCATCATAACCTTGGGTAAGGATTATAGTTGGGAGGCGCTCAGTCTGATTGCCCTTGGACAGTCGCGAATACCAGATACCTGAGACATTGAAATCATCGCTAGGAATCTCCACACGCTCAGCCGGGACAGGCAAGGCAGCTATGGCCTTATCGAAAGCCGATCGCTGCTCGTCCCAATAATCGTTGATGCGTGCATCATCCCAGTCGGCCCGGTTGTAAACGTCTGCTCGACGGAAGTAGTTGGACGCAGAGAACCAAGTAGACCTGACATTGACCGGATCAGAAGCGTACTCAGGGTCCGACGCCTTGGCCTTGGTCTCATTTGCAAGATCAAACCAAGCTTTTGCGTAGCTGTCACGGTCGCCGGGCTTGATCTTCTTTGCAGCTTCGAGCACGGGATTGACGTCTGCACCGTCGTTGGCCATCTGACCCAAACCAGTGAGAATGTCAAAGTTGAAGCTTTCGTCGTCATTGAGGGTGAGGATGGGCATCCCATCATCTTGGGCACTTGCGAACCCTGCGTGAGCAAGTGCAAGTATAGCAAATAGCTTGATACAGATTGATGATTTCATGGTGAAATGATAATAATTAGGGGCTTTATACGGAAGAGTAGATGATTGCTGTGATGAAGTCCTGTTTCTCGAGGGAGAGGTCTTAGTTTATATACACAGAGATTGATTCCTGACCATTACTGCAAAGTCTACGAAAGACGGGAATACGGCAATTGCCATGGCATTCGGCCACCTTGTCGATGTCATGCCAATCGAATCTTTCACAAACATAGAAGCTGACAACATAAGTTGATGGGTAGAATCAAGAAGCGTGATTGACCCGCTGTCGCTGTCGCAAAGTCTAGCCTTATATGGATATAATCGGCAGACACAGCCGCAACGTCGTCAGCGGCTCCCACGGCTCGCATCCATGATCGAGAGCGGGTACTTTAGTCAACCTGTCAGCTTACATCGTGCCAACTTGAGCGAGTATATATCAGAAGCAAGGGCCCTCGGCAGCTGAAGCACCCTCCTGCATCCGTCGCAAAACTTATCTTCATCTAGTTTCTCTACAACATAAGACGAGGCGGTAGAGAATCATGGTCAATCGAGGCGCTTCACGAGGATGCGTCACATGCAGACAGCGACGTGTCAAGTGTGACGAAACAAAGCCATTTTGCAAAGCATGTCTCCGCCTTGGGCTCGAATGCGCGGGCTATGTCGGAGCTCGACTGAAATTCAAGGACGAAACTGGTCGATATTTGGGAAAAACGCCCGCTCAAGCAACGCGTGTCAGCAACCGCAATCAGCAGTTAAGAGAGACGATGCAAAACACGAACACAATTCTGCCGAACCCCTTACATTTGCCACAAGACCTAGCCGTTCCATTCTTTCTCACTTATGTCACCGACGTAGGTCGCAGTGTGGAATCGACACGCGGCTTCATGGAGTTTGTCCGCCCAGTCCTCGAGTCTGAAAACCCCAGTTCAGCTCTCTTCGCCGCAGTCAACGCCGTGGCGGTCAAAGTGTGGACAATGATAGGGCACAAGCACGTTTCCGACTCACTGCCTATTCATTTACTTGGTCAAGCGCTCGTGCGGCTGCGCCAGGCGACCAATGATCTTGAAGAAAGGGCACGGGACGCAACGGTGCTGGCGGCTCTGGTGCTCCAGATGCATGACACTCTATCCGCTGTGTCCGGTCAAGCCAAGGCCCATGGCATGCACCGCGATGGTGCATTGGCTTTGCTTTCACAACGAGATGATAGCTCCCACAGCTCCAAATACCATGCATATCTCGTCGGCAACCTCTTACATTCTAGAGTGTCCCGGTCCGTCAGAATCGGCAATGCGTTATCTTCAATTGAGCTGGCATGGCTCAAAACTCAGGTCATACCTGTTCTGCCTATCAACCCAAGCTCACTACTCGACATTATTGGTGTCTCTATCGCCAGTCTTCAACACGATTTCTGCGACCCCTCAGTAACGCTTCGTGCACACCCATCGAGACTGCAGGAGCTACGCGAGCGAATTCAAAGGTCAGACAATCAGCTCCAGAATTGGCTGGAAAGCATAGCACCGCTTTGGTACCCGAGAAGAATGCAGAGCAGGAAAGACATTGACCCATGTATCGAAACGTACCATGGTGCTTGTGACATTTACCCAAGCATCCAGATCGCGAATATCTGGAACACGTGGCGCACTTATCGCCTTATCCTCGAACGAACCAAGTCCCGACTCACAAAACTTCTTGCTCTTTCTTGTAATGGAGCTTCAAGCACAGAGAATGAAATAAATCCCGGAGATTCGACATGCGAGGTCAAGGAACTTGTCGATGCTATATGCTATAGCATTCCTTTTTATCTCGGTAATTGCACTCGGCCCGGAATCTTGCTCAACATGGAGAACCCCCACAACAAATTCCCAAGCTATCATGACCTGCCTCCAAGCGATGAAGCGTTCCTCACCTACACAACGAGTGATCAATATGTGTCGAGATTCGATCACTCTTGCCATGTCAACCTGCACGGTTCGTTGCATACCATCAGTATCCTATCCCAGCTTATCGGCCTATTTGCTGGAGAGAGCAATTCGAACGAACCTTATTCTTTGCGAGAGGATCAGCAACATTGGATTGGGGGGCAGCTGGTCCGCTCTCTATACTTGATGAATATGACGCCGGGTATTTCTTCGACGAGGACCAAGCCCTTGGATCATGACTACTACTGTCAACAAGCAACTCACAGAGTCTCATGGGCTGGAACTCTAGCTGACAAGCTCAAGAAGGACTTATGGACAATGACTGTACTATAATAAACGGTGACTATGATACTAGCCTGGAAATTCATAATGGGGGCTTAGCAATCTAGGCTGTAGCACTTGACATGTGTTATATTAGTCGCAATGCTTGACCACATCTAGTTATGTGGCTGAACCCTTTTAATGCTTTCTCCAACGACACGACTTCAATATTCTATCATGGACATCTCCAGACGATACCTCAGTACATTCGCAACCCTGAAGAATGCTACCAAACCAACTCCGTATTAGAATAAAAAATTATTGAAACGGAGTTCGGCACAGCCGCCCTCATCGCCATCGCCGCCCAGATCACCCAGGTCCTCGCCGCCGCGGCCGTCGACCACGTCGCATTGGAATGCGGCACCGTCGGCGTGATGAACTAACGCGCTCGCGGCCTGGCGAGTACGTGGCCGCGGCCGAGATCCGCAAGTGCTTGGAGCACCCGCTGTGCGCCAGCGGCGTGTCCGCCCGCCCCGACAGGGCCAGCCTGGAGAAGTGCGGGTGCTGGTACGGCGGCGACTCCGGCTGCCGGAAGCGGTTCTTGTAGGAGAGGTACGATGGCAATGAGGGCAAGTGGTGCTGAGGCGCTTGGAACAACGGCCTCGGCGGGTGGAGTAGCCGCGAGGCGAAGGAGAGCTGCCGACCTGGTGTGTCCGGCTCGGCTTGCGGCCAGAGTGGCTGCGATGACTGCGGCTGCGGCTGCTACATGCATATCTGGATGCTTGGATGGCACCCTGATGGACAAAGAGTCTTTCTTTGAGGTGTGTGGCTCTGTGCTTTACATATATACAAGCACGGGTTCTCGACCTGTCGATCCTGAACGCCTTGATTCGGATTCTGTGTAACAGATTGAACATTTGCTATCCGGCATTTCATGGCGTTGAATACATCTGCCAGAACGGGTAGGAGTGGCCGCATTGCAGGGGGAAACTCGAGTGGTAGTGTCTCTCTTGGAGTTCAGAAGGGCAAGAATGCTCTTGTTCACTATGGGTAACTCGAGCTTGGCGTCAGGCCGAAATCAATATCCCCAAATCATCGTACTCTCACTGGTCCAGGTCAGTCCTTGCGAGGTGGACCTTCGAATACCTCCATCACCAGTCCATCGTTATCTGGAGTTGAGTGCGTATCTCGAGAGACGCTTCCGAAGTTGCCGGGGATCGATTTTCCTTCGGGGCTTATGCAGCCACTTTGTTATATATTAGTATGTATCTTTGCTGAAGTGCTTTTAGGAATGTGATAAGTATACGGTTGACGGAAGACGTACAAACTATAAAAGCCATGCTCTCGGGGTTCATCGACAAGAACACACTCGCACCAATCCTTACACCTGTAACCATGGTTTATTAGCTCTCATTCCTAAAGCAGGACATACATATCCGGGGACTTGCCAATCTCGGTTTTCCGGGTCCAACTTCCAGGGCTGGTTGCTGGGTTTCCTGTCCGTCGCCTTCTTCGATCCTAAAGCATACATAATCAGGGACTCTGGTCGATGTGAAATGGAATCCGGGAGCTCCTTACCATCAGATTGACATATGAACCAACTCTTGCAATAAGCAGCCGTCAGGAAGCTACCCGACATACCAGGCGCCATGGGTGTCTTCGCTCGGTCCAGGGCGCACTTGAGGTCGTATTCCAACAGGATGCTCGGGTAGCCTTGACGAGCTGCCAACTCCCTACCTGCGGTACGGTCAACACCTTGTCCAATGTTGCCGGTAGCCACATCAACCGTCTGGAGTGGGATGGCAGCAGCAGAGGAAGCGAGGAAGCCCAAGAGGACAAAGAGAATGAAATGAAGGAGATTCATCTTGTCTGCATGCAATCTGGAGTGATTATCTTTGAGTCAGGACGAGGTGAGGCAAATGCTTGACCAAAATGCTTGTCCTGGGGCTGGGATGCTTGGTGAGGTCTGACCTGACTTGAGCAATGGCGTTTGCTGATGTACTTTGATCTTCTGCCGGTGCAAGTGCAGGAGAGAGGAGAGAGGGATGGAAGGAGCGGAGAGATCTTGATGTCAGGAGAGAGGAGAGCTTGATGGAAAGAGAGAGTCGAAGGTGGCCATTTCTGGGCTTTAGAAATTTCCAGAGTGGCTGTCCCTGTACCTGAGGACCATGGACTGCAAGTGTCACCCACTGATTCAATGTCTCCAATCTAACATGTTATCACAACCTGAGTGAAAATGGGGTGGGGACAGTGGACTAGCACAAACCACATTACAAACAAAAAACAGTGGATGACTTTCAAACCATCTCTGTTCAGTCAAACTCCAGCCATGGTCTTCATCACAAATGTAAACATGGCGCCTTCCCAAGGGCGTGATGGAAGGTGAGCTGTTCCTTCCCATTCGGGCTTTCAGTTGTACAGGTACCTAGGCAGTTGAAGGTGTTGGAACTGCTTTCTGTCATCCTCTGTGCAACAAAGGCAAGGTTCATTTTTTTAGAAACGGCCTTTGCTCCTGCTGCTTAAAGTAATCAGCTAGCTGCAAAGTGATTATTACAGTTCACTTGGAAAGTGTGCACTGTATTGTGCAGTGTATTGTGCAGTGTATTGTGCAGTGTATTGCGCAGTGTATATGTGGGAAGGACAAACTGCGCTAGCGGTGACCACGCCGAGGAACCTGAGAGTAAGCAGTGATCTACAAGTACCTAGGTAGAGAGCAGAACGAGCGGGTTGACTACTATAGCATCTATAACTCGTTGACTACTGCATTTCAGGTCTATAAGCAGGGTCATCTTTCATGCTTTTAGCAACTGTACATGGAACCCCAGCCATCTTTCCCTCTGGACGAGCATCGACCACGAACCACAACGTCACAGAATACCGCGGCATCCGTGTGTGTCTATATGTGGGTGTGGGTGTTTGAAGATGGCGGACCCGTCCTGTCAAGAACATACCAATACACACAATCCTGCCTTGATTCAAAGCAAGCCATAGAATCCCATCTTGCCAGTTTCCTTGGGAAGAAGCTGCTTACGGACATACTCATCCTTTTGTCAGTACAAACATCAATCCATCCGCTTAAAATAGATGTCCAAGTGTATCAGACCCAGCACCAAGAGCTTGGAATATGGTCAAGCTTTCTTTTTCAAATGCTAGAGTGGGGCTCCAAATATTGTATTCAGTTTGATAATAGGAATTAAACAGGTCCCGACTGCTATGTAACTGTCTTAACCCAGCCATTATTCTCTAGACCCCAGACGCCGGGTTTGGATATTCCTCGACCATTATGACACTCCCGATTGTCCTTTTTCCTCGTACTCCAGACAAATTCACGCCATATTTGCCCAGCATATGCGGTGGATGGTATACTCAGGCAAGTTTCAACCCAAACTTCGGAATGGCGATGCCCGCGCCCCGAGAACCACACCATATTCAACTCCACTGAGAAACCGAAGGGGCAAGAAGAAATGGGGCTCACAGCAAAAGGCGGGCCGCGAAAACAGGTTGCCAAGATTTTAAGAAGGGGATTTATCTCACTAGAACCGGTGAGCCACCCTCCTCGGCACCGTCAGAACATCCTCCCTGGCATAAGCGAAACTGGGTCTCGGCGTGATCCCGTCATCGACACCCGGGTGCGTCGGCGCGCGCCCAATGACATCGCCCGTCCCCGCCGAATTGCTCTCCTCCACAACGACCGTGGTGGTGGTCTTGGTCGTGATGCCATTCAGCTTTCTGTTGTCCGACTTGCCCAGCGACTCCCAGCCAACACCCCTGCGCCGGTCATTCCCGGCCTCCCGCCTCAGCATCCGGGTGAGCGGCTCGAGGCAGTCCCCGGCGCGCCCGCCGCGGCTCCTGTGTCCGCCCCCGCTCAGCCCGGCCTCGACCCACACCATGTTGCCGTACTCGACAGAGGGCGTGCGCAGGAAGGCGAAGCTCGACAGCCCGGAGTCCTTGATGTCGCCCGGCGCGAGGAAGATCATGGTGCAGCTCCAGAGCACGACGTCAAGCCAGCCGTTGCTCGCGATCATGGCGCCCGCCCACAGGAAGTAGCCCTGCTGGATGGACACGCCCGACGCGAGGATCATGGGCCCGATGGCCATGGGCGCGCAGCACACGAAGTACACAAGCGGGTAGATGAGGAACGCCGGGTGGTGGCCTGAGCGGCGCGGGTTGCGCAGCTGGAGGCGCACGCGTTCCAATCGTCGCAGGAGGCCCGGCCGTGAGCGCCGCGCGTCTGGTTGCCGCACGCGGATCTTGACGGCGGAGCCCAGGAGGCCGAGAACTATGATGCCCATCATGGATAGGACCCAGCCGAAGTGTGTCCAGATGCGGTAGCCTGCATACTCCTGGCTGATCCAGCACTGTATGTCATGGAGCACATATCTTCAGTACATGCGCACGGGCAAAGAATAATTGGACTATGGAGAGGTGGGTGGTAAGGGACAAAAAGAGAGGTTGCTTACCCATGTGTCAACTCTCACGAAGTACCCGCCATGGCCCCTCCCGTTGTTGGAAGCCCACACCCCGGCCGCAACAATGATGAAGCTAAAAGACCACACGGACGCCACTATCATGCGCAGCGCCTTGGATGGCATGGTGTACCGGTGGACGACGAGAAGGTAGGTGTTAATCGAGACGGCGGCGGCAAAGATGGCGCTCGCGATATCGCCCTGCGACCGCAGCCAGCCCTGCGCCCAGCAGGACTCGGATCGCACATGGATGGCGTTGTGATCGACCCATACAAGGTTCGGGATGAAAGAGGCCGACTGAATAATATCGGCGATGAGAAGCATGTAGATAAGCACGAGCAAGGGGTTGTAGCCCTGGTAGCGCCGTCGAATGTTGGGCACCGTGCCGACCGCGACCTCATCGGCACCGTCGTCGCGTGAGCGGTGGTCCCGCGGGCACCGGTCGCTGCCGGGCGACAGGGGTGACAGAGGGGACTTTGCCGCGCCGGTGAGGGTGTTGGACGAGGCCTGCCGGCAGAGTTGGTGCTCCTCGTGCTGCGGCCTTGGCGTCAAGGGTGCTGGGCGGCGGGAGAGTCGACACCTGGTGTACCGAGGCCGATGCGGGGAGTGCAGTCGGCCCTGGATAACGCGGTATGTTATGAAGGAGAAAAGACTCGTGCACAGGATGAGAGAGACCACGGCGAGCGCGCCTATGACGGCGAGGCCTGCTCTCAGGTTGTCGTCCAGCGGCGAGAGGTCCCCGGTGCCTGGTGGCTGCGTTGGCCCGTAGTCGTCCCAGACGTGAGACATCGTGTATTATGGCCCCCCGACGGGCTATTGGATTACAAGTACAGTACGGTAAAGACTCCTTATCCTCTTGGGTTTGTCGTTCGCTTGGTTGATGTGCGGCGCACATGTCTGCCATGTGGACTGGCGAGAGCATATGGGTGGCAGCTGAAGCACCATCAGCTCTGCCTATGAACCAGGGGGTTCTGATCTACAAATATGGACCAATGCACAGCCTGAGAGGTAAACATGTCACACAGGCGGAGTAAAAGAGAGATATCAGGCTTTGGTTCCCCCAGGTCCGGGCCGCCCGGCTCACGACTCCGCACACCGATGATGGAGCTGAATCTTCGGTCGGTTTGCGTGCGACCTGAATCAGGGCGTGACTCGGAGGGCGCAACGCTATTCTGGCAGCAAAGCTTTGCGAGGTCCTCTATTAAGTTTTCTCCACGTGCGCAGCGAAAACCGAGGGAGAGGAGCACCGCACCAGGCGGCGTCGACGGTCGGGCCTCTGATGCCCAGAAATCACTGAGTCCGTCCGTTAAGAAATGTGACCACATGCTATAGTCTAGAAGTCTGGCTTATCCAGACTCTCAATACCCAGAGTGGTGCGTTGTGCTTGGCATGCGCACGATGTCATGTGTCCCAGCCAAGCTTTGATAATCGCTCAAGGTGGAGGAACATTTGCAAGCGTTAGATTGCTGTTACGGGGCTGATGACGATCAGAGGGCACAGTGACAGTGCTGAATTGCGGTCTGCCATTGGCTGCGCACGGGTGCAAAGGAAGGAAGTTGACCAAAAGGTTGGAGATCGCCGTTGAATTTGACTTTCTGCTGAGCTTGGACAGTGGGCCTTATGCTCACGGTGCCCTCCGCTGTCTGAACAGAACTGCCGTGGAGGAGTTCATGGCTTGCAAGTCCCGTCCCATCTTCGCCGAAATTTAAAAACGTGGAGACAGGACTTGATCGCCGCAAGCATTTTCCAATCTGCTTCGACAACAATTGTGAAGCCACGGCTGGAGGGAAGAAAAACACCATCACAATCACTACTTGAGTTCCCCAGACCGGAAGCTTGGGTAGTAACTAATGCTCTAGAGCTTGCGTGGAAAGTCAATTAGACTACAACCTTGTGATCGCCTCGCCCGGCGGCAGCGCACGTGCCATCGGTTCAACCATGAACAAATCGAGTACTACCCATGATGACGTTGCTCAGCTGGGCGAGCTGCAGTAGCCTTACTACAACGCTTGGGTGCTGGAAAGGATAACCCCGCCCACTGTGGAAGATGCGGTTTGACCGAAAGGAGATCGGGAGAGGCAGCTCAACGGTGTCAAGCCCTGAGCCTGGGATGTGGGGTACGCAATGCAGACCCGAAAGCGGACATTGTAATATATTCGCTACGTGCCCCACGCTTGGGAAAACCTGTCGTTGGAGTAGGTGCAGCACGCACCTCCTGGGCAGCAAGCAATCCATCCTTGGTTGTACTCAATGACGCGCGAGTCACGCTAAGGCTATAACGCGCCTTTGGAAAAGTGGCGAGGGTTAATATCATCTGCTAACATGGAGGATTTAAAAAAGGCAACCGCGGGAAACAAGTTTCGCCAATAGTGTTTCCAGTAGAGCCATGAACTAGCTATAGAATCTATTGGTTATCAATTTTCTGGAGAAAGTTGGCTATTCTTTTCCGATTATGATGTTGCTACAGTAATATCTCCTGCTGAGGAAGACCTCACAACGGGCTGGAGATACTATAGACCTCTGTACGACTTGTACTGCAGCCCAAAGTTTTGCGTATGGTGATTAGCATGAGACGCGGCGGCGAGAGGCTGAAGAATCCACAGACCCAGGGACGATGAGTTGGTGAAGATGGGGCAAGTGCCTAAAATTTTGATCTTGAACGTGCTGTAGTTCACCGTTTCCAAACGAGGATACAACAGAGCGAAAGCTGGCTCGTCTCAACATATTCCCTGGTTTCGCCGGTTATTGATGAGACTAAGGCGCCCAAACTGACATTTGGTTCGTGCGTGTCAGCCTGCGGGTATGCATATCAGTGGCGGCACATCTCCGCGTGCACGGCGTTTAGTGCCAACCTCTGCACCCACGCGGCTGTTTAAGGTTGGTCTATCTAATCTGGGGGCTGCCGGGTCTCGGACCTGTCGCTCTCCCTGATTGCTATGCAGTCGGGTGGTTAAGGATACAACTTCTTATTCAGTCGTCAGTATCTACAGAATTTAGGACACTGGTTCAAGGTGGCAGCGGCGGTATGGACGCAGTAAAACTTCCATCACCCCCCACGGGGACGGCACCGTCAACATTTGAGCGATAAAAAGGGAAGAACAAACCGAGCTGTGTTTTGAGAGACCTCTCACAACATCAGTACGCCGATAGAACCCATCCTCCATGGACCAAATTCTTCGCTGTATCCCTATTCAAAAGACAGAAAAGGGTGGAATCATCATACAGTGCCCCCTGTACACTCGGAAAACATGTTGTCTGCAGGCTGCAGTTGGCGTAGGGGGTAATACAGCGAGAGGACTTGCTTGGGTGACCGGATCTATTTTAAGCATTAGTACAGGCAGCTTACCCCTCCCATTGTCACACCGGTACACACTCCGATATTATGAAGTCAAAACAAGGTGAAGGCGCTCCTCATAGGGGGATGGTACCACTAGATGGAACTATCGACTCTGTATATGACTGTTATTTCCGGCAGCTTGCATTTGCAGAACCAGATAGATATTATATGTTTCCTTATCAGGATACTGGTCAGACTACTCATCAGTTTTGACAAGTGCATTTACACAATCTTTGACTGAACGAGGAACGAGGTGACTTGTGAGTCCTACCGCGGATACTGGTGTTAACTGACGTTGCTTCTTGCAGCACCGACAGCCCCAGACCATCTACATATTTGCGAGGGCAATTGGCTTAGTGGTAGGAGTTTGACTCCTCAGAGACATAGATGCAGAGTGAAGAATGTGGAGGCTCTCGACATCCACGTTCCAATATTGGACATACGACCCGAAGGTAACGTGCAGAGAGGTCAAGGACATCATTGATGAGCTGACATGATGTTACACATCGCCGGAAAAAGAGGAAAAAAAAAAGAGTAAAAAAAAATGGATGTAATGAAACGTTTCACCAAGAACGTGGAGAAGACCTTTGAACCGAAATGTCCAGGCAGGCGGAAACTCGAAGCGATAAAGGCAAAGTACCATCCTCATTCCGATCACAAGTCTAGATCGACCACCAAAAATGCTGGGACTTGCATGTGACTGGTAGCAAGCACTCAGATCGGTCATATACTTACCATGCTATGCAAGATTCACCATGGGTACAAAGAAAAGTCAAAATAAATCCATGAGAAATTCAACTCTTTAGAAAAATCATGTCATGTGACTGCTCATTCATCTCCAATCAGATCATCAGGATTGACCAGGGGCATATGCCATGCGCCCGAGTTGGTTTAGCCCAAGGACTCAAGCCAACAACCACATCAAACGACAGCTGTTAACGTCTGCAACATACACCATCAACTCGTGTACGCTTCGAAGTCCCGTTGCAACGACCCGAATCCGACAAGCTTCAGATGTTACTGTCATGTCTTCCAGGACATTGCGCCAATGGGTCCTGAGAACCACCAAACACGGCTCGCGTCCCTGTGCCTTGGCCACTGCGGGGCAGACGAGCTCGACATTCAGCTTGGTATCGGCCTCAAATCTCTCATTGATCAGCCGCCATGGAGCCGCTCACCCTCAGATGCGTGAGTTAATTATCTCGCTATTGATCGTCACGTCTAATCGGATTCATTGACTGGTCACCGCCCAGGTCTCTTCCATCATACACCCGCTCGCAGGCTGTTCGAGTCCTCAGATGCCATCGCCGCAGTATGTCTGGGGGTCGCAAGTGGCATACTACTCTCTAGATTCCCCACGAGGTTCCTCAATACGTCTTATTTCCAGAAGCGTGCACCTGTTAGCCAACCTTCTCAACCCGGTCACGTCCCCCCAATCTCTTGGGTATTTACCGCCGATCAAGAGACGTGTGACGACGTCCAGACAATCCTGTCGGCAGCCTTCGAAATGGCAAGCAAGTCCCCGATACGAAGTCGAGACCAAGCCTTCAGAGAAGCCAGCTTCTATGTCCCATATGAGATCGCCAGGCTCAACCCAGATGCCCCGCGCTTCAGGGTCGAGGACATGGGCGTAATGCCACCTCTTAAAAAGCTGTGGAAGGACATGGACAACCTCGGTTTCCACGTAACTGCCCCCTTCGACGTGGAGAAAGAGGCCCGTGTGTTCCTGTATTTCCCCAACGACGCACCTCGGGCAACCGCCGCCTTCCTGGCCATCAACACTGAATTCCACCCTGTAGGACAGCCCAACTCGCAAGGAAAAGTCACAACGCCTGAGGACCAGGACAAAGTCACCACAATCGCATCAATCATCTGGATCTGTCAAAATATAAATTGGCGGCGTCATCATCCCCATGTCCTTGACCGGATCGAACCCGGACATTTGCCAGTTATCATGAGTTTCCGCGAGACGGCCTGCGGTTCATCCTGGGACACTCACAAGGAGCTTTTCACCAGCAAAGAGGCGCACAATATCATGGTTAACTTAACTAAGATCACCTCATAAATCGTCCGGAAACAGATACATTCGGGAGCCTAATTTGGGAGCAGTTGTGGCACATCAGCTTTGCACCATGAAGGGAGGAGACTTCCCCACTCACATCGTTGCACTGAATCTACATTGCAAGAGCTATCATGCGGCTAGCACCAACTGGGATGGGCGACAGATCCAACAAACCACATTTTCCTATTCTTGCCCAGGGGGAGCGGGGCGGTGGCGGTTGGTGGCCAACAGATTTCATTAATTTGTGAATACAATTCATGTTTCAGCAAATCTCATCCATCTCAGAAAGGGTTCTAGCCGACATGACTATGAGGGCCGAGGACAGACAGTTAATCACACCTGTCACGATGTCCACTCGCGCACACAAATGCCAATGCGCCCTCGACGCGTGACGGCGCATCCGATTGGGAAGAAGAGTCCACCCTCAGGTGCCTGAACACACTGAGTACCTAGGTAGCGCCGCGAATCTCTTTCCGCGCCAGGAGCACTTAAACCTCTCTAATCGCCCCCTTAGATACCTGCCAGTGGGTTACACAGCTGCCGGAACAACTACTTTCCAATGCGTGGTGATTCGAACCGTAAAATGATTGTATTTACATTCCAAGAATCAAGGTTTCTACATCATGGAACTGTCTTGGCCTCAAGTGATAAGTCAGAGTCAATGGCAATGTGGTCTAGTAGTTTTTCAAAAAGTGAACCAACTGGCCCCAAACTAGAGTCACAGACGCAATGGGTGCTACAATATTGGTGCAGCCCATCTATGCGAATTGCTGAATATCTGTGATATCAGACATGGCAATCCAAACCAGTGGAGTCCACAGATTTTCGCACAGGCTTCATGCTCGCCACACATAAGTGATGTCGATTCACGAGCAACACAGAAACCGTGGTAGTGCGTCTCAATCTACGCGGCAGCTGCCTTCATCGTCAACCCCACCTTGTGTCATGCCACAAGAGTCGTGACGACCAAATACCAGATCTAATTTACTCCAGCACCCGTGTGAGGAAGTTGCGAAGGATGTTGAGGGGCAGCTATGAACAAGAGGCACGATTGCTGATGAAAATGGAAATCCCGGTCGGGGCTAGGAGGCAGGAATGACACAATTCAGCTCACTGGGGAGCGCAAAGACTCCTAGCCACCAGATGCCTCAGATGGATGTGCAGGGCTCTCAAGTATGATTGGAATAGAATATGCAGAACCCTAATAAATAGTATTGGCTGGATGCTATAAAAGATGTGGAAATATTCTGGACAGGGCGAGAAACTTGGGGGGAGATGGCCGTCACCGCCGCCAGATGCACCTTCCTCTCAATGTACCGCGTGATGAACAGATTTGGCCTGCGGGTTGCACCTTCTACGAAGCACAATAGTGTGTGCGCCTTGGAGTCAACAAATTCCCACAGCCAACTTCTCCTCCATTCCTTTCTCTGGAACATTCTTGTCCACCTATGACCCCGCTGCCGCATAGTTCTTTTCTCTATGGATTAAAATACTCAGATAATTCATAAATCAACTTAGTTCTTTTCCGTCCCTCCATTCTTGGCGACATGGCTTTGTCGTCGGACCAGCTGGTTGTGGCCACTTTGGTCCTCGCGGTGCTCGTCTGTTTCGGCATCTGGGTAGGGCTCTTTCTACACGGTGTACCAGCAACCCGACATAGTCCGGTCACCGTAGCTGGCCGGCTAGATGCTGGCCCACTTCAGGTGGGAGATGCCCTTCTGGTGCAACTCAGTGGTCAGAACGCCTACGTGAAAGCACTTGAGCTGGACGGCGAATCCGTCGGCTGGGCTGTTGCTGGGCAGCACGTCGTCATCTACCTATCACATGTCGACGAGGATAACATCCGCATCGGAAATGCCATCTGCCCTCCCTTCAGCGCCGGTCCCATGCGTCAATACCTTCACCAAGAAGTGATCATGCTGCTGCCCTCTGGGAAAGAAGGGAAAGAAGGGAAAGAAAACATTTAGAATCCGACGACGACACGAGGACGTCAAGGATGAGGGTGACCTAGGACCCTCCGGGGAAAGATGTCATGCCTCGGACATGCCTGCAATCTTTGCATGGTCTCCATAATGGAGATGGCTGAAGTTGGCGGTAGATTCGCAACTAGGAAAGTAAATGAGAGCGTGCTGACAAGGCTAATTACTGACATCAGTCTCCATGACCCACGTGCATGGTTATGTTGGTTGTTTGCACGTTTCGGTCGAAATGGAAGGGAGTTCCGACAAGAAAAATATCTTGAGATGCTGTGAAAAGAAGCCTGTTGTCTCATGCCGTGACGATATGCCTTAGAATGAGGCCTGTGATGATGGAAGAATATATCCGGAGATTGGCCTCCTCACAACGGTTTGTGGCGAGCTTTCTGGTGGAGCAAACCCTGTATGACGTAGAGTCAGGTCAACGTTACACAAAGATCTAAGCTCTGAAGTCGTCGGCAACCGACATCCAGATAACAAGTGTTCCGAAAGTACCGAGCCGATCCAAGAATTTGACCTCGTCGAGACTGGCCAGTTTTTCAATGCTAAGGTCAACGAGCTTTTGATGCAGGGCAGATCCATCTTCAGTCTCGGCCGTTCCCTAACCACACACCCGCGATTCGCCACCATGTCTTCAGCCCAGCAACCACAGCAGCGAGACATCACCATCGTAGGCGGCGGCATCATCGGCTGCTGCACGGCGTATTTTCTCACCCGCCACCCGTCATACTCGCCCGCAACCCACCGCATCACCCTCCTCGAGGCCGCATCCACCAGCAGCGGCGGCCGCACAGAGGACAGCATCACCGACCCCGGCACCCTCGCCGACCCGGCGCGCGTGCAGAAGCTCCACCCCGCACACAACGGCATCGCCGGCGGGTCGAGCGGCAAGGCTGGCGGGCTGCTGGCGAAGTGGGCCTTCCCGTCGAACATCGTCCCGCTGAGCTTCAGGCTGCACGATGAGCTGGCGCGGGAGCACGACGGCGCCGCGCGGTGGCTACCGGAGGTGCTATGCCAGCCAGGTTGAGTGCAGGGCGCGGATGCCGGGCGGAGTGGGAGGGAAGGATTCTGTTGAGGCGGGCCAGGACGCTGAAAACACCGACGGGGTGACGAGAGGACTGCACAAGGACCATAGGAAGACGATTAGCAAGCTCAAGAAGCTCGGTGCGCCAGAGGACCTGGACTGGCTCGACACGGAGCATTCGCTAGTCGCCTACGACGGCATGGGCACGCCCGATGACACGGCACAGGTCCACCCCGAGCTCTTCACGCGGAGCATGGCCCAGCTCGCGGAGGAGAAGGGCGTCAAGATCATCACCGGCGCGAGGGTCACGGCCATCACCAATGGCAGCAACGGCCACGTGGAGAGCGTGACATACACCAAGGACGGGCAAGACGAGCAGCTCCCAACGACGGACTGCATCGTCGCCGCCGGGCCCTGGACCGCACGGCTGCTCCCCAGCGTGCCCGTCACATCGTTCCGCGCCCACTCGATAGTGATCAAGACGCCCCGGCCCGTCTCGCCCTACGCTCTCTTCACCTCCATCGCCCTCCCCGCCGGCTTCCCCTCGCCGGCGCAGGGGAAGCCCCTCAAGCGGGCCCAGACCATTGAGCCGGAGATCTACCCCCGGCCGGACGGCACCGTCTACGCCTCCGGCGGGGCCGGAATCGACCTCGATGTGCCGCTGCCATTGACGACTGCCGAGGTCGAGGTCGATCGTGCCACCTGTGACGAGATCGCCGTCCAAGCTGGGGCGATTAGCGACGAGCTCGGGAGGGACGGCCATGTCGTCGCTCGCCAGGCGTGTTACCTGCCGCAGGGCGGGCCGTTCATCGGGCCTGTGCCGGGGCACAAGGGGGTGATGGTGGCGGCTGGCCATACGTGCTGGGGCATCCAGAACGCGCCGGGCACGGGGAAGCTTGTGAGCGAGCTCGTGTTCGAAGGCAAGGCTGTTAGTGCGCGGTTGGGGGGTTGTGACCCTTCGCGAGCTATTTGAGCATGTGACACCGCCATTGTTTAAGTCTACGAGTCCTCGTGTATTTCATGTTGCATATATTCTAGACCGTTTCCAGTTTTTCAACTTAGGCTGTTGGAGCAGTCAGCAGTATCACTCCTCCTGTTGTGGGGTTAATAAAGGACTTCAAGTTCCGTTAAGCCTCCATCCAAGTTCAACAAAGAGATCTGTCAGGTGAGCTTTATCATGCTTCCAACAGCTACCTTGAAACAAAGGCGAGATTAAGGTTAGTGGAATTGATAATGTGGTGTGACTTGCAGAGTCGCTGTCACTCAAGTGGCCCAGTCACTGCCACGTTGGTGACGGTCCAGCCTGAGAACAATTTAAGGCCCGATTTGCACCCATCGTGGCCTTCTTCTTCTTCTTCTCTCTGGTAACTTCCTGATCCTTCTCCCTACGAGTCTGGCACATACAGACATATTCGCATTCTAGAACATCCTAGAGCACATCACCATGACGACCACCGACGGGAAGAGCAAGGAAATCAAGTGGGAGAGCAAGGTAATAAGCGTGGGGAGCCTCGGCTTCAGCTACCACTACTACGGCAGACACCACAGGTCCAGTTTCACCTATATGGACACGGACTTCCACACGATCGCCCAGATGACCGCCTGGACGATCGCGCAGTCCACTGGGGAGGAGCGCGTTGCGGATGAGATAATGACCGGCCCCGGTGCAGGTTACACGTCGGGGAAGTGGGATGACATGGGACTAAGCATGGTGGCCGACGACACTTCCACGGCCGTGTACGCCGCCATGCTGGCCACCATGGCCAAGTTCATGAGGACAAAGCCCCTGTTCGATGCCCTCGTGAGCACAGGCGACAAGGTGTTCGTAGACATCAGCTGCTCGTCCGACTCTTTCTGGTCCATTGGGTACATATACAGCGACATGTGGAAGAACATCGACAAGTGGGGACAGAACCAGCTTGGCAAGATTCTTATGGTGGTTAGGTTCATCGCTTCCGGAGAGCGCGACTTGGTCCATGGGGGTGAGACTATAACCGACAACAAGATCAACGAGTTGGCTGCCCAGGCCATGAAGGTGTACAAAATCATCGCCGACAGCGACTGGGATGGGGTTGTTGAGAAGTTGGCGGAGGCGGAGGAGGAGATAAGGAGCAATCAGAAGGAGTCTTAAGGTCTTGGGCTGCCACGATGACACAACTGCAAGTATGCAACGTAGCAGGGCTACACGGCCGCGAACATGGTGACTGACATGATCAGGGATGGTTGAGTAGGTGGAGATCTTCGGGCACTGCTTGCATTGCAGAAGGCACAGCTACTGTATCCCCATCATGTACGCATTTAATACGAATAAACTTGAGAAATTTGCAGGTTGATCTATTATAGCGCAAGTGAGCGCCATGGCATGCTTTTTTTCTCTTGAGTAACAAAAGTCCTCGATTATCAAGGAATCTGCACCGGTTCTAGTCTGGGCACGGCTGAGTTTGTATGTTCTTAAGGTCTTTTCCAGAAGGTACCAGTGGTGTTTCTTGATGTGATTCACTCACGATGACTGTATCAACATCATGAGATGAGATGATGTCTACGTAATGTCACCAAATTGTCTACCCCGTGACCCCACAGGCGTGTGACGGCAAACCAGTGACCACGCATCTCAGCGTATCCGGCACACATCAAGCTCATGCACATTAAGCGCCTTGGTAAGATACGCTACAAACGTCCTCGAAAACACATATCAGAGGACAGCAATATCTTACAAAAGGAAACTTCCCCAGGCACGCACTTCCGGACCTCTTACATTCGCCATGCTTATCCGGGAGATTGCAGGCGCCCCGGCGTGCATGTCGGGTACGCCAACACCCATCTGCTTCGGCCCTAGCGCAGCCCTGAGCTTCTCACGGCGTACAAATGCAGCTGAGCTCGCCGTAGATGGTGCTTTTTTCAGCGCCGCCCCTTCTGACCAACCCAGGTGCGCCAAGCCTGCATGTCTTATATTGTGTAACGGAACACGTGGAAATGCAGCAAACGCGAGGGGTGGGGCCCCTCCCTTCCAAGCGGCTGGAGGCATTGGGAAGGAAAAAGACCGATGATCCTCCCGTAGATGAGAAGACGACTCGATGGGTCTGCCGGCTTGTTTCTGTTACCTAACGTGAGCCAAACTAGCTCGACGTCGTGCTGTGTTCCTGTCCATAAGTCAAGCCATGTCGGGGTCCGTTCCCGAGGTCCAGCCTTGCCAGAGTTGCGGCGTCACGGAAGAGAAGCGGTTTACTTGCGTCCAGGTAGGCCGCAGTGTGTGACTGGCGGGCCCGGCTGGGGGGTTGGAGGCTGATTCGTCGCAGTGCAATAACCTCGCTTTCTGTGAGACATGCTGGCCGCAATGGGTCCTACATGCACCAGGGGCTGTCGGATGGTGAGTTGAAGCAGAACCTCGAAAGCAATTTCTACAACTGACAGTTCGGTTTTCAAAAGGAATGGGAAACCCCATGAGAAGGCGGACCCAGCCGTGGTCCATACGCTCCGCCAAATCCTCGAGCCGACGAGGACCGAGGCGGAGCATGCCTTTGAGCTGCTTGAGGACGAGGACACCACTTGGTTCGGCTTCGGCCGCGACTCGTCGGGCCAGTCCATGTTCTACGACTATGGCCGGTTCGCTGCCATTATGAGCGAGATCGTGGCCAGCGGGTCGCCGGACATTTATCCACAACTTGTGTCTGTGATCGGAGAGACCGGTGAGCAGGCCCGTGGCGCAACGAAACCATGAGGACGTCACGAACGCATCACAACTGACTAGCCTGCAGGTGCCGGAAAGAGCACACTCATCAAGATGCTCATAGACCGTCAGGCCTCGGGATCCGCAGAAGGGTCCAGGTACTATTCCCCAGTGACATCGTCGAACCAGGACCGCACCGCTACCACTGGCGACGTGCACATCTACGCAGACCCATCAAGTGCCTATAGCACAAACCCGCTCCTCTTCGTGGACTGTGAGGGCCTCAACGGCGGCGAGGCCATGCCGAAGCAACTGCGACACCATCACAACCAGGACCCACGGCAAGCTGCTGGCCGCCCGTCGCCCTCGGCAGCCCCTCCACCATACGAGCCAACGGCGACGGGTGAGGGCAGTGACAGAAGGAGATACGTGCGGCCCCGGCACAGCTCAAAGAGGACCATCGCATGGGCCAAGACGCCCCAGACACGCAAGAGGGAGTTCGTCTCCCAGCTGTACCCGCGCGTGCTATACACCTTCTCAGACGTGGTCGTCTTCGTGCTCCGCAACCCGCGCGCCTTCGAGTCGACGGTCCTAGAAAAGCTCATCCACTGGGGCGCGCGGAGCATCGACGCGTCGCTGAACCAGCCCGCGCTCCCGCACGCGGTTATCGTGCTGAACGCGACCGAGGGCGGCGTCGACGAGGGCGAGTGGGACGTCGGCGCCGCGACGGAGACGCTGCTGTCCGACATCCACGGCGCCGTGCACCGCGAGCCGGCGCTGCAGGAGTACGTGCGGGCGTGGGCGCGGCGGGGGCGCAAGATCGCCAACACGTCGGAGCTGCTGGCGTGCTACTACGCCTCCGTGAGCGTGGTGCGCGTCCCGCACAAGGGCGGCTCGTACATGCTCATGGACGGGCAGGTGGGAAAGCTGATGGAGCTCGTGCGCGGCCGGTGCGCTGAGTCGCATGCTGCCAAGCGGCGGCTGCGCATGCTGGCCACGGCGGAGAAGCTGCAGGTGTACCTGCAGGCCGCGTACGATCACTTCACCAAGAGCCTTGACGCGCCGTTCGACTTTGTGCGCGAGGCGCTGCGGAAGTTCCCCATCGCCCGGAACTTCCAGGGCAATGTGTTGAGCTTGGCGCTTGCGATCAGGGATAACTCGACCCAGGATTCCCTCAAGGAGGATGCGAAGCGGATATTTCTGGCCATGGCGCCGATGATAGCTTCGTGTATTATGCTCGACGCCGTCCGGCAGAACCTGCTCGGGACGGCAACGAGGCTGCTGGACGACAAGTACGCCAAGCCTTGTGCGGCAGCCCTGCAGACCTTTGCAGATATGTATTGGCCTTGCAGTTTCTCGAACCCAGCCTTTGGCGAGGCGGGCAGATGCTGCAATGTAAGGTGAGTGCTTGACCTGCCCATGGGACCTGTGGGATGCGACGAGTAGTGAGAATGGAGGAACGAGCGGCACACAGCCTAACGTGACCACAGATCCGGCCACAACCCCAAAGGTCACCAAAACGCCCAAGGAAAGGTCATCGCAAACGGGAGCTACCAATCCACCCTCGACCCGGAGACCTTCCAGCCGGAATGGACATCCCTCATCCGCCGCAGCCTCGAGGCCACCGAGGCGGCCATGTCGAAGCTGGGCCAGGCCCTACCCGCCAGGACGGAGCTGTCGACGGCGGCGCTGCTGCACCGCGAGCGCCTCAACGACTTCTACTCTGTGCTGGGCGGCGCGACCGCCCTCGTCAGCCACTCCGCCTGCCTGTCGTGCCTGCGCGAGCTGCCCGAGTGCGCGCTGCCGTGCGGTCACGTCCTTTGCCTGCCCTGCATGGAGCTGTACGGCACGCGCACGTCGCGGACGTGCATCGAGATCAGCCGGTGCCCGCTGCACGTCGGGGACGTCATTGCTGAGCCGCCTTGGATGGTGGCCGTCAAGCCGGCGCGGGCGGGGGTCAGGGTCTTGTGTCTTGACGGTGGTGGTATCAGGGGGATCACGCAGTTGCGTGTGCTGAGGGAGGTTGAGAGGGTGCTTGGGCCGGGTTTGCCGATTCAATTGTTCTTTGACCTTATGGTTGGGACCAAGTAAGTCGTATCTGTCTGCTCATCACCAAGTACGAGGCTTTCAAAGAAGAGAAGCCATTAACGTCTGACATTCCTCTGTTATTCAGCACCGGCGGGATCATTGCGATCGGCCTGGGGGTGAAACGATGGACCGTCGAGGCAACTATGGAGAAGTTCCGAGATATCTGCAGGGAGGCTTTCACTCCGCGGGAGATGCAGAAGGTGCCCCTCATCAGCACGTTATCCAAGATGTACCACGGGAGTGTATTCAAGACCCAGCCGCTGGAAAGGATTCTGAAGAGATATTTCTCGGAAACGCCCTTCTTTGGTGGTTCGCGGTCTCGGCACAACCTGAACACATCGGTCAAGGTGGCTGTCACGGCGACGACTGCGTTCGAGTCAATTGTGTTTGCGAACTACAACCGGCCGGACCCGGCGGGAAAGGCCGCCCCATACCAGTTCATCCGGTCAGATGCGCCATCGAAGGAGTTGAAAGTCTGGGAAGTGTAAGTTGAATCCCGGTAGATCGTGAGGCAGGAAGCAGCTGATTCATGGCTGACGTGTGCATCCACAGGGCCCGCGCAATATCAGCAGCGTCACCCTTCTTCAAGCCATTTGTGGCACAGGAGACAAACAGGGAGTATGTCGACGGGTCCAAGTCGCACGGTTGCCCAGCGAAGGTGGCCCATAGCGAGACACGTTCCATCTGGCCTGACATGGCAGATTTGCCGCCAGACGTAATGCTCTCGATCGGGACTGGCAGGGTCGAGGGAGAGCAGCCAAGATTAAGTGCATCCGATGATGTGGCAAGACCCCCATCACGTTCATCCAGGTCCATCGCGAGTACAGATGTGTCGTCCATCACAGGGCCCCGCCGGGCGAACTTGAGCAAGAGCGCCACCATGCCTGTCGCCAGCGGACAGATCCTCCGGTCAGGTCGGGGCGGCGTGGGGAATTACAAGCGTGTCGACAGCGCACCGATCAGTGCATCTGACAACGCCAGCCTCACGCAGACGGGCATCTTTGTACGCGACCCCAAGACACCGCTGTTGCTCTCTTTTGCACCAAGACAACCCACACATGGGAAGACGCAGGGGCAGGGGCAAGAACCAGCACCAAGCAGAGGTGACGGGTTGTACGACCACAGGAAGTGTGACCAGGCGTGGGATGAGTTCGTGGCCGGGCGGAAGGAGGGCCATGATAGCCAGTACAGCCGTATCAGCCCCGAGCTACTGGCCTCGCAGATACCCAGGTTCGAGGATGCGCAGAGGATGGAGGAGCTGGAGCGGGATGTCGAGCGGGCGCTTCAGCAGGAGGAGATGCTTGGCAGCATAACGCTCGTCGCGCATCGATTGGTGGCAAGCACGTTCTTCTTTGAGACGGAGACTGGTTCGGTGAGGCAGAGCGCGTCGGGATACGCATGTACAGGTCAGTGTTTACATGGCCTAACACCGACGTTCAAACAGGCGCAAGCGACGTACTGCCCATCGCTGACTGCATGACAGGTTCTATATTCTGCCGCTTCCGTCAGTCCTCTACAGAGCTCATGGCACTCGGCTCATTCCTGCGATCGTGCTGCACGGGTGACTTCAGACCTTACTTCCTGATCGAGGACGACATCGACAGCGGCACGAGGCAGAGGCGACAGATCATCCTGTCGGAGGCTTTCATCGCGGACATGGAGACGGCGGGGTGTTTTGATATCGAGCCGCTGACCATCATCACGGCAGCCGACAAGCAGGACACACCGACAAGGATCTCGCTCTCGTTGCAGATGGCGCCCTACTCGTCCGGAACGTCAACTACGGCCACGGCACTCCCCATCTCAGGCTTTCCAAGGAGGCTAGTCAGCGAGGAAAGTGGGAGCAAGGGGGCCAAGGCGGAGATTACAGCACCAAGTACTAGTGTAGGCCGGTCGTCTGTTCTGGTGGGCGAACAACGAGGCGGAGGTGGAGCGTCGACCGAGACGGTGTCAGCAATGTCGACGTCCCCGAGCCCTCTGTCTGCAGACAGCGTCAGCCCGGTGACAACGTACACCCTCGCCTCACGGAGCTCCACGGGCAGCACGTCGTTCAGTGGTGCCGGGTTCGAGAAGCCTCGGAGACATGGCCAGGGTTTGATTGCAGAGCTGCCTGACCACGGCAGCCAGGCGGCTGAGTTGCCCTCGAATTGAGGGTCATGTTCTTCTGCGGAGTGTTGGAACAGCTGGTGCTGGCAACCGTTTTGTCTCTGTCTTTCCAGGAAGTTGTATGACTGGATGGCGAGGCTTGTCTGTGTATCAAATCAGAAGTAATTTCAGGCGTTTGTCAAAAGTGAGAAGTTTATAGACCGTAGTATCCTGTACCCATACCAATCTTTGTACCCGTAACTGCGCCTCTCTCAATGCGACCATGCATTTTATATCTCCAACTCCAATGCTTGTGATCGAAGCAGTCTGTTTCTCAAGAAAGTCCACCCGTCCTCACTAGAAGTACTTCTGCTCCTTCATAAACTCCATGCCCTGCGCAAAGTGCAACAGCTTCGCAGCAACGACGTGCCTCTCCCTTCCCGCGTACCCAACAAGGCGCTTGTACAGGTCCGCGAGCGGGACCACGACGCGCGTGATGTGCTCGCCGTCCTCGAGCCGCTGCTCGGGCATCTCCTCCCCCTCGGGCAGCTGCACCTCGACCATGACGAGCTGCATGTTTGCGTTGGTCATGCCCGGGTCCGCCGCCTGCGGGGGGCTCACGCTCAGCACCTTGGACACCTCGTAGCCCGTCTCCTCGCGGAACTCCCGCACCGCGGCCGTCTCGGCGTCCTCGCCGCCGTCGACCAGGCCCGCCGGCCACTCCACCGTGTAGGCGTCCAGCGGCGGGCGGTACTGGATCACCAGCAGCGTGGAGGCGGGCGTCGTGGCTTTCTTGGAGGGCGGGGGCAGCAGGATATTGCCCATGGCCACGGCGTCGACGCCGGCCTTCTCGGAGCGCGTCTTGCGCGTGGCTACCTCCCAGGTGCGCGGCTTGCCCGTCTGGTCGGTGTAGGAGATCTTCTTGAGGGTGATCCATTTGGCGTCGGTGATGGGCAGGTCTTCGACGGAGGTTATGATGGGCTCTTGGGTCTTGGTCGTCATCGTGAACGGGCGCGAGGGCGGAGGTGCGGTGGAGAGGGTGTTGTTTAGGTGGTTGAGGCGTCTGGTTGCGGTGGACGCGAGGGAGGAGGGGCGAAGGCGAAGGGGCATCAATGTTTTGTGACCTGCCTGTTGATTGGCCTGCTTGTGTATGGATTGCAGGGGCTGCTCGTGGCTTCAATCGAGGGCCGTGGTGGGGTGTGGGCAGCTTCAACTGTTGAGAAACTGGAAGGGAAATCAGGCTGGAGTGGTGGTGCTTGATGATACAGTGCACCCGTTTGAAAATGATGTGGTGACGGGGTCAAGACGGCGAAAACGGATATCGTGATTGTAACGGTGACGTTGACGGTGACAACCCGTAGCTACCCCGCCAACCCCGCCATCGTGAACTCCAGGCCCCTCCTTATCTCCCAAGGCTCGAGCTTCAACCAGCTCTCCCACAGCTTGATTTGGTCGTGTATGCGCCGTGATAAAGCTTCCAGCATGTCGGTAAATTCAAGCTGATACACGATCATACGTTGTCGCATTTCATGATGGCTTCACATATCTATCATCAGATAGCACAAATTGCACCGTAGGCACCATACCAGAACAGTCTCCGACTCTGCATCGGCCAGTCATGAGCTCCATTCCCAACGCTTCAGCTCTCTCACAGCACAAGGAGACAGTTTGATTAACAACTTTTTTTTTTGCATTTATCATGTCATGTCGCATCAACTCATCCACACTTTTCTACCACAGTTTCCTGGTACCCTAACTATTTATACAGGAAAACAAAGCTTCTTCCTCTCACGCCCATGCACGCCGGCTGGCGTCTACCGGCAGGTGTAGCCACCGTCGATGACGAGGTCGGCACCGGTGGTATACGTGCTGGCGTCAGAGACAAGGTAGACGTAGGCGCCCTTGAGCTCCTTGGCGAGTCCGTCGCGGCCCATGGGGATCATGTCGTGCCACAGCTTCTGGACCTTCTTGTCGACAAAGTCGCTGAGGCCCGTGTCGATGTAGCCCGGGGAGATTGCGTTGACGCGGGCAAAGTCGCGCCACTCGTTGGCCAGAGACCGGGCCATGTGGATGCAGCCGGCCTTGGCGACGTTGTACGAGGTCTGCTCCTGGGGGAAGTTGGCGATGTGGCCCGACATGGAGGCGGTGATGACCAGCGAGCCGTGGCCCTGCTTCTTGAAGACGGCGCCGATGGCCTTGGCGCAGTAGGCCGTGCCGTTCAGGTCGGTGTTGATGACGCGGTCCCACTCCTCCTTGGACCCGTCGATGATTCCGCTGTTAGCCGTGGCGCCGGCGCTGTAGGAGATAAAAGTGTTAGCTGGTGCTCTGAAACGATCTCTCTTCCGAGGTTTTGGTCACAACATACTTTGCGATAAAGGCATCAATCTTGCCAAAGTCCTTCAGGACCTGCTGCACCAGGTCCTCGCACTGCTGGTACTCGCCCACGTTGCACTTGTAGGCCTTGACCTTGGTGCCGTACTCCTTGGTGAGCTCCTCGACGTTCTTCTCGGCGCCCTCCTTGCGGGATGCGTATGTGATGGCCACGTCGGCGCCCATCTCGGCACATCCTCGTGCAGCCTCGATGCCCATGCCCTTGGGGCCCGAGGCGCCAGTGACGACGACCACCTTCCCCTTGAGGGAGAAGAGGTCCTTGAGGCTGGAGGCGGCGGCGGGTTGCTGAGGCATTTTGGCGGTTGTGGTGGTGTGGAACAAGGATGTGGGTGTTCTCGGAGGTGGTGGTTGTCTTGAGGAGGTATGGGCTAGTGGTATGGGTGTCTTGGATATTTGATTGTTGGGATGCTGTGAGAAGAGTAAGAGCCTACGAGACGTGGGAAACAGAAAGGATGGGTGTCCAGCTCTAATATACATGAGAGCAACCTCCAATACTGGCCAACTTTCAAGCTGCCGGGCGGGAGAGGACCTTGATGGGAATCGCCCAATTCTCTCTCACCTCCGTCTACCCCGTCCTCTGCCAGCCAGCTAGCTAGCCACTTTGCCTGTCCCGGTCGGTTCCTGGGAGCCATCCATCCATCCTCCCTTGGGTTGTCCGGGGGCTAGTGACATCATTGACGTATGGACCTGACTGAAGCCCACCGGGTGGTCCACAACAGCTTCAAGCGTCGGTCCTCTGCTCCACTAGGAATGGAGATTTGACTTCATAACGGAGCTAAAATGGCCCCAGCTCTGACGTATCCGCGTCTACTGCCGAGCTCTGCTCTAGTGGTGGCACAATGGCTACCAACAACAGACAATGCTGTTTATTGACCACTATCTGGCGAGGGAAAGTTGGACGGAATCCCTTCATCTAAACAACATTAAATCAGTGAATGGGCGCGTAGAGTGTGTGGTGTGGTAAGCAGCGGATATCCCGCACTTCCGCCGCAGTCTGCATTGCAACCGTCAGCATCCAATCCGAACTGCACCAGGGCAAACTGGGCCGCGTTACGCCCGAAAACGACGGGTAGTCGCTCCGACAAGTTGCGTGGAATATGAGAAATGAGACGAAAGCAGTATTCCGAGCTAGAAGTTCACAAGGCTATTTCGAGTAATTTTTGGGTTATATACCGCAAGTCACAACTGCTTTGAAATTGGCCCAAAATAGATACAAGGAAAAACCAGACAGGCCAGATACTTCCGCGCTGTAATCACGACGACGGCTGCTGCTCTGACCATTCTGCCACGAGGTCTCTCGCTTCGTTGGAGGAGGAATAGCCACGGAGCTAGATGGACGAGGGTCTCCCAGTCCTCATTCCTTCCATTTTAGGGGTTGAGAAGGGCACACTCATCTTTGCGCCACCATCATCTTGAGAAATGCATGTTTCCAAGCACAGGGCAACATGGTGGCACAGCATCCGGCCGGCGAGACAAGCGAGCCTGTACACCACATGCTGCATGTGATTGCATCGGGGATGGACAACCAGGAGCAGGAGCTGGGCAGAGGTGGGGGTGGGGGTGCTCTCGTGGGGCTGGCGGGGCTGGGGAAGCTTCCCCCTGGCTGTGTCTCGCTGTGCCTGAGCCCAGTGGACGGCCGGGACCAAGAGCCTCTGCCGATCTGGGACAGCAACACCGATTCCCATTTCCGGCGAGTATTGTCGCAGGTGAGGGTCCCCTTGGTCATTGGCCCCAGCAGCCGGCTACAGTAGGTCATGAATATTCCACAGCATTGCTGTAGCGACAAGCCCCACAACGCCCGCTCGTGACAGCTTTCCGTACGATTGAGGGGGCAGGGCACCACTTCCCGGCTGCCCAAGACCTGCGCTGAGTGAGCACCCCAAGCCTGCCAGATCCAGCAAAGCCCAGCCCAGCTGCCAGCCAAGAGCCATTTATTTAAGCTCCGGGCTATTCCGGTCTTCCCGGACCTGCCACGCCTGCATCTCCGTTTGTCGGCTCGGTGGCCTGGTGGCTCGGCAGTGCACGGCCCAAGGACATGAATACTGTAGATCCAACGGAAACGTCACTCTTGGTCACACTAGCCCTTCCCAAGGCGAGCAGCTTTGCTCTAACTGCATCCGTATACTCAACGTTCATACACACGTACGGAGGCGACATATTTGAAATCTCTTCAACCGGTACGGTAATATCGTCTCAACACCTCGTGTCCCACCATTGTTCACGTCAACACGGAGTGAGTCCTTGCTGTGGGGCAGAATCGTGACAGTGACAGTGACGTCAGACAGGATATGATATCACTCTGATATTACGGTGCGGTGAACAGAACCGAAATCAATCGAAGCTTCACGAACTCACTATTGATGTTGACTTGGCATTCTCTACGTTTCTTGACTGTGCTTGGACCCTCTCGGCTTCATTTTTGTCGTAGCCAGCTATCGTGACCACATTATGCGTGAGCTGGTCAGTTTAGAGCGCAGATACGTGCAGGACCTCGAGAAACGTGTAGGACCTCGAGAAACGTGTAGGACCTTGAGAAACGTGTAGGACCTCGAGAATTTGTGGAACCTGGAAAGCGCAGTCCAGCAAACACGGGCATTTGGTGGGAATGCTGTTCCGCTGATTTTCCTCAACCTTGAATCCGTATTTGGGTTTTCAAAGACATTGTTTATTGCGCTGAAGTCATTAATGACACGTTCGTCTGAGGATGGTGTATCGTATGACGATGTGATTTGTTTTAATAAAGCAACCCATACACGAACTTGATGACACAGCCCAAGAGAACGAGGATGGAATGTCATGTTAAGGTTCTCCTACTAAGTACGTTTCTTCCGACAAGCTACGGACGTCTGTGAGTCGTCCTGAACAACAGAGCACTCGTCGCTGCACATTTTGCCCTTATGCTTGCCTATGTGAGCAATGCATCAGCCTCCATAGGCTCAGGAGCAAGCCCGGCCCAGAATTCCACCCCGGCGTTGTTAAGGTGGTATCCTAGACCAAGGGAAAATAGGCGAAGAAGAACAATATACTGGAACTCTATATAAAAAGGGGAGGGCAAGAAAGAACAAATGAGTTGTCCTAGGATGAACTACAGCAGGTTTCTGAGAGGAGCGCAAAGACACACGTCGAGCACGTCTGTGCTTAAAGAGGGCAGACAGTAAGTGAATGCAGGACATGATGCACTTGGGGCTGTCTCCTGTCTAACTTGCTTACCATTACAGTCCAGGCTACCCCTAAACCCAGGTTGCCCGTTTGAAAGACCCCATCCCTATCGCCGGAGAAGAACAAGATCAGGCGCTCGAGATCAACCAGTCCTACCAAGCGCAATATTTCCGGGCACACTCAGCGGTACACCTGGGCGTTGCTTTTTTCTACTCTGATGAACCTGCTGGCTTATTCTTCTCTCATCAACGCTGTGGCGCCACTCCTCACTATCGAACACTCCTCTCTGACTGGTGCAGCCCTAGGTAGGTTGTTGGTAAACATGGCCCACGACTCAAGGAAGTAGAACCTGTGTGCTCCTAGGAAGCCAGGGTAGCCAAGCAGTAGCCACCACCACGAGTGCCTGCCTTAGTACATATTCTCTCAGAATATCTCATGGCAGCTGCAGATGCTCGGTCTAGGCCCATTTATGTGGAATTTGGTTTCTCCTTAGTACATTTTCAGAGTTCAATCCTGTCTAGGATGAGGTATGGCAAGAGTAAATTATTACTTATCTAGATTAGATACGGGTGCCTAACTTTCCATCTTTGCTCCTTCTGTCTAATAACTGGTTGGTCAATGCTAGTAGTTAACTTGCTATGCTAGTTGACACTTCCCTCTGCGTTGTCTCCCCATCCATCTTCCAACAGCTGCTGGGTCCAGTGATGGAGGGTTGAACAAGCCATCGTTCTCCCTTGCGTCAAAACGATTGTGGTTGGCTGCCGTCCCATCACAGGCTGGCCCCAAATGCAAGATTCTCTCACAAAGTTGGCTTGTCTCTAAATACAGCTGGCTGCAGAGTGGCCAACGGCACCAAGTATCGGGCTGAGCAACTTACAGACAAGGTTTGGACAAGCAGTTCAGGGTATAATATGTACCTATCTCCACATTCAGCTGGTGTGGTACGACGAAGCCAGGCGTGTTGCGGTTGAGCTGCCACGAATGAGCAGACTGGTTGAAGAGCAGGATGGCTTGACACTGTTTGCCTATTTTAGTGTGCCATCAAAATCGAAATATACCGTGACACCTCTGTATCGTGTACATACCACAATAAGGCATCCACAGCTCCCTGATGCCAGGGGCACCCACGCAACACCAAGGCAACCCGCCCTCCTGCAAACAAGCTAACCATTGTTGAGCCTGCAGCTCCCAATTCAACCTGGCACATGTGCAACTTGAATCTCTGTTTTTCCCGAGACATGGACGGCCATTTTAGCGTCACAGTATTAAGACAGAGCGCTTACTCAGGATTTTCTCATTATAAGTAATGATCTGCTCTTGAAACTTGAATTGTAGGCTAAGTCTTGTTCCACAACCGTTCTATGTCTCAAATCTGGGCTGTCATACCTCAGTCCTTTGTCATCGCACTTCCCAAGGCTGCCAATTTCTCAGACACTTCGCGAATTGCAAATACTGAGCCGTGTGCAACCTGGGATCATAATGACTCATCTCGTTGCATGACTGTGTGTCTTTAACAATCTTGCTCTACCTACCTAGGTACTGAATCATCTTCTTGAACATGGCTCAGGATGCAGGCAGGAATGCTCCTTATTGTGAGCATCAACAGCCACTTAGTATTAGATACCAGCCATGTAATAGAACACAGCGGGAAGGTGAATCCGTGGAATTTAAGTCTGAGACAGGAGTGGAGGAAAAGCAAGATGAAATGACAATATTGTTTTGTACTTACTAATAGCCCAATTCCAATTACAACGGTGTTGGACCTGACTTTTCATTTGATGGAGGTGAATCGTACCAGCCTACTTGAGAGTATAAAGGCATGGCTCCTCGAACAGGTGTGATCATTTCTCTTATTCCCTAAAAGTAGCGTATTCACAAGACTCATGCCCACTACCCATCAATAATTCATATCAAACACTATCTCTACGGATACAAACCACAACAACGACAACAATGAAGTCCACAGTGTTTCTCTCTGCCCTTACTGCCTTGCTGCCCGCAGTCATCGCCCACTGTTGCGGTCATATAAGCGCTGGGGATTGTCCCTCAGAGAAAGCTGGGTGGTGCTGCTCCTCAGGGAAATGCAACATTTTCTGCTGCAACTGCGATGGACACTGCATAACCACGAAGCGGAATGCTCTTCTGTCGTCGCCCGAGGTTACCCATGACTTTGCCATAGCTGATGACATTTCTGAAAACTTAACCCTGGACGGTACGCAGCATTTCGCTTTGTTTCGATCCATGAATTCTGGAGACCTTGTACTGACATGTGCATCATAATGCAGAGTATTTGTCTCACATGAGCTTCGAGGGAAAGCCGGAGTACTGGGTGGCTCGGTTCAACAAGTTGAGTTATTTCATAATGTCCAATCTTGACAGCCCATCAATCTTTCTAAGTAGGACTGAAATTACTAACTCATTGGCTAAACTAGATTTGATACTAATGGTGATGGAGTTGTTACTAAGGATGAGGCCAACCAGCTCCTCGAATAGCAAGTTTTATACTTTCCTACAATGGAATGAAAAGAATGGAGGGAATTGTTACTTGCTTTCCCTTGCAGATTGAAGATGAATAATCAACCCAGTCGCATTATTCTACTTGACTTTCAAGTGTTGGGATCCATTCAACCGGAATGACGCTCGTTTATTTTCATGTCTCTGGTTGTGATATGTTCCTTTCCAGGCAATGTGTCAGCATCAAGACTATGTATTTCATTTTTTAATAAACTTGACCTAATACTCTGACAGCTTGCTAAAATTTAAGCCAACATTTCACGACAGCCAGACCATAATTAATATCAAAATAATATTGCTCTCAGGAACGGCTTGTCACTCAATTAATGATGAGCAGCACACGCTGGTGGTTTATATGTTGCTGGGTTCCAGGACAGGCAGTAACGAACACCACTTCTGCGGCTTGAGTACGAGAACGCCGGCCAAATTCGGCAGCACATCCAAGGCTAGGTGCTTCCAATGGTAAGAGGGCAAAGACAAGCACTCTGGTGCCGGCACACACTCTACCCAAGAAGCGGGCGCAGAAAAGCAGGGATCCTCGCCTTCGGGTCTGGTGGTGGCATATCGGTGTCAAAGGCCTCGTGCGTTTCTTCTCCGCACACCGTCACCTGCAGGCCCCGAAGGGTAGAAGCCACAGCTCCGGTCTCGTCCTTCAGGTTAACGTCAACGCAGGCTACCTGACCTCCGAGTGCCTCGCTGCGATTGCTCGACTGTACTGTCCAGCCTCCTCGCGGCTCCTCCCCGCCGCTGAACACCATGAACTCTTCGATCTCGACCACCTTGAGTCCAGCCGTGCTGCATGGCTTGGGCTCGCCGCCGCCGTTGCAGTGCTTGTCCGCTGCAGCAGACGCTAGCGCATGCTGTAGACATGCGTAGATAGTCAATGGGTGAAGCTGGTACGGATCGGAATCCTCGCGTGTGATTCTATCGAGGGCCGCCGTGCGACTGTACTTCTTCGCAGAGGTATCTAAATCGGGACCACTAATTTGCGTAGTCAATCCATTATGACCAGGGTGGGTGTTGACAACAGCGGTCCCTTCACAGTGAGTCGTCCAACGACCATCTCGTACAGACTCAATTCCTACCAGATATGTCTGCTCCTGGGCACCCCGGCTGGGTAGTGGCTGGATGCAAGTCTGAAGCTCGAGGATCTCGTCCGTCTTGATGGACGGAAGCTTGTTTTGGAAGACAAATCCACGCAGAGAGAAATCGTGCGGACGTCGGGGTTCGAATGCCTGTGTGAGTGCCTCAATCGCAAGAGACAAGCACAATGCTGCTGATAGAGTTGCTGTGGGCTATTCGGCTGGTCAGCTTCTTCACGTTCATTCTGCTTGACATGGGGGATTTACCCACCCTAGATCCATATAGCCAGCTCACGTTATCTTGCACAAACGGGTTCTTCCAGATCATAGAACGGGGAGAAAGACCGTGGACTCGTCTACCCAGCAACTCGTGGTACGGAACTCCACACAGTCGCTCTTCGCGCATGGCATGTGACTCGAGCATCAAAGACCTGCTGTGGTCCCATTGGTACGGTGGTAGGTCAACGAGGAGCATGGGCTTCCAACCAACGTCGTGGACAGTGTTGGCCTCTTCAAGATCCACAGGATAACCGAGGATGTACAATGCACCAGCGGTTGCAAGAGTCTCTGAGAAACTGACTGCCTTGCTTCGACGTCCCAAGAGAATACCGATCGTCTTAGGCAGCGTGTTCACTTGCTCAGGTAAACACTCTGATCGGCCAATTTCGGCAACGGTGTCGAGTTTGATATTTTCCAAAATCTTCGGGCCAAAGTCTTGGTGTCCATTGATTGACCTTCCGGTGGCGTTATGGGACAGAACAGTACGTAGGGCCTCGTCAGAAACCAATGAGGCCAAAGCGGTGCAGGGCCGGCGCCATGCGAGATCCTCCTTGGACAACTCCTTGATCTTGTCGTGCAGGTCCTGGCCCCTTCCTGCACATGAGAATGATAGAAGTACTTCCGGGGCCGACAAGTGTCCAGAGGAATATGCCGCGAGGAGCTCGCCTCCGGAATGAGCGAGGGAAGCTGATGGGTAGACATTCCACTCTGCAAGGATATCAACGAGCGCTATCTGCATGGCAGCGCCGGTCAGATAAGGCATCAAGTCCTCACCAACGCTAGTGGCGGTCATGTCAGACGCGGAAATGGCCTCCTCCAAGCCCAGTTTGCTGCCCAAACGCGCGAACGTTTGATCAAGCTTCCTGATTGTCCGCAGGAATGTCGGGGAATACTTCAGCCACTCAGAAACATCAGACTTCAGCATTGTCCTTGGCTCAGCAAACATGAAGGCCACGGCCGGTTGCCTGCCCTCAAGAGCCGTGCCGAATGTCATTGCGGATGGGGCCCATTCTCTGGGGTTTGAGTCTTCGGACAGAACCGCAAAAGCCCGTTCTCTGAATTTGGTTCGTCGCATATTGAGTGTGTACGCCAAGTCGGCCAGGTAATACTTGTCGACGAGGTCCTGGTGTTTCACGATGTTCTTGCGCAATGCATTCCTAGCATGGGCCGAATGGGTCATGAGAAGAGGCCTTCCGACCGAGTGGTCATAGTCAGCATGGCCTCGAGTCTTGCCTTGCTGGTAGCCGGGATACAGGGAATCCAGCGCCTCGACGAGAATATGACCATTTGTGCCAGACCAGCCCCATGACGATATTGCCACGCGCCGAGTCGCATAACTCTCCGGCCATGGTATTGTCTCGGTTTGCACCTTGATGTTGAGTCCATCTGCGTCGACTTTGGAATGGTAGTGTTTGAAATTGGGCAGGCCGGGAATTACTCCCGCTTCGGTCATCATAGCAGCCTTGATCAATGAGAACACGCCGCTTCCTGCTTCTTGATGACCGAAGTTCCCCTTCAGCGACCCGATCAAGACAGGGTTTTCTTTGCTTCTGGTTCCCCTCATTGCCGAACCGATACCAACTTGTTCTGAGACGTCGGCGAATGCTAACCCGATCCCCTGGGGCTCAACATAGGCTGTCTGGTCGGGATCCAGGCCTGCCTTTTTGTATATCTCGCTCACCATTCTTTCTATGCTCACCCTGTTGGGAGTGAACATGGGCAGACCCGGCTGCGAGCCGTTTGAGTTCATATGCGCGCACCTGATAACCCCACGAATGGCGTCTCGGTCCCGGATGGCGTCAGACAGTCTCTTGACGTACAAGGCCCCAACACCTTCAGATCGGAGATAGCCTCTGGCGTTGGAATCAAAAGGAAGGGGGGTGGAGTCTGGTGAGAGTACGCCGTACTTCGAAATGCTGATTGACTGCTCGGGGCTCTGGAGCAGATTGACACCGCCGATTATGGCCGCATCACAGTCGCCAGCGCGAAGGGCAAGGCAGGCCGTATCTGTGGCGAAAAAGACACTCGTGCAGCCGGTGTTGATTGTAAAGACTGGGCCCTTGAGATCGTACCAGTAGGATATCCTCGAGCTAACCAAGCCTGGATCAATGCTCATAGTGGCATGGGCATGGCGGTCGTATTCGTGTCGGCAAGACTTGACCACTGCATCCAGGTTGAAATTCCCAACGTAGACGCCAGTCCTGCTACCGGCAATTGCGTCCTTGGTAATTCCAGCAGACTCGAGACACTCGTATACCAGCTCGAGCATTCTGCGGTGTTGAGGGTCGGTCTGCAACGCTTCATCTTCCTCCATGCCAAAGAACTCAGGGTCGAAATGCTCAGGTGGCGTGTCTATGAATCCGCCACCGGGGGACGTAATGCTTGACGGACGCGTGAAGGCTCCAGGGTGGAGATAGGCATCGATGTTGAAGCGACTGTCTGGCACGCGAAGGGCTGTCTTGAGCTCTCTATTGACCATGACGTCCCACATAGCAGACGGAGAGTTAACGCCCTCACCCAAGCGACATGCTTCTGGAATGTCAGCAAGAAGCGTATTTTCACGGCGCAGTGAGAAATGAACATACACATTCCCACGATGGCAATAGGCTCCAAATTGCCATCGTAAAAGCCGCTGTCCCGCCTGGATGGCGACATTTTCACGTATACTGATTATGAGGTCTCCAAGGCAATACGATACTGGGAGGTTGGACGAGGCGTGAGTAAGACACGAGAGATGCAACGACGGATCTGTAACTATATAACGTCCCTGGCCCCGATCCCAGCCGCCCCCCCTTCCCAGCCGCTCTCGGCACCTATACAACGTTAATTGCCCATTATTATAATGCATAATCCCTCTTTTATTAATATTTTTAATTCTCTAAAGGCATTACTTTCTTTTAATAACTTTCTTATCTTTATTTAAGCCTTATAAATAGCTTTAATATTAATAAAAGCTATATTTAAGTTAATTTAAATCTTCCTTCTTATAATTCTTTAGCTAACTTTAATTTAAACTTTAAGCTATTAATTTTTTTATAAAATTATTATTAATTAAATGTTTTTCTTATTATATACTTTAAAAAGCTTTTAAAAAAATACTTATAATATAAAGCTTAAGTATTTATTATAATGCTAATAAGTAATTAATTAATATACCTTTTATAATTATTTAAAAGTTTTAAAAATAAACTTTAATTATTAAAAAAAAACCTTTAATATAAAAAATTACTTAATAAAGTTTTTTATATTATTAAATTTTAATAATTTATGCTAAATTTAATAATTTTTAAAAATATAATAACTTTTAAATACTTTATACTTAAATATTAACTAAAAACTTATTACTTTTTATCTTAATTAAATATTTAACTTTATAAATACCTTTTTTATACCTTATAATAATAATAAAAAAACCTTATCTTTATTATAATTATTAATAAATTATATTATTTAAGTTAATAAAAATACTTCTTAAAAATATTCTTTAAAAGCAAAAAAATTATTATATTAAGAAGCTAAATTATATATAATATATATATAAGTAAAAAGATTATATATATATAATTTAAATAGCACTTTTATATAAAGTTAATAATTATATATATATAATGCTTATTAATTATAAATAAATATTATTTAAAAGGGTTATTAAGGATAATATTAAGAATAAAGACTTTCCTTAATTATTTAATAATTATTCTTTTCTTTATTTACCTTTTTTTAATAGCTATAAATTGCTAGCTAATGTAGTATAAATGGGTCACGGTAAATCCACGGTAAATTTACCGTGAATTCATGAGCATTTATAAATTCATAATACTTTCATAGTAAATTTATTATAAATATATAGTTTTATAATGAATTTACTATATATATATTTAAATAAAGAAATTCCCTATGAATTTACCTTAAATTTACAAGGGATATTAAATTTTAAATCTTTATTCTTATTATTATAATAGCTATAATTATATATCTTAGCTATATAATTGCCTTATAAAAAGATTAAATAAATTATAATTATTATTATTATAATATTATAATATTTATGAATTGGGTTATAGGATTTTTAATAATTAATAAGTTAAGTAAGCATTAACTTAAGCCCTTTTAAATTATTAAAAAAAAGCAAGGCTTATTATAAATTCATAATAAATATATTATAAATAAAATATAAACTTAATGCATAATTTCCTTTTATATTCCTATTATTACCTTTTAACTTTTAGCTAATAAAAAAGCATTAATAATTACTTTAACTATAAGCAGCGATTTTTAAGTAAGTAAATATCTTTTTACTTATTATATTTAAAAAATATAAAGTTATTAAATATTATAATAATATTTATTACTTAATAAATCCTTTATAATTACTATATTACTATATATAATTTATTAAAGTTATAAAATCTTTAATTTAAAGCGGCTAGGAATTAAGTAATAATAAAAGGAAATATTTTAATTTTAAGGAATTAAGCATTAAGCTTAACTTTCTTAAAGGTATTTTAAAATAATCTTTAAGTTTAGCATTTAATAAATGCAAACCTAGCTAATAATTATAATTATTATTATTAATTATGCTAGCTAATAAAGTATAAAAGCTTAATTATTTATTAAAAACTATTAAATAAAATCTACTTAAGCTAATTTTAATTAAGATATACTAAGTTCTTATATAAGCTTTAATAAGCCATTACTTATTTAAATTATAAAGTATTAATTAAATGCTACTTTTAGCTATTAAGTTATATATATTACACTTTACTAGCTTATAATATATAAAACCTATATCCTATAAATTAATATTTTTATTATATAATTAAGGAAACCTAAGAGGGAATTAGAATTATAAGGCTTATTAAAAACCCTTAAAATCCCTTAGGATTAAGTTTAATACCTAAGTTATATTTAAGACTTTAAATCTTATACTTAAACTTAAGAAATTATAAGAAAACTTAAAGTATTAATATTATGCATATCTATATAAAGTCTTTTTTAGCTTTTTATAAAACCTTAAAATTTATAGCCCTTAATTTAATTAAGGAATATCTTTACTTATATAAGGTATAAAACTTCTTAAAGGGAATAAAATTAAATTAATAAGTAGTTATATAAATAATATTATTCTAAGCCTTTTAAGCTAGCTAAGTTAGCTTTAAAGCTAATTAAAATGCTTATGGATTTATTAAAGCTAAATTACTGCATTCTTTATAGCCATTTAATATAAAACCAGGCTAAATAATGGACTTAATTTTACCTAAGGTATTTAATTAAGGAAACGCTCTCTTTATTAATAAGGCCCTCTTAGCTAAAGAACTATAAGATAAGAACTTAATAGTAAGAACCCCTTAATTAAATAATTATTATATTTATTTAAAACATTAATTAAAAGATAATAAAAAAGATTAGCTATATAATTATAGCTAAAAGCATTAAAATTTATTAAATAATAATTACTTACTTAAGCTTAATAATTTTTATAATAATTAAGATTTTAAAGATATTATTATTAAGTAATTTAAATTATATAAAAATTAAAATAACTTTTAAAATTTAATTTAAGTATTTTAAATTAATAAAAAGGTTATTATTTAAAAAAACCCTTAAGGCTTTATTAATTAATGCAAGATATATTTATAAAATAATATTTATTAAAAGGCTTAACTAAGTTATAATTTACCTTTTTACTTATTAAGTATTACCTATTTATAATTTTAAATAATACTTAATAAGAATAAGCATTATAAATTAACTTAAGGAAGTTTAAAGGCTTAAACTTTATAAAAAAGCTATTTATTAAATAACTTTTACATTTTATAAAATATTGCTAAAATCTTATTAAATTAGTAATATTACTTTTAAATAAATGCATTTAATAACTAAAACATTTAAAAGTATACTTAATAAATTTATTAATTTATAATATTAATTAAATAATTAGCTTTCTTTATAACTTAAAATATATAAAACTAAATCAATAAGGCATTAATTATTCCTTACTTTAACTACCCTTTTATTAATAAAGACTTTTGTAAATTTAAAACTAAATTATAAGAGAAGCAAGAAACTTAATATTTATAGCAAAAGGATTAAATAATAATAAGAAGATCTCTTTAAAAGATATAGCTATTATTTCACTCTTTAGCCTTAACTAAGCTTATTTACTTAATGCTCTTATTAATATATATTAATATACTAAACCTTTACCCTTAAGCGCTAAAGATAAGCTAACTACGCTAATAAATTTAACTACCCTATTGTAAAAACTATATCCTAAACTTTATATTTTAAAATATAACTTTAAAATAATGCTAAAAGTTATTTAATGCTTATTAATAAATTTAAAATAATTAAAATAAGCAAGCAAGCTTACCTTAAGCTTAAAAATTATTAATTAATAACTTATAACAAAGCCAAAACTAATTATAATAGCCTTAATAAGGTATATAATTAGATTTATAACTTTATTAACGCTTTAGCTAACAAAATAATGCTAAAAACTTCCTAAATGCTATTATTTAAACATTTAATATAAATAATAATAAGTTTTAATATAACTTTTATTATAAAAATAAGCTAATTATTAAAAGTTATTTCTTTATAAATAATAAGCTAAAAGCTATAAAAAAAGAAACTTTTACTATAAAGAATAGCCCAACCTATAAGATACTTAACTTAAATAAAGAAATTAATAAGTTAATCACCTTAATGCTAAAAAATAGCTATTATTTTATTAATAAACTAAACTTATATAACTTAATATAAATAAGCTTTAGCATTTACTTTATTAATATCAACCTATACTTAAATAAATACCCTTACTTTAATTTTAACTAAATATATTATAAATATAGCGCTACCTTTATATTAAAATTATTATTTAAAAAGTATTTAAAAGCTTGCTTAATAATAAACTCTTATATATTTACTTATAAAGCAGCTTAAAGCAAGCTAATATTATATATAAGCTAGCTATTAAAAGTTTTACCATTATATAGCAAGTTATATACCTATATTTATATATAAACTTAGAAAATTATAAATAAACTATTATTTATAATTTATTATAATATTAAAGCCTTAAAGTATGCCATCTTTTAAGATTACTTAAAATACTTTTTGCAAGTTATAATAAACTAAGTTGCAAAGGCTAATATTTAAAAAGTAAGGCATATTAAGGTTGCTAAATAGGCTAAGTTTAATATATTCCATTAAGTTATTATAAAAAGCTACTTAATAATTATTACTATATATATTAAAGCATAAATGCTTAATTACTTAAACATTAACTTATTAATAAGTTAAGAGTTTATAGTTTCTTACTAAATCAATATCTTAAACTTAAAAAAAAAAGTTGCCTTTAAATGCTTTAATAACGCATCTATAAACACTGCAATCTTTACTAAAGCCCCTAAATAAATATACATAGCTAAAGCTAATATAAACATTATAATCCCGCCATATTTACATTAAATTATATTAGTATTCATT